ATGAGCAAATGCACAGGCCAAATAATACCTATTAGTGGCTTAAATGTCATTCTCCCCACCCCAGCGTTTCATGACATATTTTCCCCCCCTTTTTTTTCTTTTTTTATATTTATTTATTTTCAATGCAGAATCATAACAAAAATTACAAACATTGAATCCAAAATAATGCTATCCAAACAAACAAAACGGAACATACAAAAAAAACAGAAAAGAAAAAGAAAAAAAAGCAAAGGAAACAAAACAAAACAAAACAAGAACGAAAAAACACACATCTACAGAAGAAAACCATATCATTACATACATTTACACATATTGACTTCCTTCCTTTGTTCTAAGACCTAAAAAAATTTACTCTTACTATATTGTTGTGTCTGGTTAGATTACTTCCATCTTTGTACCTTTTTTTTTTTTTACACCATTTTTCCCCCTTAACCCTGTAAAGCATCATTCATTGCATACCAATATACTTACTCCAGAACAATGTTTTTTTATATACTCTTTAGCACAACCCCATTCTTTTAATAATTTCTGGTCCGATTGTCCCCTGCCAGATTTATGTATTCACAAAATTTAATTTGCCAATCTTTCACTGATGAAATTTCCCTCCCTTTCCAGTTTTTTGCTATAAGCATCCTGGCAGCTGTTGTTGCATAAAGGAAAACTTTCCTTTGATTTCTGGGAATATCATTTGTAATTAAACCTAAAAGGAATGCCTCCGGTTTTTTACTGAAAGATATTTTAAACATCTTTTTGAGTTCTTCGTAAATTTCGTTCCAGAATTGTTTAATAGGTCGGCATTCCCACCACATGTGAAACATTGTTCCTATTTATTTTTTACATCTCCAACAGGTATTCGATTTTAATTTGTAAATTTTAGCCAATTTTACCGGAGTTAAGTACCATTGGTACACCATTTTCATAAAATTTTCTCTTATTGTATAACATGCCATGAACTTAATATCGTATTTCCATAATTTCTCCCATTGTTCCAGCTGAATCACATATCCTATATCACGTGCCCATTTAATCATAACTTCTTTTACTTCTTCATCCTTTAATTCCCATTCTAATAATAAATTGTACATTTTGGATATATTCTTTTTTGAGTTTTGTAATAATACTTTTTGTAATTTTGATTCCTCTTTTTCAAATCCTATTATTTTATCCTGATTAAATATTTGTGCAATTTGGTGATATTGTAACCATGTAGTACAGTATTGGGTCACCTCTTCATATGGTCTTAATTTTAATTGGCCCTGTTCTTCCTTTAGGAGCTGCTGGTATGTTGCCATTCTTTCTATAGTATTTTTCTTTTTAACCGATATTACTTCTAACGGTGAGACCCACCATGGGGCTTTTGGTTCTAACAACCTTCTATATCTCACCCAGACCTTGTATAATGCATTTCTAATTGCGTGGTTTAGAAATTCTTTATGTACTGCCACTTTGTATAGTGGGACTATATCACGATGCGGCATGCTTTACTTGGATCAAGGAATGGATCAAATTGGATAACAGTGACATTTTGGACTTGGAGGGATGGAACAACAGATATGGTTGGCATGCCTATCTAATTTATAACAAAGTGGCGTTTCATGACATATTTTTATGGTGGTGTACACACCAGAGAGGGGGCAGCGATTTTGTCATCCAGTGCATATTATCTGATTTGTCCCCATGTCTGCAAAACCCCTCCATAGTATTCAGCTAAGCTGTCATCTGCGCATGTGCTGTCATCTGCGCTTGTGTATCAGATGTCTCCATTGTGTACCTCAGATTAACTGCAGCTTACATTTTAAAACCAAATAGGAGCTACTTTGAGGGAAAACACACCAAACAGCAGTATTTCTCAAGTAGTTACAGGATGTATATGGATTGTGGCTAATGTCATGCGTACTCTGCTTCAAACACCAATGGTGGCTGTGCAGTAGAACTGGAGTAAATGGTAATGCATACACAGCCACAGATTCAATCTGGGGCAGTGAATAGGCCTTCAGTTGGCACCGAAAGCTTCTAAGAGCGTAGTAACCACAGGAACATAGGAAGTTGCCTTACATTGAGTCAAGACTCATTGGTCAATCTAGCTCAGTATTGTCTGCAGCAGGGTTGGAGAAACTTTTCTGGCCAGAGGGGGTTGGATCTTAATCTCCCCACACCTGGCAGGTCCAATTTGACAAGTAGTTGACGCTTGAAGTCTTGTACTTTGAAAGCCCTTTGCAAGCAGCCCCATGCTGTTCCTTAAACTTCTGAACATTGGAGGTTTAAAAAGCAGCTGTTGTTTACAAAGGGCTTTCAAACAGCCCCCTGCTCTTTGAACATCTGGTTTTTGGAAACCTTTGCAAGCAGCCCCATGTTCCTGCATCTCTCTGTACTTACCTGTCCATCTGAATGTCTGTGAGGGAGGTGTGTGCAGGTGAGCCACACTCATTTTGAGCACACCTACCAGTGGCATGGGGTGGATAGCTGACAATGTGTGGCTCAGGTTAGAAAAGGTTAGCCGCCCCTTTTTTAGAGCCTTGTAGGCCATGTTGTGAGGGTGCCCTGAAAAATGTGTAAAAAATATTGTCAATAAATAAATAATAACATACCCCTATTCATCTGTCAAATGTGTACATCCTGCTACGTGTGCTTCTAAGGGTGTGTTTCTCTGTTTTTCCTCTCATGCAGACTGAATCCCTGTTGAGGAAAACCTCTCAATCTTTAACCTGCTAAAGATCCAGAAAAGTTGCCCGTTTGTCCCTCTCCAAACAGCTAAAGATGAATAAAATTATTGTTTATGAAGAGGAAGACTTTGAGGGGTTCAGGAAAGAATTCACTTGCAGTGTTCCTGACCTACGTTCTGTAGACTTTGGGGATTGCATTTGCTCCCTTAAGGTGATTGGACAACCTTGGCTGGTCTTCCGGGATCCCAACTATAAAGGTGTGGGTTTTGCATATGAAGAAGGTGAACATAAGCACATCCAGTTAAGTAATAACATTTCTTCTATCCAGCTAGTCACTGAGGACTTGGAAGATCCTCAGATCACACTTTATGAGCACCCTAACTATGAAGGGATAAGCAAAGTGATAAAAGAGGAAACCAACCTAAGTTATGGGTATTTCAATGACAAGGCGTCTTCCCATATTGTCCAGAAAGGTGCCTGGCTCCTCTATGAACATCCAAGGAGAGGTGGTTGGTACTATATAGCTCGAGAAGGAACGAAGCTTGATAACTATGGCCCTTTGTATCATTTCCATGATAAGTGTTCCCACGTGTATCCCCTTAAAAGTGGCCGGCCTGTTATCACTAGCAGGATCTTATGGGACCGCATGAACTTGGAGAGTGAGAGGGATGTGATGATTGATGAGATAAATTGTATCAACACCACGGAAACAGAGCAGACATTCACCACCACCAGCAGTCGAACCTATGAAATATTCACAAGTCACAGCTTCAAATTAGCAGTCCCTACCCTTCAAATAAATGAGAGTTTCAATTTAAGCATAGATCCGAGCACCAACCTGACAGTAGAAAAAGGAAAGATTGACTCTTTTACTACTGTAAACAAAATTGAGGTGACCATGCCAGCCAAGGTCCCCAAAAAATCAGAACTGAACATCCAGGTGATCATGAAGGTAGTCACGGCCTCTGTTCCTGTGGAGCTGATCATCACCAATAATGGTAAATCAAGGACGGAAAATGGGCAGTATCGTAGTGTGTCAGGACGCAACATCATCACCAAATACAGCATGAAATCAGTGAAAAATTAAGCAGAGGACCAGTAATCACCAAAAGCAAAATGACCATGCCAGCCAACAACCCACTTTCATTTTGAAATGAACAGCTGTAGATTCAAGAAGAGCATTTCTCCCTTCCTGTGAGGAAGACCATTACCTAGAAATGGGGAGATGGGGCTGGACAATGGGGAGTATTGCAATGTGTCAAGACTTTAACTGCAGCACTGAATATATCGGAATATATGGGAACATTATTCTCACTGTCTCATTTCTCTGTTCATTCCCTCTACCCTGCCACACCTGCCTTACCCACTTGCATGTAGAGAAAATAATTAGGATTTTATTGTCTACAGTATGCTTCCCACCTTCCCAGCACTTTTATGGAAGTTTAAACTTCCAACCCACTCTTCTAATTTTGCAGATATTTGTATCTGAGTGGGAAAATTGTGTGTGTGTGTGTTAGTTCATTGTGATTGGTTGAACGTAACCTGTCCTAGGAAAGAAAACATTACCTTTTTTAAAAAAAATAGAGAACTGCATTTCTTCTTCCATGGAAAGATAATTACTTGGCATCTGGAACAAGGAAAAATTATTAAATAATATTTTTTTGCATGTTCCTTGATCTGCTATTACTGCAGACATTAAAGACACTATACCAGATGAAATTCCTGAAAGCAGCAAGACTCCGATGCTGGTTTCGAGGGACTGATGAAGAGGAACTGAAGGGCAAATTGATAACAGGAGGACTGTGTAATTCATATAAAAATATATAGCAAAGAAATCTGGAATCCACAGTTAGTACAATGAACTAGAAAATAGTCTCACTTCACTGACAAAAGACATCCGACAGAGAGAATCCAACAGAAAGTAGCTGTTAGGACACAGGTTGGTAATAAATAGCTTGCATGCTCAATTAAGCCTCCACAGCAACTTTGTATGGTCTGCGGTTCTATTTATGCTTCCTAAGTCATATCTGATTTTTAAAATGATTTCTAGGGTGAATGGTTGCAGATATGCACCTCCTCAACTGCTATAGTTAAGCACTCTGGAGAACATGCTTCTGCCAATTTTGTTTCATTGTATTTTTGCATCATGTATTAGGCTCCAGCTGCTGTTTGGATGCTTTTCTGCTTATTAAACCAGACTGGTGAATATCTCAGTACAACTATACGTATATGATTATACTCTTCAGAAATGGCCCACAGAATGCCAGCAAGACGGGGGTGACAGGGCTGCATGATGAAGAATGGGGGGGGGGGTTGACATGTGGTCTTCCAGGTGTTATTGAATACCAACACCCATCAGCCCCAGCCAGGTTTGGCAGTGATCAGGAATGGTGAGAGTTGTAGTCCAGCAATGTTTAGATGGCTACATCTTTCACATCCCTCATCAAGAGGTTATGAGATAATTAGATGACTCACAGTGCAGTCCTATACTCAGAAGTAACTCTCACTGCGTTTAATGAGGCTTCCTGCCATTTAATTATGTATAGCATTACAGCCTCACACTTTTAATTCAAACTAGTCCACTTTGCTCAATCCAGTATTCAGACAGACAATAACTTTTATATTCTACCCAAGTTTCTTAAAGCTAGATTCTGCCTGCCAATATATACCATGTATTATTATGATCTTTTAAAACCTCCCTTCAAAATACAATTTGTTTCTGTAACATCATTTAAATCAAATGAATCTTATTAGTAAATGAGACTATGCCTGATATTTGCATGAATGCAATGTTAGATGCAAGAGCAGAGTATAGTATCTAAGATATTACAGCTTTGTTTTTTATGTAGTACAGAGCATAACAGAAAAATGAGAAAGCAGAGTTCAATTCATTTCACGCTGTCCTTGGCTGAGATAAATTTAATTGCAATCTTCTTACTGTTATAACAGTGTATTATTTCAGCAAAATAAGGATTGGCGATGGATCTTCTGTGGCCCCTGAGGTTGTAAATTAGACATGGACAATTTTTAGTGTGTTTTTAAATATGTAGTTACTGGTAGGTAGCCGTGTTGGTCTGCCGTAGTCGAAACAAAATAAAAAAATCCTCCCAGTAGCACCTTAGAGACCAAATAAGTTTGTTATTGGTATGAGCTTTCATGTGCATGTACGGTATCTGAAGAAGTGTGCATGCACATGAAAGCTCATACCAGTAACAAGCATAGTTGGTCTCTAAGGTGCTACTGGAAGGATTTTTTTTATTTAAATATGTAGGTTAGTCTATACAAACATCACATTCTCTAATAATTGTAGTATATGATTAGGACCTCATACGTCATTATTACACACACACACACACACACACACACACACACTGCTTATTTGTCAAAACATTCAGTTTACATAGAGCATAAAATATACATAGTTTTAATGTATCAATAAAAGTTGCCCTAAAAAAAACCCCATGTAGCAAACAATGTATGATGTTCTACACAAACATAATCCACTCATACACATGTGTATAGGCCTTGAGTGAGTGAGTAAGGGTGGTTGTAACAACAACTATAGAAAGCCAAAGCATTGCTAAGAGAGTGCTGCAGGCTTTATAAGGGCTCAAAATGGTGGAGAAAGACCAAGATGGAGATCACAAACTTACTCCTCAATGGCAGAGATCTCTGAACAGGATTGCAGGACAGGTGGCATCTGCAAGCAAGAAACATTAAAGTGAATTGCAGTTCAGAAATAAAATCCTTTATTTACTAATTATATATGTATGTGGCCAGTGAAATAGAACAACTTGGTGTGGGTGTTTCTACACACAAATCAACTTCCAACTTCTTAGGAAAAATTAGACAAACTAATAGGGAGAGATTTGGAAAGGTGCCAAAAGGCAGCTCACAGGCCATGATCCTTTTTTATATTATTCCTGTTGAGATTATATCTCATTCCGCAATTAGATGTTTCCATACAGTACAGTACAGAGTACAACAGCAACCTGGTGGGGGAGTCTAATAAAATCAGAAGGAAAGCCAAAGGGGCATACATTTTTAAAGCTCCAGAGCCAAAAGCTGAAGTCACTCTGTTAAGAACTCGGAAGGCATCTTCTGCTGAAGCCCATTAGTCTATTTGATACCATTCTGCACAGTAATGCATGGATTTATCCTTCTGCAATTCCCTCCAGACATTGCTGGACAGCTCCCATCCTCCTTGATCATTGTTAACACAAGCTGAGACAAGGCTGTAGTCCAACAACATCTGGAGGGCATTGGGTATCGTAGAACTTAGGTGACTATCCTCTAAATTGAATGAGCCATTATTGGCTTTGCAGATGTATTTCTCAAGCAGCTGAATTCTAACCACATTTAACCAGAACTAATGCCACAGGTTTCAAGACTTACTTTACATACATGGTAGCTAGCTGGTGGCATCCTCAAGTGGTAATTCTGCAGGGGGGGGGGCTGTGGGAATGTCACTAGAGCTCTGGACCCTCCCTAAAGGGATCACCAATACCAGGGACTGACAGGCTAGTGAACATAGGAAGCTGCCTCATACAGAGTCAGACCACTGATCTATCTAACTTGGTATATAAATACAGTGGTACCTCAGGTTAAGAACTTAATTTGTTCTGGAGGTCTGTTCATAACCTGAAACTGTTCTTAACCTGAAGCACCACTTTAGCTAATGGGCCTCCTGCTGCCACTGCACGATTTCTGTTCTTATCCTGAAGCAAAGTTCTTAACCTGAGGTAATATTTCTGTGTTAGCGGAGTCTGTAACCTGAAGCATATGTAACCCGAGGTACCACTGTAAACAGAAATCCATTACCAGCTGAAATTAGACAGTTGCCTAGCATCTTGATATTTAGATGCTACTGATGTCTTTTCCTGAAGTGTAACACAATCATTTTATGGGATATTAAATGTACAATTGTAGAAATTGTTTATTTTTATTAGCGTCTTATTTTATCTTATTGTATGCTGCTTTGATAGCTTCTGTGATAAGGTTAATAAAGCTGTAAAATAAAATTTAAATTTAAAAAATCCACAGTGATGGACAGCATCTCTCCAGGATTTGGTCTCTTCTAGTTTACATAGAGATCCTGGGGATTGAATTTCAGACCTTCTGTATGCAAAACATATGCTATACCACTGAGGTGAGGTCCTCCTCCTAACGAATTAATTGAAAACTGCCTTTTTAGTGAAGCAGATTTGAGGGCACATGATGCAACCACCAACATGTTTGGGTCTGACTAATGCCTGGATGCTGGGAATCCATAGTACTTTCTTCCACAATGACTGAAGAAAGCTGGGATATAAAATGTACTTAAGGGTGCTTCCAGATCGATGTTTATTGTAGGATTGGCGCTTGCCTATCCCCATGCCCCCATCATTTCATCTGATTTTTGGAGGGAAAATGGTAAAAATTAATCTCGGGGTCGTGGGTCCGAGCCCCACGTCCGGTAAATTATTCCAGCATTGCAGGGGGTTGGACTAGATCAGGCATAGGCAAACTCAGCCCTCCAGATGTTTTGGGACTACAACTCCCATCATTCCTAGCTAACAGGAGCAGTGATCAGGGATGATGGGAGTTGTAGTCCCAAAACATCTGGAGGGCCGAGTTTGCCTATGCCTGATCTAGATGATCCTTGTGCCCCCACCCCACCCCAACTCTACAATTCTAAGCGAGAATTGTCGTCCACATCTTGCTTGCGATTTGTGAACGAGCTGTTTACAGTATGGTGACCCTATGTGGAAGCACCCTACGGAAGAAGGGCGGAATATAAAACGTACTTGTCATGTAAAACCCAAGGGCGGGAGGGGACCGGTCATTAACAGGAAACCCCAGTTGGAGTCTGGTGGAGCTGAAGCGGCGGGTATGTGCTCGGAATATCAGAAACTCTGCGGGGCAGCGAGGGAGAGCGCGGGAGGCAGAGACAAGCAGGGGCACACGAGAGGATGCATGTCTGAATTTGAACAAGAGTCAGTCCCACAGTCCCAGGGAGCGGAGAGAGCAGCCTGCCGCCGCCTGTGCTGCCGCCGGCTCTCGGGGGCGGCGCCGGCACAGGCGGCGCGAGATCCGCCCCAATTCTCCTGCTGCGGTTGAACCCTCCGCTTTGTGTGTCCCTGCCGACGCTCCGTAGCAGGGCGGATGTTGTGAGGAGCCGCTGCCGGGGCTGGGCGAGCCAGGCGTGCGGTGGCGGCGGTGAGTCAAAGCGGCGGAAAGAGAGGCAGGCAGGAGCGGAGGGGTCTCGCCGGGGCTCCGGGGGTCGGGGAGCCCCTGGCCGGGGTGGGCGCGAGGGCCCAAGGGGGGCGCCTGCGAGAGGCTTGGCTCGGCGGCCGCGACTAGGCCCGGGTCAGCCGCTTGGGCAGAGTGCCGCGGCGCCGAACTGCCCGCTCCTCTCCGACCCGAGAAGAGCTCCAGGCTGCCTCGTCGGCTCCGCCCGGGGCTGAGGGAAGGCGCTCCTCGCAGCCTCCAGCCACGCGGGGAAGCTCTCGGCGGTCAGCCCCGCAGAGTGGCCGCCGCCGCCGCCGCCGCGCCGGTCCTTGGCCGGGTCTCGCTGCCCTTGGCGTGGGTTCGTCGGGAGGCCTTTTCCAGGCAGGGAGCGGCTGCCGCCAGGTGCCTCCAGCCGCCGCGCGCGCATCTTCCGTGCCCCTTTTCTCCCGCCTTTGCGCGCCTTCCTGCCGTCCCCGGCACCGTCCTTCTGCGCAGCGCTGACACCACCTCGGAGGAGCCCTGGTGGCTGTGGGGAAGCAGTTTGATTTCAAGTTTCCGCCAAAGGAATGCGGAGGGAGGGAGGGAGCCAATCTCCCCTCGGATGTGTCGTGGGGAACCTCAGTTACGCGGAGGAGGTTGTCAGTGGGAGCTTCAGCGAACCGCCTCAAACGTAAACCCCACCGAGTTCTAGCCTGTAATCCCATGCACACATTGCTTAACCTGGGAGTCTTTCTGAGCAGACAGCGCAGTCTGTGGTCACCATAGCGCCAGCCTATATACACTTACACAGAAATAAATCACACTGATTTAAATGAGGTATACTCACAGGTGAGTGTTATGGGACTGCAACCTGATTGTGCTAGGCTCAGGGTTTGCATCTTTGCTGCCTTATCCTATGCTAGGTTTACTCTGAAGTAAGCACTCTTTAGTTCACTGGACTTTTCTCACAAGTAAGTGTGCATGGGATCAGATCATTAAATACTTTTCTTAATAAACCTTTGAATATGCAACAGTAGAAGCTGCTGCAGTGGTGCCAGACAGTGATCCAGATGTTGCAGTGCATGGTGGTTTAAAAATTACCTCCACCAGTGGAAAACTAGAAGTAATAATTACCATGCAGTGTAGAAATAGCTCCAAGGCTTTCACAACTCTTGAAGACCAGAGTTATTGCAGCATTGTATTCTGTGGAGAAACTAGCACTGTTTCAGATCCTTGTGCTAAACTCTAAATGTAATATGGAGTGGATTCGCATATGGATTTTCAGCTACATTTGTTGCTTAGAAGCAAAGCTGACATCTGCATAGTTTCCTTTGCCCCATTTACGGTGTAGTCCTTTTGCAAATAAATAGTTGTCTGATTGTCACATGGTTAATCTGATAGTCAAAATATTCCAGCAATCAAGATAATGGTAGGATTAAAATTAATATAAAGTAATAACATCTGTTTACAGTGGTACCTCGGGTTAAGTACTTAATTCGTTCCGGAGGTCCATTCTTAACCTGAAACTGTTCTTAACCTGAAGCACCACTTTAGCTAATGGGGCCTTCCACTGCCACCGCACCGCTGGAGCACGATTTCTGTTCTCATCCTGAAGCAAAGTTCTTAACCCGAGGTAATATTTCTGGGTTAGCGGAGTCTGTAACCTGAAGCGTATGTAACCTGAAGCATATGTAACCCGAGGTACCACTGTATTCAGATTGTACCCTTCAAATGACAGTTTTATATAACTCATGAAGGGCTCAGGCTGCAGTCCTATGCATGCTTCTTTGGGAGTAAGACCACCTGAACTTAGTGAACATAAGAAAAAGTCAGACTAAAGGCCTATCTGGCCCTGCATCTTGTTTTCCTCAGCAGCCAACCAGATGCTCAGAAAAGTCCACAAACAGAACAGGAGAGTAACAGCTCCTTTTTGCTGTTGTTCACCGAACAACTGGTATTCAGAAGCATGCTGCTTCTTGATCTTGGAGGTAACATGGCCACTGATGGCCTTATCCTCCATGGATTTGTGTGCTTCCCTTTCAAAGCCATTTAAATTGGTGGTAGTCACCACATCTTGTGGCAGTAAATTCCATGTGCTGAGTGAATAAGTGCTTCCTTTTGTCTGTCCTAAATCACCCACCGTTCACCTTCATTAGATGACCCCAGGTTATGGTGTTGTGAAAGATGGGGGAAACTTAACTCTACCTCCTTTCTCTACATAATTTGCATAATTTTATATACCTCTGGCATGCTTCCTCTTGATTGTAATATTTCCTTTTTTTCATAAGATATTTATTAAGCTTTTTTAAAATATTACAATAAAAAATGAAAAAAAAAACAAAAATACAAAATAAAAATAATTAAAAACACATAGATTTTCCATTACTTATTTTCCTTTAGCTTGTTTCCCGGACCTCCTCATACCTCCCTTTTTTGTATTCGAATTCAGTTTGTTGGTTCAGCAAATCCTTACCCTCTTTATTTATCCTAATCTTTAGTCTTAAAATAGTAACGTTAAATTTTTACCTATTAACAACCCATTTTTCATAATCCCTTAAAGCATTACAGCTGGAAACCACTTAATTTCTATCCAACATCATTCTAACATTCATTAATTTTACAATAATTCTGTAGATAGTCTTTGAATTTCTTCCAATCTTCTTCCACCGACTCTTCTCCCTGGTCTCGGATTCTGCCAGTCATTTCTGCTAGTTCCATATAGTCCATCAGCTTCATCTGCCATTCTTCCAGAGTGGGTATTGATTGTAATATTTCCTTGTAGGGGAGTTGCTCCAACTCACTGATTTCTTTGGTTGCCTTTTTCTGTACCTTTTCCAGCTCCACCATATGCTTTTAAAGATATGGCGAGTAGAACTGAGATTTGCTTCTGAATAAGCCTGGGTAGGATTGTGCTGGGAAGGTCCTTGGCAACTAGGACCATCTCTGCTTTCATAGATGTAGTGTTCATAAAGATGTCTACCATTTCCTGTTATTTCTAGTGGAAGAAATATCTGTGTATATTTTCAGTGTCAGGTCTCTAAGATCAAGATTATTGCAAAACCCTGTAATGTAGCCTTGAAAATAATGACTTATTTGGTTGCCTAAGGTTATCTTCAGGTGACCAGGTAGATGAGATACACGGAAGTTGGTTTGTTTTGACTTTGAGGCAACAAACAAAAACAGATGCACGCGAAGGTCGTCTAGTATTGTTTGCCATTTTATTTGTGAAGTTCTTGTATTGTTTAAAAAACTCATTCATAATGCAGGTGCACTTACAGCCTTTGGATTTTTAGAGATAATTCCTCACTAAATTAAACAAATTCTAATAAAATTCGTCCACTATAAAACTAAACTGCTTCATAGTGTAAATGAAAACAATTCTGCCAGTCTTACTATATGCTCTCCATGCTTGCCATCTAGCCTGTCAGCTGTATTTTCTGCTGTTGCCAAGGTTACTTTTTTGTGTTGAAGTGTGAAAGGTAATCCTGAATTGTAAGTTGATGTTTTCATATTATTCGGAAGGAAGAACATGTTCCTGCTAATGTGGATGTAGAACAGATAGACATGATGGCCCAGTGTTTGGGGATTCAGGATATAGACTTGCTGCATATTATGGGACTGACAGTGACCGGATGTTATATATAGTCTTTGTTTATGGATAAACAGTGTCTGGTGATATATAAAATAAGTGAAGTTCCTTAATATTTGCTTCAGTTTATAGTAGATGAAATGAACCTGAAAAAAAGATTGAAAATTGCAGGCTGAAAAAAAGCTGACCACATATTATATACTAAGGAAGTTCTTCATGGGAATAAAAACTATACATGGAAAGGGAAAGGATAGGTTATAAGCCACTTAGAAGGCATTTTGTCATATAAGCAACATATCAATTAATACAGCAGCAACATGGATGGAGGGCCTGTGGCCTTCCAAATGTTGTTAAGTGCCAACTCCTGGTCAGGGATAATGAGAATTGTAGTTTAAAGCATCTGCAGGGCAACAGGTTATCTTTTGGATGCATGTTTGATTAACAGAAAACCTTTAGGAATTCTACTGTACTGCATGTTCTTATACAGTCTTTGTATAACATCATTATACATTGTGTTTCTGTTTTAAGGCAAACAAATATGAGTCTTGTTCTGACTATCATGCTCTGTTTATATGGATAGAAAGCCTACAGCTGCTGTTGCAACCATTACTTTGAACTCTAGAGAGTAATGAAACAATTATTGACAAACACAAGTCTCCCGTAAAACAGAACACTAGTCATATAACTCTCCTGAGAGTTGTTTGGCTATATAGGTATTAACTTTTTTTGTATTGCTATACATGTGGATTGTTACATAAAAAACGGGAATGTGTTTGCCAATAGATATTTATTGCTGTTCAGATGGCTTCCTCTCTCCCTTTCTTTGTTTTTTAACTATATCAGGGATGGGGAAACTTTTCTGTCCTGTAGACCAAGAACCACCAGCAGACAGACATCCATGCAAAGACTTCAACTTTGGGGACAACAGTTAACATCCTTGAAGTGTGCTTCAAAGCGCTTTCCCTAGAAACTGCATGGATACGCACTTCAAAGTACCGATGAGTGCTAAGAGACATTGTTTTTGAAGTGCATTTCCAGGTGGTTTATGTTGAAACCTCTTTGAAACCTGCTTCAGTGTAAAAGCCACACCTTTACCTGCCTCCCAATTTATGTGTGGTATGGGGGAAGTGGTCCAGGAGGCTGTATTAGGACACCTGCTAGGCCTAATTAGACCCACCCGGAGGGTCCCTATCCCGGGATTATGCTTTGTGGATTCCCTCATTTTAAAACCATAACTTTAGATACATTAAACTATTCATTCTATTTATGTATGTCAGTCTTCAGTGAACATTTTTGGCTCTTATTTTGCTAGTTTTCTGTTACGACTAGGAAAAATGCAGATCTTCTTTTCTAGCTTTTCTTAAATGAAATCATTTTAAGTTTATGAGGCAAAATTTTCTACATATTAACCTAGATGCGCTCCAGTATTCATGCTGCAAACAGTGAAACGCCTTGGAGTTGTTGTACTTGTTTTCTTAACAAATTTATAGTATATTATTAGAGGCAGTGAGTTTTATGCCAGAGTATGTACACATTTAGAAGCAGGGCAAATACAAAAAAATGTGTATAGTTACCTTGCTACTTTCTTCCAGTTTTGTGAATAGTTGCATCCTTCTTTGTTGTAAGCGTTTTCATTTCTAATTGGTCAATTTCCCCCCTGTTTCAGCTTTGAGATTAGTGGCCATTCAAGCTGACCTGAATTATGACATCAAGAGCTTCTGGAACAACATTTTCTCGGAAGAACTATAGATTAAGCACAGAGCCTGAGAAGTCCAAGGCTGCAGGTAGGAATACTGTTGTGGATGACTGGGGGAAGAGGAGGCTGTTTTTACAAGTCTTGTCAGCAACTAATTAGGAGAGAGATTCACTGTTTTCAGCACCTTAGCTGTGCAAACAAAGTTGCCACCTATTCAAGTTTGCCACTTCATTGGCAGATACTTTTTTTGGGTCTTAGCTCAGTTGTGCAAGCTAATGGCAAAGCTAAATCTGCTTAAAGGAATTAACATGTATTTGGTGTTTCACCTTTCATAGCACTCCAGACTTGTCCCTGGCACAATGCTATTAAATATCTGATGCATTGTTTAAGGCCAAGGGTTGGCCTAGTTGAAATGGGTTTGCTTGTCATCTGATGTAAAACAGTGTTGCCCTATGAGAGGCAGGGGAAAGCATGGATGGAATTTCAAACTGGGATAAAGGGTGTTTTATCTGTCTTATTTTATCTGTTAGTTTTTAATTCACACAGATGGAGAAGATGGTTTTGGTTAAGTCAGGAATGGGGAACCTGAAACCATGCTCTCCTACCCCCCAACTGTCATCATATGCAAAGTCAGGTTTGGAATAGGTAAAGATGTGGCTGCAAAGGAACCATCCGGAGCCTGTCAGTTGTGCCTTGGCAAATGGGGGTTGCTGATTGATGCTGACAGCCTGTTGCCCATTTGCAGGCGCAATTTGGATTCAAAGCTCACCTGTAAATGGACATTTCCTTTGCAGACAGAAATTAGGTCTGAAGTGCTGGGATGCAATAAAGAAATCACAACACTTGGATGAATGTGGCCCTCTGACTCAAAGTAATTGCAGAATTCACCTGGTGGGAAAAGGTTTAACTTAATGCAAATCTACCCTCACTTGCAGTTAACAGGTGTTCCGGTTTGAAAAGATTGTTATCATAGAGAAATGATCAGCATAATCATTTGTGAATGCATTTTATCATAGACCAAGGTTCCTACTGATATAGGCTCTTGAATAGAACAGCTACTTGGTACTGGTAATTTTAAAAGGGACTGTTATGAATCCCATGCTCACATGTGTAATGCTAAGTTGTAGCTGTTAAAGAAAGTGCTAAGGAAACTTAGAGCATAACAAAATCCTTCTGTGCAGCTCTTTTGGTTTATCGTTTATTTGGCTTGTCCTTCATTGTCTGTAGGCTGGTCTCTACACATTTGCATTATGACTGTGCAAAGAGAAGCAGAGGGACAAGGAGAGATAACAAGGACAGGCCAAATTGATCTGTCATTTCAAGCAACATGCTGTAGCTCCTCCTGCCAAGTAACTCAAGAGAATGTGCAAACATTCAAATAGCAGCATGGCAACAATGAGGGGCAAGAGACACATTAACACACTATTTGAATCCTTCAGGAGTAAATTTAGTAACTTTGCTATGAAAAAACCTGGAAGTAGAGTCTCAGCTAGAAACAACACTCTTTATAAGAGGCATGCTGTATCCTCTATTTGCTGTATATACTAAGACATATGGAAAAACATTTAGGTAGGTAGCCGTGTTGGTCTGACGCAGTCAAAATATATATAAAAATAAAAAAATGTCCAGTAGCATCTTAGAGACCAACTAAGTTTGTTCTTGGTATAAGCTTTCATGTGCAAGAAGTGTGCATGCACACGAAAGCTTATACCAAGAACAAACTTAGTTGGTCTCTAAGGAAAAACATTTGATAGAGATATAGCCTTAGCGGCATTGGCTGAAATTCTGTGTACACTTGGGAGTAAGTCTCACTGAATTCACTGGGGTCATCTTTCAAGTAAACATTTTAAGTGATTTATGAGATGATCTTATCAAAACTGATTTATTAATCTCCATATTTTTGCTGATTAAGTACTATGATATAGTATTAGCTATATAGGCAACAGCATAGGCTGAAGTCATATGATTTAGCTGCCTTACGGAAGCTAGCTCTGAGTGTGTCTGGGAACCTCATGCAAACTGCTTTGAGTTCTATGGAAGAAAGACAGGCTGTAAATGAAATAAATAAATGAAACAGGGCTGCCTAAGTTCATCTTGCCTCACTTGTAGAAGTAAAATTGGTATATTGGAGGTAATACCTGGTTGTTCCTTGCTGACTTGGCTTTTTACTCATTCTCATAGGGATAGTGAACAGCAAACTCCTGAATGATTATCTGCATCGCATCTTTCCCATTGCTGATGGAACTCAGCCTACTGCTGCATATAGGTACTGGACTTCTGATTCACTGAAGAGCAAGCAAAGTTGTATTGTGGTGTTACTTTAATGGTACTGCTTAGGAACACAGCTGAATGCTGACCCTAGATGAGACAAAAGTTTCATTTTACTGCTGAAGTGTTTATGTGGTATAAAGCTGATGGGCCTTTCAGACAGTAGAACTTGCATGCCTTAGTTTTGAAGGTATGTATGAGAGGCCAGGGGTGTGGCAATTACTGATCTAAATGATAATTTCTGTAAATCTGGCTAAATGGCACTTACAAATGGCAAATAATGATGAAAGCTGAATGTCTTTAAACATCTGTACACTATTTAAGAAATATTTAATGCTGTAGTTGTAACTTCACTTACCTGGGAGAAAGTCTTATTGAATTCAATTTGACTTGCTTCTGAGTAGACATGGTTAGGATTACACTGTTAGATTATTAAACACTTAAAAATGACTGACACATGTCCACTATTAATTTAAATGAATGTGTCTCAATATGTTATGTTTATATTATGAAAACTAGTTTCAAGTACTTCTCATGTGAAATGATGATGTTAGCTTTCTTTGATTATTTTTTCATTTCTTTTGTGTGATTGTGATTTTAAAAATTGCTTTACACTTGTTCCTTGCCAGTTATGTATAATCCTCCTGAATCAAATAAGAAATCACAAAACAAGGCCTTTAGCAAAGTCCTCTAATTGCATTTTCTTGTACACATTGGAATCTTCGTATTGAGACCTCTCATGTGAATGTTGCTCTGGAAGAACGCCTGTTGTATGTTTGTATTTAAAGATCTGCTGGGGTCAAATTCCGCCCACTATATACTTAGCTTCTGAACTCACAACTGAGTTGTCAGTTGTACTAAAAATAACCTTCATCCCTTTTTCCTTCTGATGAGTAGCAGTTACCAGGAGGAGGAGGAGGAATAGAGTTGTTTCTTGTTGCTTTGCCACAGCTTCCCCAGTGTATAGTTGGAATGCTCCAATTCATCATTCTACCTTTTTTGGGGGGTGGGGGGGGTGTCAAAACTTTCAGCATTAAGTTCCTTTGGTTTATTCTTTAAAAGCTGAAAAAGGAGCTTAGATTAATTCATAGCTCCTGTTGGATTTAGGGGTTCTGCTGCATAAGCCTCAACGCATGGTGATCCACCAACCTAATGCAAACCACCAGCCACGTGTGGCAGCCAACAGCAGCTCTCTTTTTTCTGTCTGCCTGGAACTGTAAAAACATAGCAGTGTTAAGAAGCTGAAAGGACACAGGCCCTGGCTGGTGGGTTTTATTCGTCTTAGTCACAAATTGTGCATGTCTGCTTCACTACAGCAGTCCAATAGGAAGCCATAAAGAATCTTGGCAGTTGGGATTTGAATACTCTATAGCATTGTGTTCAAAATTTACACTAGAAGGAAAGAGTTGCAAAATAATTAATTTGTTCATGTTGGTGAACACCAGAGTGTGTCTCTGAGAATCCATGACGTCATTTTCTCTATAGAAGCTATTTTTATTTGTCTAATATTTTAGTTTCTGGTCCTTTCAAGTAGTTGTGTCCCTGGGCTATTTTATCTATTAAACATACCATGTAGCTTTATTAAATAAATAGTTTATGGAGGATCGTGCTGAAGTAGTGAAGAAACTCTGGTTAACAATTCATGTGAGTCTCTCCTTGGGGAATTATATAAAAACTATTGAAGGATACTTCACTTTATTTCTAGAAAGCACCTCTCCTTTCAAAACCTACAAGAACACGTAGAACGATTGCTGGCAGAAGATGCTGTCTCAGAAGATGGTCAAGGTAAATAGATACAATGTCTGCCATAAGTGTCAGCTCCAAGGGGCCGAGCGACTTTGTGCGCCCATTGTTTGTTTTTTGAGGGGGCCGGGCCCCCAATGTTCAGCAGGAGGAGGAGGGTGAACATAGAGCCAGGTGCAGTGCAGCTTCAGTGGCCTGTGGTGGCTCCTCCTCCTCCTCCTCCTCCTGTCGTATGGGGAAGGGACGGGAGAAGCAGCCTATACTGGAGCCAAGCATGGCATAGCTCAGTGGTCATTGGTTGCTGCTGCTGCTGCTGCTACCGCCACTAGCTGGGAGCGGCTTCCCCCATCTTTACCTTGCATGGCAGAGGGAAGGGGAGGACAGAGGCTGTGCTGCCACCATGTTTGGCTCCATTCCCTGGCTCCTTGTGACCTTGCATGTGTGACGTCATGACATTGCACCGGGGCTGATGCCTCTGGTGTCTGCTCATTTTGCAATTGCGTTAAGAGAAAGCAGAATAGCATATTATGGGGACTTTCCACCTAAACCTAGTTCCCTTCTTGGTGGTCTTTTTTTCTTAAAAAATGTATTTTTATTAAGTTTTATCAGATAAACATAATATCTATTTTAGGAAAAGAAATGGCCAACTACACAGAAGGTTTGCAGTATATCAGCCTGTTTGATGTTCAGAGCAGTATTCATTGAAACAGTTTGATTCAACCAAGCACAGTTCTCCATAGAGTCCCATGTGTGGAGGGTAGGTGACATGGGTCTTTCAACGATAACACATATTCAGTATTTTTTCTATTTAATGTGTGTCATTGTCAAAAGACACATGTCACCTACCCTCCACACATGGGATTCTATGGAGAACTGTGCTTGGATGTATGAAATGTCTCTTTCTTTGGGGAACTTCCTCTGTGTTCAGGAGAAGAAACCATATAATATCCTAACTGATGCTTGTGCCTCTTTCTTTTGCCATAAAACTGAACACAGAGTTGCCTCATCTCAATTACTCTACCTCTTATGTTGTTGCTTCACAAATATTTCTCATTGTCATTCCTTCAACTTTCATTTCAGATCAGGGGGTAGAGGGCAGGCTTGGCCCTTCAGCTGTGGTGTTGGATCACACCAGTGGTTTTGAAGGGCTCCTGTTGGTGGATGATGACCTACTTGGGGTGAGTGTGAGGTAAACGCTGTGAATGGGCTGACTTGTCACTGGGGACCCTAGGTCGCTCTTTAAAGTCTGTGCTGGTGTTCTCTCACTTCATTTTTTGTTCTTTGTATGTCCTCACTCTCCTTTTGCTTTTGGGCTTAGGTAACACTGGTTCCCTGCTAATATTGGCTAATAAGCTGAGTGTGCATTTCCTATCTGCTGCCACTCCTCTTTCTGGAGCGAATCCCCTTCCTCACCATTAAGCAGCTTGTCAGCAGTTATGTCAACTGTGATGAAGGTTAACTAAGGTTACCATTTAACTATAATCTGAGACTGCAGTTTGAGATTCTAATTTAAGGCAAACTTTAATTGCTAATGTTGCTGACAAACTATTTAACTGAGGTTAATGGGAAAATTTTGTCTAGGGAGTAAAGGTGATATGTGGAGAGACTGCATGTTTAAGAAAATATTTCCTATTTATTAACTGTGGTCAACATAGAGCCACTATCACGCCGTCATTGGTTTGATGTTAATAGAAAATGTGTTTTATGCTAGAGTTGCTGATAGGGTCTCTCCCTTTTGATAACACTTGTCAGGTCTTCATTATAACCTTCCCTTTTGGTTGCTGTGATAGCATGGTTCTTAAGTTTTGAGTTCAGATGGTTCCTTGGTGCTTGGGAGAGCTGCTGGTGGTTCCCAGATTCAGGAATTAGGTACACAACTTTTTTGGATGGAGTTGCATTCTCCCTTAAGGATCAAATATGTAGTCTAGGGGTACTTCTTGATATCCAGGTGGCCACAGTGGTGTGAAGTGCCTTATTCCTGCTCCATCTGGTTCTCTAGCTGCTCTGTGTAGGACACATTTCTATGAGCACAGTTGTAATGCAGAATGAGGCTGTGGACATTTTGAAGAGCTGTACTGCCTGTGATCATATAGCACCAAATTTGAAGCATTTGCACTGGCTTTCTATGTGTCACTGAGCCCAATTCTAGATGTTGACTGATATATAAAGCCCTGAACAGCTAGGAACTCAGCTATCTGAAACAGCACCTGTCCCTGTACTTTTCTGCCTGTGAGGTGAGATGTGCTGGAGACACATTGTTAGTTGTGTGCTATCACCAACTGAACTCTAGTTGCCCAGGACTCAGAATAGGATCTTCTCCCTGGTGGCATCCTGGTTGAGGAACTTTCTCCCCTCTGGAATCAGGTAGGCATCAAATCAGGTTTTTGATGCTGGGTAAATATGTTTCTCTTTTGTCAATCATATGAGGAACAGCACAAATCTATATGTTTTATACTGCTGTCAGATAAAGTGACTTATATACTGAATTTTAAATGAGGCATGATACAGCAATGTACATGTTTTTGGATAGTTTTATATAACTTGATCTGTTTTAAGCAGCCCTTACAGTATGCGGTGAAGGTTGGGATGTACATGTTATAAACAAATAAATAAAATGTTTTAATAAGCCCACTATGCTTTTAAGTCTGAAATTTCTTACTTCTCTGTAGTTTGCATTGCACAACTCACTCTTTTATTATGCCTCTATGTATCTTGCTGCCCACCTGTTAACACTCAGCTTAAGTGTTCAGTTTTAAACACTGCCTACGTATTCTTTGCTGTCCTCTATTGGTCTTTAAAGGTTTGTTTCTGATAATTGCTGTCTTCCTTCTCCCCCTCTGCTTCAACCCCCACTAGAGAATTAATTTCTACTTGTCTATGTTCTACTGTTGATATGTTTGTGTACTGGGTTAATAGAGGTTTGCTTTGAATGTTTTTTCTTGTCAACATGTCTCACTGGGTTCCAGTTCTCAGCTGAGACAGGAAGGATAGAACCAGCTTTGCCCTGAACTTACCAGTGGCTGTTGTTATGCACTACCTAGCTACCAATCCTATGGCTGAGTGCCTATGGCTGCCTAACAATATAGGAAGTGCCTTTAGTGCTGTTGGCGCTGCTGTCAGTTTTTATAGTCATTATGTACTGAAACAGTGTGTTGTCCCATCTGTGATCACTCCTTGATCATTCCTTTTGGCACTCTCTTTCTTGGTCTTGCTGCTTCTGACAAATCTTTGGACACACTCTCCTGCAGCCCATCTGGTTCCTGCAGTTGGCCTGCCCCAGGCTTTTATTCCATGCTGATCCCCTCCACAACTTGACCAAGCAGCTCATTGGGCCAGTAATGGGGTCAGCACAGGTTGTGACTTCTTCAAAGCCAGTTTTCTGTTTTTGGCACTGGGTGTTTCTTCTAGGAGAAATGGAATCAGGAAGCCATTATGTGGGCATGCTTGTTGTTAGATCTGTGCTTGGTGTAATTGCAGACCTGATTTTTGTGTGCGCCCAACCCTGGTGTAAAACGAGAGCAACCTATTGTGGAAGTTCTATGATTTGATTAATTGAAAGTGACCTAATACTTTCTTTAACTGATTTACTTACCCCGCCGCCAACACACACACATTTGTGAGATGTAATGAAACCCTTGATAATGGAAAACACACAATCATGGTGTGTGACTGTCTTCCTCCTTTGTTTCCCAATTCAGGTAATTGGACATAGTAACTTTGGCTCTATCAGGGCTACTACCTGTGTGTATAAAGGTAAGGACTAGAAAAAATATGCACTAACCCATGGTACTGGTCCAAGTGGCATAATGTGTGCTGCTAGTGAACAGCAACTTGAGATGAGAATTTATTAACAATGAGATTTAAACAAATTCCTGACTTTAATTTTGGGGCCACATTCGTTTCAGGTTTTTGCAGAAAATGTCAGACACTAGACATGCCACCCAGACAGCTTTTTGTTGTAGGGTAGTGTGATACTAAACAAATCAATCAGGGGTTTTGGAAAAATGAATTCATCCTTTTGAACTCTTCTGGCTGCCAAACCTTCGGACTATTCTAGTTTTATATGTTAATAGCATTTAACAGAGAATTTTTCATTTGACACATTTGCTGCTATATTTTCTTTTAGGAAAATGGATCTATGAGGTGCTGATTTCATCCCAAGGCCTTATGCAAATTGGTTGGTGCACTCTCAATTGCCGATTCAATCAAGAGGTAATGCAAGAGCATATTTATTTATTTATTTATTTATTTTCTTACTTATTGTATTTACATTTAGACATCACTCTTTACCTGAAGTTCCAAGGCTGGAAATCCCAGAAATTACCTGTGGCCCCTTGTTAGACTACTATTCCCATCATCCCATGTTAGCTAGGTCTGATGGGAACTGAAATCTTGACAATATCTGTATAATCTGGTTCTTTGGAATAGGGAACCTGTAATTCCTTTTCATAACTCGTGTTCTACTTAAGTTGGATATAGTAGTGGACCTAATTACTAGTGTATATACTTACCAGAAATGGCAATGGATGCTTGGTATATTACAAGGTGTGACTGGAAAGTAGGGTGAATCACTCCTGTATGCGATAATAGGAACTGCCGGATTCACAGAGACACGTGGGAGACGTTGGTCCGTATCTCAGCTAACATATGCGCACATGTCTCGGCATTTGTTGACAGGCCTACATTGATGCGGTAGCGTTTAGTAGCAGTGCAATGTGATTGAAAATGGAGCAGAGAGTCAATATGAAATTCTGTTTCAAATTCGGTAAATTGGCATCAGAAACCCACAAAATGCCCACAATTGTGTACAGAGATGAAGCTGTAACTCGAAAGACAGTGTATGAGTGGTTTAAGCATTTCCATGAAGGGCGGCAAACTATCGAAGAAGACCCGCAATCTGGCAGACCGTCGATGAGCAAAGCGGCGGCAAATGTTGACAGTTCATGAGTTATTGATGTGGGATCGGCGTTTCTCCATCCGAATGATGGCGGAAGAATTGCATATTCCACATGAAATCATTACTGAGGTTACTGAGCTGTCCTACCTTCTATATTCTCCTAATCTGACCCCACCGGATTTCTTTCTTTTTCCAAAACTGAAATCTGCACTGAAAGGGCACAGATTTTTCAACATTTCACACATCCAAGCTGCTGTGACAAGGGAACTAAAAGCAGTATGAAAAGAGGACTTCTCCAGAAGTTTCCAACAGTTCTACGAATGTTGTCAACAGTGCATTGTATCAGAGGGGGCCTACTTTGAAGGCCTGTATGTTTGAATATTCTCGCTGTCTGGTTTCCATGACCATTCACCGAACTGTCCGGTCACACCTTGTATGTTACCCATATGACTGTTTCTCTCAGGTCTGCCTACAAGTTTCTCAGTCCTTTTTGGTATGTCAGTGACAGTGGTTGAAGAAGGCATATTATTGGAATGCAAAATCTTAATTGTGATCTTTGGTAAAGGTTTGCTTTTGGTTTTCATGTTGCATAGGAAGGAGTTGGAGACACTCCAGATTCATATGCTTACGATGGGAATCGAGTGCGCAAATGGAATGTAACCACAACCAACTATGGTAAAGTGAGTGTCTGCCCCTAATTGTTTTCTTGCTGTACTAAGCATGTAGTCTGTGTATCTCTGTGAACCACTTCACTTGTTTGAAGAACTAGGAACACAGAAATCTGCCTTACACTGAATCAGATTATTAGTTTATCTGTTTTAGTAATCTCAACACTGACTGTCAATAGCTCTCCAGGTTTTCATAGTCTCCAGTAGAACTGGAGACTCTTATTGGGTGGTGTAGTCAGAATTTATTTGTTATTAAACTTCATGTTTTGTATTTAATTTTATTGTGAAAAACCAATTTCTCTTCCTTTGTGCATATTGGCCCACCAGCAGATCGAGTTTGGCCTGTGAGACCATTTTCTCCAATCATGTCCACCTGTCAATCAGTGACATCAGTGCAGGTTATTGCATTGTTGTGGGTACCTGTTCCTAGCAGGTTTAAACCCCTCACACAGCAGCTGATGAGCAATGGTTAAACCCTGCTCAGTTTGGCTGTGTGCGTCTGTCCCTCCTAGGAACAGGTCACACAGCCAAAGGAAGCATCAGGGGAAAACTGGATTTGCTTGCCTTTGAGGTGGTATTCAATGTCTAGTTCTGTTATGCCCTTTAATGTCAGTGGTTCTGCTCTAACTTAAGTTCATGCATTTCATTGAAAGTACTTTGAGTAAGACTTAGTTGAATAGCACCCCCTTTTTTTTATCCATAACCGGGAAGAAGACTGTTTTATGCAGACATTGGCTCTGATAGAGATTTCTCTCTCGTTCAGTGATGCCTGTATGATGCAGGCTTCTTTCTTCCCTGCCTCCAGTGGGGAGAGAGAGGAGAAAGCAGCACTTTGGTAGCCTTGTGCTTGGACCTTTCCAAAGTGCCAAGCACAGTGCTGGCACCATGTCTTGTGCTGTGAGTCCCCAAGCCTGCAGACTGTTTTGAGACATAGGTTGGACAACCCTCCTGTCAATCATGTGATGTCACATGATACCATATGATTTGGGAGGTGGTTTGTCCCACTCACCTACCTGTCAAAGTTGGCTCATGGGAATCTGGCCTGCGGTACCAAAAAGATCCCATCCGTGATATAGAAAATGGCCATCCTACTGAGTGTGTGCTTGCAAACACATGGCACATCTCATATCCCTTGCCTGCTGTAATATAGAACTAGAATTCTGCATGCTGCAATATGCAACAGAAGGGGATAGAAAGTTAAAACAATGAATCAGTATGGCAGCAGAACTCTTGACCTGTACAGTTTTTCTTGACTGAATTGGAAGCAATCTCTATATGTTTTAACAGTATCCTAGCAACATTGGTTACATACCCCAAGTCCCATCTAATTATCTTTTCTTTTTTCTGCAGTCTTGGGCAGCAGGAGATATTGTCAGCTGCTTGATAGACCTGGATGAGGGAAGCATTTCTTTCTGCCTGTAAGCACCTTTATAGAACTATGCTAGATGTTGCTAGTCTGCTATATTCTGTCCTCTCAGCTTCTAAGTATATTCATTGAGAGTTTAAACCAAGCTCCACTAAAGGGTAAATAGTTACTTCATTCTCAGTAATCCTCTACTAAAAATGCCTTCAACAAGGTCCTTTGCCTTACAGCATCTAAATTGTTTCATAAAGTTGGAGTGCATCACTTCTGAACAGGAGTTTAGATGCTGATAGGGAATGTTTCCTGGTACAATGTTATTATGGGTGCAAGAAAGATGAATAGAGAAATAAAACTAGATCTACACAAGCAGTAATCAACATGAGTGGTTGTTTTTAACATGACTGTGTGGAGCTGTACAACACAGAAAGCTCTATAGAGCACTTTGAGTCACTGCGTGGAATTCTTAAGCTGAACAGGACCTTGAACAGAGCTCCAGCAATAACAATTCATATTTTTCTAAGTGTCTCTGCAAGAAGTTATTTCCTAAGATCCTCAGGCAAAGCAATGGGAGAATTTTGCACTTGGGATTCAGAATCTGCTTTTATTTTTATTGACTTGTCATAATACAGAAGACAAGCCGCTAAGCTGTGACTGTTTCTTCCTTTGTGTAATGTCAGATAAATAAGTCTTTTGTGTATAGAATTCTTGGCAAGGTGTGTTAAAACTTTAGGGATTTGTCTCCTTCCCCTCTTTATTTTCTTTTTCAGGAATGGTGTGTCTTTGGGGACTGCTTTTGATAACATCTCACGAGGCTCTGGCATGGCCTATTTCCCTGCTATCAGCCTGTCATTCAAGGAATCCGTTGCTTTTAACTTTGGTAGCCGGCCTCTCCGATATCCTTTGACAATAGTTTTAGCCAAACCGTAGAAATATTTTTCCCGAGCAATGTTGGCATCTGAAAAGTATCATTCTCTTCTCAGGCCACAACTATGCTAAACCTTTCCAGCCATCCACTAGTTCTCAGTAACATAATAATAGTTAGGAGAAGTGCTATATAAATACTATATGCTCGACACACTTTTTCTCAGTAAGCCTAACAATGCCCCCATAAGGCAGATTCCTACTGTTCTACTATTATTTTTTATCCTTATTACAATCTGAGAGTGGCTTTGTCTAAGGCCAGTTTGTAGTTATGCTAAGATTTGGACAGGGGGCCTCTAGCTCTGTAGCTGAAGCTCTTCTTGCCAGCATGAATAAAAGTTTGAATCTCATTCTTGTCAATATGTCAGAAATGTTATACTCTCAGGAGGCAGTTTGGATCTCCAGCAGCAGATACTACCTTCTTGAATGATCATCAAGGTGATTATTGGTCAGTGTGAATAAGAAAGACGTCCTGAATGAGAAAGCAGCAATCACCCTTGAATTCCTTTACAATACATGCTGTGCTTGGTACAGATTGCTTTGCAAGGGTGGGACAAGACCTGGAGGCATATGAAATACCAATAAATGTGGCAAGCATTCTAGAAGCTTGGTGTGGTGGATGAAAGCAAGGATTGGCAGCAGAGGAAAGCCTGGGGACTTAGGATCATTCCTTGAAGGAGGGGTAGATTGCCTTCTGTGGTTTTTTCCCCTTAATAATTTCATACATATCCAGTGGAGGGATATCGGCCCTTACAGGACAAACCAGCTGCAGATCTTGCAAAAGCGCAGAAACTGTTGGGGTACCTGAAAAATGTTATTCATACTGGAATAGATGTTACGGTGAGATAATCTTTTCAATGTTATGTTTATTCAGACTTGCCTTGCCAAAAACTGTTTGCACATTGGATTGATTAGGTATAGGGCATTTAATTTCATTTTTCAAATTTTGTCGAGGGCCTTTATTACGTGCTGTTTAGCCAAAGCTCTTCAACTGACTTACAAAGAATAAAAAAAAAAATATATACCAAAAACAAAGCAGTGATAAAATTTGAGCACGATGTAAATCTTAGTCAGTGCTGGGCAGATAATAAGGTTTCCCCTGGTACTAAAAGAAAAAGGAAGAAGATGGTGCCAGGTGAAACCCCCACGGGGTGCTGCAGGAAGAATGTAGTTGGTCAAGGGAGCCGTGGACTCAAAAAGGTTGAAAACCTCTGGCCTAACTGATGCCAAATCTTGCAATCTTCAAATCCAAGGTGTATCTCAGAATCCCAGTGGCTTCCTCAAGCTTAAGCAACACTCTTGTAGAATTAGGATCTGTTAAAAATGTGTAACCCTGAGTTATCTATTTCAGGAAGGGAAGCTGGTGGAAAAAGAGGCTTCCACGTGGCAACTCCAGGGGGAACCGACTGTTTTAATCACCCTAGCACACATTTTTAACAGTTTTGCTCCCCTTATGGTAAGTTTCCTCCAGTTTTACTTCATGTATTTCAGGATCCTCCACCACTGTTTACAAAGTTACAGATGAGAGTGAACTTCTCCTCCTCACCAGTGAATTCAATTTTTAACAACAAATTCTCTGACTTAATAGAGGGTCACACCATTGGAATGTTTAGATCAGTTATTTACATCAGGAGTGGACAACCAGTGGTCCATGATGCCATCCCATTTCCTGAACCCCATCCTTCTGCAAGTTTTAGGCTTGAAAAAAGTCTCCTGTTGATGGCAATAGGAGACAAAAGTCTAATTGTGGTGTTGGGGGGCATTTTCAGAATAATCCCCATGCATTGGAACCCCCACCAAAAATACACACCCCATCCTGAAATTAAGTTTGAAAGCAGTCTTCCATTGGCACAAATAGGCTCTTTTTAAGCCTAATTGCTGTGGGGGAGAGTGCAGCCAGGGAAAGAGGAGTTAACCATCCTCTCTCAAGCGGCCATCTCCGCAAAGATCACTAGCATCCCTATCTAGCAATTAGGTTTCAAAAAAGCTTTGGTCAGGCCGGATTGCTGGGGGATAAATAGTTTTCTGATGGGAAAGTATAGACACATGTGTATTTATGTAGGGGAGCATATAATAGATAGAGTTGAGCAGCTGCATCCACTTGGACCACACCCATTCTTGCTTTGGCTGTGCTCACTGCTGGTATGTAGCCCACAAAGCATTGGCCAAGATGGAATGTGACCCTCGGGATGTAAAAGGCTCCCCACTGACGGGCAGCATTGCTCAGCCGTTAAAGTCAGAAATCTGTGCCATCTCTACCTAGAGACACCAGGGATTGAATGTGGCATCTTTTGCATGCAAAGCATGTGCACTGCCACCGAGCACCAGCATTTCCAACTCCAGTGCTCACATACAGTGAGTGCTGCAGTCTGTCATGTGCATCTGTGCACTTCACTCCTTTTGAGTAGATTAACCAGCAAGCAAAGGATCCCAGCCAGATGGGTGCGGTATAAATAATAAACAACTACTACTACTACTACTTCATTTATTATTTATTATTATATTATCATTATCATTATCATTATCATTATCGTCATTATCATTATCATTATCATTATCATTAACATCTTTTGCCAGTTTGCTGCTGGGCAGAGTTCAAGGTTCTGTCAATTCACAAAACACTAAATAATTTGGGCCCAAAATACCTTATGGACTATCTGATCCCTTACACTCCACCTTGGCCACTGAGATCCTCTGGTGGGGCACTTATTGTGGTTCCCCACAACCACGAGGTTCAGCCAGCCTTTACTATGAACTGAGCCTCTAGTGTGGAAGGCTGTGCCCTGTGGAACTCCCTGCCATTTGAGCTTCAGCAGACATCATTCCTACCTTCTTTTAGAAGTCTAAAAATGGTGTCATTCAGACAGAGCTTTGCACTGTGAGTTTCTTTTTACCAACCATTATTTATTGATGTTTTTATTGCTCTGACTGTAATTTTGTACGCTGTGTACTACCTTACTGTATTTTTAAAAAATGGAAACGTAGTTTATAAATAATAAAGAAATAGCAACATTATGAGTGGGGGGGGAGTGGCTCTTGGAAACCAATCAGAAGGTGGATCCTGAGTAAAGGGACATTGTTGGGATGTGGGACAACCTGTCCTTGGAGTTCTCAATGTAGTCTAGGGAAATGGCTGCTGTGAGCCCCCTCAGAGCTGCAGCAGCACAGAGTATTCACTGTTCTTGACTCTGCTGCAGCATCATGATAAAGCTATTCTGTTAAGTCTTCTGCTTTAATAAATTCTTTTCTGCAGTGCAAAGTGTACTTGGTGGAAGATGTGCTCATGAACTTCCTACTCAGCATCCTGGAAGGAGGAGGGTCTGTGGAAGCGCACCCTCTTATACAGCAGTTGTTGGATCTCATGTGGCTTCTCATGGAGGTGAGCTACTGGAGTGCTTTTACTCTCAAGGAAAGAGACCCTTCTTCCTTTCTCCAGAGGAACTCACTGACCCAGTATCTTCTTTCCTATTGAGTAAGAAAGTGTTTCTTTCCTCCCTCAGGATTATGAAGTACATGAATGCCTCAAGCAGCTGCTGATGTCCCTGCTCAGGGCATACCGCTTCTCTCCCATTGTTCCTGATCTAGGCTTACAGGTGAGTATTATTCTGTTAAACACCTGTCGAAACCCTTAAGAACAAAGTTCATGCAGTGAGAGGGGAGCAGCTTTGGCTGACTGGTTACAGCTTTGCAAATGTTGTAAAGACATTTTAAATATGCTGTTTTAAGAGCTCTTCCTCATGTATCACTGCAGCTTATCTTGATTTCCCTTTTTTCTTCTTCTCTATCCAGATTCACTACCTCCGTCTCACTATTGCTATCCTGAAGCATGAGAAATCCAGGAAGTACCTGCTTCACAATGTCCTGTATCCTTTTTTATTTTTAAAAAAACACAATATTTTTCACATACATCCAAATCTCCTGATGGTACAAACTTGCTTAGACAGACAAAAAGATTCATGTGTAGGCCCTACAGAAACATCACCCTGTAACAGGACGTGGTTTCTTTTTTTCCTGCGGCTGCACACACCTGCAGCTAAATTTAAGAGGCCCTAGTCGCTTCTATATCTTAGTGTTGCTATTTCCTTACTACCAGATGCAGCTCAGGTGCGCCTCTGCACAAATTGGAGAGGAAGGGTTTGACCAAGGCAAAATGGCTGCATCTTCACTGTGAGGTCCTTGAGATCACACTTTACTGTATCACCCATTCTTTGCATACATTCAGATTCAGTTTCTTTCACTTTCAGGGGAAAATATAACTGTGATAACATGGCCTGTATTCTGTGCCATGAGACCAGAGAGAGGCAGCCAGACTAGCCAAAATAACCCCTGCTTCTTGTTAACTTCACCACTGCCACCACCTTTTTTTGCCTACTCTGTATTGCCTGCTCTGACTAGCAGTGGCTGCCAGGCAGAGAGGGTCTTTTCCATCACCTGCTGCCTGATATTTTAACTGGCAATGCCAGGGATTGAACCCGAGTCCTTCTGCAGGCAAGTGCATGTTGTGCCATGGAGCTGGGGTCTCTCCCTTAATATTCAAATCTGATCCCAGTGTTCCCCGAAAGTAGACTGGCTGCATTCATGGAACAGCCAGCATGCCCAGAGGATTATTTTTCACTTATTCTCTCTTCCAACACTATACATCTACCTGGCCTACCCTGCTAGATAAATGCCCTGTTCATTGACAGTAGTTAAATAACATCTATGTATGAGCTGATCATTATTCCTTTGCTTCCCTTCCCCATGTGCCTTTTGTAATTATCCCAATTATTTGGAAGGATGTGGCTTCTGTCTCAGTAGCATCACTCAAGACCGACCATAATAGCACAAATTCTATAACAGCTTTGAGAACATACACAAGGTGGTCTCAGCAGCAGATTGCTAACATGGGGAAAGTGGGGTGGATAGCTGCTTCAATGTCCCCATGCATTGGAAGCTGATGAAAATAAGCAAAAAGTTGCAGAAGTTCCTTTCACAGTTTTTCACCTCTTCTTTCGTTCCCCCCAAATACCCTCCTTGCTGCACGATACAGTCATTACAGCTTCCAAGTACCCTATGGAGTTGACTTGTTTTCAGGAAATCTAATATTTTTTCACATGGTCCTGTGTGTGGAGTTATTCTTAACTTATTGCAGGGATGCTGCTTGTGACATAGATCCCACAGGTGCATCTATATGAACTACCACACAACTCCCTTAACTCTCTGCAGATTTGATGTGCTCCGCTCAGTTGTGTTTTTTTACATCAAGAGTCCTTTGCGTGTGGAGGAGGCTGGTTTACAGGAGCTCATTCCCACCACTTGGTGGCCAAACCGCTTCAACAAAGAGGTGAGGAATATGGCACCCACTGCTGGTAGATTTAAGGGCTGTCCTAGCTTAACTGCAGAGATGTTGGCTTTATCTAGGTGTTTTTCTGCACATAATAGGTTATGCAAATAACCATTTGTTTAGCACCTTTATACAGCTGCATTCTGTGTTTGCATTCATGAGCATTTGCAGCCCTTCCTGTCCATCCTTTTTGGCTTCTGCTAACAACTCTGTTAACCTCGTATCTTTTAAACACAGGGCAAAGAAAGTAAAGAGATAAAAGATGAGACTGCTGAGGAGAGACTGAGGAGGCGAGCGTATGAAAGAGGATGCCAGCGGCTCAAGAAACGCATTGAAGGTCTGAGGATGGGATAGTGGCGTTCAAAATCTCATGGGCAATTTAGAATATGGCATGAAGCCATATTGATCAGTGCAGAGAATGGAGAAATAATTGCATGCCACGATTAATTAATTTATCGCATTTGTATACTGCCTTTTGTGCCAAGACACCCACATTTGAAATATTTGAATAAACAAATGCTGGAAAATATTAGCTGGGCAGTGCTGTGTTACAGGTGCCATTGGCACCCCTGCTTGCAAATGCAATACTAGTAACTTCATTTAGAAACAGCACTAAGTTTTCCACTGATAATGTTTTTACCTCCTGTCATGCCAAAGACTGTCCAGAGCCACTTGGGGACTGTAGCTCAACAAACTGATGTGTATAATAATTTGGGAAAGTCAGTTTCTTCTTGGGAGTTTCTCTGCAAGGCTTGAATATGGCCGCTGTCAGTTTCTCTGTAGCAATGTGGTGGTGGCTGCTGCCCGACGCAGTGTATATCATTACTGTTCTGTTTATTCTTAGTGGTGGAGGAACTCCAAGTGCAGATACTGAAGTTGCTGTTGAACAATAAAGACCATGGTGGGGTAAGTATGATTGCATCTGCAGAGTATTTAAGTCACACTAGAGAGCAGCTTGCTTTTTGAGGTTGTCATGTATCCTCAAAGGGCCTTGCCTGCATCTCACCATAAAACAAGATTTAGTCACCTGAAAACTGAGGCCCCATATATCTGGAAGACTGTCTCCTTCCGTACAAACCTCTTTTGTTTGTTAAGATTGGCACTTGGAAGTTCAGGAGGTGGAAACCCGGGAGAGGGCATTCTCCGTGGCAGCCCCTGAGCCGTGGAATTTCTTCCCTGCAGAGATGTGTCTGACACTCTTTATTATATAACTTTTGTCATATGTTGAAGACTCAACACTTTACCCTGGCATCTAGCACCTAAATTATATATTCTGTTGTACCCACTGTCTTCTTCTGATTGTAAATTGTCTTGCCTTTTACATTGTTATAATGCAATATAAATCAGTCCTGGTACCTTCTGGTGATGGGTGGGAAAGAAGTATAATAAATAATCATTGTAATAGTAACAAATGAATACCACATTCATTTCTCATAGCCTGGTATTAAATGTGGTGAGGAGGCTCAAACTATTGTACACTAGAAGCTGTTTGCTCAGATTAAGCTATTAGCAGCTTATCTTCTCTACTGGGTACAATGCTAAACCTGACAACATTGTTTATTGGATACAGGGCACACAGGCTAATGACTTCTGCCCAGTACCCTGGCATCTCATGAGTCTGTGTGAAATGATAATGCTGAGAATATGAGTGGAATTTCTAAGAGCTAATGCGGTTAGGTGGGACTCCTAATAAAAGCCTAGATAAATCATTTAAGAACATCTCCTTTGCACTGGCGACCAAATGATGGCAGTGTGGAACTGTACATATCCTGAATGGACTTCTTGATTAGGGAACTGGAGTTCTGTACAGCAGCCAAAAGAGCTAGTAATGGAGGCGAGCAGGGCATTCATACAAGGTGACTTCTCTGAGGATAGGCAGCCAAAGAACACTGCTATGTAACTTGACTTAGGATAGGTTTCATGCATGTGTGTGCAGTATATCACACACTCCTCATCACTAAATGACTCACAACTGATCATGTGAGCTGCCTCCATTGAAGAGCAATTTTCTTTGAAGTAATGACGGGTGACTTATTTATTTAGGATATTTGTAAATCGCCAGACTTCTAGAGGAGCTGGGGGTTGTATACAACAAGAAGCACAAAACAACACACATCAACCATCCCAAAAAACCCCACAAAGCATCTAGAATATAAAGAATTTAATAACAAAATCAGTTTGAAACCCATACTGTTACTGCTTAAGAATTCAGCCTCTCAGTTTTAAACAGTAAATACTTGGGTAAATAAAAATGTCTTCCGTTGATGTTTCAAGACCAATCATGTGAGGTGGATCTCTTTAACTCAAAAACACAAGTGCAACAGTGCTCCTGTTGATGTCACCCCAAAGCAGGCTGCATTATGAAGTGTGTATCCTACTGAAAAGGTTTGTGTGTGGTTCTTGGTCTGTGATGGCCATCACTTGATGTTGCAGCTCTTGAGAATTCTTTTTAAAAAATCGATTTATATAATGCCTATGTGGCCCAGTAGAATGCACAGGGCAGCTCATAATGAAACAAGCAGTAATAAGTAATAACAAAACCAGATATGCAATTCAGACTGAACTCCAATTTATTTTAAAACAGCCATTTGAAACAAGACAGCAGTAGACAGCATTTCCCTCAGCTTAGTGCAAGTCTAGCAAGTTATGAGAATACATGTATACACTTGTCTTTAAGGACTTACCTGTAAAGGCAAATTTCACATCAGATGAGCAAGTGATCATAATTCAGGCAAACCCAAGAAATACTGTAATTTTAGGTTGTTCTTTCACCTTGATGGAACTCAACTGACTTTAAACACTGGTTGTTTCAGGGAGGAGCTTCCAGATACATCTTTCTAAATAAGTTCCGCAAGTTTCTTCAGGAAAATGCCAGCAACCGAGGGGTAAGCTGAGAACAGTATCTTCATTCCACTTTGACTTCTGTCACACTTTCTGTTGGAGGGTCTGAAGAAGGGCACAATCTTATATCTGTCAGAAGCCATAGCTGCAGACATGTTTGCAGCTTGGACACTACAGGTGCCTTGTTGAGTGTGTAATGACTTCTTAAATTTTGGGCTGATGGACTCCATGCTACGGTTTGTCCTGTGCAGAAATTGGGAAATTTCCACACATCAATGGCTTACCAAGGTGTCGAGTTCATAGTGAATGATTTCTTTATCAAGGCCCCTCAACTCATGTAATACGAACACACGGTCACTCCTTACATTGTATTCAGTTTGGTTTTGTTATCTGACAATGTCAGTTCTCTTCACTCTGACAGACAATGCTCTTCAGATCTGCAAAGCCAGGCTTCAGTTCTGACACTCTGCCCCCCCCCCCTTATATCCCTATACCTCTGTTCCCCATTGACTGCCTTCCTAGGATATTGGTGGCAGAACAATTATGCTAGGAATCTCATCTTTTTAAACAGAATGTAAAGAAATAGCTTAAGATACCTGGAAGGGAAGAGCAGTCAAGTTATAACTTCATAAAAGAAATGGTATCTGTGGGGAATTAGCACACACTTTGTATTGATGGCACATTCTTGAGCAGAAGTATTGGTTTTAAAAGTGGGTCTTGAAGCCTAAATGCAAATCATGGTGAAATCACAGAAGCTGAAGGAAAGTGGGATAATGCAGCTGTCAGAGTTTTCAATAGTCAGAGGACAGGGTTTTGTCACCCTATAGAACTTGATGCCCCTGTCCATTACTACAATGAATTATTATTTCTATGCAATTAATTAAAACCTTGCATAACTTACTGAAGGTTCCTGAATTCAATTTTTCTTAGTATGTCATTTTGAGTCTTGCTTAGCAGAGCACACTCAGCCATGCCTTAAAGGTCTCTCAGTAAATCTAAGTGAAGGTGTCACCTCTCTGACATGGACTTTTAGTTCTTTCCTGACTGGGAGTGTTCTGTTGTTTCAGTGCCAGTCTTTTCTGGCAGTGAGGGAAATGTGCTTACTGGCGCTTGCTAACATGCCTTGGGGCCACCAGGTTGCCTCATCATCTCTTTTCTTGATGTACTACTATGCTTTGAAGGGAAGATACGTGCTTGCTCTTTCTTGTTGGGAAACAGGTGAGAATCAGTGATGGATATTGACTCTGTCAGTTACTGGAAATGTTCTGTGCTGCCTGGGGAATGCTATAGGCAAGGGTGTGCATCACACACATCTGAGGGGATGGAGAAGCTCAGTTCAGCATGGCTCCTCAACTGTTCTGTTAACAGTAGAGCCTTGTCGTTTTTTGTCCTTAGAATCTGACTGTGCTGTGTCCTCCAGAGTATATGGTGTGCTTCTTGCATCGACTCATCTCGGCCTTGAAACATTACTGGGATGAGTACAACATGAAGAACCCTTTAGCAATGAGCAGTGAAGGTAATTTCCAAAGATGCACAAATGGGAATATTGGTTTTTGTATGTGATTGCATTCTGAAGAAGGCTGTATCATCCAGGAATTTCTGGAGTTGTGTGTAACCAAATTCTATCTCTTCAACCAAAAATGCAAAATTAGAGACATTCAAGACAACGTTTCTTACATTTTGCATCCCACAGTGAAACAATGCCCATCCAAAAGTGGACCTAGTCCTCGCTGTTGTGCAGACATGTAGCAGAGAAGAAAGTAATCTTCATCAGAATGCTTGCCTTGCCATAGCCCCTCAAAGGGGGCTATGTGTGAATGCATTTTAGCTTTCTTTGTTCAGTACCAATTTTCAGTGCTCTGTTGACTTCTCTTCCCCCTTATACCAGAGGGAGAGTTGGCTAGGGCAGGTGGATGTCTTGTAACTGTGGCCCTGATTATTTGCACTCATTGAAGATTAGCTTTCTTTGGCCTTCTCCGTAAATGCATATAAAACATCTTTCCCCACAGATGCATATGTCCCCCCTCAGCTCTTCTATAATGGGAAGGTGGATTACTTTGACCTCCAGCGACTTGGGGGACTCTTGTCTCATCTCAAGAAGACCCTCAAAGGCAAGTGCTTGTTTTGTTGTGTTCCATTAATTCATGTGGAAGCATATGATGTGGAAAATCTGTTGCAGGAGCAAATTATTGAGGGAAGTAAAAGATGGGGCAGGAGTGTCACAGAATTAGCTTCATTTCTTTGTGGAGCTACGTATCTGTGTGTGAAAGCTTTGGTTCTGCCTGGTACTTGGACTCAGAAGCCTGCTGGTTTCTAGGTCCCCTAAGTGATCCCAGCAAGGTGAAAAAGGTCCTTTTCTATTTTCACTTTGTTAAATACTGTACTAGGGATACTGGAAACTCAGAATGTCATTTATTTGCTCAAACAGGCAGATGCTAACTTGGCATCTTCTTCAAAGGCTTAGTTGTCTTCACTTGTGACCTTCCTTTAAAACTATGTATTTTAACTTGATTATCAAATAGCAGCCATGACGTAAGTGTGGTAATTTTTTTGACTTGTTAATTTACATGCAAATCTATTCTAGCTAATTTAAATAGCTCAGTCCTCTTCAAGGATATGTGTATGGCCTCTGAAGCTAAAAACAAGAACTGCTCTCCTGGGACTTGAAGATAAAGTGGCAGCTGATGCCTCTTGGCCTGTGAGATTCCAATTAGGACTTGCTTTTTCCTCTTTCAGGTGCTCTTCAGATCAGCAGAGCCAGGCTTTAGGGCACTGGGGCTGCTTGGCCATCTGCTTGGTAGAGATAAGAGAATATGAAATACAAGCTCCAAATTACATTTTGAAGATTGTGTGTGACCCTTTTATGAATCTTGTTTTTGTTCACCCTGGGGGAGACCCAAGATTTCCCTACCCAATTTTTTGGCTCTTATTGGACTGACTTGTCCATTCCACCTAGGGTCTGGATGCTCCTTTCTCTGCCTTGGGAGCAGCCTCCAAGGCAAAACGTACACAAAAGGAAATAGCTATTAGAATCAGTAACACAATCTGGAAAAAGTACAGTTTGCATACGGGAGCATTTTATTTTAGTCATTTAAAAAAAATACCACCCTTCAGTTGTCTGTTTATAGGTAAAACAATAAAGCATAACAATTGTGTGTGTGTGTGTGTGTGTGTGTAGGTGTAGGTGTTAGAAAGCATATTTGTTATTTGGTACTGCTCATATTGATCTAGAGCAGACTTCATCGTAAAGTTAGCAGAATAAAAACTTAAACACATTGCAGGATTCCCAAAAAATAGACCAGAGGCAATTAATTCTTCATCCAGCAGAGCTTTACTACTGAAGGTAAATGAGCATAATAGTCACAAATCCATATGTCTTCAAGGTTGGCACGATCCATAAGAAATCCAGTTGCAGCAGACTAAACTTAAACTTACAATAACTTACAATAAGACTGAAACCTTAGCACTAAGCATGTTATATACAAACCACCACACCAGAAGAAAAGAGAAACTCTGGCTCCTTCTGGCCTGTTCTTCTAGTCAGCATGACAGAAAAAGAGAACAGAACCAGTTTGAAACGGCTGCTCAGCTTCTTTGAAGGAATAACCAAAACATCAGGAATCTTCTGCTTGTTTCTAGACAGAATAGTATCTTGCTTGTCACTTACAAACTTCCAGCTTGCACCAGCTTGTATCACACAGAGAAGCTTCCAGAAGCTTCTTGAATTGATTAGAATAGAAAAGGTCTCTACACATTAGATCAATACTTTCTGTACCCAAAAATGCATACCCAACCATGTTTGATTTTTCACAGCATGTTCTAAGTCTATATAGAATGACTACTGGCAATGGGCCATCCCACGCCACTTAATACCTTTTTTAAAAAGTGCATAACAGATGCTTTAGCATTTTCTTTCCCAGCTATTTCTCCACTAAAATTTGGCCTCTCCAGGTGCTTTTCTTCCTGAGAAATAAAAAAAACACACAGGTTCTAGTATATTTTATCTTTGGGGGAGTTTTTGAGTGGACAAATGGCTGGGCAGAGCGTTGATCCTCTTCTATGCCTTTGCCACCAGATCTGATAATTTACAGTGTGGTCCTATGTATGTATACTCAGAGGTACATCCCACTGAATTCAGCAGGTCCCACTGTGCGTAGGATTGCAGCCTTAGTGAAGACACAGTAGCAATATTGACACTTCTGATGTGTTACACTTTGAGCTTCTGGTAGCTGTACTGCTGCTTTGAGTCCCGCCAGGAAAATGGGGTATAATAATAATAATAATAAGGCATGTGGTAAATGGAATGTGCATAGGTAATTATACCTAGCAGTGAATGTATTTGGTATTTTATTCATACAGATGAGCTTGCTTCAAAGGCAAATATTCTGATTGACCCTGCAGAACTTCAGGCGGTGACAATGGATGATCTCGATGAAGATGAAGAGTCAGCAGTGTCAACAGCACAAGTGAGCCTAACAATGCCATGTGCAATGAGTTTTAACTTAGGCAGCTGTCAATGGAGTCTAGAAGGAAGGAAGGAGGAGCACTGAACCTCCTGGAAGCAGAAATTTGTTTTGAATGAATGGGAGAAGCAAGTAAAGAGAGACTTTTATGCGTTGTACCTAAGAAATTCGCCTTTCTAAGTTTTGTGTTGAACGTATTGGTTGTTCAGCAGTCTAATGGTGCCATAGCAAAGTGTACATCGGAATCCAGCCCAAAATCCTGACTCTGAGAGGCTATAATCAGACATATTTAGGTCAGGGGACAGTTCTGAAAACAAAGTTACCTGAGGTGGGAGGCTAGCAGGGAGAGGGACTTCTCAGTGTTTGGACCCCAGTAATGGAATGCTCTCTTCAAAGCAGTTGGCCTGGCACCTGCTTTGTTGTCCTTCAGTGCCAAGCAAATACCTTTTTATTTTCTCAGGTCTTTTATATTAATTTTAACCCTGCTGGTTCTACTGCAGGCCCAGAATTTTGCAGGCTAACGGAGAGTTCTCTGTTTAGCAAGATCTGATGGTCACTTAAAGCTCCAACAGCTCTGCATTTCTCATTAGTCAGCAGCATTACACTCTTAACCTGAGAATGCCAAGAATGCTGATTGAGCGCTAGTTGCTGTTGGTCCTAACACAGACGTCTGAGTCAGGATCTGGGCTTGCCAAAGATTGTAGTGATGACTCTGCAGTTTGAGTCAGGAAGTTCTAATATCAGAAACAAATATAAGGGAAACTGCAACATGATTTTATATAGAAGGCCCCATGTGTTCATTTGACACAGTTGTCACCTGTTGTTTATGGTTTCCACCAATCTCCTCTTCTCTGCCGCCTGTCCTGAATCTCCTGGCATACACAGAGAACTTGGGGAAATGGCAGGATTTGCAGAAGTAGTGAGTGCCTTCTCCAAAAATCCTGCATGAAGCATGTAAGACTTTGGAAATGAAAGAAGCAGGGTGGAGGCCTTCTTGTTGCTTTCTCCTTCCCCAATGGCTGGTGTGGAGCAAGAGGGGATCACTTAACACAAACTCATATAGAGGGGGAAAGCAATGAAGGGGGATCCCGTCACTTCTTGCCTTTTCTAAAGCATGATGTAAAATGACAGAAAAGGCCTGTCCCAAGACTTCACTTGCCCTTGCTAGCAGAGGGTGGGTCTTATCTCACTTCACATGAGAAACAGTGTCAGCCTCTACTTCCATCTTCTGCTTAATGAAAAAGCCTGCTACGAAGAGAAAGATTCTGCCTTCCAAATTATCTGCAATTTGCAGAAAACTCAGGAAAACAGATATTTATGTTAGGGGGAAGGATGGTTCCCAAAGGTTGGCAGGGGCAGCCACCATAGTGACTTGGTGACTTTATCTGTAGAGCACAGTAAAGTGTGGGAAAAGCTTGGGCAGGGGCTGCTTTTTAAGGCTTCAGGCTTCTTCTATATATACCCCAGGAAAAGTTCAGTGGAAACTCAAGACCAGCTACTACTCTGAGAACTTTGAGAACTGTTGACACAATGTGATGCAAGGCCTGATAAGATGAGGAATTCAAGGATTCAGTTTGTTAAAGAAAGTACTCTGTGCAAAGAAAAAAAAGTTGTTTTGTTTTGCTTGGCTTCAATTGCATTTTTTTGTCTTCACGTAGTGGGCAAACGTTGCCTTGCAGCTTGTCTTGTGTTCCTCTTTAGAAACTGCAGGCTAAAGTTCTATCTCCTTGGGATTCTCAAGGGCAACGTTATAGGTGGTCAGGATTTCCCACTCCTAAAAATATGGAAGGATACCCCATGCTGGGCCCAGGAAATTTGAATGGTTGATACTTGTCTGCTAGTTCACAGGGATGTCAATGTGAGCACAATTTCGCCATCTGTGACTGCACCCTCTGATAAGACCATATTGTAAAGAATATTGTGCCCCTTGAATTTGGAACTATACAGCACAGGATAGCCCAGTATTGCCATTATGTCTGGCCCAGTGCTGATTCTTTCACTCCAGTTGCTGTTTGGACCCTTAAAAGATTGATTCCAGTCATCAGCTGATGCATAATCAAGCTGATGCATTTTGCAGTGTGGATTGTGTAAACTGGGTAGTGTGTCAGTTCAGAACACCCTATTGAAATAACTAATGAGGATACAAATTGTGCTTTCTAGTAAAAGTTTTCCCGTCCTGAATGTCTGCCTGTGCTATGCTTGCCTGTATGAGACCCTGGTTCTTCTTCTAGGTTACAATGAGTGAGAAGGAAATATTTCAGCTACTTGTCCTACAAATGAGCCTAACTAAAACAAAGGAGATATGTGCATGGTTCAAACCAGCTTGATTCTTCCCATTAGAGAAAGAGCTGAACAAATATTACTTCATATCTCTCAATCTCTCTTTTTCTCAGCGTCCAGCTGCGGCACTGGCAATCGGAGGTGCCTTGGCCAGACCAAGCTGGCTTAGTTCACCCACCCTGGGGCGGGCTAACCGTTTTCTCAGCACTGCAGCTGTTAGCCTTATGACTCCAAGGCGGTCACCAGGTGCCTTGGAGAAAGTTAAAGTTCGTACGTTGAACATGGAACAACGGACAGAGGAAGACAGTGAGTAGTGTGTATATATATAATCCTTTCTAATACACAAAAAGAAATAATAATAACAACAAAAGACAGAAGAGATCAAAGCAAGAAGGGGGGGGGAAGAAGGATACAAGGTGAGAGGAGGGAGTGGTAGTATTCCAGAAATAGCATTATAATTCCAGATTCATAAACATATTATCCAATAATGTTTTTCCAAAGAAATCCATGAAAAGAGAGTAGCTGCCAATCATGTTCCTTAATTTTAATGTATTCAGTAAACAGATGTAACACTTTCCTAAATTGACCTTCATTTTCAGATTGTGTAGGGATTGGGTAAATTTTGTTAACATTTTCTGTTTAAACAATGGTCCAGATCTGAAGGTAGCAATATTCTTGCAAGTCTCTTGTAGCTGACTTCCATTGTTCTCAGCCATCCTAAATTCATAACTGGTACCGTAGATAAGAGCTCTCTTGAATCATTTACAGTGCTTGGATCATTACAGCAACTGGACTTCTCAGCATGATCAGGTGTTTACAAAATGATAACAAATGTGGGGTCATAGTGGTTAATGTTTTCTTTGTTATTAGGCATTTTTGTATTTTTATGCTGTGAATCGCTCCGTGATCCTCTAATAATTATTTAATGGTAGGTAAGTAGGTAGGTAGATAGATAATTACACGCTGAAGTTCAGCCTTCTAACTGAGGGAAAGGATTTCTACCAGCATGCTAGCCCATGCCTGGATTTGTTGTAAAGGACTACGATTGTAATTCAAGCTATGTGCTTTCTAAGCAACAGAACTGTGAGGCCAGTGCAAATGATCTGGGAGTAAACAGTGTTAAATAGGTTATATTTAATTATTTTAGTAAACAAAACTGCAGGATGATGAGGCTCAGAAGGATAAATGTAGGTTCAAAGGCAGAGTCCATATGCCTCGAAACAGTACCAGCTGAACTAAGATGTCTGGTGACTTGAGGTAGTTGTTTGTTCAAGTTTTCCTTCAGAACAGAAAGGCTAACAAAACTTTATGGTTAAAAAAGAGAGAATACCAGACCAGCCTTAGTTCCATTTTCTTCACAGTGATGGATGTTTCATTGTTTTTATGACAGTTGAAGGCAGCCATGGAAATGAGGGTCTTTTACTGGGGAGACCTGCCGAAGAGCCAGAACAACCAATCACTGAGAATTCTCTTTTGGAAATCTTGGATGGAATAGTCATGATGTACAACCTCAGCGTGCACCAGCAGCTTGGTAAGGTGAGCAGGATTCATTTCAGGGGAGTTTTCAGTCCTGTCCCATTCGCACAACTGGGATTGGAACTCACACTAAAAAGACACCATGGCCCACTGGGAGAGGGTGGGGCGCTTTTGATTGCAGCCACCATACCAACTCACGATGCTTGCTTGCACTCTGCTTTTGGGTGGAACTACACCCTTTGGTGGCAAACCTGCACTTTCTGAACATGGTCGGCCACCACGCAGCAGTAACACAATAGATGTGCATGTATTTCCTTTTGAGAAGCAGCAGGTGTGAGAAGGGATGCTGATCCCCATTCCCCACACTGGTATCCTGCTTGCAGCCACTTCTTTCCTCCGTCCCAAAGCAGGGATCTGTGATCGGCAGTGAGGCTAGCTGCAAGGGAATAGCCTTGAGGGAGAAGAGCTTCAGCAGGGATAGCGGCTGACAGAACAAGAGTTGCCAATTTTCTGTTGGAAATTGCCCTGCCTCCTGCTGCTTTATTGCCGTTTGACAATCTCCCACCTTCAGAGGTGTGGGTCTGTCTGCTGCCATCTTACGTAGTTCTGCTATAGGCTGTCAGCTGAAAATCTGTCTCCAGGAAAGTGACTGGTGGGAGGGGCTCATTGTGGGGTTGGGCCCTGCAATGTATTGATGCTGCCACAAGTTAAGTGTTTGGAAAATAATCCAGTATGTGCTATAACCTGTACAGAAAAGCTCTAGCTGGTACTACTGACCCTTATTTGTGTTTTAGATGGTAGGTGTTTCCGATGATGTGAATGAGTATGCTATGGCACTGAAAGACACTGAAGAAAAGATTAGCCGATGCCCAAAGAGGGTAAGAATAACACGGGGATAGTTATATTCACTCTCCCTTAAAATAGGCCTATATTGCCTGCAAGCTGTTCTCTTTCTTGAGAATCATTCAGGTGCTGAGCAGCACTCTATTGCTCTCACTGATTTTCTGAAGGCAGACTGAGAAGTAATGATGGCTAATTCTCCATTTAGCTAAAATAGGATGGTTGTTTTGTGTGGTTAATGATTAAAACAACAACAACGCCTTGAGTGTTAAAGTCAACTTCAGAGCCACACACTCCTGCAAGATCATGGCTCCCTTTCCATCAAAACATGGTTTTTATCTTTGTGGAAGGGGAGTCATGAATTTGCATCAATTCTTGTCTCCTGTGTTACACTGTTCATGTGTGAGCAGTTGTTAAATGAAGTTGCTTTCCAAGGTACCACTGGAATAGATTCTCAACTTCTGTGGTGGTGTGTCTAATGTGGAACTGGTGTCAAGACTGCCTCCTGTTAAGAATCCTTGGATGTTGTTAGGTGTAAAATGTTGTGTGCACTGTAGCTAGCCAAAGTGTGCCTGGGGCTCCATGGTATACCCGATCTCTGTGTAAGGATGACCCCCTTGGGAAGCAGACCATGGCAGCTCATGCTTTTCCTCAACATTAAAAGAACATCCTGTGATTGTGGTAAGGCTTTTGTGAAGTACTGGACTTGTTGTGTACATGCTTCTGAAAGCAGGAAAACATATGCACCATTGCTCTTCATCCCCCACCCTCTGTGTCCAATTCAGAGAAGAGACATCCATGATGAACTGGTGAAAAGTCAGAAGGTTTTCTCAGAGAAACTTAATCACCTGAGTCGCCGACTTGCTTGGATCAACGTTACCATTTATTCAAAGGTGAGAAGGAAAGTAGTACATATAATATCAGTGAGGTGCCTCTCCTAAGCTTGGGCCATAAATTACAGTTCTGCCTTGGCCAATGCTGAATGGAGCTGTACCATTTCTTCCCAAGTCTTGTATGTTGTACTTCTGTTAATAAATCCTGGTAAAGTTCATTTTTATTAAAGAAAAATCTTGCGTTTTAGTAGTAAATTCATATTCATTTTTCCTGCTTTTGCACAAAATTGTTGACCTCCTTTTCTTTTATTTCCTCAGTAGTATTTACCCTGATCTGGGCGTGGGGAACCTGTGCCCCCCCCCCAATGTTGCTGAACTACAACTTGCCTCATCCCTGATGGTTAGCCATGCTGCCTGAGGCTGATGGGCATTGGAGTCCAACAACATCTGCTGGACCACAGGTTCCCTGCCCCTGCACTTAGGTATATTATTTCATGCCAATTGAGATACAAACTGACTAGGAATTGCTCCTTTTCAGGAGAAGATGCAAGATATATACTGGCTGCTACGGGTATGCATCCGCACTATTGAGCATGGAGACAGGATTGGTTCGCTCTTTGCTTTTATGCCAGAATTTTATCTGAGTGTGGCTATGAATAGCTACAGTGCTCTCAAGAACTACTTCAGTCCTGTCAACAGCATGGAAGAGCTTCCAGGTGAGGAGGAGAAGGAGGGAACCGGAGAGGGCCTCTGAGCAGGACCATCTGTAATTTTGCGTATAGAATTCAGTGTGTGAGGGAAAAGGGATAAGAACTCTACACAGAATATTGCACGCTGCACAGAATTTGGGTTGAAAAGAACCTTAGCTTAACGTGCCCTCGTGGTCGTAAAGGTGTGTTTTGAAAATGTGCTGGCTGTGTTGTAGGGAAGTATTCAACCAAGCTTTACTCAGAGTAGACTTATTGAAATTATAGACCTAACTTAGTCACGTTCATTAATTCAGTAGCTCTACTGTTGAGTAAAATTTGGGGATACTTTTGAGTGGTACTCAACTTTCTAATCACATTAGGTGCTGTTTAACTTGATCACACAATTGTCCTGCCCGCCACACACACAAAACTACAGTCTGGGTCACTGGGTTTCTCATCTTGATAATGCCTTGTACAAGCTATAACAAGCATTGTTTGCCCCTGCATCCTGAAGTTGATTATAGGCTATTAAGCCTGACTGCCTACCCTTACACCTAATAACTTTTTAGTATTTATACACTATCTGAGTGGTGTTACCCTGAAACACTGCAGCTCCTGGTAATTATACTGATCCCCTTTTTGAAGAGTTGCGGTCATAAATGACCTTTGTGTACAGTTTTTAGAATTTCAATAAAAGTCATTTAGCAATTTTGCAGGGCAAGAGTAGCAAAACATGTAGAAAATAGCCATTCTTACTATGCAACTTCATGGCGTAATTAGGTTAAATAACTGCATCATATTGACTATCAAGAACTGCTCAAGCAAAGCATACAAATCAAGCCTTCTTGCTTACATCATTTTTTGCCTCCTCAAATTCCAGTGGTTATGCTTGTTTTCTGTCCCTGATTTTGGATTGTGTTGTGTTTTCTGCCCTCAGCCTGCAGTTACGTTGTTTTGGAAATATATGCAAAATACATTTCCTCCTTTTTGAAGTACTGTGAAGGGTGAGAAAATACTGTCATTGTGTCAGAGCAGGTGTTGTGCAGTCTGGCCCTGGAGATGTAATTATGAAAGCTGGTTTGGAAAATCTATTTTCTTATTTCATAGTTATTCCAAACTCCCATCTGAAATGCCTCTGCCAAGAGCTCTTCTTTTTGGCTGCAAACTTTTTGGAAGTGAGGCACTGTATTTCAGCATATTGTGTTTCTCTGTAGGAGGTACTCTATGAGAGCCACAATCTCTTTCATTTTGGGGATGAAACCAGATATGACACCAGGAGATCTGTGATTGGATTGTCCACTCCACCCCACCACCACCTCAAATTTCAAAAGCTTGTGGTGATTTTAGATCAGAGCTACAGCACTGGGGAATAGGTTTTTAACCCCCATCTCATCTACAATTTCCCCAATCTTTATTCTTCTGTTTACCCCAAAGCTGTTCCATAACAAAGTTCAGTATTCCTATTTTAGCTGTGTTATGCGGGTATTAGTCCTAATACAAAGGGACTGCTGTATATTATTGCTAAGAATTTGCGTAATTGTAGGGAAGTGTCCAGGCTAATTATATCAGATTCAACAACTGCTACTCCTGTATTGATTATCTGCATGTCTCAGAAAGCCTATACTAGTCAAAGGGATGAACCCAGTCCACAGCCTGCACGGCTGCTTTCTGACCAGGTGTGTAAAAGAACTTCTAAGGACATTCCCACTTACTCCCAATGCTTCTGGTTAAGTGGTAAGGTAAAGTTGGCAACATCAAATGCTGCTGTGCAGACTTCCTGCTATCATTCTCTTAAACTTTAAGCTGGATTCCTGACTTGCCTGCTAGAGACTCAGACAAGTGGTAGCCCATCCTCCATACTTGGGCCGTGTTTTCTCTCTGTAAATCTTAAAGCTCATTCTAGAAATTCATTCTGCTGCAGCTGCTATATCCTATACCCTGCATCCTGATATTCTGAACTTTTTCTTTTCAGGCTACGAAGAGACTTTGACTCACCTCGCTGCCATTTTAGCCAAGCACTTTGCTGACTCAAGGATTGTGGGAACTGGTAAGGCAACTCCTGTTTTCCAGAGGTCATGCTGGGCTGTAGGTGTTATGTGTGTGCATGCGTGCGCACATGCATATGTGATTGGGGGAAAGAAAATTAAGCTCATGCTTGCTGATTTTTTATTTTATTTCTACTTGATACTTCTTGAATAGTAAGGGTGTCTGTTTCTAATGTTTTTAACACCTCAGATCATTGCAGCACTCAATTATTATTTTTGGGTTTGACATTTGTCTTTATATCCTGTTTTGCTTACTAGTCCTGTAACTGTAGTAAGCTAGGTTTGCCATATTTCACACAGTGAAAATCCAGACAGGAAAGTTGTTGAGCTTTTCTTTTTCTTTTTCTTTTGAAAAATCACAAAAAATGCTGTATTTGAGCTATATTTATGGAAAACCAGCAACAATGGCACTACTGACATGGGTTGCCATATGTCTGAATTTTACTGCACATTTTTCCGATTTCCGCCCAGACACTATTGCCCACTGCAGTATTCTGAATATGTCTAGGAAACCCCAGACGTATGGCAACCCTAAGTATGCAATTGCACCACAATATCTGAAGTATTTTTCTGGCAATCTATGTCCCTATTATCCCTACTCCACTTACATTCTGTCTTGTTTCCACATTCAGACATCAGAGACTCCCTAATGCAGGCACTGGCCAGCTATGTTTGCTACCCACACTCACTCCGTGCTGTAGAGAGGATTCCAGAACTGCAGTAAGTTCTTGGTTTCACCATTCCTGAAAAATAATATATGTCCTGGAGGAGGATTATCTCTCTCTTCTTCTCTGAACCAGGCATGATTCCTATACTTATAATCCCTTTTGTGTGGAAGCTGCTGCTCCCCTTGTTTCCTCACATTGCACTTCTGATTCTTCCCTCTCAAGTAAACTAAACATCTTGCCTTGAATCCTTCCCAAACCCTCACTTTTTAACCTTGGTGCTGTTTTCATGGTGGTTGGCTGACTTGTTTGTTTTACTCCGGCAGGCGAATATCCATGATGAAGAACCTGCTGGCCCCCTATGAGCAAAGACCCTGGGCCCAGACCAACTGGATCCTTGTACGACTGTGGCGAGTAAGAACAGATATCCTCTGCTTTCACATTTTGTTCAGAATTTCCAGCTTGTAGTTTTAAAACCAGTGGTTTCCCCTGTGTTTGAACTTTCCCTTAACTTCTTGTTTGAACTTTGTTACCTGCTTCTGGCAAGAGGGTCTCCATGTTCCTTGTTGGGAGATAACGTGAGGTCTTCTAAGCAGACATTTCTCCCTTCCCCCCCTCTCCTGTAGGGCTGTGGATTTGGATACAGGTACACACGGCTTCCTCATCTCCTGAAAACCAAGCCAGAAGATGCCAATCTCCCCAGCTTGCAGAGTGAGTGGGGGATAGGGAGTGGAGATGTGTTGCTTTGCCAATACAGCTTGTGGGTAAATGCAGTCCTGTAACTGAGATTATCCTAATCTGGTTAGCTGTTGACTCTGGTACCAGAAGGGCAGGATCCTGTTTTGTGGTGCCCCCACACTGCTGCTGTCTGTTGGCACAATAATCGGCACCAGTGGATCCTGTCTGTGTAACTGCTGGGACCCAGCATGTCTGGGAGCTAGAGGGCTCCTGATGCCATGTAATATAAATAAGTTGTCTCTGTCCCTAACTTAACTGTGTGTGGCAAACTCAGGGTGAAAAGTTTCTTATTAACTTCCTCACCCAGCTATCTTCTATTTTTGAGTGCAAAACCTTAAAAAAAAAAACAACCCACCACCTCCATATAATTGTGATCACCCTGGTTGTTTTCACTGGTTCACTAGGTGATGACCAAGAAAGCTCTGGTGTATATTTATAGGCGACAAAACATTTTAGCAGCATATGGCCAGAGCAGGCATGAGTTGACAAAGTGTGAAAGCATCCCCAAAGGCACACCAGGTTATAGTTTTAAGGAGTAAAATTGATTTTTCTAAGGAAATCAAGTTGATTGGCATTGATGGTACATTGGATCCAGCAGGCACTGCTTCTCTTGCAGCTCTGGGCTGGTCCTCTTCTGTGAATGTTAGTCCTACTTTGTTCTGAGGCATTTGCCACTCACTTATGGCAGCCATGGTTTAGTAATCAGGCTGGTCTTCCAGTGTCACCACAGTACTCAGAATGGCTTTATATCCAGCATGGCAAGGATCTCTGAGAGACTCCAGTTACAAGCTGTAGGGGGAGCTTTGGCTTCTCCTCTGTAGTTATTGATCTAGTGAAGAGAATGATGGCATCTGTGTTGCTGAGTGGATGGCAAGTTATGAGTTGGTCCTGCACTCTTTCTCAGAGAGCATATAATGCCGGGACAGAATAACTAACCTCACAGCCCAGCAGAAGGTGGCAGTAGTAACACCTGCTTGACCCTTCTAAGAAAATTTGCATCTATAATGTTTCTCTCTTTGTTTTGTTTTGCTTTTTTCTTTTCTCCTTTTTTGGGGGCCCAGGAGATCTCTCTGTTGCTAGTTTCCAGAGTAAGTTTCCTGTTGTCTTCCCTTTGTATGGTGGTGACATAGTTTTATAGCCCTCTAGTAGAGCCTTTTCCCCTCCCACCCTTGGTGCACAAGCCGGTCCTTTGGAAATGATGGGGTAGAAAGATAAAGCGGGATGAGTCTGGCTGCACCAAGTGATGGTCCTAAGAGCCATCCAAATGTTTGTCATGGCGACCTGTCAAATGTGCCTCAGGGTGGGTGGTTAAGTATGTATCTCCCTTTAGTTTGGAGGGAATATTACGAGTGCACAGCAAATATGTGTAGGTGCTGTTAATGTGCTCTCCATAGCAGTTTCCCCTTGTGGCTGTGGTGTCAACTGTCCTTTTCCTTTTTATTCTTCTCCATTCCACCTTTTTTTTTTTTACACTTCTCCTTCTGAAAAGATGGACACAACAGGGAACAGAAAGGTTGAGCAGATACATCTTCCCTGAAACTGCTAGCTCCAGTTCTGCAGGGTAATAAGCTGGCTGTTTTTGTTGAGGCTGTCATGAAACTCCATCCCTGGGGGTGCGGTCATTGAATGACCTTGGGACACCTATGCAATTGGGTTCACTTTTCTAGGTGTCGGCAAGGTCATCCCTGTCTGCCAGTGATTTCCTCCATGTGGCTCCGAGAGGTCTAAGACAGGGCACAGGATCCTTTGGCTAGTGATCCTGCTTTCTGCTATTTTGAGGTGTACTTGAATGAATAATTAATACCAAGTTAATTGAAAGGAGCCTATTTACCAGACGTCCTTGGGACACTGCCCTAGAGGGGCTGAGTCCACCCCCCTCTCGCAGGTCTTTGTGATGCTGCAGGGAGAGATTGGAGCACAGACAATGGAAGACATATCAGGTGTGCTCTGGCCATTACTTGGGGTGGAATATCTGAATGTGAAAGTCAGCTCACCTCTCTGCCTGTCCTGTTACAATCCCTCGCCTTTTGTGCCTGAGTTACTGCTATGCTTGCCTAATGTCGATGGGCAATTTAGGGGCACACCAATGATTAGCCGTCATCTGCTCTGCAGCCTCAGTTTATTAAGGGACAACTCATGCTCATTTCCTGTCTAGGGCCCCCTTTAGTAACTAAAGCGATGATGGGACTGGCTGGCTCCTAAGAGAGGAGAACATGCACGTACATCCTTCTAGCTTAGTCCTCTACTGGCTAGTTTTTTGAGCCTTGAGTTATAGGTCCTGCTGTTAAGAGGTTGGCTAGAAGAGCTCTTAAAGCTTATTCTCACAGTTGTGAGCCTTTCATCTGCATTCTCTTGAAAGCAAGCAGTGCTCTCACATGTGTGTCACTTTGGGACTCTCATTTGGCAGGGATTTCATTTCAGTGCCAAACTGAAGCTTAGATAATCCGGCTCTGCCTGACAGCTTCCTCCTGGTTTACAGCTGATCTCTAGCATGTTCCAAAGGAGGGAAAAGTGATGTAAGGTGTGCTCCTGGGGTGGGGTGCCATCAGTGTATCTCAGATTTCTTTTTTCACTGCTGCAGTCCTAGTGATGTCAGTAGTATCTGCTGCTGGGTTATAGTTCCATTGTGAAAAGTTTTACCTTAGCCCCTGTGTCTAAGGGAAGTGAGGAAATAAATGGCCCTCCTTTTAGACTCTGATGGGGAGGACTTATTAATGAGAGCTAGCAAAGTTCCTGTAGCTAACACACACACACACAATTTAAAATGCACCCCTGTTTCAGGCTTGCTTTTGGGTTCCATTGGCAGGCTGGAAAAGAGTTGGGTTCCCCCTCCCCTTTAGATTTCTCACCCTGATCGGAAATAGGCAAACAAGTGTGAATATGTGCAATGCTGGCAGAGAGGAGTGGGACTGTCTGTCTTGGGTGCTGATTCCCTGCTAGGGAACTACTGTGATGCTGCTTTCAGGAGAGATTAGTGCTGAGCTGACCTAGGGCATTGTAGGGATGAGCAGGAGGGATGCTTGGCTTGAGCTCAGCTGCAGGGCACAGCTTCTTACTTGCAGAGAGACAGCAAATGTGCATGACCACATCCCAGCTAATTCAGACTGGCATTATGGCAAAGAGCTCCGGGCCTTGGAGACGGGACAGGCTCAGAATAGTCCATGTGTGAAAGCTGGCCTTGGAGGGCAGCTGCCGCCTCTACTTATTGTAAAGAGGGCCTCTGCTGGGAGGAGGCTCCAAGAATTCCTTGTGATTTTTGAGAGACAAAATGAAGCTGAATGCAGTGAAAGGGGCACATACGTATAAACTTATAAACTGTTCCCCATTTCCACACGATGGCAGTGAAACAGGCTGGGCTTGGGCAGCAGCTGCCCAGCACCTTCCGGTAGTGTGGCCTCTTAAGAAGCCGCTGTTGTTTCATTCCAGAGCCTTGTCCCTCCACCCTTCTGCAGCGACACATGGCGGACCTGCTGCGGAGTGACCGTGAAATGGCACCCAGTTTCCTCAACAGTGTGCTTAACCAGCTGAACTGGGCCTTCTCAGAGTTCATTGGCATGATTCAGGAGGTGAGAGTTTTGGATCCGGAATAAATCTGGTTGAAGGAGTAAGCCTCTGCCTGGCATCCTGGAAGATAAAAACAAAAGTCCTTTCCTTACTAGGTGTCAATAGCAGCTTGCAGCACAGTTCTTGTGGGATGCTGGGATTGAGCTGACTTGTGCATGAACTAGAAAAGGGGGGAGGGTTAGGGGCAGGTGTGAAGAAAACAGCTACTCCCCCTTCCAGTTTTTACATTCAGCTGCATCTGTTTTGCTTGGACAGATCCAGCAAGCTGCAGAGCGCCTGGAAAGAAACTTTGTAGACAGTCGCCAGTTGAAGGTGTGTGCAACGTGCTTTGACCTGTCTGTGAGCCTGCTCAGGGTCTTGGAAATGACGGTCACACTGGCTCCTGAGATCTTCCTGGACTGGAGTCGCCCCTCATCAGAGCTATTACTCAGGAGACTTGCACAGGTACTCACTTCTCCGCAGTAAAACATTAGGTTGGTTACATGGCAAGAGGGAAAGTTTTTTAGCTGAGGATGTGAATGCTGTCATTTGGCACAGTCACAGTTTCCGGTGTAAACTATATTATTCTAAAAGAATGTGTCACCAGCAAGTTTAGGGGCTAACTTATACAAACTGCAGGCTGGCTCTCCCCTCCCCTCCCCCACTACTATGTTACTCTGTTAGTGATTGTTCAGAGATTGTGCGTATGCATGTGTGCAGAAAGATAAAGGTCTCCAGTTCACTGCCCTTTTTCTTCTTTGGTAAGCCTTAATTTCTTCCTGGAAAAGAACTCCAGAGTAAAGACGGCCAAACATTTCAAGAAGTGGAAGGATAAGCCAATCTGTACCCCTTCCCGATGATATTCCTAAGAATCTCCTTCTCTGGGCTTCAGCCCTTGCTTCCTTTTTCAAATGCCTTAATGCCCCCTTTGGTTTACTTAAAGCTTTTAAAACATAATATCCCTCCACCTGTTTGCTCCAGATTGGAGCACAAGGTGGCTGTCAGCACAGCTTACAATGTAATATAAATATAAAATAAAACAGAATAAAATCATAAGTTCATTAAGGAAAAATAGCAACACAAAGCCGAAACACCAACCAGCATCAACAATATCAGGTTCCAAAGGCCCAGACAGGTAGCTTTGCATGTTCCATTTCCATTGCCCATGGTCAACCTGGCCACCATATGACCAGACAGTTGATGAGCAGATGTCCTGGCAAGATTACATGGCCACTTGAGTGAAGCTGCTAAATCATACAGCCATTAGCCATTAGGTAACAATGGAGAACATGAAAAATATAGATGTAGACGCTTAAAGATGGGGAGGGCAAGGTGTACATGTCACTTGGGACTTGCTTGCATGGGTCACTGTAGCAGATCCATCTGGAAACCTAGTTTGAGTTGTCATGCGATGACTGGCCATGCAAAGAGGCTTGCGGCACACCAGAACCGCCTATAAGCAGTTACATGCAGATGAAGTGACCAAACCACTCATATTTGTTCTGAGCACATCTGTTCACACAACCAACTACAGTGCAGTGTTTGAAAATAGTTTGACCAAAAATGTCAGGTTTTAATTTTGAAATGAACTCTTCGAAAGGCTTTTATGAATTGTTTCTTAAAACAGTTCAATACTTATCCCTGGAGGGGAAAACAATGTGCTAAATGTTCTTTGGGAGCCACTTTCAGAATTCTGCCACATTCTAATTGAAGCATCAGTTTGCTCTCTGGAATGATGACTCACTGCTGGCTATTTTGCCCAACTTCTTTAAATCAAATACCTCTCTACACAACCTTGCATGTACCTTTGTGCTAAGGTTCCACTGTATGCATGTGGAAATTTGGCTTATTAGAAAGAGACCCCATCCATCCATGGAATTAAGAGCTGTTTTGCCTTCTAAGAGTTTTTTCATTGAAAGTATCCACAGCCTGAGATGTGAGCTGATGCAACCTGAGCCACATTTTCAGTCTGTTATTGCTGAAGGCTCAGGTATGTTGTCATTCTCATGGTTCACAGAGAGGCCTGTCATATTTCTTTTCTGAGCAGCCCTGCTGATGGGTATCCTTCACGCCATGAAATCTAGGGCCACACAGAGTGTTATCATGCATCCATCTAGTATCTCACCATCTGCTGTAAAATATATGTTCTTGGAAGACCGTCCTCTGCTATTGTGGGTCTGAAAGGCAGATAGTTCCAGGGCATAAAGGAAGGAACAACCCTCAAGGCCCTTTTCTGTATCCCAACACACCTTATTACAATGCAGTGCCCAATATTGTGCCTGCTGTTGTAGAGAGATTTCTGAATCCGAGGGAATTGAGTTGTCTAAACCCTAATGATCAGACTGAAAAGTATCAGGAGCAGCATATGTGCATCTCTGCAAGTGTACAGAGAGAGAATTCCATCTTCTGCTTTAATCATCCTGCCATCTCTTCTTACTTCCCCACAGCTGCTAAATCAGGTGCTGAATCGTGTGACAGCTGAGCGGAACTTGTTTGACAGAGTGGTCAATCTTCGTCTGCCAGGTGAGCTTCCTTCCCAGCCACCTTGCAGTCAGTCCTGCTTTGGGAGAGGGACCATAGCTCAGTGGTAGAGGATGTGCTTTGCATGCAGAAGGTTCCAGGTTCAGTCCCTGGCAGCTCTAATTCAAAGGAGCTCTAAGGTGATGGCAAAGCTGTCTGAGACCTTGCAGAGCCACTACCACTAAAGAGTAGGCAAAGCGAGGTAAGAAAGACAAAAACTCTGACCTGGTGTGAGGCAGCTTCCTACATTCTTACGTGATCTAAATTCTCCCGTCAATCCTGGGAAATATTCCTCTCTCCTTCTACAAACCCACATGAATGTTTCCAATGGTTGTGGACATTCATTGTGTCTGCACAGGGGCTTCACCCACTCCCAGTCCTTTGAACAACAAGATAGGAAATGTCTGTGGGGAGAATTGTGTGCTGACCTTTTATCTCTGATTATGGTGTCAGTGCAACTTCCATTGATGCCACTGCTCCCTCCCATCCGCTCTTCAGATAGGCAGGAGCCCAACAGAGCACACGTGAGAATGAAAGATGGCATCCAATCCCAAAAGGAAGCCTCATGTGGTCTTGGCCTTCGTTGCTTACAGAAATGCATAAAACCTGCAATGATGGGAAATGGGATCTTTTGGCTCTAAACAGTAAGCAGTCATTAAGTGATGGCTGTGTGCCCACCTACTCAGGGTGAAGGAATCCATTCTTGTACAGAGCTTGTTAAATTGCAAAGTAATCTTTAGGGAGGCAAGATGTCCTGCTTCTGCACTAAAAGCTGTCAGAGAGTGATACCGGTGAATGAGCGGGAGCTGCATTTAACTGCAAAATTGCTGACTAGATTCCACTTACGCTATAGCTCCATTATCTTTAGCCCTTCATTTTGGCTGGTTATTCTGGTGTCTTATGATGAGAAAAGGACAGCATATGTTAGCAGTGTGTACACTCTCTGCCTGTCCCCCCCTCCCCTCCCACAGAGCATGGACCCTTTCCCTTCACACAGCATTATTAAATAACTGCTGTGGCACACACTGCTGCAGATCAATGTCGTACTGATCAGTATTAGGAAGTAAACAATATTGCTGAGTCAATGTGCCCTTGTGTTCCTTCTTGGGGAACAAGGACTCAACCCTCATTGAAAATTGAGATTGTGAATGGAGAGAGCTTAAAAAGATCCACACACTTCCACACATTTTTACACTTTCCTATTCTTTGATGGATTTATTTATTTGGCATCTGTGTGACGCAAGTAGTGTGATAGAAATAACATTCTGGAATAGGTATGGTCATAAGCATGTGAAGTAAAGGACCATATGAATAGCTGTCATCCTGAAGAAAGTTGTCTCGGAAGTGTGCCTAATTTTAAATTTGGACAAGCTTGTTTTACCTCCCTCTGCTTCCCTTAAATTTTTGAGCATTGCTTTAGTCATACCCCCATTATCCCAGCTCGAGCACCTCTGCCCTGTTGGAAACATGGGGCATATTGGCATGTGTGACCACCATCAAGTCTTCCACATTTCAAAGCATTGGCTTCTGCTCACCTAGAAGCAGGAGAAAATTGGAATCATCACTCAGCACTTCTTCAGACCTGTCTTCAAGTGCCGTTTTCAAGGTTATGTGCTTGAGAAACACTCTATGTTTGGGTGACTCGGGGGATTGTATGCTGACTGGAAGGTGGAGGAATGCTGGACCGCTACTGAAGGGCTTAGCACCATTCCATTTTTTTTGCACAATCCTTTTAAGTGCCCTTCTAATAGGAAACCAGACAATGGCATTAGCAGAGATGAGCAAGTGCTTTCTCTAGTGTTTGTCACTTACCTCTAAGATTTCCTGTTTGCCAAGGAGGTTCATTCTGTTTTGTCCAGGATTGTCCATACTGGGAGTGGTGGTGGAGGACTCATTTGAGCTTATGGTGCTCTAGCAAAGACCTGATGAAGCTGATGGATGTAGTACTACAAATCTTTAAGTGAATAAATACAAACATTTATCTGCTCCTGGTCTCCTGAAAACTTAGGCTGGTGGTGTTTCTCAGTGCAGTGCTATGCTAATTTGTCCTCTGCTATAGTTAAGAAGATAAAAAGGGGTGCTCAGGGGAAGTCAACAAGCCAACTTTTCATAGAACTGATTGTAATTTGAAATACCTGCTTTCTTCCCTAGGACTGGAGAGCGTAGATCACTATCCAATCCTTGTGGCTGTGACAGGAATTCTGGTCCGGCTGCTTGTTGATACTGACTTCCAAGGGTAAGTGCTGCTTAATTCCACTCCATGGGGGTGAAGATTTCATTGCTTGTGTTCTAGTTTACTGTTCTGAAATGAGCAGCCTGGCATCATTGTGTATTAGGGTAATGATGCAGTCTTTGTCTTTGCCCCCTGTTTTCATATGCACAGTCTGGTTGCAGGATATTAAATCCCCAAATAATTTCTGTCCTGTACGTTGGTCTCTGGGTGCTTTGTGCTGCGACTATAGTGTACTTGAGAGCTATTTAAAAGAAAAAAGGGGAGACATCCTGTCAATTTAAACCTTCCATTGAATTATTTAAAGAGGTAGCCAATGTGGTGCCCTCAAGATGTTGTTGGACTACAACTTGCATCATCCCTGGCCCTTGTTGGCTGAGGCTGATGGGAGTTGGAGTCTAACAACATCTAGAGTATTGGCCACTCTCTGGTGTAAATATTCTGGTGTGGGATACTTTGTTTGCTTTTGTTCTCTGCTTGCTTCTGTTCTCTGCTTACACCGCTATGTAGCTCATGTAAGCTATACTATATTCTGTTCCTTGGTTGTTGTATGGTGTGGGTTCATGGCAGATTCTGCTTAGGGGGTGGACCGTTGGACAAGATGATCTTTAGTTCTACTCTATTCTTACAGTAACTTTAAATGGAGATCTGTCCTATGTCTGTATGTTTCTCTTCATCTTCTTGTTCTTCTTTTTCTAGTAAGAACAAGCTTTGGGATTTAAATCTGGGAATGGTCCTGCCCAAAGGAAAGCAGGCCATTTCTTTTACCTTTATGCATAGGCACCACTCACATCCTGTAACAAAAGAATACTCTTTCTACATATGCAGTTACCTTCCTAAACTGAGCAATGCTGGCAGCAGATCGTTTAGACAGATAAAACTGTAAAGACATGCTGTGTTTGGTTGTGTTAAACAGTGAATATGTCTAGCTGCAGTAGCGTATGACAGTGGAAAATAAGCCAAGTCCCAAGGGAAGGTGGCTACTGACATGCCCCTCCAGATCTACTGCAGTGTGGCTGATGGCATTATTGCTTTGCCTTCATTGCCCTTGTTATGGTATTCAGACAGACGTGATGGACAAGTCCCTTCCACAGCTCTCAGGACTTTTAGAGACAGTGGCTTGACACTCACTTGTCATCTGATAATCTCTTCTCCCATCCTGTTGTGTTTTTTGAAAAAACAAAACTAGCCTTTCCATTATAAATTAGGTACTGGTAGTAGCTACTCTTCTGATTTCCAACCTAGAAAAAAATCATCTCTCCTAACAGGCAGGGTACATTAGTTGAATCATGCTAAGACAGGAAGAAGTGGTTTGGCTGGCATAAGGTTTGTTCATATCTCGGCTGATTAAGTTTTGATACAATCATCTGAATGAGGTAAACAACTTCTCAAATGCAGGCAGTCAATAAATACTTTTTGCATTTAATTCCACTGTTTTTGATGTCTACTGTGGATCTTAAAGTAGCATTAAAAACAGCTTTCAGCACTTCCTCTCACCCCTCTGCCTCACTGGGGAAAGGACATATTTTACTTCCTGACCATTCCAACTTGAGGAGGAAAATGGGAACATCAAGCTCCTGAAAAAGGTCCAGAGGGTTGTTTTAAAAAGAAGGGTGCATTCACTCCCCTGTGAAACACATGCAAATACCCATGATGATCATGGAGAAATATGTGCATAGCCTCCTTCTAAAATGAGCCTTAATTGCATTCAGGTCTAGGGATAGGCATTTGACAGGTCAAAAAGATTTGGCCCATTTGATCAGTCAAGACTGTATATGGAAAAAAGATATTCTCAAGTGGGTTGATACTTACGTTAACTGCAAAAACAAGTTAGATAACTGTTAACTGTGAAAGAATGAAATTACCTTTTTAAAAGCATTGCTTTGAATTACAGCTTTTAACATTGTTACATAAGGTTTCTATAAAAGTGAATGATTTACTGAGCAGTTCTCCTCATTGGCTTTTATCCTGGAACAGCAGGGCCAGTCTGCAGTTTCATTTTTTTGTTATAAAGGAAATTAAAGCAAAAATAAAGCAAAGTAACAACTATTTAATAACAAATGGCAGTTTTAAAGGCACATGCTAGATTAGCAGGTTAGTTCTTCAAGCAGCACCAGTATCACGGCTACTTGGAATATTTGACAATCTTTTAGATTCAAAAAATTAAATAGGTAACCAGCCATCCAGTGTGGCAACTCTATTCAGATTGCTTTTATCTTGCCTCATGTTCTAGTTTAATCCTTCTCACCGAAATGCAGTCCATATGAAACTGTTGTGTCACGTTTCAGTTTCTCATTTGGCATGTCTTATTTTTTCAAAATGTTGTCCTTGTTTTGCAGACAGCTGAGCTCCATGTGGCTAGGCATTTTAGTTCTGTAAGCAGGCTATTTCTGATCCTCTCCACCCCCCACCAAGGCCTTCCAGATAGACACAAATCAGCCTAATTATATCCTCCCTCCTGTGGTCAAAGCCACATAGCCCTAAATATAAATGTGCCAAGCACACCATATTAAAGTGAATTTTTTTTTTTTTTAATCTGGTTGTGGGAAACCCTATAGAGGCCAATCCCATCCCACCCAAATTGGGGTAACAAGCTCCCTCCGTCCCTTACCTTTATATCAGCCACAGCGGCCTCAGCAGGGATTCTGGATCTACCACAGCATCTAGTTTGCCTTCTTGCCAGATTGAACTCCTTTCATCATTGATCCTGTACACTATCTAGCTTCTACACTAGTTCCTTTACAGCCCAGCCGATATGCTGACATCCAGATGCAATTATAACCCTCCCTGTTCCTGTTTCCGCAGCCCATTTGCTTCCTGTTCTGTGGGGCAGACTAGCTGTTTCTTTTCTTTTGCCCATGTTGTCCTTATCTATAGTGCCCTCAATAAGACATTGCTTTTTGAGGAAAGGTCGTGCTGCACTTTCATTGATAGGAACAGACTAATGATGATATATAACTATTAAGTGTTTTTAACATGGCATATGAGATCTACAGCAAATTCCTGGACAAATTTCATGTTAACAGGAGTAAATCAACAGCCTGAGGACAGAGTGGGCTGCATTTTCCAAGTGAAAACAGCACATTGCTTAATAACCTCCAACAGATATTTGTTCGTTAATTGTAGTGAAATATGGTCCTTTTCTCAGCAGTGATTGCAGCTCATTATAGAGGCCTCCCTTGGACTATTGTTGTATCATATAACTTCTAAATTGTTTCTGAGGCATGAACAGTGGATGGGAATGGGGCTAATTACCGTCTCTGTGATCTGTAGCTTCTTGATGCTGCTGGCTTTCATTGAAGAGGGATCGGGTTTTGTTCTGTTGGAAGACTATGGAGGGAGCATGAATCTAGGGTCTTTATCTCTTAACACTGTGACTTGAGCAATAGTATTTTCATAGCTGTAATTGCTATGAAATCACAATGGAGATGTTTTTGCAGAAATGCATGGGTGAATCAAGAGTTTTCAAGGGCCTAGGGCAATTAACAGAGTCTATGACAGGGATGGCTGACCTCCAGCTGCAAATTTTTCAGACCCCCCCAAGCCCCCAGCAATTTTAGCAGTGACATGAAAAAGAAAGAAAAAAGCATGATGCTGGGCTTTAAACCTATTCTTCCAGTTTAGCAATCTCTTGTTGATGCAAATTATCCCTTCCTCATCTGATTTGCAAAGATCATCTGAAGAGGGGAGACTGTGTGTCCTGTGCATGTGTGCATGGCCAAGGGTGGACGTGGCTCTATGGCCAAAAAACGGGTTCTGTATTCCTGGCTTAGGGAGATATATATAAATAAGATGGTAACAGTGGGGGAAGGACAGGATTTGGAATCCTTGGCAGACCTATGGAACAGCTTGTCAGGTATCTCCTGATCAGGAACTTCCATCACACCAATTGATTACTTACATTACTTTCTCTTCAGTTTACTTGCTGTAGATACCCCAGGTAGAAATCCTCATAGCAGACCTGTACCTGCCGTGCACTAATGGTACATTTGGTTAGAAGCCCCATTGATGCTTACCTATAAAATGGCAGCCATTCTTCTGCAATGCCAGGCATAGTGCCAACTAGTTGCTTTTCTGTGGAAGGCTGAGCTGCTTTGGTTTTGATGGAAAACGTCTGGGTGCCTTTAAGAACTCCAGTTGCTGACTTACAGTCAGACCAGAAGGGGGCATTGTGAACATTTAGTTGAAAATGGATATCATTTAGCAGCCCCAGAGTATTAGGCTGAACTACAGCATACATTGTGCTCGTTAACAAACTTACCCTAAAGATTGTTAAAGGTTCTTCTACACCAGGGTTTACCAAACTTTGGTCTCCAGCTGTTTTTGAACTACAACTCACATCATCCCTAGCTAGCAGAACCAGTGGTCGGGGATGATAGGAATTGTAGTCCAAAAACAGCTGGAAACCCAAGTTTGGGAAACCTTGATCTACACTACAGAGTGAAACTGCTTTAAGCCAGTTTAACTGTCATGGTACTGATTTCCTTCCAGTGAAGTCTGATAATTGCCGTTTATTTGATAATTATTTTGGAATCTATTCTGGAGGTATGTGTGCCAGAATGAGATGTGGTATTCTGGATGCTCTTGTTTCTATACAAATGTGTTAACCACTTCTAGACATCACTTTTTCAAGATTGGTAGATGGAGAACAAGAAGGCACACTGGGAGAGACCTTAGGCCAGGGGTATGAGCAATCAGTGGCTCACCAAACTCTTCGGGTGCTTGGGAGGCATTTAAATTTATTAGAATGCTTGTTTAACTGGGGCTGGCTGGAAAACTGGGCTGGTGACAATTACATGCTATCCTTTTCAATGAGCTCAGTTATATTACTATAAATTCCTATGATTTCCAGACCATGACAACTATACTGAAAGGCCTTAATAACATCTAAAGCAGGCATACAGAATTGAAAAGTGGGGATCTCCCATGTAGCGGTTTGCAAAGGGGATCCCCGAGTCTTGGTGTGGCTTATTACACAACCATAACTTGTGGTTGCCACTGATCGTTCCATTCAAGGTAGTTCTCCTCACTTGCCACCTTCCTTCAGAAGCCTAGCAAGAAGGGAGAGAAGTTGCTCCAACTTTCGTCCCTTGAGTTGTCCTTGGAAGAAGGAAGGGTACTGCTTCTCTCATGCTGGGCTTTTGCAGGAAGCACCAGTAGCACCTCACTATTGCTACCTCCTGCAAAAACCCAGCAGGAATAGGATCTTTGTTCTGGGCATGTAGTATAGGGCGAGGGGGCATGTCCTCTCATGAGTGGACTTATAGAACCCTAGTTAGAAATACATAATGACCTGGGATTCAAAGAGCTGCTTTAGGCATGCCCTAAGGCCTGAGCCATGCATGCCTAATAGGAGTTTTCATTCCACCCTAACCTCCCTAACCTCCACCATAACCCTAACCCTAACCTCCACCTCCACTAGGCAATAGACCACAATACAAAGCATAGCCTTTGCTTGGAGAATCAGTTTCTTTTGACCTGCTTGTGCTAACATTGAAGAGAGTCCCATGGGTCCTCATTTGAGCCTTGGATAAGGGCTATGGAAACTGGCACCCTCCACATGCCTCATTCTCTGCATCTTGAGTTGCACTTGACAGATGTTCTGTCCCACTGGCAGATTGTCCTTTTGGAAAAAACACACACAGCTAATATGTCAGCATGATAGTCTTAGGCAGGGATGTGAGTGTGCATCCTAGCGATTTGCTGGTTGCCATGGCTGTGATCAGTCACCAGCTATTGAGTTCTTGTCTTAACTGGCCTGTGCTGTTGTCAGCACATACCCCAGAGTGATTACAAGGCTGCAGGAGCAATGTAATGCATCCTGAGATGGGCATCACATGGCTCCCATTTCAGTTCATATATCTAAAGTTGGGGGGAAGTGTTGCTGTTGGACAGATGGCAATAATCATTAGGCTTTCCCAATTTAATTAGGAATGTTCAGCAGTGGGTGGAAATTGTAAATTATACGAGGAGAAGAGCTTCGTTATGGGAAGAAGGTAGGGTGTGAGCTGCTTTCTGCAATTAAAAGGGCAAGGAATCATAGAATTGTAGAGTTGGGAGGGACCTGAAGGGTCGTCTCGTCCAACCCCCTGCAATGCAGGAATCTCAGATAAAGCATCCATGACAGACGGCCATCCAATCTCTGCTTAAAAGCCTCCAATGAAGGAGAGTCCACAGCCTTATGAGGGAGACCATTCCCATGTTGAACATCTCTTACTGTCAGAAAGTTCTTCCTGATGTTTAGTCAAAATCTCCTTTCATGTAACTTGAAGCCATTGGTTCGAGTCCTACATTTCAGAGCAGGAGAAAATAAGCTTGCTCCATCTACCCTGTGACAGCCCCTCAGATATTTGAAGATGGTTATCATATCTCCTCTCAGTGTCCTTTTTCCCCAGACTAAACATTCCCAGCTAAACATAATCCTCCCAAATGAAGCACCTATGATGAGCTCTTATATTTTGAAGAACAAAGGAAAGTAATCTTCGTATTTTGACTTTGTGTGCTATTCATAGTTATTACTCTGAAAACATCTGAAATGTTCTCTGAATAAATATGTATTCATAAGCTGTACCTTTCTGAGAACATCAGACACTTTAGCCTATGGCTAAAAATATGGAGGAAAATGGCTCAACTGCAAAGCTCACATTTGTGCACAGTGTGATTAGTTCTAAACTGGTAATCTGTTTGGCTTTTTCTTCCTAAGTTTGTGCATAGGAGACCATTTAGCCCTTATAATATCTGACTATATTATTTATAAAAATATTTGCTTTCTGCTATTCATAAAAAATATCAGTGTTCTGAATCAATGCTTAGACGTTCTCTGCACTGTCACTGGCTTGAGAAGAGGAGTCCAGAAATTCCATTCACTGCATATCTTCAGTGTATATTAACATTTATTGACAAAGAGTACGTTTTCCTGGGCCTTTGGCTAATTAAGCAATTTATGGCCTTTTAAACTGTGTGGGGTTATTGTTTTTGTTTGTTGTTATGATATTGTGGTATGTATGTTTGTGTTTTTATATTGTAAACCTCCCTGTGATATTCGGATGAAGGTGTAGAAATAATAATAATAATTTGGTGTTATGATTATTTGTGGTAATAGATACATACAAGGATTACAGTTTGTGAGAAGCATTGACTCCTCAGTGCCAAAGGCAACCCCACATATCACAATGACATTAATCCAGTTTGGAGGTGACCAGCACATGTATCAATGTGGCCTGACTGTCTGTAACCTGGGAAATGCCACAACTGATGAACCAAATTAAACTGCTAAAAGGTGTTCAGGGCCACATTTGCCCTTATTGGCAATGTTGGATCAAGGAAAACCCCTAAGCTATATACTTGCTTCTTTAGAGGGAATGTAACCTCACCTGGAGCAGGTAATACACCAAATTTCCTGGACCCAGGGACTGTCAATCCATAGTTCTGTCATCTGGTCAAGATTCGGCTTCAGTTTATTGGCCCCCATCCAAGCCATTACTAGGTGCAGACACCAGTTCTGCATCTCTACAGCCTTGAGAGTAGATCTTGAACCGAGAGCTCAGGGTTAATTGGTTCTAAAAGGGTGCTCTAGAATTACTGGATAGTGAGGTCTACTCAGGGGGCAGGATGGGGCAGGGTTTCATTTAGTACATAAATGTCAAATGAAGAGCTTGTTTTAACTTGCTTAACATGCTGGGTTGGGGGAGTGAAGCTTATAGAACTTTGAGAAATGGGAAATTCCAGTTTCAGGGGAAATCAGGAAAAGCAGAATACATCAATGTAAATGTTGGTAGTCGGGGACCTTCAGCCTCTTTCTACTCTTATAATTAGGCTTTTAAAGCTAGTCAGCTTCCAGCATTGTAGCATATAGTCTCTGTGCATGGGCTGTTCCTCCTGCTAAGGACGAGGGTGCCCTTTTTGTCCTGGGGTGATCCTGTGATCAGAGAAGCTTAGTTTCTCTCCTGGTGCTGGGGATTAACAAATGTTTGCAAAAACCTTTGAAGATTCAAAGTGTTCAGAACACTAATTAATTACAATCTCATTGCATTAATCTGGCATTTGGTAGTTCTCTTTTGCCTCACACCTGGTGAAATTAATAACTCCCTTTGTAGACATGTCAGATGCACAATTCAGTCAAAGAGCAACTTGGTAGAGCAGGACTGATCCGTTATATGGATTTGTCTGTCTGGGCGACTAAGTGCTGTTAATGTGGGTCAGCCATCACTTAACTCTGGTGCCGCATGTGATGGCTAATCAATAGAGTATCACTAACAGGGGTCTATACAGTAGCAGATGACATGGTGGTGCTCACATAACCTTGTTTGTGTCACTGTTCCTTACTAAGAGGTAGAGGGAAAGGAGAAGGCAGTGGCAAGGTTGGCACAGTTCAAACTCAGTTATCTGGTACTCCTGCCTGGTGCATTTGCACCATGCCTACCTCACTGTCACCTCACCCCTCCATCTCCCAGTAAGCAGCCATGACACAGCCAAATGGAGGTCAGGTAAGTGCTGCTACCCCACGGTCCACTACTGGGTCTGTATGAGGAGCCGCAGTGTAAATTGCCCTGTACTGCTAAATTGACATACCAGCCACTGATTATAAATGGGGTTTGGTGCAGCCAGACGCCTTTTGCTTATAAGGTATTAACAGAAGAGCTGGTTCAGAACCTGCCTTTTCTAACTGTACATCCTGGGCATGAGAGATATCTGACTGGAGTGCAGATTGTGCTGCCATGCTGCCATTCAGCTGGCAGGTTTTGTCTTTCCCCCATAAGTTTGACAGAAATGCAGGAATTGCAAGAGTGACTCATGGCCAAAGGCATAGGGTGGTATTCAAAGTAGTGCTGAAGCGATTGCTCCATTAGTGAAGCATTTCAGCTTCCCTGGTGTAACGGATCTCCCCCTCTTCTCCTTCTGTGCCCTGTTCTGGGGGTCTCCCAACTGCCCTGCCAAGCCAATTTATGGGGGGCATGGGTGGAGGAGAGTGGGGGCAGTCCCCATTGCTCTAGCGGGACTCATTGTGCTAGCACCTGCTAGAGCAACTAGTTGTTTAATATTGCGTTTTAATTGTTGTAACATTTATTACTACTACTATTATTATTATTGTATTATTATTATTATTATTATTATTATTATTACTATTACTACTATTATTTGGTTGTTTCTGGTCCATGATGTCACTGTCCAATTTCCATAGTCTGATTCATGTCCTTGGCTGAAGTAGAGCTATTTCCTCTTCTGTTGTGGCTTACTAAATATGGAGCATTAGTAGAAAATGGAACCATCAGCTCTCATTCTTTAGGAATAATCTCTCTACAAAACAACCACTTTTGTGCTGAGTAGAGGTGGGGGCCGGGGCAGAATGACTCAACAACCTCTTGCTTTCTCTTGGTAAAACGTAAGTGTTTTATGCTGGCCCATTAGCTTGATGTATAGGCAGTTTAGAAACACCAAACTTGGCAGCAGTGTGAGTTCTCGATTGCTGTTGTGTTTGCTAAGAGACGGCGTAGTCCATTCCCAAGGGACATTCATTAAGCTTTCAAAGTCCTGCTTGTAAGAGAAGCTGGATTTTTACTAAGGCAACCCCAATTTTTAATGATGGATTTCTGTGTTTTTAAGCCTCTTGAACTCTGAAAAATTGTCTCTTAAGTGCAGCTGCTGTTAACGAGGCTACCTAGGTGGTTGTAGCAAAACAGCTGATTTTATTGATGCAAAAGGTTTCTTTCAATCTGCCAAGCTTGGCTATTTCACTCCATGTTATGTGGTTTTCTTCGGATGCCCTTATATTGCTTTCTTCTGCTCCTTGCTGGCTTCCCCCTGGCTTAATTTTGGCCACTGTAAGAACAGCAGCCTAAAGGGAAAATTTAAACTAAACTGTGGAGAGCTTGGTGGCAGACATCTGTGTACTGTGCTGTTTTATCCAAAGGGCTCAGAGCAGGTGATGGTATATGCTTAATTTTGTATTTTCACGGGGTGAGTTCACACATTCAGCACTGTGGTTAATGATAAGACAAAGGTGCCCTCCTGTGGTGAAAGAAGGGTATAAACCAGGGGTTTCAGGGACTAAAAAATTGTGATTTTACCACATGGGGGCTCTTTTATACACACCTTAAGAAGAATGGTGCGTAATGAATATGTAAGTTAATTTTGGACTATTAGGGATGGTAAAAGGTAAAGGTAAAGGACCCCTGGACGGTTAAGTCCAGTGAAAGGCAACTATGGGGTGCGGCACTCATCTCGCTTCAGGTCGAGATGGCTGATGTTTGTCAACAGACAGCTTTCCGGGTCATGCGGCCAACATGACTAAACTGCTTCTGGCACAGCGGGACATTATGATGAGTGCCACCCAGGTACTCATTGTTGTAAATGTCCGCTACTGCTCTCCATGGAGCAAATGAGGCAGCATTGGTGTTCTCCTCTTAAAATGTGAGGTTAGCTTAACATCTGTTCCAGAAAAAAAAGGAAAGCATTGTTAAAGACAGAGTAATCAAGCATATACCAGAAGTAAGTCTTGCTGAAGCAGAACCGCTGTGGTTTCTGCAAGTGTAAGTTTTCTCTCATTTGCCTGTTAGAGTTTTTTGAGAGTATCAACAAGCACTTAGATAGAAGTGATCCATTTGACATTATGTATTTGGGCTTTCAAAAAGCTTTTGACAAAGTATCTCACTAAAGACTTCTGAGTAAGCTTAGAAGTCATGGAATAAGAGGAGAGGTTCTTTTGTGGATGAGGTTAAGAAAAGGGAAGCAGAGAGTAGGAATAAATGTAAAGATCTACCAGTGGAAGGTAGTAGAAAGTAGAGTCCCCCCCAAAATGGTTTTGGGATGTGCTAGTTTAACTTGTTCATGGATGATCTAGAGCAGGGTTTCCCAAACTTGGATCTCCAGCTGTTTTTGGACTACATTTCCCATCATCCCTGACCACTGGTCCTGCTAGCTAGGGATGATGGGAGTTGTAGTCCAGCAACAGCTGGAGACACAAGTTTGGGAAACCGTGATCTAGAGTTGGGGTTGAATAGTGACGTAGTCAAGTTTGCTGATACCACATTTTTCAGGGTGGTTAAAACCAAATGGGATTGTGAGAAGCTCCAGAAAGATCCATCTAAACTGGGTAGTAAAATGGCAGTGAAGTGAATGGGCAGTAAAATGGCAGCGGTAGTGGTAGTCACTAGTGGACTGACCAGGAGTAAGACCTGGGCTCATAGCGGTTAACTCTGATGAAGACAGCATGGTAGCAGTCATTAGCAAAGGGATTGAAAATAAAACTGCCAATATCATAATATCATTATCCAGATCTGCGATGTGATTACACTTAAAATACTGTGTATAGTACTGGTTGCCTCACCTCAAAATGATACTGTAGAGCTGGAAAAAGTTCAGAAAAGGGCAAGCAAAATGACCAAGAGGGTGGAATAGCTCCTGTGTGAGGAAAGGTCACAACATTTGGGGCTTTTTAGTTTAGACAGGAGACAAGTAAGAGATGACCTGATAGAGGTGTTATAAAATTATGCATTGTTTGGAGAAAGTGAAGAGAGAGAGGGTTTTGTCCCTCATAATACTATCCCTCCAATTCAGGCCATCCAATGAAGCTAAATGTTGGAAGACTCAGGATAGACAAAAGAAAGCGCTTATTCACTTCTCACAGTGCCGAGTTGCACACAATAGCTAGTGATTGCTATCAAGAGTAAGGAGAGGATGTTGGACTAGATAGGCCTAGCCTGATCCAGCAGGGATGTCCATATGTTTATGTTCTTAGTAGGTCAAAGCTGGGAAGGTTTAGCAACACCCTTTTCTGGTCAGAAGGCATCAAATGCATTGAGATTGGGTGTCTTTAGGCAATGCACAGATGGTGGAATGCACTCATAGATGCACTTATGCTTTCATTTGCCTTTTTAGATTGAAAACAAACCTCATTGCTGGGTGTCTTAAATTGAAGATTAATTCAGATGGGAATGAAGCATGTGCTTTCAGAAACTTTGGGTTGCTTTTAATGATGAGGGAAACTGCTCTGGAAAGCGAAAAATAACCTGTCATTAACAAAAACAGAAACTTTTGCCTCCAAACCACGCTTTGCTGGGGCAGGGGGTTACATGCCCTTACTAAGGCTCATTCACATGGTGCCAAACCGGGTTCTAGCATGATCTCTGAGCTTTGCCTCTGAGTAATTGGCCATCTTCTTAGCTATGAGATTGTTTTCCCATTGAAGAAATGTGTAGAAGCGAGCATGTGGATAGTATTTCATGCTTCCTCATGCTTTTTTAATGGGTGTAGAGTGGGCACAGTCACTTAGAATGGAACTGTTCTTCTACTTCCCAGTTGGTATGTGGCTCAAAGGCCACTTTGTGGAGAAACAGGGGTTTTGACTTGTTTGCAGATGTCCGGTTCTTCCTAGTGGACATAAGATAGTCTGTCCTACCTTCTTCATTCTGTAGGAATGCGAGAAGCTGCCTTATGCCGCTTCAGAATATTCCATGCAGCTGTGTGCACCAGGGCTATAGAACGTCTGATTCAGAGGCCAAATAATGACCCTCCAGACCTCTCTAATGAGGCTTTGAGACCCTACCCAGCACATACCCCTTCCACAGGTCACACATCACATCAGCCCTGCTCCACACCCTCCTCACATGCTTTTGCTTGTTCCTGAACTGACGTAGTGCCTTTTGGATGCCTGGATGGAGAGATGTGTTCATGGGAGTGTGTAAAGAAACTTCTAACCGTCTGTAGCCTACTGTACAAAGGTAGGGCTCATGCCTGTTGCTCACCCCACTTTTGCCTTTGGCACACCCACCAATGGCATTAGGCACCCATAAGGTTGTCCATGACAGAATGTGGTCCTTGGGCTCAGAAAAGGTCATGACCCCTGGTCTACACAGACTGATATGCATCTCTCCATCAAGGCATGCAGGAGTCGTTCCCGGCCCTCACTGGAAATGCCAGGGGTTGAACTTGAGCCCTTTGGCATGCACAACATGTGTTCCACCTCTGAGCTGAGTGAGGCCCTTCACTTGTTGCTCTCTGTCTAAATTAGGGGGTTGGATAATACAGGAACACCATGGGATGTCTATATCTCTACCACGTCCTTTTACTCATCTTCTCTATGCTTAGTTGTGTGTTCAGTTATTATATTGCATTGTGGTGAAGGTCTTTGGGGTCAGGCATAATCTGGGCTTGGGAGAAAGGTGTACTTATACTGTATATTATATAGTGCCTTCCAATCCAATCCAAGGCAGCTTTGAACCATTCAAATCTCATCACAACCAGTGGACGTTCAAAAACTAGAAGCTAGATCTACAGCTGCTATGAATTAAAACGCACTATAAGTCTGACAGAATAGAATCTTAACGGTTCGTGCAAAAGACATCAAAGAAGGAGCCAGTCTAGCTTCCTTAGGAATGAGTTCAACAATGGGAGTTCCATTACTGAAAAGACACAGTCATGGGCCTCTACCAATCATCTCTCTTGCTGACGGAATGTGAGCAGGGCCTGAGAACATTGGCCATAATTCACAGGCAGATTTTAATGCAGGATGATGTTGTGATTGAAGGAGAATTCTGTCCATAGTTAGGAGAAGGGGCAGTCCCAGAGAGCAGACTGATTTTTTTGTAAAGTGCTGGTAATTGGAAATTCATGACTATACTCTTTAAGAGATTCTGAAATTAACTGATCCCCTGGTCTACTGTAGAGCAGTGAGGAATACTGTAGAATGACATGAAAATTATTGAAGAATTTTATGCACTTTATTGTAGTATCTGCACAGTTTATTTCCTTTAACTAGAAGTAATGATAGCTAGCTAGCTAGCTAGCTAGATATAGACAGACAGACAGAATAACTAATTTCCATTTTATTGCATGTATCACGATGGCTTCCCCCTCTTTCTTTCTTTGCTAAGGAGCACTTCAGTGGACAAAAACTGTAGCCTTTTTTATTCTCAATTTGAGAATATCTATGAGAGCAGCCATGGGAGTAAGTAATATGAGCACCACTCCTCCTCTGCCTTTTTTTCTTGTGGGATTAGCTTCTCAGTAGCTAAGGCTGCAATCCTATGTAGACTTACCTGGGAGTGAGTAGTACTGAACTCAAGGGGGCTTACTTGAATAGACACATACTAGGTTGCACCTTAAGATTTCTGCCCTGAAGCTCAGTATGTCTGTTGTGATTTGTTAGTCAGAAGCAGCAAATGCATTCCTACATCCTTTCCTGCTGGATAAAAGCTAAATTGTAAAAATTGTTGTTGTTTTTTGGTAGTCTATCCCATTTCATCCCAAGGTTTGGATTATGTAGCAGTAATTTTATGAATTATGAACAGATTAGAACAAATAAAAACTCTCAACCACACATTTCTTAGCCTCCAAAATTGGATAAATAGGATTTTTAAAAAATGCTGCTGCTTTGATCTCTTGTTACTTATTTTTGTATCTTAACTACTTCAGTGCCTATCCATTTACAAATTGATTTTTAAATATGGATTTTTTAAGGAGTTAAATGGTGTTTGACATGTGCACATATGAAAAGAAGCAAATGTTGCTTAATTCAGTTTTGATTTGTGTCAAGTGACTTACTAGCTTTTTCTTGGCAAAGAACTGAGGAGAGTAGGGCTGTGATACAGAACGCTGCTGTCTCTGACAGTTGCTTGGTGTGCTACTCTTCCCAGGCTCAGGTTGACTCTGTCCACAGACAGCATAGTAGGAGCATCTCAACAGCATAGAACATCTCATGTTCTGGAAATCATGGCTTGACATCTCCTGCTGCTTTCCCCATATTCTGCTTTGACCCTGGTGTGCAGAACCACAGCATAAAAATATGGCCAAACTAAAGATCCACATCTCTCTACGTTTTGAATATCAGGAATCCTGATTCAGGATTGTCAGTGGCTATATATGCTTCGCAAGATGCAAGCAAGAAATGTTAATAGAATAAACAATCTTGGTTATTTTTCTTAGCTTCTGGTTTAGAAACACCCCGACCCAGATGTTCTTGGAAGATATTAATATCTTTCCTGGATTTTTCTAGCCTCACGTCAACAACATTTGTGGCTGTCCAGAATACAAGTTTGTGAGAACCTCTGGTAGTGCATAGTTTGCTCTGTAATGTTCATGTTGGTGTGTGCCAACTTATCTAGCCCAGTTTTCTGTTCAGTCTTCAAGCTGTACTTTGGGCTGCCGTATAGCTAGCCTGTAATGAAATAATGTAGTATAGTAATTACTAGCCATGGGGAGAAGGGATTAAGGCCAAATGTAGTTTGATATTATGGCTCCTGGAAGAGTATCTTTGCAAGGTAAAACAGTGTCTGAATGTGTGCAAAGTAAGCAAGCCAAAGTATTAGAAGGGAGAAACCACTCTATTCTATCTTCTTTTGCTCCAAAGAGATGGCCCATTTGTGTGTGGGGGGGGATCCTTGGTTTTTTTGCACCAAGCCTTGCAGAAATTAGTTTTAATGGAATTTCATATGTTTTCTTCCTTCCTTAGTCTTGACCCCCCCCCACATACACATACATGTAAATATTTGTTTGTGTATAATGTGTCAAGTTCTTGCCCACAGACTTAGAATTTTGTGTTGCATTTCTTTCTTTGCACCTTCCAGCCTCATTTACTGTGCCAAAATTAAATTGTGTTGTAATTTGGTTTTAATATCAGAGACATCTGTAATATTTAGAGTGCCTGGGTTTAGACTGGTATTTGAGCTCCTTTTGTGTTAAAAGAACTAGAACTTTGTATATGGAGCTTTAGCTGGCCACGGACAAGGGAGACGAAGCCTGCACCGCCTCACACCGTTGCTGGGCAGACAATTTCAGATGCAGATAACAACATTTTATAATAAAAGGGCATTTTTATTTAAATGTAACCCGAGAGGAAATCTACCCCCAGGTTACAATTATTATCATTACATGGATTAAAGTACTACCAAAATAGCTAGATGCTTCGTTCTCCCAAGCACATCTGCCCTTCTCAAGGAGAAAAAAGGCAGGGAGATGGTTCATTTAAGCGCGGAGCGGAGCGGAGCGGAGCGGAGCTGGCTTGTTGTAATTACACTAGGTGCATGAATAATCTAATACATTCCTGAATTTGATTATTTACAGCAGCTTTTGGGGCAGGGGTGGGTGGGGAGAAACAAAGTTAACTTTTAATGGCTATATTAAGTTATATAAAAGGTACACTAACCACAGCAGTGTTCTTGTCTATCTAATCCAGTTATCTGAATTGGCCAGCCATAGGTTAATTGTACATTTAAAAAACATAACACAACATCAGCACTGTGTATAGAATAGCATCCTTTTTAACCCTGTCTGGGATCAAACTCCTCTCTGCTGTGATGACAGCAAAATAAATAATTTGCCCTTCTCAAGTCTAACCCAAGGATAATTTTCTGGCACCGATTTTTGCTTTCTGTCACAGTGATCCAAAAGCACAGGATGCCCGAGCTATTAGAATTTTATTGTAGATACGAAGAATTCAATCTGGGGAAAAGGTTCCTCATTAAAAGCAAACCCAGAACAAGGTGCTTTTAAGGGGCAGGCAGTGTGTCTAGTAATACCAAGCAGTTTTGTTAAGCTGATTCAAGCAGAAGACTGACTCTTACAGTTTCTGACACTTACGTGGCTGACTGCACATATCCAAAAGGGCGAGGTGGTCATCTGGAGCAGGGCTTGTGACCTCTGTAAAGGGAGCAATTGCTTCAGTTTTTAGCCATGCTATGACTTGTTCCAAGAAGCCTAGAAGTAAGTTGAAAAGTATGGGCTCGGGAACCTACTTTCCAAATTAATATTAGAAGCAGTAGCTGACTAAAGCAGTTAAAAAGTAAGAAATGGCCCCCTCTTTGGTCCAGCAAGGGCACTCTTTCTTCTCCAGAAATAAAAACAGGCTTGCTTATATAGCAAATGTTTATTCTCTGAAAGTCAAAGCCATTACACAATCTTGTATTCCACAGCAGTTTTCTAAAGGGGGATGGTACTCTCTGCTACAAGTTACTGTCTCTACTACTGAGCAGGCTGTAGTCATCTGGGATGTGTAAAGAGCATTCAATTCTTTTTTGTCAAAAGATGGTTGCTTCTGTTGTGCATAATAAATGGATTCTGGGACGGTCAGACTAGAATTGTTAGAAGAAAAGGCCTCCATAATTTCTAGGGGAGATGAAGGAAATTAAGAATAAACCACAGTAGTCCATCCAAGGGAGATGAAGAGAATTCCTCTGTGCTTTTCAGTGAGGAGATGCTTTGTAAATATATATTGTCTTCCCTCTCCCTCCCACAATGGATATGGGGTTTGACCCCACTCCTTCCCCCCTCTCCACCTTGGCTGCATCCTTCCTGTGGATTGCTTCCTATCCATCTGCCGGTGTCTGTTCTCGTTCCTCATAGGACATGATGAGAGGATCTGAAAAGACTGAGCTGACTGATTCACTGTCCAGCTTGAGCTGTAAGAGTCTGGGGCTTTTAGCTTCTGGAAAGTCCTCGCTGACGGCCAACCTGACCTTGCCATTCTGGGCTTCCTTGATGGGCTCTAGGAAAACAACATGCTTGTTTGCACTGATCTTGCGATTTGGCCCATCTGTGGCTGGCGGGGTGGTACTAAGGATGGATGATTGGGCGCTGCAGTCTGGAGGGGGGCTTGCAGGCTTCTTGAAGCACTTGGAGCAGCGACATGGTGTGAGGTACAAGTACATGAGGACAAGTACCAGGGTTACAACACACCCTAAGAGGGTTGTGAGGCCGGTATTGAAAGACTCGGGTGGTTTGGGGTATTGAAATGTGATGTTGACTTCAAACGTCTGGTTGATCTGTTGGAGCTCGTTGATGGCTATGCACACATAAACACCGGAATGGGAACGGTTACCCTTGCTGATCAATAGGCTTCCATTTCTGAAAGGTTGATGCTCCTGATTACTGTGCTCAGGGTACATGAATAATTCATGTCTAGGAGAGATCCATCTGTAGTTTGTGGCATTGTCATTATGGAGGCTCGTGTTGCAGTCTATTACCAAGGATTCTCCCACTTGGCAGAGGATTTGGGGAATGTCAAATTGGTTCCAGGAGCAATCTCCAATATACTTGTTGTAATTGAAGGTGTTGACTAAGGAACGTGGCACATTGGGGAAAGCTTTGCAGGTGTGCTCCTCTACAAAATCCTCCGCAGAACTGAAACCGCGGTGCTTCCATTCCTGGAGCATCAGATGAAGAGAGCAGTCACATATCACAGGGTTGTTGTGAAGGTACAAGCCATTTTTTATGTACCCAGGCAAAGTTGCTATTACTTGAACAGGAATGCTGCTTAGGTTGTTAGCAGACAGATCCAGGGTTCTCAGGTACGGGTGTTCAAGTCTTTGAAGGGACTCAAATGGAAATTTTGTTAGCCTGTTCCAACTCAGGTAGACTTTTTGCAATCTGATTAACTTGACAAAAGCATTTTGATCGACTTGTACAATCTTGTTGTTGTATAGCAAGAGCTCCTCCAACTTCACAAGGCCATCAAAGTAGTACTTCTCCACAGTGCTCAGGTAGTTGGAAGACATGTCCAGGTGTAAAATGTAAGTGGCATTGTGGAACACTTGCCGGGTGATATTGTGGATCTTGTTGTGGCTGATCCTGAGGGTCTGGAGACGTGGTAAGGTAGCCAGCCAGTAGTCATTAAGCTGAGTAATGTTATTGTAGCTGAGGTCCAAGGTAGTGGCTGTGGGAAGCAGGGTGCTGGGGACCTGTTCAAGATCCTTCTTGGCACAACTCATGAGATCAGCAGTACAAATGCAAACTTCAGGACATCTTCTGAGAGTGCAGTTGTTTAAGGTGCTGACTTGAATGCACAGGACAAAGAAAACTAACAGCTTTCCAAGCAGTTTCCAAATAAATAAAGCCAAGGTCAGTACATTCATCATGTAACAGTGGAGCTCACCCTGGTTTGTCACTAGCATGGAAATAAGTTCTCAAAGTCAAATTCACACTGAGTAGAATCCTCTTGCAAGACACTGATGTGTGAAAGGGCAACAGTAGAATGAATCGGTAAAATCAGATGGTTTCTAGAGACTCTGAATTACGCTCCTTAAAATATTGGGTTGTCTCACTCAGAATAAACAGGCATTTAAGAAATATGCTGTAATCAAAGGCCAGCAGGTAACTGCTGTTCTGCATGCCTCTCTTGGTAGTTGTAGAAACTGGCAGGAGTCTGTGTGCACGTATTGCCTCAAATAATTTCAAAAACAAGGTATGTCTATATAGATCATCTTGAGCTCTGATTCAAAAGCCTTGAGCATGTTTACAGGATTTGCCTCTAAAGTGTCCCTCTCCAAATAACCCAACCTTGCATCTATTTGAGGGTGCTTCTTCAGTAACACTGGTCCAGGGAGAAGCTGGATCCATTTTTTTTGCTTTGCCAAGTCAAATGTCCTTAGATCCCAAAGTTTCCATTAGTGGATCCTTATCTTGAGGCTAAGCAACTCCAGTACAGATTCATCATAAAAGGGCCAATACGAGCCCATTTCTTCACCTCTGTAATCTCATATAGAAACGCCAAAGAAAGCAGCTCTTACCCGGATATCTTCCTTTCTGGGTTATATTGAGCAGCATCACTCTTTCCTGCCGGTTGTTTCATCTTTCAGCCGACAGCACTGTATGCAAACACTTTCACCCTCTTCTGCTCCTATTTACAAGCTGCCTGTGAACACTGAAGGGTAAGCTTTGTGGACCAAGAAGAAATCCTATTGGCTTGTGTAAGAGGGAGTGGTGATAAGAAGAGAGGGGAAGAGGAGGACAGTAGTGAAGGGTTTTTTTTTTCTGAATGGCATGTAGTTTCTTTGTTGTGCCGTGTGGGGGCAGAAAAATCCTGCACAGCTATCCTTGGACTGGGTATCAGAGTGGCACATGAGAGCTGCAGCAATTTGCGCCAGCAGCACTATTACAAGGGGAGATAAAGAAGCAGGCTTAGTAAAAGGAGGGGGTGGGTCTTGCGAAGCAGCCCAAGCTCCTCTGCTGTTTACAGTTTCTCAGTGCATCTATGTAAGTCTTTGCAATTTTGTAATCTTTGGATCTTGCTTGAATTATTATTATTTTTTTAGGGGTAGGCATGGAAGAATAGATCACACCGTAGCACCAAAGGACCACAACCAAGATTGTGACCCTATTGTTCTGGATAGTATACATGTGATCGTAGTTTCTTTGTGGCCTTCATGACAGCTTCTGTGATTAGGCCTTTTAACTAAAAATATAGTTTAAAAAAAACCTTATGTCAGCATCACAGACTTTCAGTGTATGCACACCTGAAAGCTTGTTTTTTAATACCCAAAGCACAGCATAATGTATAAATACACATTCATACTAGAATGTAGATTTTGGCTGAAAGTTAGGAGAACCTTCTGAATGGTAATAGCCATTCAGCAATGGAACAGACTAACAAAGGTGGAGGTAACTAAGCAGAGACTGGATAGTTATCTGCCAGAGATGCAGATATTGTATTGACCAGTGGGGTGCCCTTCCAACCAGCAACAGCTGCCGGGGCTGTGAAAGCAGCTTCCTAGCAGCAGCATTGCTGCTGCTTCTCAGAACAGGGCAGGGCAGTGGCAAGCTTGGGACTCTCTGTCCCAGTCAGCAGCAGTGCTGCCTCCGTTAGGAGGTTGTGTCCACCCTGCCAGCCACTTCAGCTTCCAACTCCTTGATTCTGTGAAAGCAAATTGAGCTTGAGGCTTCTGTTTTCATTGTGACTGGTGTGTTTGAGTCTTTCAGCCTTTTGAAGTTAACAAGTGACTCCCCTGGCACAGTTCTGAAATTTTCCTCACTGTGGTCCTTCCCAGGATATGGTGTCCTCAGGGAAGGCTTATGGCTGGAGGCAGTGACATCCTTTCTGTTGCTATGCCAGATTATCACCTCACTCTGTTTCTCCAACCTTCATCCTTTGTTGTTACCTTGGCTTCGTACAAGCACTGTACAACCTCATTATCCTTGCAGTATGCTTCTGTAGAGGTATACAACCACACTTTCTGTCACTGCCAAATTCCTGATAGCAGTAGAGTGTTCGGCTTTGAATTCGATCAGTGCTATCTTTACACTTTGGGGTGAAGTCATGCATTATAATTTGCTTGGCTGTACTAGATCAAACAGACCTGTTCCATGCCATCAAACAGACCTGTTCCATGCCATCACAGGTCCTTTTGGTTATCCAGCTTTTCAGTTTATCTCATTTTTCAGTTTTTCTGCATAAGGAAAATGATCATAGAATCATAGACTTGGAAGGGACTCCTGAGGAAGGATGATCTAGTCCACCCCCCTGCAATGCAGGACTATGCAACTGTACTGTAGGGGAATCAAACCTACAACCCTGGTGTTATCAACACTATGCTCTAACCAACTTAGCTATACAGCAAATCATTGTCCTTGAGCAGATGTGCAGAACCTTTGGCCCTCCAGATGTTGCTGAACTACAACTCGCATCATCCCTGGCCATGCTTGCTGAGGATGATGGGAATTGTAGTTCAGCAATATCTGGAGAGCCAAAGATTCCTCACACCTAGGGTTACCATATTTCAAAAAGCGAAAATCCGGGCACAAAAGTTGAGCAACATTCAAAATGCCAGCATTAAAAAAAAGTTGACTCTCCATTCAGATTTTGCCCCTTCTCTTCATTTTCATTTTCTGTGTGTGCTGATGGAATTATTATTGGCTGTTTATTGTGTGGATGATCTTGCTAAGGTGTTAGCAAGTGTTGTTCCTGTGGAGGAAGCAAATGTGTTTGAGAGAGAGAGGGAGGGAAGAAGAGGGAGAATGATAGAATTCTCAAGGGCAGATGCATAGATTTCAGAAGCCAAATCAAACTCCCTACAACCATTGTCTTTTTTTAGTCTGCGCTGTATGCCAGTATCTACATAATTGGTGAGGCACAGGTTATTGATTTTCCTCCCTTCCTCCCTATTTACATATTTGACATTTGTTGAGGCTTTTATACTTTTGGTCTTGATATACTTGACCATCTTGGATTTTCATCACTTCATGGTCACCTCTGGCTGAACCAATAGTGTGACCTCAACTTGCATCCTTTGAACTGGAGGCTGCATTGGTGCCATCAGCCATCAGGTGAGACTGTTGGGCTGGAGAGAGGTCCAACTGCAATAAGTGATCTCTGATCAAAGCAGAGGCAGAGGTGACTGAGATTTGTCCAGTAATTCCAACTCTGTAGAAACACAGTTTGCTCTCCTCAATGGACAGAGGGCAAGAGAGAGGCTGCATGCCATTGACTTACCCTTTGCCCCTAAACAGATGCTTAAAGTTGACCAGGCATGTCTGTAGAGTAATTGCTGGGGCAGAGAGAGCAGCAGCTGGAGGGCAATTTCCTGGGAGAACCAGGCTGCTTTATTTGAGGAAAGTGAAAATCAAAGCAGAATAATTGCTTTCCATTAGTACAGCAAATGACTAATTTGGCTGCAGCAGCTGCAGGACGTAGTGGGTGCTTAACCCTCTATTTTACAAGTTGCAAGGGAGATGTTTTGGGGAAAATATTTGCCAGATGCTTCCCTATGTAAAGTTGCTTGCATGTTTTTGTGCAGCTGCTTTTAAATGTGCAATCAGAGATCCCTACTACATATCTTAAGTGACCCCTTATTGCTGAGTGCCCCTGTCTCCCCTCCTCCTAGCTTATTCCTCTGTCTCTTCCAGAGTGGCCATGTGTTCTGTTTACAGAGGATAGCCTCTGTTTGAAGTCATCCTCCATTTAAAGGGCTCTCAATTCAAAGTCCAATTTAAAGATAAAGAACCATGAAAGAGGAGAGCAGGAGAGGCCTTGATGTTGCCCACCAGCAGTTAGCATGTAGACAGCAGACTGAGCAGGCACACAAGTCCTTCTCCTCTCCATTATGGTAAGATTAGGTGTATTATACTGGCACCCCCCAACTTACGTGTGTTCTACTTGTGTGTGACTGTGTATATGTGCAGCACAAGAAAGTAATTAAGTCATTCAATTCATACCCAGAAGTGGCAGGAGAGAGCTGGAGAGTCCTCTCAGCTCGTGAGGAAGCCCCAAAGAGACCAGAGGCACAGCAGGGCTCAGCTTCCCCACTTAACAGCTGGTGTGTGGGGTAGTGCAGCAGCAGCAGCAGCTTTTCCATGCATCCTCTAGTCTCCTGCCAGCCCCAGAGCTTCAGTTCTTTGGAATACGTGCAGTATTTTTGGTATGAATTAAAGAGAAAGCATTTAAAGGATTTTTAGATGGTGCTTCCCTCTTTACACAATTTCACTTACGAGTGCAGGGGCCTGGGAGATAACCCCTGCATAAGTAGGAAGCTCTGTATGTCTGTTTAAATTTTAGTAACTATTTCTGATGTTAATAATAATAATAATATATATGTATGTATATGTTGCAGCTTTACATATAAATTAGTACATGTGATTTTTATGCAAGTCTTTTTCTTTGAAACATTAATCTTTTGAAACCTGCCTCTTACTTGTAATGCAAGATTGGCTTTCTTTTGGTGAAGCTGGGACCATGCTTTTTAAAAAAAAAATACTTTAAATTCATTTTCAAATATAGGGATGCACTTACACGTATTCATTTTTCTCTGTAGCAATAATTAAGATATCCTACATTTAAACTGATGGAAAAATGACATACCTTCCTCCCCCCAACAGAAAACTAACAAAAATTTATGTGTGTGAGCCAAAAAATGAAAGATGTAGCATCTAATTCATGTGAAGTAAGAACCCTGAGGAAACAGTGCATTCATTTACAACCACTACATATGCTAAAGGGACCATGTTTTAAAGGTCTAAATAGTTCTAAATGCATGTGGTTGGGAACCAACACTCTTCTTTTAAGTGATATGCATCAATTTTAAGTGATCTGCATAAAGTTGGTATGGCAAGTGCATGGTAAATTGACTGCATCCAATCAAGTGCCCTAAACTTATTCCTAATTGCCAAGTGAGTTGAATGCTTCTAATGCAAAGATGTTGGGTTAATCAAAGACCTTTGAGTGCACTACTCTAGCTTGTATATGGGGTTGCCATTTAATGGCCAGTGTTTTTCCACTCTCAGCAAGATTCAGTAGCGACTGCTGCATTTTTATAAGTTAAGTTCAGGGTGTGTGAGATAATTGCCTTTTCATTGTTAAAGAAGGAGATATTTTCTCGGTAACTTTCCATGGTGACATTACTATTGGCTGTTAGACATGCCTTGAGCTGTGCTCCTGACAAATTACTGAACGACAGTGTTTCTCAGGGCTCCGATTTAGGCCTGATGTAGTCTGCATTTGAAATCTGTAAGAACTATGTTACTTTAGCTTTTGTTTTGCAACCCAAAATGTAATGACCTTGAGCTGTCTTGCTCATCTTTGCCATTGGAACAATAGGACTGTACTGACACATCTCTTAAAGGTGACAAGTTTTCTTGAAGGTCAAGGTCTGAAAAGGGAAAGGAAGTGAACTTTGCAGCCAGGAGAGATGCCTTCTTAGGAGTTAATGGTGCAGGCTTCTTCGTCATTTCTGCAATCCCATCCAATAGAAATTAGGCTGGCACTCTGTCACTTCTACAAAACTACCTTTTCCCTCTTAACTTCAGAGTTGTGCCTAATCCCACTGATCATATGACTCAAGCAGTATATTAAGGCAGTGTACTCTTATTCCAGTGTACTCTTATTCTTATTTCCTTTCTGGAAAACCTTCAGAAGGGCCACATGCCAGTGATGGGTAGGGATGGGGCAAAAATGGACAGAGCAATGAATGTGTTTGTGCCCTTTGAACAGTAGGCTACTTTCTACAGACATACACAACCCTCTCTGTCCTCCATCCAGACAGGTTAAAAGGCATTATCAGAGTACAAGGACACATTCCAGCCAGGCAAAACACTCTGAGTGAGGGGGTAGCCTGGGGAGAATTATTGAGGACAGAGAGAGCAGCCTAGACTAGGGCTGTGCTTGACCCTTAGACCTGAGATTCCCTGCCTCTGTGCTATGCCATTGGTCTTCAACTCATGAGCCACAACTGGGTCTGATAGAAGGTGGATCACGCCAATGGTAACTACTGTAAGAGACAGGCTGCAAATGGATTTTAAAAGGGGGTTCCCCATTCTTCAGGTTGAAATGAAAGGCCTCTCCTGGATCTGAAAAAGGAAAGGCTACTCTGGACAGACGACCCTTTCATGAAAATGTTGAATGAAAGAGAGTGATACAGTAACTTAGGGCTGCCATACATCTGGATTTTCCCAGACATTACTGGGATTTCAAAGGTGGAATTGATGTCTGAAAGGAGGCGCTTTGTCCTGGATCTTAGGCAAGTCAATCGAAACAAAAAACAACTCATCAACTTTTGGGGTGTCCTGGTTTTTACTTTTTGAAATATGGCAATCCTAACATAATTTCCATAGACAGGGACTAAAACAGGAGTGTGCCATGACAGAACAGATGAGAGAAGAGGATGCTGCTGAATCTTGGGCGCCAGAAAGGGAGGGATTTTCAGCCCTGCAGGAATATGAGCCTTTGGATTTGACAAATGAACTTGGAAAAAACCAGATTTGGAAAGATAAAGTTTGGTTTGGTTTGGAAATGGGGGGTTGGACTGACCCCCCCCATGCAGGGATGTTTGGACTTTCCGAGTCTGGCAATGGGCCGTCAGATGTTTGGAGCTGTGGGGGCTCTCAATTTTGGAGGGAATCTGAAACATGTCTTCAAATACCACATGGAGTTTAGTCTGGACTATGGAAAAGGGGCTGATTTGTTGAAAAGGGTCAAAAACATTACCAAGCTGGAGTTCCCACGAGTGAAAGGAAAATATGAAGAAGAGCTGCGGAAGGGACATGGAAGAGACTTGAGGGCCTCGGATATAAGATCACCAGGTTAATGTGCTAGATCAATGGGATAAAAAGGACTGACAAAACCCGGGACCAGGAGGAAGGGACGCTGGATGAAGATTGGGTTGTTCTTATTTCATTTTTTACCATTAGGATTGTTTTATAAAATTGATGAATGTTAGAAAAATGTTGAAATGAAATTACTTGGCTCTTGTAAAAATGTTTAAAGAATTAGGTAAGAATGTTATGGTTATGAGAAGTTGGTAAAAATAAGATTTAAGTTTTAAGCTTTAAGGTTTTCTATACGATAAGATGAAAATAGATTAAGGTAATGTAACGACAGAATACTATGAATTATGGAAAGGATTTGCTGCGAAAATTATTAATTAGGATACAAGAAAAGGGAGGAGGAGGAGGTCAAAGAAAGAAGGTAATGAAAGTGGAGAATTTGAGAATCATGGTTTTATTTGTTTTATTTTTATTTTTCTGTTTTGTCTTTTTCTTGTAATTTTTAAAAAAATTACAATAAATAACATTTTTTTAAAAAAATAATTTCCATAGACAGGGTTAGCTCAAATTACCTAATGTTTAATTTAAAAACAACAACAACACAGCCTTTCTGTAATTTAAATAGTCTTCTGGTGATATAGTGTTTTTCTTCCTGAAAACCTTGTAAATATATGTAAAATTAATCTCTGCCCCCACTTGCAATCCTTTTCCTCTAAGCAAATATTAAGTGTTCTGTTTTTCCTTTGTCCATGTCTTTCTTGAATTGTGATTCCAGAGTGTATGCGTATGCCCTGAAGTGAGCTGTAAATGAATTGATTTCTCCTCTCTGATCTTGAAGTGGTGTATTTTCCAGGGAAGGGAAGTGAAAGTGTTGTTGAGACCCAGTGTCAAACATACTTCTCCACAAAATGGATGATGCAAAGCAGCAAAACTTTTACAAGAACTGAGCTGTCCGTAATCCTTTATCTATATATCCAAAAGTATGTGAAGTCAGACCTGGTTAGGCCCATGAACTTTACATTCTCCATATAGTTGATGAAGTAGGCTTGAATGTTGAGGTCATTGAGCTAAAATCGTCATCTGAGATGATGCGGATTTAAGCATTTATTTTATTAAAGAAATTGAACAAAAATATCCAGGTCTCTCTGAGAGCAAGTGAGGATTCACGTGATTGAATTTTCCTTTGTTCATGAAAAAAAATATCCCTTCACCTAGAAAACTAGCATGTCAGGAAGAAGGCCTCTGGTCTGGTCTTCTCTCTGGCATGCTCATTTTCTATGTGTAGGGGAGCATCCCACCATGCGAGCCTCCAAATGCACTGTGAACTGGTACAAGTGAGACACATGTTTACCACTTCAGTGAGAGCTAGGTCACTGCTATGTGGCAGGCTGAGCAGGAAGAGTAATTCAATTAATATCAAATTAGTTTTAGCCATCAGGAAGTGATCTGTGGGTTGTAATTCCATTAGGCCTAACATGCTTAAATTGGACTTTCCTCTCACAATTTTTTTCAAGCTATGCAAAGCTTTTCAGTCTCAGCAGCTGGAGAAGACAACACAAAACCCATTAGCAAAATACAACATGACCATTAAAGCATCTGATGTTTTCTGGAACGATATAAGATTCCTCAGTAGAAATAGTCAAAATTCAACACAAAACATTGGGTTAGCTCAACCATCCATTTCTTTGAGGTCTTTGCAGTTGCCTGTGTCTGGATTTGCACTTTGGTATTGTATCATACATGTACATGGCAGTAGACATGCCACATACAGTCTTTTACAGGACCACTTTGTTTTTGCTGATTTCCCTATAACAAATGCAAGTCCTGAACACACTCCTAGAGAAGGTCACCTGAAGCCCCTTTCTCCATGGCATGTGCACCCTCCTTTCCAGGTGAGCAACCTCTCCATCTCTCAGCAGAGTCCTCAGGACAGTTATGGCACCAGTGTGTGCCCCACAGGTTGAATGAAGCAGGAGGCCTGTCTCTTGAAACAGGTCAGTTCAAAGTGCTCTGGCTGCTCTCCCTGGTATTGGTAAGAGATTTGCGTATGTCTTCAAATGAGTGGTGTTTTGGCAGCACCCTGACTGTGTGTTAATTCCTTTCTCGGCAAGAGAACGGCCTTCCTCATTTTATGAGTAGGAAAGCTAATAGTGCTCTAAAGCAATTCGGTCCCTTCTTCTCTACACCCAAGGGCTGCATTGCTGAGCAGTCTGGATCATTCTGCCCTCGACAAACCACTCACAAAGGCCCTTTCTGAATGTTGACTTAGCCTTCCTTGGAGGAAAGGGGTGCCAGACAGCAGTAGTCCCCACTGGCAGCTTTGCACAGCCATAAAGTTAAGTGTACAGTAGAAACAAATGCATGTTCCTTGGAAATGCACTGGCTGCATCCCAGGAAGCAGGCTTACTGCTTCTTACAAGGATGGAAAGTTCTGCTTTGTATCTGTAACCAATCCCTGTATTCTGATGTGGTCCAACAGTGACCCACAGAGCAGGCTGGGCAACCAGCAGCCCCAGGTCCACATAGGATAAGGAGGGAAGAAAATGGGGGAAGAGGGAGATGTGGATAAAGAGAAAGCGAGACAAGGGAGTAGCAGTGAGAGAGACAAGAGTGTGAACCACTCCAAAAGTACATCAGCACAGTGTCCCGTAAACCCCTGTTTCAAATCAGTGGTCTTCAGGAAATGATGTGGCTTTAATTCTGCTATTTGGTATGTTGAGGGTAGGAAGGGCCCAGTGTGTTTCTCTGTACAGTGCTAGTGCAGTTCATGCTTTCAAATTATCACAATAGCTCCAAGAGTTTATACTGGATTACCAGGAAGCACTGCCCATTCTGCTTCTGGCTGCCATGTGCTTAGCACTGAACTGTACATATTCACTAAATATGGAGGGCAGGAGAAAGGCAGGGCCAGTACTGTTGCTGCATATCTGAAATCTGGGCATTGAGTGGGACACCAGAAAAGGGTACTGTACAATTGTATGCAAATAGACAATTGAGATGACAAGGATCCCTGCATGGTTGAGGTGTCCTCACATAAAATGCCTTTCCATGTACAGGCATAGGTGTGCCTTTGCAGAATCCCACTCAATGTGCAAGTGTCAGAGGTATAGCAACATCGGGGGCAGGGCTAGGAGAACACAGCCCCATCTCCCTTTATGTGTATGCATGGAGGCACACGTGAGGAGGGCAATTGTGCCTTCTGATTTTAATCTTTTGAGATTCCACTTTATGTTCTCACATTTCACTCTTATGAGGTTGGTAGCTGTTGTAATAGTTCTGTGCAGGGCTGCATAATACTTCCCATAAATTTCATCTCTTCAGTTCTTTGTACTATTGGCCTGCTTGTCTTGTTGTGACTGCTTCATTTGCTGATTGTGGGAGCTACAAGTAATGAGACATATCTTCTAATGCTTTGTAATGAACAAAGGTTGGCTTTCAGTTAGGGAACGTGAAAAATTGAGCTTTTTAACAAGTAATTTTTATTAAATTCTTATTGTAAGCATACAAATCTATAATAACAAGAAGACCAACAAAGAACAAAAAAAGCTAATAACAAGAAATTAATCTTTGTGAGTGTGTGTGTGTGTGTGTGTGTGTTTATGTAAAAAACTGGCAGAAACATAACTCCTGTTGCAAATGATATGTTCCATCATGAACATATCATTTCGTGTACCATCATGAAATTTGAGGGTTTAAGTATTCTGTAAGACTTCTTAATCTAGCTATTGTGTTCACCTGTTAAGACAGTTCTTACATATTTAATCTTCTTTGAATGGAAAGAGTAGGAGGAAGTAATTAAAAGTTCTGAATGGTCATTTTGATAAAAGATTATATTATTAAGCTGCAATTCTACATGTATTTGGTAAGTGGTAAGTCAAAATGGCTGCAAGAATGTAGCAGAAATCGCAACTAATTAGTGAGAAATAATACATCACAGCTGGTCCAGTGTAAGTAAGGTGTCATAGTCATTACTTTAAATTCATAATTAGTAGTCAGTGTAGATAAGAGCTTTCTTGAATCATTACAGCAACTGGACTCTCAACATGATCAGGTGTTTATGGCAACAAGATGACAACAAATGTGGTGAGGGAGGTTATTCTTTCGTTTGTTTTTTTAAAAAATTGTGTGTTTTTATGCTGTAAAGCATCCTGTGATCCTATGATGAAGGGCGGTGTATGAATTAAATAAATAAATAAAAATCCTTTTTCAGACTGAGGGTTGGTTTTTTTAATGGTGGAATTCATAAAGTATAACTTTAAATGCCTGAGAATTTGTTTTTAATTATTTTGCTCCTTCAGGACAGCCGCTTTCTTTCCTCTCACATGTGCTTGTTTATAAACAGACAACCTGGCATCAGCATGAAAATAAATATACATAATTTGGTATTTACTGGTTGTCCTAATCATATCCCTCATAACAGAGAAAGTAGGAGGAATTCAACATAGTGATAAGGAGATCATTCCATCAGTGCAAGCAGTTCTGCTTTTCTGGTAGAACAATCTCCCCTCCACCCCCTGTTATGGGGGTTCTTCTGACCCCCCCCCCAGCCAATTTGGGGGTGCATGCTGGGAAGAGGACCAGCCTTTGCTCAGGCTTCCACTAGTAGGACCTGTTTGTTGAACCCGACCCAACAAATGGCTGAAAGAGGTGCTTAAAATGTATGGAGGTACTGCTTCCTAGTCAAGACAATTCATGGTGACATTTCCTCCCCCCGCCTGCACCATTCTTGTTCTTCCAGGCTGCAGCATATAGCAAATGCAGTATGTCAGTCAATCTAGTTGCTAAACAGCTGCCTCTTGCTCTTGAGTTGAATATCAATCAAATGAAGAATGCAATTTCTGCTGTTCAAGATCTATTTAATTTGCCAGGATGTTGTTGCTTTTTGGAGACATTTGCCCTCTGATTGTGTGCAACTTGTACACCAAGGTGGCTGGAAAATTTGGTGATCGTTAAGCTGTGCTACGTGTCTATACAAAAGCCATTGGTTTCTGAGGGACCAGCCTCTGGAATTAAGCAGTCCCCATTTTATGAAGCCTCATCAACCTAGAAAATAACGCATACGATCTTAAGTCAGGTGGACCTGTCAAGATGTCCTACACTTTGAGACCACCAACTCTGTCCAAGAGGGAGTTCCAGATGTCTTTATAAAGCAACCTGACCCTTAGGAGACACCATATGGGCCCATTCTCTGACTTCCTGCCTTTTCCTCTCCCATTGCCATTGGGTCTGCACCATCCATTGCTGTGCTAGGCCACCAGTGAGCAATGGGAGCAGCCTGTGATGGCCTCAGGGCAGGAGGTCTAACAACAATATTAATGAAGCAATATTGCTCTAAAGACCAGAGAGTGTGTCCTTTACTCCCAGAGGTGCCAGTTCTCATGAACACAAACATGGCCATGTCACACAGCGATTGCTGAGAGCAGCGAGGTGTGCTGCCACTCCAAGACAAGGCCTTCATAAAGCATGTCTGTCTGTCTTTCCAGGGCTGAGCGGGCAACAGCTGTGCTGCTGGCAGATCCTTGTTTCCAGCTCCGTTCTATTCAGTACTTGTTGGGGAACACGGAGCCTCTAGTCCTGGGGATGGCATCAGCTTCTGCTGACAAGAAACATTTCTCCCTGCAGAGCTGTAAGTATCTCCTCTGATTTGCTGTGCTTAACATACGCCATGAGTCGCTTGTTCCTGCATGGCTCCTTGTTGCCTGCCACTTTGCCATTTGGGTAACTCCTAGGTGCCTTTTGTAGAAAAGGTGGCCGCTGAGATCTCCGCTACAGAGCCTGTAAACAGCTGTCTTGTCCTTGCTACCTTGTTGTGTGTCTCCTCCCTCCTTGCCTGTCCCTGCTCTTCCCAGATGCTTTGTGTATTTGAGGCCACCAAATATATTTGCCCTGTGGCAACAACATGGGAATAACTCCCCGTTTTCCTCTTGCTGTGCCTCCGCTCTCCAACAGCAACAGCAACAACTTTTCCATCCTGTTTCCACAGGCATATGGTTGCTTACTCTGAGAATAGGATGCTGAATTAGATGAGCCCATGGGCCTGATCCAGCAGGGCCCTTCTTACGTTTCCTAAGAAGGATCAGCTAAGAATTCAGACAAAAGAATAGGTTTAAAAAGGGGGGAAAGTGTATATACATATATGTAAGCTCATTAGCCTCTCTTCTAAGAAATATTCAAAGCTGCTTTTCCATAAAGCCACATGGAAAAATAAAGCCACACTTTAAAATGCATCTGCTGTAAAATAAGAACACAATAAAACAAGATAAGACACAACACAACACAATAAAACAAGATAAGTCACAAATTGGGTGGTGTGAGCTGACTGTAGCTCCGTGCTTAGAGCAGGTGCAGTGTATCCTTGAGGGGGTTTAGCAGAGCAATGTGGACTTGTGGGATGCCCAGTGGTAGGGCACAGGATTTGCATGCAAGGAGGTCCCGGGTTCCGCCTTCTTACATTTCCAGGTAAAAGGATCAGGTTAAAAAGGGATGTGAAATAGTTTTGCACAAGACCCCCTAGAGCTGCTGCCAGTTAAAATAGTAAACTATACAAGGCTGGATTGACTCAAGGGCCTGCCTCAATAGAAGGCAGATTCCTGCATCAGCAATGCCAGCAACAGAGGCAGCGTATTCTTCAGCTGCTCAGGTCTACTGTCCTGTGGCACAGCAGAGCAGCACATGGCACTGCTCACGGTTCCCCGGAGGGACCCCCGGAGGGCTGTGTAGAGTACCCACACTGTGCATCCACCCCACTGTGTGTGTGTGTTTTCAGAGAAGAAGAAGTTTGCATCTTTTCTTATTTTATTTTCACTTAACTTTGCCCCACAGCCCATTTTAAGGATCCAATCCTATTTGCTGGGTAGGATGGCAGCAAAAAAATTTTCTATAGCGGAAAAATACGTACTGTTATGTATGCATTTGCATACCAAACTGCCATGTGCCATCTCTTAAAAGAAATGTGTGTCCAGTCAGAGAGAGAGAGAGAGAGAGAGAACCAAGCTCCTGTCCTTGGCTCTGCCCATGCCCTTGAAGTTTGCTGAGATAGAGGAAAGCAATTGGAGCGCTGAGATGGAGGAAACCGTGATCCCTAAGGAATAGTGCAGGCTTTATTTACACAACCTCTAGAAACTGTTAGTTCCATGGAGATCTTGAGCTGATGACGAAATAAGGCATTATGTGATTGGGGTAGTGGTGCAGAGCTGCTGAAGTGATTGAGAACTGTGGAAGATTACTGCAGCAGGCAGCAAATCTTTCTCTTTCTTTTAACCTCTGCTGAATTGTGGCCATTGTGATTTATCTCACTCTCTGACTGAAGGCCTCCTTGCCTCAGGCTTGCGCGGGGGGGGGGGGGAGGCATTTCCAGTTTTTGTTCTCCAGCTGCGAATGCATGCAAACCAGGGCCAGCCCTACCATTAGGCAGAGTGAGGGAGATACTGTGGGATAGGGAGCAACAGCAAAGTGCTAAAGGGCAGAGCCGTTATGTGCAGGGCCCGCTCAAGATAATTTGCTGCCTGAGGCAAATGACTAGGTGATAGCCTCTCCCCTCCCTCACCATTCCATGCACAGAAGTTGACTGGACTGCACGCTGCATCAGCACTTGTGATGGGATAGCATATTTCAGCACCTGAGGGCAGCAAGCTAACTTAGGAAGGTGCAAGACAGGCCACATGGCACACACAGCTCTGTCCTCCCAAGGTGGGGAGCTGCCTAAAGGACACTGGAGGACTGGCCTGGGGATGTTGCTTCTCCAGTATCTGCTGCCTAAGGCGGCTGTTGCGCTCTGCCTAATAATAGGACTGGCCCTGTGTGTTTGCCATGCAATCTGCCCTATGCCCAATGTGCTAGGCTGCTGTCCTTGGGTGCAGTGGAGGACCCCGTCCCATTGTTACTGTTGAACTAAGATTCAGTTGCCAGTCTGGTTGGCTTTTATACATGGCATGGGAAGGAGGGTGCCATCTTGTCCTTCAGACCTCAGGCAACAAAACATCTTAGTCCAGCCTTGATAAAAAGCAATACACTTCCAGGTTTTTACAGAACTGAGGCATCTTAGAGAGGCCATTTAGCCAATATGATAAACTGTATCTTAGCTCAAGTATGATCTCTGGTTTCTTCCCTTGTGAATCTCTGCTGAGCCCAGGAAAGCTACATCCAAGAGAAATGGAAGGGGGTAATGACAATTAATCTACCATGTCCAAATATGCTCATTGTTGAGTGCTTGGAAAAAATTTGAAGCAGTACTATGGAAAGTTGATGATGATCCTCTGCTGGCAAAAAAAAAGGAAAGTAATATTAGAAAGTGCTCTGGGTTTACTGTTAACTGGGAATCCTAACGCTCAGGGGATGCCTCACATGGAACAAGGCTGTTCCTTGGGGTGGTTGCTGCTGTATTAGAGTCTACAGGGAATATAACCACTGTCCTTTCCTTCCCGCTAATGTCATTATTAAGTGGGACTTCCCTGCCTGCCAACTGCAGGTTCCCTTTTCCTGCTGATAGAGTGAAAACGTGTGCTAGAGGGAAGGCAGTAGCCTGCAGAGGACACCACAGGCAGATTCTCTTTTGTTTTCCGCAATGCACTGTGCATTATATCTTAAAGAGGCACTGTTAATTGTTTCCCAGAATGGAGCATGCTGAGTCCCCTGCCCCTTCCCCGTCAGTCTAGCATTACCTACTGTTGCACCCTCTTGCCTCGCTCTGAATTCCCTTACCCTACAGCAAAGTGCTTGTGTTCCCATCCTGTTTCTGGGCTGTGGAGGGACTGTTCCCGCCCCACCCATCAGAGAGTGTCTGTCTAAAAGTCTGATTCCAAAAATGCATGTACTTGTGTATCTGCCAGCAGCACCACCTATGCTGTTACTGAGCTGGCCCAGCGGCTGATATTCTCTGCCATAGGCAGTCTTTGCAAATATTAGATCCGCTTCTGAAGGTTGCTTCATAGACTCGGGTGTATGGGCATGGCCAAAGTTGCCCTGTGCCTTCTCTGCCAACCATTTTTTCCTGCTCAACCCAGTAAGGAAAACTATGCTAGTTCTCGCAGGCACTTTGCTGTGTCAAATCCCAGAGGCCTAAGCAATCCAAAGAGGCAGAGGTCAGAGGCAGTAATGCTTCTGAATACCAGTTGCTGGAAACTGCAGGAGGGGGAGGTGCGCTTGTGTTCAGATCCTGTTTGTGGGTTTCTCACATCTGGACTACATGGGCCATCGGCCTGATCCGGCAGAGCTCTTCTTATAAACACGTGCTTATCAGAAATGTGAGGGGTGGAGAGAGAGGCGGAGGGGTGTGTGTGTGTGTGTGTGTGTGTGTGTGTGCCGGAGCATGCATGCTTCAGAAGATCTTTCTCACATATTACAGCTGGAGCCCTTAATGGCACTGACAGTAATGTTGCTTAACCTTTGTAGGATCACTCCTGTGTTCCTCCTCATGAGTTGCTCAGATAGGAAGCCTTTAATGCCTTGTGACAACTGAAGAGTTTACACCCCTTTCATGGATACCTTGCCACTCCGGATGCAATATTTAACATCCATTTCCTTGGCATCGTCTGGAGGACTTGGTCATCTTTGATCGCATGGTCTATGGGGTTCTGAAAGCTTGCATATTTTAAAACATAGATCAGTATTTCTCTTCAGCACTCTAAATCTCTGGGTTGTCTAATTGTAGCAAGAGTTGTGGCCACAATATGCCCAGGGAAGCTATACCTGCATAATGCTTTCCATGCATGCTGTCATGTGGTGGCTTTTGAGAACTCTACCCTTGTCCCTGTCCCATAGATCACTACTGCGCAAAGCCGTTTTCCTCTGTCCTGTGATAACACTGACAACAAGGTGCCTCACCTCTTTGCGCCTCACTTGGTTAACAGATCAGCTCATGCTGGGCTCTGCCACCATGTGGCCAAACACCTCCATCGCAGCTTCATTTCAATCCCTCCCAACCAGTCATTGGTGGGATGGGGCTGAAAAAAGAAATTCGGGGCAAGGCCCCCCACACCCCCTGCTCTGCATAGTGATAGTAGAACCTGTGCCCCCACCCCCTGCTGCCACTTGTCCTTCCTTTATCATTAATCTCTCTCTTTTTCTGCAGACACTGATTACATCAGCCAGGAAGAGCTGGCCAAGGTGGAGCAAATGCTGGGCCACCTCAGTGAAGAGTCCAAGCAGGCTGCAGCCTCCACCTTGGTAAGCTTCCACCTAATGAACTGAATGTGTGTGGCCACTTGCCCAAGGCACCCTCCATAGCACCACCCCTCGCAGGACCTCAACCGAGGCAAAATATCAAGCACCGGCCCTTGCTGCATTGCCTGAGGGAAGCGAAGGCGCAGCATTCACAGGGTCCTGCAGATACAAGGGCCACTATTGACCTTGCTTGGCAACACTGGGTGTCTCTGTTTCTTGGGTACCTGGTTTGGCTTGGACATGTTAAGACTATATGGGGTAAGTGTCCAAGTTCCATGGCAAAGGTTGATGCTGACCTCTAATGCTGTAGGGCAGCAATAGCCAATGTGGTGCTCTCCAGCTGCTGCTGGACTCCAGCTCCCATTATTGCTGACCATCGGGAGTCCAACAATATATTGGCATCACCCTCATAACCACCCCTGCTTTAGGCCTAGTTCTGAGCCATCTGTAAGGACTGTGTTTTCCTGTGGAAGCAGGATCTGAGAGTGGGCACAGGTAGATGCGTAGCATACATATGCACAGCACACTTACTAAGCTAATAATATCCTCAACTTCATTAAGCAGGGGTGGTTATTCTTTTTTTCGGCTGAGGGTCACATTCATCCTTGGCCCATGCTCGGAGGTTTATATGCCAGTTGTGGGGGTGCCCACCCTAACCGCTTTCATGCACACATACATGACACACTCAAGAGCCGCACAGCCCCCCCTTCTCAGCTGATCCATGCTGATCAACCGAAGAAATTGGGTTATTATCCCCTTTCTGCTCATCAAATGATCTGCCTGATGACTAGGAAGGGGGAACATCGAAGGTTCTGAAGCCCACCTACCTCATACCGCGTGTATTTCACTATTTCCCTCCTTTTTCTGGCACTGCCAAAATTGGTGGTGGGGAGTCAGACAAAAACTGACTGAGGGGTCAGATCAGCCCCATAAACCAGGGTTTAGCCAGCCCAGCAGTAGTACAACATAGAATGAATATGAGAGTCAAAATTCCTGTGCTATGTGCTCACTTTACAAGGTCACCAAGTACAGCACTTACTTATGACCACTGAAATATGCTTCTTCTGTGTGTTCTTCACCATCTGTAATCTGCAAACACCCAGCGGCCAAGCAGATATCCCAGTGGGAAGGAGTTCCACTGTCTTCAGGGAAGTGAGGCCTGAGAGCTCCATTCTCCCTCCCCTCCCTCACCCAACCCAAATCTTTGCCCAAACAATTCCAATTTCTTTTGAAATTCTGAACCTTGGAAGCAGAATAAGCTGTTCAAGATGAATTTGCGAAATTGAAGGCACAGAACTGGGTTTCTTTGTTGAAAAAAAATTGGACTGGATGGGCACGGAGGGAGTAGGAGCTTAAGCAGCACAGAAGCTACCCAGATGGACTCCGGCTGCTGAAGCAGCCCCCGCGTGTGTTGCTCTGTCTGGGTGACCTCCAGAGAGAAGCTGTGATCCAGGAAGCAACCTGATCTCTGCCAGGGGTAGGATCTGAATTATTAATGTGGCTGCTCATCTTCCAGCTGCAGTTTGGAGCTGCATGAAGGCTGCTGCAGGAGGACGGGGTGGGGGTGGGAGAGAGAGCTGATGGGATGGGAACACACTGTCCCTGGGTTCAGTAGGAACTCATGCTCTTAGCCTAGGCCAACCCCGGGGCAGGAAGCAAGCCTTCATTAAGAATCTCAAGCTAAGCTGAACTCTGTGCATTCTTTGCACAGGGAGATGAGTGCAGAGAAGTTGACTAGCCCCGTATATTCTTTGCTACTGCTTCCGCTGCTGAGATTATTAGCTCTCCCAAAATTATATTGAAAGATAGCAGGATATGTATAGGTGCACTTAACGGTGGTCTTTACAGGCAGAGCTCATGGTCCCTGCTCCAAGGGGGAGATTCATAAGAGATACATTTATATAGTTATCTTTTCAAAACTTTTTTAAAATCTCACTTTCTCCCCCTAGTGGCAGTAGTCTGCTTACTGGGATTCCCTCTCCTCTTGGACAGACAAGGCCCTCCCTTCCATTATGACATCATCCGGGAGAAGGAGTCCTCATAATACCCAAAGGAGTGCAGTCCCCAGTGAAAGACGTTACATTTAAAAGAAGAGGAAATAAAATTAATAGCTTACTTTTTAAAAACACCCTTCCCCTGATTACAGATCATAGTTGGCAAGGAAACATGGGCTTCACTCCACAAGCCAGGGCTTTTCACATCCCAGTGACAGTGGGAGAGAGGTTCATTCACTAATGTTCCTATAGCATTTTGCACCAAGAGCAAGACAGACCTATCACACTCCCCCTCTAGACATCCAGGGCCTAATCAGGCCATGAGGAGGAGCAATCAAAGTGAGGACACTGCCCTGTGAAGAACAGGACACAGGAGGCTAGAATTCCTGTTTTCTCCTCTTTCCTTGGCCATGGAGGTAGAGGTAGCCCTCCAGTTCATTTAGCTCTCCTGAGAGAGTAGAGCCCTCATAGCTGATAGTGGAATCTTCCTGGAACCATTTCCCCTCCTACCTCACTGGCAACAATCTTAAGAGAGTTGCCGCATGGAGCAAAGCAACACAAGTGGTTCTGATCTAAGATTTGCAGCATGTATCTTAAGTAAGCCCTGGCATGAAGTGTACGAAGTCAACCAGCCATTTCAGTTTCAAGCGTCTAGTGCAAAACCTTCATGTTATTAACTGTTAATGAGCTGCTGTTCTTCTACCGTGAGACGCCTTGCATTGCACCATGATGTGGGCTGGGTGTTGGCAACTGCCAATAAGCTGAGTGGATGTGTTGCTTCTTTTGCAGCCCACCAGTGAGGAGGACCTGTGCCCCATCTGCTACGCGCATCCCATATCTGCCGTATTCAAGCCATGCTCCCACAAGTCCTGCAAGTGAGTAATCCCTTGGGGGATGTGGGCTTTTCTCTACTTTTGCTTTCTGGTTGGATGGAAGGGATCCTAGAAGGTGCCCCAGACCATAACTGGAGATTTAATTAACGAATTTTGCCATTTGAACTCTCTGAAGCTTCCTAGCTGAAATCTCCTTTTCACTTGTTGCCCTAATGGAAAGACACAGCAGCATGATGCTTCTGAATAGCTACTTAGGCCAGCTCTCCCATATGCAAGGCTGTGACTGCACTGCGCATGCAGATTAGATTCAACTGATTTGTTTTTTGTAAAAAGCTAGCATTTTAACCTTTCGGGCTGCGAAGTTTGGTTGATAAAGTGTGCCATTTGTAATTCAATCTTAGAAGCCATGGGGAAGGCTGATCAGGATTCAAACTGGTTGGGGGGCAGGGGAAGACTTCAGTGTCTCCCATTCCTCTAAGACATTACAGTGGTGCCTCGCAAGACGAAATTAATCCGTTCCGCGAGTCTCTTCGTCTTGCGGCTTTTTCGTCTTGCGAAGCACGGCTCTTAGCGGCTTAGCGGCTATTAACGGCTTAGTGGCTATTAGCGGCTTTAAGAAAAAGGAAACAAACTCGCAAGACGTTTCGTCTTGCGAAGCAAGCCCATAGGGAAATTCGTCTTGCGGAACGACTCAAAAAACGGAAAACTCTTTTGTCTGGCGAGTTTTTCGTCTTGCGAGGCATTCGTCTTGCGGGGCACCACTGTACCATGACTTAGCACATGCCCCCAAAACAAATTTGTGTAATTTGTTTCATAGAGAAGTTGTAGGATTTGATTTTAAGAGGAAAGTGGGCATTATCTTGCATGCAGAGGACACTTGCTTTTAGGTACTAGATACGTATTGTTGGGCCAAAGCTCGGCCTGTAGCTGTGAACAAATGTCCAAGGCCTCCTGCTCTTGTCTTTCTAGAGCCTGCATCAACCAGCACCTGATGAACAACAAGGACTGCTTCTTCTGCAAAGCCACCATCACGGGTGTGGATGATTACATGAAGCCAGCCACCTCCTAGTGCCTGGACCCTGCAGGGCAGGGCCGCATGCCCAGGCAGCTTCTCCACAAGATGGACTCTCCTTGCTTCGAGAGCACCTCTGTCAAAGGCGGCTGCTGTTCAGCACAGCTGAGCTCAGTTGTGTGTTTTTTTAATTTATAACACTTCTTGCAGGCCAGGCACTGCCATATGCATCCCCTCGGCCACATCATATCCTTCAACCCCCCTGAATTTAGGTACACTTCCTGTTGCTGTCATTGACTCCAAGCCAGCAGGCACTGGGCTTTTCCCATGGGGCATGTACAAGGGGGCTGAACATGCTCAGGTTTTCTACCTCAGCCTGAATCTGTAGCTCCTTTTCTGCATTTGCCCCAGGAAGCCTGTCTCGTACTGTAGCTGGGACACATCCCCTTTGGTGTGGTGCTTTTCTCGATGGGGTAAAAGCTGATCTCACAGGCAACATCGCTCCTGTGAGCCCAGCTGGCCACTAGCCAAGTGTGTTTTTTGCTGCAGCGCTTAGCAGCTGTTTTGACAAGTGTGTGTGTTGCTCAGAGTTGGTTGAGATATTTACGTGGGCATATCGTGCAGCAGCCTGCCCAGCTGTGCCACCTGATATGCTTTGGTGACGGAGGGAGATATTGGCAAGCCATTCTCCCACCTGCAATCAGATGCGCTGGTAAGTGAAAGATTGTACCATCTGTCCACTTAAACATTAGACTCTGCTCTTTGTGCATATAGCTCCTTTCCTTTGCAGGTAGGGACTGCTAGATACGCATAGCAAAGACACAAGGCCCAGTTTTTGGTCTGGGGAGCTTAGTGAATGCAACAGCAGGCACACTATGCCATGACTAACAGAAGTGCAGAGATGATGCCCACAACAACCAGAGGAATGAGTCTGAATAGACTCCCAAGCTTCTCCAAGAAAAGAAAAACAGATATAGCGGGGGCCAGTTTGTCCCATGCATTGTATTCTGGTTGGGAGAAGTACGAGCTAGGTTGATCTTTATGGGCTACTGCAGGGGTGAACCTGATTGCACTGCTCTCTTCCACCAGCAGAAGGTGCCCATGGCACCAGCCCTTCACTGTGTGACCAGGCTGCCTGTACTATCCAGGAGCAGACAAGGATGGTTGCTGTTTTTTAATTTACTAACTGTGTGTGACTTGTAACCAGAAGTGTCGGGGAGGGCAGCAAGCATTGTGCTTGAAGCAAGGAATTTTAACTTATGTGCATCTATGATTGTCTCTCTCCCCCACCACCCTCCAAAGTGGAAGGGGTGTTAACTTCCATACAATGGAATATTATTAAATTATTATTCCTTAAGGCGGTGAGCTATGTGTATTCTTCTCTCCATTTTATGGAGCACTGTCCTAAAGGCTGGCACAGCAGCAGTACAAGATGGGATTGGCTGCAAGGAAGGCAGCGGTAAAAGTCAGCTGCCATACAAAACTGCCATTGTTGTTCCCCAAGAGGAGTTAAAGAAAACATATGACACACCACAGCTCCCATTCTTCATGACAATATAATTTCGTTCCCCGTCCCCATTAATTGACAGAGCCCTGTCCAGAGTTCTTGAATAGTAATAGTTAGTGATTATTGGCCATATGGAGGGAAGAGAGAGGGATCAGTCTCTGTAAGGCAGTAGAGTTCCAAAGAAGAGGGTTGTATTCTGTCTTCCCTTTGTGCAACATGAGCAGCACATGTTATCCTGAAATAAAAGCACAGCATGCTGTTCTTTCTCCTCACCGGGCCTGCCTGGGACTGTTCTCTTGCAGCAGCTGAACTCCTACTGCAGAACCACACAAGCAAGCATTTTCTTCTTTGCACATTAGGGTTACTTTCCAGTAATAGGGCAGTGGCCTGTGGCACTGGACAACCCCTGGACCTGGCCCAGGTCACCGTGCCTTATGCTAAGCAGTGATTCTGAGGAGCACTCCAGCCAGCTTACAAACCTCCTTATCCCACTACACTCCTAGGATTCCAGCAGAAGGTTAGTATTTTCTCAGCATAAAAGTCAACAAGGAGCCCCCGCTCCCAAGGCACAGGGTGGGGATTCCCCTTGTAAGAGGGTAAGACAGGGAGGGCCCTCTCAGCAGGTCCAATACTCAAGGCCCAGGACCGCTACATGATGATGCGTGGCTCCGGTACAGACTCCGCAATAGATTTGTGAGGCAGCACGTTGGCACCATTGAGGTAGAGTTCATCGTTCACAATGACATCCTCTCCCAGCACTGACACATTCTCCATCCGTACCTGAGGAAGGGCGTGACATACAGTTAGACAACTCTATGCTGAGCTGAGAGGAAGTAGTATGTTACAAGTCTATCGACTTAGGCTAAGGCAGTTACTCGCCTGCATGGTACAATCCTATGGCTACTCAGGAGTCAGTTTCTAACAGGTTCTGCCCATGCTTTTCTGGCTCTGGGCTGCTAATTAAAAGCAGGAACAGCCAGAATGAAGTGCCATGATAATTATACCTGTAGAGTTTCCCTAAATCTTACTCAAATTGCCACTAAATCTGGTACCAATTCAACTCATAGGGAAAGGACAGCTTGATACCTGGCACAAAGCAGCACTGAAAGATATTAAATTGGGACTTTATAGGGCAAGTTTCCCTATTATGAAAGCAGCTCTCAAAATAATAAGGGTATTGAGTATGAACACACAACCACCGCAAAGGTACAAGTCCACCATGAGTGAGAGAACAAACATGCAGGCATGTGAAGAAACTACGTCACAGTAGCATTTGTGTGGACTGCGCATTCCAGCTCACTCATCAGTAAAAGCACTAGTTAAGATGCAGCTCTGACCAACATTGCAATTCTTAAGTCCCAGACACACTGGCTGGGGGAGGTTAGTCTATGACCTGATCTCCCCACCCCTGTGGCTCAGGTGGCCTTAAGCTGGCGACTTCACCTGGCTGAAGTAAAGCTCTCCTGGCACAAGCTATCCCAGTGTGCAGGGCAAAAAGGGGGCATGTTATGGCCAGAAACAGGCACATTGGGGCCACCGAGAGGAATAAACAAAATTATCCTGCATTCCAGCTCTCTCCATTTACTGGTCCTGCCCAGAGAGGTAACATTTCCCCACAGAAGAGCAGAAAATGTTTACATTCCCTCAACCTTCAGCAGTTGGGCTGCAGCTTCACTTTCCCCAGTGTGTATCTGCCCGATGAGGATTGCTCTGTCACATAACTCACCCACTGGCCTACAGAGGAGCTCCAGCCAACAATGCAGGACTCCAGCCACGAATGAGACCGGATCCGCGACCCCTTCAGCACAGTGCAACGTTTGATCCGAACCCCGTCCTCTATCACCACTCCTGCCCCAATGGTGACATTGGGACCAATACTGCAGTTCGATCCAATCTTGGCAGTTGGGTCCTGAAGTTGGAGGGGGGAAATTGTGCATGAAAGTTTTTCTTGAGCAGCTTCCACAGCTCCGGTCTGGGAAGTAGCTTCCTCCTCCTCAGAGGAAACTAGATGGGAGAGAACAACATTCCCTCACAGCTCTAGTCCACAAGATGGTAGATGTAATATCAAGAGCTGTTGTTGCCTTGCTCAATATACTACCACTTTTAGATCAGCCTTTAATGAAGTACTGCCCACCCTCGCTCCAAAGAAATACAAGAATATAATTACCACTAATACATTCCCCATGAAACCCGGTCCTGAGTGCAGCCTCTCGGGATGTTTCAGCCGTAGATATTGCAGATACATGCACATGCCAGTCAGAAAGTCTTTGGGCTGCCCAATGTCCATCCAGAACCCTGTGATGACAAAGCTGCATTAATAAGACACCTGTCTCCATTGATGGACCTTATACCAGCCTTCCTCCCCGAAGGCAGCATAAAGCAAGATGTGAAGTGAAACCACATTACGTTATTTCATTCAAACATTGCCCTACAGGGCCCTTGCATGTTATGTGGTATCTTCCACATCTTGATCTTATTTTTACTTCTGAACTCCAGTCCCAGGTCTTCACTGACTTAACATCTAATTGTCTAATATGCCCTCTCCTCAAATCACTGCCTACATTTGTGAGAGCCCCTTAGGATCAAAGTACCATTCCAAATCCTTCCATGTGCCCTTACCCTGCAGTTCCATGGCATAGAGTTGTCCTTGTTCTGCCATCACTGGGAATATCTCCTTCTCAATCGAGGTAGGCCGCAGCTAAGGGAAGGCAAGAGTACTACCAGTTGGCCATTTATGTTGTAAAGACAAGAGATGTACTGTTCCCACAGACATCATCATCCTTAATCTCACCGGCATGAAAGGATGAGATGCCCAACTAAAACCACAACCTCAAACACCCCAGCCAGTCTGCCCTGTGCAAGATCCCTGTTCCACCCTTCCTGCCTCATACCTCGATCCGCTGTAGCACGCTTGGGTTTAAGATGTACATGCCAGCGTTGATCTTGTTGGAAACAAAAACTTGGGGTTTCTCCACAAAGCGGTGTATGCGCCCTGTATCTGACTCACACACCACAACGCCATATTTGGAGGGCTCCTCCACTTTGGTCACCTGCAAGGCAAAGTTGGCATCACACCCAGCCATGGTACTCGGAGGGCACAGAAAGAGCTCTATTGAACTGCCATGCCTAGTTTACTATCCCAATCTCTTATTTTAAAAAGAACCCCATGAGCAAAAGAAAGGATAGGACACAGAAGACCTTTACTCCAACCACTTCTGTTTTTGCATTATAGAAAGATATGGGTGTGCAGTTCATCCCTAAAATAAGAACACACACCCTAATTCTTCTTTGTTTATGAACTAATAAGCGTGCTCCTGTGCATGTAAACAAGGGGAGGCATTTATAACACCCACAGGAGGGGCTTGATTTTTTTTTTTAAGTGGGTTGCAGAGGGTTGGACTAGATGTCCCTTGGGATCCTTTCCAACTCTACAATCCTATGATTCTTTGTTCCTGCAACTACGGTTTTTGCCAAGTATTAAGGGTTTGTGGAAGTGATGGAGCTCTTTCCGCCTATGTCTCCAGCTGGCCTGCTAAACTTAGCTTTCTGGCAGCTCTGCAACCAGCAGAAACTAGGTGGTCCAAGGATCCACGGGCAATTCCAAGCAAAAGAGCAAGGGATCTACCCTTTGGCTTTCCAAAGATGTTGGCAGACTACAGTTATCATCCCTGACTATTGGCTCATGCTGATGGGACCTGGAATCCAGCAACCTCTGGAGGGCCACTCCAGCAATGGAGCATTGCAAGCATGGAGTGGGTGCCCCACAGGTACCGTATTTTTCGCCCTATAGGACGCACTTTTTCCTATCCAAAAATGAAGGGGAAATCTGGGTGCGTCCTATGGGGCGAATGCAGGCTTTTGCTGAAGCTTGGAGAGCGAGAGGGGTCGGTGCGCTCTCGCTCTCCAGGCTTCAGGAAGACATCCGCAGCCTAGGCAGCCCTGCGGGAGTTCCCGCAGGGCTGTCTAGGCTGCAAATAGCAGCCTGGTTCCCGAAGCGCCGGGCGCGCTGAAAGCAGAGTGCCCGGTGCTTCAGGAACACATCCGCAGCTTAGGCAGCCCTGCGGGAATTCCCGCAGGGCAGTCTAGGCTGCGGATAGCAGCCTGCTTCCCGGAGCGCCAGGTGCCCTGAAGCAGAGCGCCCCTCGTGCTGGGCAGACATCCGCAGCATGTTGGAGCCCTGCAGGAGTTCCCCGCAGGGCTCCCCTCGCTGCGGATAGCAGCCTGCCGCCCGGCGCGAGGGGCGCCCTGAAGCAGAGCGCCCCGCGCGCCGGACAGACATAGGCCATCCCCACAAGCTCGGGGGACAGCAAGGAGGCGCAGCGCCGCCATCCCACTGTTCCTCGACCTGGTTCGGTTTCCCCGACCTGGTTTTGGGGGGAAATAAAGGGGAATTTTTTTCCCTTTATTTCCCCCCCACAAAAAAAAACTAGGTGCGTCCTATGGGACGGAGCGTCCTATGGGACGAAAAATATGGTACTTACCACAATGGTGCCCTCTTTTCCATGATGCCTGTGGAAGTGCACCATGTCTTTGAAGGGGAAATCGCAGATCACATCACTGTTGAGCACAAAAAAAGGCTCTGCATTCTCGGTCAACAGCTCCCGCGCTAGTGCCAGGGGTCCAGCTGTGGAGGAAACCAAAGCCCTCAATATTCACCTATTCATGTGCCCTTCAGCAACAACAGCCAGCAGGCACTGCTCAACCCGCTTTAGAAAGTTCCATCCTATATAGCTCCTGATCAGAATTAGTAGTACCCAATCCTCCACCTGCATATAGCCAGGACACTCCAGGTTGCCACAAGTTTTGATTCTGATCCCACATTTACTCCCCCTATAACCTCACTTCTTCACAAGAAAGTGGCTGCTTCAGTTACCTGTGCCCAGTGGTTCCTTCTCATGCGACAGGGAAATGTGAATTCCCAGCTAGGAAACAAAGTAGAATTTGGAAAACAGAATTAGAAGATGCGCACCACCGACAGAATATGTGTACCAGTGACCTGGTTATATACCCTTCCTTTAGTCATCAGATTTTCATAAATCCTCTCTAATAGAACTAGACAACCATATCAATATTATTCAATGATGAATTTATGGTGACCTACAGATTGCAGGCTCCCTGGCTTTGTGGGGTACTTGTTCTAATGAAGCAACAGATGAACAGCATAAATTAAGATGAAATAACTAAACTTTACTTTCCCTCTTAGAAAGTCATGTAACACACCATCCACATTTGAAAGCAAGTCCATTAAGTCCAACAGAATTTCAGCTAAGTTAGGTACACTAAGGGTCAGAGGGGTTGCTGCATTCACAATTACAAAGAGGAGGTTAGAATCAGTGGCTTGGATCCTCAGATAAGTTAACTAGAGGAAGTTCACAGAATGAAAGTTTCCTGTTCCCTCCTCCCCCTGAAAACCTCCCTAGAGCAATGGGGGGGGGATGGGGACGTGCTTGTAAAATGTGGGATGGGGCATGGAGGATGGCTGATAACTGCCCTAAATTTGGCTTGAATCCTAAGGTAACTTCAAAAAGTTCATAGAAGGAAGGTTTCCTAACTACTACTCCTCCCAAAGTTGCCTGCACTTTGTCCCACAATTGGGGACCCCATTCCTTCAGAGAAGCTATTGGAGAAGCACAGGTGGCTGTGGGTGTAGATAGTAAATGGGAAATCTTCCTTCCATGAACTTTCTAAAGCTGTCTTGTCTTAGGATTCAAGCCAATAGGCACATGGCACCCTTGAAGCCCCAAAATAAAAAGAATGCAGTCAGTGGGTAGAATTCAGTGTTACACTAATTTGATCATTTTGTCAGCACAAGCATATACGCTTTGCAAACAGCATGATCTCCCACCTCCTCCTCCCCCCGTGCTCTTCAGTGGGTTCTCCCAACCTGCGAGAGCGTATTTGGGGAAGGCATGGGGGCACACACGGCAAAGGGGGGAAGCCCCGTTGTACTTCCACTAGCAAATCAGTTGAATCTGGTCCCAGTGTAACAATGGAGAGGGTGCTAAGCCTTTTATGCTGAAATGTCTGAAATAAGATGTGCATTAAAAGTATAGGTTGTATTTGGTGCAGCACAAAGAATACATTCTGTCAGCAGGAAAAAATCTGTACTATCTGTTTGTACAATGCCCCCCCCCCCAACAGACACTCTCTAAATATGTTCTGAAACCCTCTGGAACAGATTTGAGGACAGCACAGTGCATGGTGGGCGGGGGGGTCCAATGCATTAGTACTAATCCTTGAGCTAGTGCATCTATTTTGAATACCACCCTGTCTTCAAATAGTTATAGACAATAGGTTCCATCTATTTGAAAATAATAGGTTTCTGGCCAAAGTAATCTGCCAGTGAATCATATCAAATCATAAAAAGAGAGTGCTGTTGTTAAGAGTGTACCACTAGCTAGATCTTTACTGAAGGAAAGTTTTCTTGCTTCTAACCAACACTTGTGTAGCTGGTATTGCCAATGAAACTGAATCCATAAACCTTCAGTTACAGGAAGTTACAAAAAGTGGTATGGCACGGTGCCGAGAAAAAGTCACACCCTGCTTTTTACAGTGTAGGAAGTGAGCAACATTTATGGATATACTTGCACAACATGCGCTTATTTTGGCTTAGTTGGCTTCAGTTAAAATTATAATATATTGTATAGTTGTAATCTAATTAAAGCTCATGCACTGCACTATAATTAATTTGAGTTTCACATAGAGACCCTAGCACATACAGGCTATCTAACTCAGCAAAGTCCAAAGCGAACCCCTTTCCTTGCAAGTTGCAAAACTCCCCAAGAATAAAGTGAACTATCAAATGCCCACCTCATGAACACTGAAAGATAATCACTAGAGTTAGTGATTCACAAGGCTATGCTCTGTGAAAGCAGCATGAGCTTAGGTAATGCTATTGAGCCACTAGCTTTCATAGAACCTCAGCCACATTAAGACAAAATGCTATAGCAAATGAAGAGTTCCAATCAACTCCTGCACATCTACAGGACCCCCAACCATCAGGTTCAGGAAAGCAGCCTAAGAACTATCAACTCAAAACTTACCCTTTGCTCTTGTTCTTTCATCTCCTTTTCCAGCAGTTCTGACATATAACTGACAGCAAGGATCACATGGTTCACACCTGCCTGTCAGAGAAGAGGAATAGTAACTCCAAGACACTCAAACTACGCATGCAACTGAGGTGATCAGGTGTCCAGACCCAGGGAGGCAATATCCATCCAACTGGACCAGAGATCATAATTATTTAGAAGATGTAAGGAATGGTTATGCAAGATTGGAACAGAGAGAAACATTTCTAATCCTTTCCCCATCAACTCACTGAGCAAAAGGAAGCTAAATCAGCAAAAGGGCAGCAGTTAGAATTCACACATTCCACTCCTAAATCTGGAAGAAGACCACCTATCACTTAGGTATTAGTCTGTGATCCATTTGTATGAGCCACTTTCCCTGGCTATAGCACAAGTTATCCAAAATGTACATCCATCCCTATTTATCTGTATGGTAAAGCAAAGTAATTTATCTTCAGCTAGCACAGAGATGGAGAGATGCCTAGAAATGCACAGGAAACGTAGCAGAGGGCACAGCACAAGAAGCCATCCCAGATATGTGCAGGAAACTTCCCCATGGAATAACTCAACAGCAAAAGCTTCACCTATTGAATTCCAGTCTGCCATGCAGCTCTTAAAAGGCACAGCGCCCTTTTCAGGAAAAAGAGGCCCCTGAATCTCTCTTCTCCCCCGCCCCCCGCCCCTCTAAGCGGACGGCAGCCTCACCTTCACCCACCCACCCAAACACAGAAGGCTGGTGCTCAATCCTACCTTCACCAGAGCCTCCACCTGGTGCAGCAAGATAGGCTTGTTGCAAAATTCCACCAGGGGCTTCGGGATGCTGAGGGTCAGGGGCCGCAGCCGCGTGCCATAGCCCCCCACCAAGATCAGCGCCTTCATCCTTGCCTGAAAGAGGGCGGAGGAAAGGGCGAAGCGTCAGACCCCTCGCCGCCCCCAAGGCCTCCACCGGCCCCGCTGCCTGCCAGGTCCCCCTCGATGGTCCCCCAACCTCCCCGCGTCGACCCCCCGCCAAGCAGGACTTGCTGGCGACCCCTCGAACTCAGAGCCCGGCCGCCGCCGCACCTGGAGCCCTCGGTGCCCAGAGGCCCGTAGCCAACGTCACCCCTCCGCACTCGGCTCCGCGTAACTCACCTGACCCGGCCCGGAGGTGCCACTCCGCCTACAGCCGACAGAACCAGCCACCACGACATCTCCGTCAAACTCCCTTCCGAATCGGTCAACCAATCAGTGCGCCGGACGTGTCCAAGCATCCTACCCATCCAATGGCGGCCGAGAGCTGCGATGCTTGTCGGCCAATCAGAACGCTAGCTACCGCGTTGCCGCAGCAACGCGGACAGGTTAGAAATGCGACCGCCTTGCGTCATTGCCAAGGCGCCGCAGCAGACACGTCTCTAGGAAGGCGGCTTCAAGTTAAAGCCCCGCCCCTCTTCCCCGTTAGCCACCGCCTTTAGGCGGGCGGGGCGTGGTGTCGTCACGCGCGCGCGACGCCAAGCGAGCCCTAGCAACAAAGGCTTCAGCCTCCTCGTTCTCCGTAGTAGTGGCAACGTTCGTGACGTGCGGCGCTGCCATGTTTGTAGTGGCTTTGCGCTTGCTAAGCGGGTGAGGGGAAGCCGTAGCGGGGGGAACTGCTTCGCTCTTCTCTGTCGGCTCCTCTACCCGCTTTAAAGCAGGAGGTTGACAGGAGGAAGAAGGAGGAGGCGCGAGAGCGAGCAGGGAGCGGCTGCAGGCGAGTCCCAGGGATGCGCTGGGTGGGCAAAGGAAGGGCCTGGACCTGGGCGCGTCCCCGCCGCCCTCCGCGGGTGACGACGGGTCCGTTACTCTCGGGGAGGGGGCTTAGCGTTGCTTCTCTTGGGCTTAACCGGGAGTGGGGCGAGTGCGTCCGTGTTTCTCTTCTTAGGGAACGCTCCGGCTTTGCTAAGTAAAAAACCGAGCTGCATCGTTGACAGTAAGGAAGCCTGTGTGGAGGGGGCCATCATTATATTATTGCTACGTTTTTATTGCTAAAATGTTTGATTTACTAAAAAATAATAATAATAGTATGCAAAACCTTGAAGGAGCTTGATCCCATATGTCTTTAATCAGAAGTGTGCCCCTCACCCCCGAATGTGATGTGGCTTACTTCCAAGTAAGCATACATAGGATTGTACCTTCTTGGTTATATTGGACCATGGCCTTTCACAGCAGGCAGTATCAGATACCTGAAACAAAGCTATCATGCTACAGGGTGATCTGCAGAACTTGCTCTGTTGGTGGAATATGATCCCCCAAATATACATGTTATAGTCATTAGTAGTCTGCATTTGTATTGGAATACTGAATGGATGTTTTGTTGCTGGTGTGTGTGCTGCCCTGTGCTTTACTATTCAATATATTTACTACTACTACTAATAATAATAATAATAAACGGGGCAGGTTCCTGAATTTCAGTGTAGGGAGGTGGAGGTTGTAATATTTATGTGCTGCTTAATGGAGTCCACTGCTCTCTTCCAGCATGGGGACCATGGCTCATGAGCCTGTTCCCTGCATTTTAAAGAGCCCAGTCTCACTGCAAGTGGGAGACATGAGGACTGAGCAAGGCCGTCCTGGTGTTCTGGTGATTGATGTTGTGCTTCCACACTCACAGACCATTGATGTAAGTATGGGAGGAAACCAAGTGTGTGGGGCTTGGAATTGTCAGATCTTATGTTTGAAATCTCTCATTTTAGCTGTAAAGCTGATAAAGAAACTATGATGGTGAACCAGGAAGTACCTGCTTCAAAACTCACCTTTGTTAACTCGCTTGGTTACCCTAGGCAAGTGTCTCTACTTTGCTCCAAGCTGTAATTTAGATATTCCAGCAATGACCTGCTCCAAGGGTTCCAGTAATGTTTCTGAGCAAGAAAAGGAGGAATCCATGACAGTTCTCCCCTCATATTGCTATCCTCAGTTGCAGGAAATAGTATTCAAGAACTATTACACAGCTTTTCTGACTCTACGGGTGCAGCGCCGAAACCCTGCAGATGGTGGGAACGAAAGTCCTCCCAAGTGGGTTACTTGTCTGCAGAATTACTGCTTGATGCCCAACCCTCACACAGAAGAAGGCTCTCAGGATTACTTCTCTCTCTCCAGACATCAGGTAAGTACAGTCATACCTCGGGTTACAGACGCTTCCGGTTGCGTGTTTTCGGGTTGCGCACCGCGCCGAACCCGGAAGTACCAGAACAGGTGACTTCTGGGGTTTGGCGCATGCGCAGAAGTGCCAAATTGCAACCTGCGCATGCGCGGACATAGCGCTGCGGGTTGCAAACGTGCCTCCTGCATGGATCACGTTCGCAACCCGAGTATCCACTGTATTTCTGTTGGTATTGCACATAAATCATAGAATTGGAAGGGATGCAAGGGTCATCTAGTCCAACCCCCTGCAATGCAGGAATCTTAGTTATGAGATGATTCAATTATTCTTCTAATTCATATTGTTTCCTGTCTGAAATGGCAACCTGTGCTCCACACAACATTCCTGGTTTATTTTGTTGCGCCATCACACTTTAGCCACCACTGAGTAAATCGTGAATAGAGCTGGGATAGGGAACTTGTGGCTTCCATATGTTCCAACTCCCATCAACGCCAGCCAGCATGACCAATGGTCAGAGATTGTGGGAGCTGTAGTCTTGCAATGTCTGGTGGACAACAAGTTCCCCATCCCTTCTTTAGTGTGCCAGATGATAATTGGGGGAACGGTATGGAATGTGTGTTTTTTGTAATAGAATTTCTAAAAAATTATAAAAGTCTGCATGCTCTTACTGCCCATAGGGTACCTTTCAGCTCTGCCTATTACAGGCACCATTTTGGCTAGTCTTATTAAAATGCTTCAGCTACATTGAGTGTTTTGTATTGGAGAAATGCAGAACCAAGGTAATGCATGGTAACTTTCAGGAAAACAAATTATTAATGATAGAGATCCCAGCCAAACTTCATTTTTAATAGTGCGAGTTACAACCTAGCCCACCAAAACTTCAAGAGTACTTAGTGAAGGTTTAGGTACATTGAGGGGAAAGGATTGACAGTTGTAATGGTTTTGCAGTCCCAAAGTAATAGGCAAAATGAATGTCTGTTTTTATTATTTTTCTATAGGTTTTTTTTTAGTATGCAAAGAACATTACAGGTCTAACTTTTTCCATACTTGCAACAAGGTAGATCCTTACAGTTTTGATTTTAACTAAGATTTTAACAATCTGAGACACAGAAATGCTGGTATGCCTGAATCCACCCAGGAAAACTATAGCTGAGCCGAGATTTAACTAGATCTACAAGGTCCAATGCTCAGAACTGAACTACTACTATATGTACCAGACCATGATAATACCCCAACTTGGCCTTAATTCCTGGCCCTACTGATACTGTATTCTAGCTAGTTTGGAATGATTCCCTGTTGTTTGTATCAAGGGATAAGTTATTAGAAGCTCTTACAGTGTTACAGCAAATCATTGTTTACTTTGTTCTGAAGGGATATTGGGCCTTGGCGCAGTTTTAGTGATGCCTTGTCTCCCTTACTTTGCCAGATGCTCTGTGATGTGGACCGAGTGGCTGCCATGCGTCTCATCCTGCGTCAACCATCTCCAGTATGGCTGCATTTTACCATTGAGGAGCTGCAGCTTTTCCCTGGGGGTCAGAAGGTACATACTCAACTCATCCCCAAAGCACCTGTTCTTTCTATAACCATTCTTCTATGGTTGTAATGGCTTGCTCAGCATTGAATGAAGCCTTCTTCAGAACACAGTCTAGGGTCTGATAACTGGCTGAACTCAGGCTCTCTGTGCTTTATTCCCCCCCAAAATGCTAGGTCACACATCTGAACTGGAGAAGATGCTGCACCTAGATCTCTTTGATTCTGAGCTACCAGCTTCTGTCCTCCTTTTCTAGCCTTCAGCTTCTGTGGAGCCAAGTCTCCTGTTCTCTTCTGCTGCTTGGCCTGAGTTTTATCAGAGTTTCCTGTGTAATTCAACTACTGTTCACTGAGCTTGTTCTTCTTCACTCTCTTAGTTTAAGATCTCTGCTACCCATGGAGCAAGTTTATTAATGGCTCCCCCTGCCAATTCATTCTAATTTCCATGCTATGAATTTCACATCCTCACCAATGAAACTACCAGAGCCCCTCATGTACATAATCCATGTTATGAACTCTGCAGTTGCCAGGTTCAATTCTAAAGCTGATTTTAGAGTAAGCTTTCACCTGTGAAATCCAGATGGGGGAAAACATTATCCTGGACACTGTACCTCTACAGTGAGAATTGCCCCCCCCCCTTGTCCCCTGGTAAAGAATGCTCCTATGAGAGCTTAAGGTAAATAGATTGTAATAGTTCATAACAGTGAATTCTGCACTTTCCTGTGGGCAGTAGAGACAAGTATTTATGTCTTTAGGCAGCCTGCTCTGAGAGAATAAATTGGTGAAGGTAAAAAGGATAATGTGTGTAAGTGCAACATTCCAGTTGGTAGAGAATCAGCAGTGTTTTGCTCTGGGGCTGTTTTTATCTTCCAGAGTCCACAAAAAGGCTTCCCAGCTTGGCTTTCTCACCCATCTCCTCAGGAGCAGCCAACAAATCTGCGTGATGTAAGTATTGTTGGTGACACTGGGGGTTTCTGATTTGCTGACAGCCTCCTGGCAGGGAATGGCTCTGGGGAGATATGATGTTTTATCAACAAAAGCAGTGGAGAAACTGCTTATATGAATATATAACTTTCCTTCACTTTCAGGGACTCCCTGATGCTGACAAAGTGTCTTCTGAACTGCAGCAAATGTGGGTTTTGACTGAGATGCTCCAAGCCAACCAGCCAGCAGCACGAATTGGCCGTTTTGATGTTAGTTTCATATTACTTTTGCTTCTTGTTTGGGGAGTGTGTCCTTCACTGCAGTCCAGTTAGAACTCACACCCCTATCTTGAAGACTTACTTCAAGTTTACGCTCAGCCTTTGCAGCCCACAGAGCATACACATTAACCTTAGAAGAGCCCTGCTGGATCAGGCCAAAGGCCCACTTTGGTTTCCCTGTTTCCAGCAGCGAATCAGGAAAGCTGCAATGAAAGAATTTGGCAGTCAGTATGAAATTTCTGTTTATCGTGTATCCTTCTTCCTCTAAGGAACTTAAGAATGGCTTGCATGAAGTGTTTGTATTTTAACCTGGGGCAATTTGGGCTACAGCATAGTGACTCCCCCAAGGTTACCCTGTTGGATGAGTAGAAATTTGAATTCAGCTCCCTCTAAGCTCAAGTCCAGCATTCTGTCCACTGGAGGGAATAGAGGCTGTGTGGGAGAAACATACATCCCGTAACATTCCCAATGTGTTGACTCTTTGCTAAAAACAATTCCCTGTACCTTTCTTGTTTCAGGTGAATGGCTCCTATGACCTTAACCTCCTTTCCTACACTTGAGTTTTCCCAGGACTCAAAGCTGACTAAGTTCCTAAGAGCTGGACTCACTGAGCTGCACCCCCACAGTGTTGGATTGGCTTGAGGCAGGAAGAAATGATGGACAAAGTGTGTTGCCTTCATGTTCCAGTCCTTCCCTTTTCCGCTTCATGGAGGTGGACTTTATGGGAACTCTCCAGCTCTACTCTGTTCTTCCTGCCAGGTCTTATGTGGAGATTGTTCTCCATTTTGCACTGGACCCTGGAAGGCTGTCTTCCCTTGAACTTGAAGGTGCCTTATTTGGGCTCTTCATCTCCTGGTCTGTTTCTTGGAAGCCCTGCTGTTTGGTGCATGTTTCTTTTGGGGGCAAAATCAAGCAATCTTTCAAGAATCTGGTACTATGATGGGGGCGGGGCAGGGTGGACAGAAGAATCCTTCATTTTGGCAAGAGAAATGACTTGAAATGGCTTGAAGCTGACAAGACTGAAGGTTTTACATTCTCAAATTCATGTGTTGGCGTTCCAGAGAGAATGAGAACTCCCTTGTTGCTTCCTCTGCTATGGCTACCTCATTTGCAACATACACTATGTAATTGTGTAGGGTTTTTAATAAGTGGGTGGCAATAAGAAATGCTTCCTGAAGAGTTAACCCCCACCTCTTTTTTCCTGGAGGGATGTGAGTAGTTTAGTTGTGAATTGTACAGAGCTAGCCCTCAACAACCTGTCACTAGCTTTGGCTACAATATTGTAAGGGCCACATTAGAGAAATGGTTTACCCTAGTGAAATGGCAGTGTCAGACTGTGCTGTGTTGGTTTTTAGCTGAGTCCTGGAGCACCTTGTCATTTTTTACAGCCACAGCTATAGATATTTCAAGTAGCGAAAATAGCATCCTGGTGGAAAGCCTGAAAAGCCATGTCCTTGAGAGCTCCCTTATTTAAGCTGAGTTGCAACCTGGATTACCAGCTGTTACCTTTGTATTCTTAAATATTACCATATTAATCTTTCCAACTCATTAGATAACCCTTGCATGGTTGTAGATGCTCATTTCCAGTCCATGAATTACTATGCTCAAGAATGAGTGTTGAAAGCTGAGGTGAATAAATGATTATGGTAAAAGTCTGGATTCAGATCCCTGCTCTGTCAAGGAGCTACTAGACTGCCTTTGAACAATCACTTTCTCTCAACAGTACATCTTAAACTGCCTTTCAGAGATATTTTTTGAACAGAACAGCGCTACATTGCTTCTTAGCAAGGGTATCTTCTTGTGGTATGGGGCACTTCCTGCAGTAATGTCCATGATATGTAATAGTCTAGTGGACCAAGCTGCAGAACAAAATGAATTAGTGCAGTAGGATGTGTAGCTGACTTTTTTTTTTTTTTTAATGCTGGACTTTAAATCTCGGGAACAACGTCTTTTCCATATCTGTGTAACTTCCTTTCTGTTATTTATTATGAATTATGTATGCTACTTTATTTATAGCTGGAAAGAGCCACAGTGATCTTCTAACCCATTGCAAGTATAATAAACTTTTACTGAATACAGTGAAAGACCTTTGCAAATGATGTCAGGAAGCTGCCTTATTGGTACCTCTAGCTCAGTATTGTCTGAGCACCAATGTCTCTTCAGGGTTTCAGACAAGGATCTTTCTTAGCCTAACTTGGAGATGCCCAACTTGGGAGCTTCTGCTTGTAAATAATGTGCTCTGCTACTGAGCTGCAACCCTTACCCATTGCTATTCATTGCATTAAATCAGGGTTAATGTATTTGAAGTATTTTTCAATGGATGATTATCCAGCCCAAATGCATCACAAATAAATGATCGTTGTATTGTATTGATTGTATGTGCTTGGTGCATTGTACTTGTCAAACCTCTGTTAAGTTTATTTATGAACCCGTAATAGCATCTAAAATTAGGAGTACATGGGCCAATGCTGTTTTCCCCATGCTAGATGCCGAGCAACCAAAAGGGGGAGTGGGAAGTGGGAAGGAGAATAGAAGCAAAGGCCACTGTCTAATTCTGAATTGAATATGACAGCTGAATATTGATTTAAAAAATTAAAAAAGAAAAGCCAGTTGCTTCCAAAACCTTCCCTGTTTTAGCAAACATCCCAGATAACCTGTAGAATAAGGGAGGGAAATACCAACACACTTTCTGGTGTTCCAGGCTACTTTGATCCTATGTAGTCTGTTTTTTATTCAATCCAACTGATTCATGCATGCCTGTTTAATTGGAAAGAAAAAATGCCCTTCCTGATTTAGTAACCATTGCTCTGCTTCTACAGCCTTTCAGTGCTGTCTTTGCTTTCTATATTCTCTTGTCTTTAAAGTAAAAGTAAGTATTGTGAAAGACCTGTAATTGGCTATCCTTTGGATTTTTAAGCAGCTAATTACACTACATCTCATGCACTCATGTTTGTTAACACCACTGTTCCCTAAGCTAATATTGCTATCCTTTCTGTATTGTAGTCTGCTGTTTACATATTGATTCACTTGGTTAGAGTTACTATCTAGAATGAATCCTAAGCAGCACTAAAGGGCAATTCCCTGCTCCAGTTGTGTGATCTGGGCATCTTCTGTGCGTGTAAAGAATTAAGGGAGGGAGGGAGAGAGAGAGAGAGCTATCCCTACGTTTTCTGCTGAGAAGCCCTTACCTTGCACCCTTTCAAGACCCTTGTCCATTATGCATACTCCTCAATCTTCCAACTGAAAAGACTGGCTTCAGAAAGGAAGCGGCGTGCGCGTCTCGCCTGGCCCGCACGGGCTTCGGAGACGAGCGCGGTTCATCTTGGGGTCAACAGCGAGTCCGGTCTGCCCGGATGCTTCCTCCCCTTTTCATCTTCGGCTGGGGAGGGCGAGTCCTCTGGTCACTTGCCGCCAGAACGGGACTACATTTCCCAGGCTCCTCCCCGGGACTTGAGCTCTGGGCCCAGGGGAGGGGAGGAGGGGCTGTCCTCTCCAGCCATGTCGTAGGGGCGCCCGGGAAAATGCTTCGGGCCGGCGTCGGAGCTGCTGTTCGGCTCGCGGCTCCGGGCTGGGGGTCCCCCGGAGCTGGCGCGCGCGGGAAGCGGGGCTACGCCTCCGGGCAGGTGAGCTGGGGACACCCGCCTCTCCTCCCACTCGGCTGCAGGTGTGCGCTCCGAAGCCCGGCAACAGGCGAGCCTTGCGCGGAGTGGGAAGTGGCGGAGCGCGGCTGGCTCGCTGCGGGCATCCAGGGAAGCAGCCGTGCCCTGGTGCCGGAGGGAAGGGGGCCAGGCGGGGGACTTTGGGTTGGAAGAGTTGCGCTCTGTTTTTCAAACGCTCATGACTGAAACGGGTCAACTGCACAACCTGCTTATTGTCACTGTTTTAAAGTCTGGGGGATATCTGAATTGGGCAGTCCCAGAGCATGTGCAGAGTGCATTGCTTTCGCATTAGCTCTCGCGCATCGGAGATTCCAGGACTAGCGAGGGGTCCGAGGAGGCTGCCTTTCCCAGGCAGGCTTCATTTCCAGCATCTCCCCGCTTTAGAAAGGGAGCGCTGATCTTGGCCTGGTTTTTGAGGGGAGACCGGGTGAAATCAAGGGATCTCCTTGGGGGCGGAAAAGGCTAAGGAGTCCCGACAGAGCCCTCGCCCGCCCGCGCACCCCTCGCGTCCTTTTGGTTGAGTCGGAGGCAGGCGCAGTTCCCTGGGCATTCTAATGGCGAGGGGGCAATTTCACAGCGGATGCTTCTAAAGAAAGAGTTTATACAGTAAGATGCTATTCTCAGCATTAAGCACTTGGGCTGTAGTAGTAGTGGCTTCTCCAACAAAGTTCTTCCCTGGTGCTGACCCAATAATTTCCTGTTATGAGGTGGGGGGGATGTGGGGTGTGAATGGAGGAAGAAACCTTCCATATGTGGGGGTTGAAGTTGGTAGAGTCTCCCCTACTGAACCCCTTGATCAATACCGGTAGTGAGCAAGAAACAGCAACAGTTTGCCCCATAATAGGTGCTCACCACAGCCACTGTCACGGGGAGGGTGTTAAATAGCAAATGTGATTCCTTTGGAGAGCATGGTGACTGTCTCCCAACTATGCAGGCTGGAGCTTAGGCAGGTGGGAAAGTGAGACAGGAAAGGCTTTGCAGACCTGCAAGAGGGGGTTGGGTACAAAGGGCAAGCAGCTTTATTTTCCTCTTGACATTGGACTTCTGATAAAGCACTAAGCAAACAAGCACTAAACACAAAGGTCAAAGGGAGCTTAGAGACCAGAGCTACCCCTTGTTCCAACAGGAAAAGTTTGGTCCCTGGGGCTGGCTCTCAGCTAGGAGGTGATGAGTCCACTCTCCGAGACAGCTGGAGGTCAGTGTCTAGCCTCTGAGGCCACCCAGGGCTGCACACATCAGTGCTTAATTTAATCAGAACAGGTATAAGTTGGGGAAGAGCAGGATGTTCTTCCTTCTGATGCCGCCAGCGTTGGGAATGAGAGTGGTGCGATTGATAATGAGTCCTGGTTGCCCATCTCAAGACTGCTGACCTTTCGATGATCTCAGATGGGTTGCTGGCACCTGCCAGTCAGAACATGCCTTGCCTTCCTCTGCAGGAGAGCCTAAAGCAGACGCCCCTCTATGACTTTCACCGGCACCATGGCGGGAAGATGGTGGCCTTTGCTGGCTGGAGCCTCCCAGTGCAGTATACGCACAGCCACCTGGAGTCCCACCTGCACACCCGCCAACACTGTTCTCTCTTCGATGTGTCTCATATGCTGCAGGTAATGCTGGAGGAAGCCAAAGGTCATTGAAGTCCCAGCCTTTCTGCTGTGGGGTCATTTTCAGCGGTGGGGCAGTGGTCAGTTTTGAAGTGCAGGAGCTCACCATGACAGCCCTCCTACCCCACCACCACCACACACACCAAGAGAGTCTGCAGCTAGATCCCCAATGATAGTCCACAAATGTGGGCAGCTGTGTTGGTCCCAAAGAGCATCACTACATAGCATAAAACTCAGTTTTATAAGTATCAGCTGACAATCTGAGATTCGTGAACTGGCAAAGGGTGGTGTGGTAAGAAACATGCTGGACTTTGGCTGGGGAGACCTAGGTTCACACCCCTGATCAGCCATGAGGTTCACTGGGTGGCCTTGGACCAATCAGTGAGTTAAGCCTACTTAACAAAGGAATTATGCCCCATGCTCAATCTGTCCTTTCATAAGGCAACTCCTATTTTAGGCATGACCAATATGTGTGGGATCACGCACATCCACACAGCGCCAAACCCAGAAGTGTCATAAAGACGTCACTGAAACGTCACTAAAAGGGCAGAATGGGGTGTTTGCAGGCTTTTTCAATGGGTTTCTGATTTCACACAATTTCACACAAGCACGCAACGGCCCGGAATGCAATGCCTTGCATAAATAGGGGGTGGCCTGTAGTATGTTGGTTAGGATTATGTTTTATTTACGATAGATATTTTGTGTGTTTATATCCTACTATACATCACTTTAGGTCCCCTGGGGAGGAAGGGCAATCTAGAAATGTGTCTAATAAATGGAAAAATAATAAAGCCCAACTGTACCGCACCAAAGCAGCAGTTTAGCTGCATGGGAGCGCCAGACTCAGATGTTTTGTTCAAGTGTGCTGTCCTTGGTCCTGCATAGCACCCTGGTAATGTGAGGTGACTGTCTCTTTTACAGACTAAAGTGTTTGGCAGAGATCGGATTAAATTCATAGAGAGCCTTGTAGTTGGGGACATAGCAGAGCTGAAGCCTAATCAGGTATGTTGGAGCCCAATGGGTTACATGCTCGGTGGGAAACCTTCGGCCCTCTGGATCTTGTTGAACTCTCATCAGCCCCAGTCAGCACAGCTAAGAGTCAGGGATGACGGGAGTTGTAGTCCAGTCCAGCACCACAGGATTCCCATTCATTAGGTTGCACACAAGTGTAACATAATGGATGGCATGCTGAATTTGGATGTGGAACATCCCACTTCAAATCCATCAACTGGGTGATCTTGGACAAATCACTGTTGCTCAGTGGGCCACCTTATAGAATGGATGGGAGGGGGAAATGATGTAAAGAAAGATTGGCACTTTCCCTGCACCACTGAGCAATGACAGGACACAGATCTAAGTAAAAGTAATACTTTTACAGGGCTTTTCTATAAGATCGAAGTGTTTCTTAAATGCATGTAATTCATTGCATGCTACCCCTGCAAACTGTAATCTAGCACCAGTGAAACACTATTTCCATTTAATGGATGAGGGGGTGAGATGGAGAGAACCTTGCTTCCTGGGGATAGCTATATAACCATTGTAAAAAGGTAAAGGGACCCCTGACCATTAGGTCCAGTCGCGGACGACTCTGGGGTTGCGGCGCTCATCTCGCTTTATTGGCCAAGGGAGCTGGCGTTTGTCCGCAGACAGCTTCCGGATCATGTGGCCAGCATGACTAAGCCGCTTCCGGCAAACCAGAGCAGCGCACGGAAATGCCATTTACCTTCCCGCTGGAGCAGTACCTATTTATCTACTTGCACTGTGTGCTTTCAAATTGCTAGGTGGGCAGGATCTGGGACCGAGCAACGGGAGCTCACCCCGTCACTAGGATTCGAACCGCCGACCTTCTGATCGGCAAGCCCTAGGCTCTGTGGTTTAACCCACAGTGCCACCCGCGTCCCATATAACCATTGTACTTCCCTTTAAAATAGAAAAAGGGGGGGGGGAGAGGATGAATAGCAGGAGTCGAACACTTGGCATTCAAAACCAAATTATTAAAGGTTCACAAAATGGCAAGACATTTAAATTGTCTAGCTGCTCTTGTTTGAAAATAATAGAGGTGGTGGCTTTGTGAAAGAGAAGAGTGAAGGGATCATTGCAGAAATCACTTTTTGTAGTGACGCACAATTACGTAGGCATGAGGGAGAGAATCATATAATCATTGAGTTGGAAGGGACCCCAAGAGTTGTCTCATCCAACCCCCTGCAATGCAGGAATCTCAGCTAAATCATCCATGACAGATGGCCATCCAACCTCTGCTTAAAAACCTCCAGGGAGTCCGTTCCCCTGTCTAATAGCTCTTACTGGCAGAAAGTTCTTCTTGATGTTTAGTTGCTTGTTCCTCACAAGGTCACAGACACTGGCCAATATGGGTTTGCATGTCTTAATACAACAGTATTCCGCATTGCCGTCACAAAACAAGGAATGTACTATACAGAGGAAAATCATTATGTCTCTCTATTATTTTTACTGCATGTCTGCCAAAGCCTGGCTTCTGCTACACGGTCGCCACTCTTGGCAACCAGTAACTGAACTGCACTTTACTTTCAGGGCACTCTGTCTCTGTTCACAAATGAAAGAGGAGGCATCATGGACGACTTGATTGTGACCAGCACCTCGGATCAGCACCTCTACGTGGTCTCCAATGCAGGTTGCAGGGACAAGGATTTTGCCCTCATGAAGGTATGTGTTTCTCACCATCCAATCCTACAGGGAATTGTTCCTAGATGGGAGGCGGCAGCAGAAACACAGACGATAGTTAGGTAGTTCCAATCCTTTGGGAAACTTGATCTTTGTCCCTTGCTGCAGCTGATGCTGGACTCAGTGAGAGAGAGGATGGGATGGAAGAGAGGAAGATCCCTTCCCCCGCCCCCAAGTGGGTCATGACCTTGCTGCTCTCTGTTTCTGCTTGCAGAACAAGGTGAAGGAAATGAAAGCAGCTGGCTGCGATGTAGACTTGGAAGTGTCAGACAACGCTTTGCTTGCTCTGCAAGGTAAATATTATGTACCTGTGATAACTGCCTCTACTGTGGGAAGCAGCAGACAAAATACCCAGGCATTTGCCTTAAGGGAATGCACAGAACTGCTGCTTAATTGCTTTGATACAGTAGCATCTCCCAGACCAATCAATAGCCTTACTGTTGATCTTCCTGGGACAGCTAATCCCATTGTCCAAAGCAGGGGTCAGCAACCTTTTTCAGTCGTGGGCCGGTCCACCGTCCCTCAGACCATGTGGTGGGCCGGACTATATTTTGAAAAAATAAAATAAAATGAACGAATTCCTATGCCCCACAAACAACCCAGAGATGCATTTTAAATAAAAGGACACATTCTACTCATGTAAAAACATGCTGATTCCTGGACTGTCTGTGGGCCAGATTGAGAAGGCGATTTGGCCGCGTCCGGCCCCTGGGCCTTAGGTTGCCTACCCCTGGTCCAAAGCCTTCCCCACTTCCACCCCACTTTTTATTTATTTTTTTGTATCTTTAGGCTCATTGGGGCATTGCAAGGCCAGCTTGTTGCTAGCTAGTGTGGTACTGACTTGCCTAGGGCCTTTGAATATGACAAGCACACTTTCCCCTGTGCTGCTCTGCACCCATGAGAGCCCAAGGGCCCTGCTACATCTGATAGTCCATCTCATCCAACACCCTGTTCTTACCAGTGGCCCAGCCCAACAGGTTAGGATGGCAATAGCCCTTTTCTTTGTCCCCTGATACTCAGAGGGGAGAGGACTGGCCCTATCACTAGGCAGAGTGAGGCAGCTTTCCCAGCAAGCCGATCCTGTGAGGACAAGGAGCAACAGCAAGGGGTTAAATGGCAGAGATGTATAGGTATGCCAGGACAAGATAAAGCCCTTCTGCCATTCCATGTGGGGGTGGAATCAGGGACCACCTGATTCCTTGTATCTCTGTCCACTCACTAAGGTCTTTAGGGAGTGGGGTGTTACCTTGTCCTTCACCTCAGGCAGCAAGATGTCTTGGGCTGGTCCTGGAAGGAGTGTGGACTATATTTACCTGTTGTGCCTGTTAATGGTAGATCACTCATCCATGACTTTTCCCTAGTCTTTTTAGAGACTAAGCTTGTGCCACATCATGTGGCAGTGAATTCTATCCTACTGCCGCGGTGGCAATGATGTGCCTTGTCTGAGATCAGCAAGGGCAACACCCTCTATGTGGCTGAGCCCACTTCATTCAGCTAGAAATGCCCAATTCCTTCCTCCATCATTTAACTGGGACTTATTGAACCTCCTTTTGGGGGGAGAGAGCCTGATGAACTAACACCTCTTCAAGCTCCTAGCCATTTCCCTTCTTCCTTCTACCAGGTCCTGCCATGGTCCGAGTGCTACAGGCTGGGGTGTCAGACAACCTGTCTAAGCTGCCCTTCATGACCAGTGCAGTGATGAGTGTCTTCGGAGTGCCAGGCTGCAGGGTCACCCGCTGTGGCTACACAGGCGAGGATGGCGTAGAGGTACACCGTCAGGGAATGGGACGCGGGTGGTGCTGTGGTCTAAACCACTGAACCTCTTGGGCTTGCCGATCAGAAGGTCAGCAGTTTGAATCCTCACGACGGGGTGAGCTCCCGTTGCTCGGTCCCAGTTCCTGCCAACCTAGCAGTTCAAAAGCACACCAGTGCAAGTAGATAAATAGGTACCGCTGCAGCGGGAAGGTAAACAGCGTTTCCGTGCGCTCTGGTTTCCGTCAGTGTCCCGTTGTGCCAGAAGCGGTTTAGTCATGCTGGCCACATGATCCAGAAAGCTGTCTGTGGACCAACACTGGCTCCCTCAGCCTGAAAGCGAGATGTATGCCACAACCCCATAGTCACCTTTGACTGGACTTAACTGTCCAGGGGTCCTTTACCTTTACACGGTCAGGGCTTGGCTCAGCTAAGCAAAAAGAGGTGGGAGGAGCAAGAGCACTGATGTTGTGCACTGAGAAGCAAAAAGCTATTTCAGGCTGGGAGGGCAGCGTATTGATGAAGAAGGGGATTATTGAATCAGGTTGGCTTGGGGGAGAAGGGTGTCAGTTAAGCTGGACATAGCCTCAGATTGAGCTAGCGTGCAGGATTGGGCCAGGTGACCTGAAGTTGGGAGTGGGGGTGGGGGGGAAGGGTGGCAAAAATCACACTGACCAAATCACTGTGCTCCTCTGTACCCAGATCTCTGTGCCTGCAAGCCGAGCTGTGGAGCTGGCTGAGCTGCTGCTTAAGGACTCCAGTGTGTGGCTGGCAGGACTCGCAGCCCGGGACAGTTTGCGCTTGGAGGCAGGTCTATGTCTGTACGGGAACGACATTGATGAGAGCACAACCCCTGTGGAAGCCAGTCTGATATGGACCCTTGGTAGGTGCCAGCTGCAATTCTGGATTTCTCTCCCTGCCCTGCTTGCCTACCCATTGACATTCCTGGCCAATATCAAATAGGCAAAAAGTCACCCATTTCTGCACCCCAGACCAGAGTAGACTGAGCATGGAACAAGAGTGTGTTTTTTTGGAATGGGAGAGAAGCTGCACTGGGCCTTCAATGGTGATGGGACACTATGTGGTGAGGGTAATTTGGACCACAGACGGGGGAATTCTTGTTCTGTTGGCCTTAACAGGACACCTTATTTCCAATTGCTTCTCAGGGAAACGCCGCCGTGCTGCCATGGATTTCCCCGGTGCATCAATCATACTGGCTCAAATCAAAGAGAAGCCCAAAAGGAAACGTGTGGGGCTGACTTCTTCAGGGCCTCCCATCCGGCAGCACATGCCCATTCTCAGCCCAGAGGGCAAGGCCATTGGTAAGTTCTCCAAGCTTCTCTGAGTACTGTCTAGGAAGATGACACATCAGCCCTCTGCTATAATAAGCACCCCAATAAGCATGTAATACTTGCTGTGCTTGGTCATACTGCAGGCAATGATGTTCGGTGCACAGCTTTGTTTAGAACTAGCAGGCTTGTACCCATGAATTATTGGAAACAAAACCAGTGCAAGTTTTGAAAGGCTGCCCACCATTTTGCTTCAAAATTGTGTCCATTTATATATGAACATGGATGAAAACCTGCTCCTTAATCTCTCAAACCACCATGCAAAATTTGGGTAAGGTGTACTGAGAAGTGTCCAAAGGCATAGGGGACAAAGCTTTCAAAATATATAGTGGATTTGCTTCTATTAACTCCCTGCCCCTTTCAGGCGGCAGAGTAGTACATTCTAGTAAGTGAACCTCATTGAAGATTATTGCAGAATGCAGCCTTTTAGAAGTGTTCTATTGGAACTTGCTCTTAGGGCCATTGGTGTGTGTGGAAAACTAGGCTCTCCACCCTACTTACAGAAATTGGGAAGAAATTGCATTTTTGGCAGCAATTTTTATTGATCATTTAATGCAGATTGTATGTTTGCTTTGTCCGTTCCCCCATGCGCTAGGTGAGGTCACCAGTGGCTGCCCTTCCCCCTGTCTGCAGAAGAACATCGCCATGGGATACGTGGAGAGTGACTACAGCAAACTGAGCACAGCCCTCACTGTAGAAGTGAGGAAGAAGAGCTGCCCTGCTCTAGTGACCAAGATGCCCTTTGTAGCCACCAATTACTATACAGTGAAATAGGCGGCTGCTGGCATAGGCTTTCAGTTTTGAATTCTGGCCTGCCTATAAAGGGCCCCTCAATTCCATTAGGGCTCTGCCACAAAGGTGGTTACTGAAAAGAAAACAACCCTGAAAAGAGATAAACTATTTCAGGGGATGTTGGGGACGTTAACACCTGAAGAGGCAGGCAACTGAGCAAGACTTGACAACATGCTTTAGTCTCATCTGCCTCTTGGCCTATTGCTGAAAGCATAAAGATCCCAATGACTTGATCTCCAGAACTCCACCTACCCTCCTTTTGCATTTATCCCCAAATATTAAAAAGTCCTTGAATTTTCTCCTGCCCTTTTCAATCTGCTCCTTTTCTTGAAATGGTCTGATGCATACTCAGCTAGAAGCAGGAAGAAGACCCTTACATTGCAACAAAAGTAAAGAACAAGCTTCTTGGTTTATTCCTTCTATTTCTCATACGTAGGCTCAGCGCATTCATTTTACCAGTTTGGTAAATATTCTCCCTGTAGTGCAGGGGAAGAAAGATGTACTTGCTACTTCTCAAAAAAGAGAAATCATGCCCTGATGTGGGCTTCTTCTTCCAAGTAATGTTTACACCAATTAATACTTAGCCAAAGGCCTGCTCTTCTTACTATTTTTCTGGAGGGGGCATATTTAAATAGTGTTTCAGCTTGAGCAAACCCCTTTGTTTTCTTACTGCCATCTAGCCTAGAAGATTCAGAACTACGTTTGAAGGAACCATTTTTTACTTTGGATGCTGAAGACACTAATATTGAGAGCTGCTATGAACTGCTCCACATAGAGATAAAATACTTTTTTGCAGCAGCTATTTTGGGGAAATAGTATGTATTTATATGCATCTCAAGGAAATTTTCAAACAGTACAAAAAAAAAAAAAAACTTAGGAGGGATGTTCCTTTTGCATTGTTTTAAAACCTTGAGTGAAGAAATTTTCATCCACCTGAAAAAGCATGTCAGAACAAAAAGATCTTCAGTTGTTTATGGAAAGTACAGATAGCAGGAATGCTGTTCAACAGAGGCAGTCACACTGACAGCTTTGCTCTGAGTTACTTCAGAGCAAACTCTGATATTTTGAAACTTTAAAGTATTACTTTAAAGTAAATACAAAAAACCCTAATCTATCTTCTGCATATGTACACAAGTACTCAACAGCTATTGCAATAAGAGTCAAGACTATATTCAATTTTTCCATCACTCTTTTATAACCCATATATTAAACCCATACATTACACACAACTGGGGAATAAGAGGGCAGTGGATGGTAAAATAGAGGGATGCTCAATATCACATCAACAGCTCCAGCATTACATAGCTATAGAACACACACAATCACCTGACTCTTCCAGGGATTGAGCACCAAGTAGTATGATTTCGGAGCAGAACTATATTTTAGAACTAGTGAGCTCTAAGATAGTCATTGGCACAGACTGCAAAATCTGACCAGGGGCAAGGAACCAGCAAGGGTTTGAATCTGTCAGACTAAGCAAGTCTCTGTAGCTTTCCAACACAAAATTGGGGATACTTAGCAAAGAGTAATTTAAGCTCAGCTGGAGAAATAATTTCTTCATCAGCCCTGGCGTCTGCTTCTCTTACGAGTTGAGGCCAGTTCAAGGCAAGGGAAATCCAAGCACCACTGCAGAAAGAAACAAGTTCCAGGCCAGCAATGGGTTTGAAATTACATTGAAGAGAGGCAGGCTCAAGGTCAGTCTGCAAAATAACTTGTGGCAGAAGAAGAAGAAAAAATACAGACAGTTTAATAAAGGGGGGAAACTGCAGCTTCCCAACCTGAGTAGAGCAATCCTGAGACTCAGTGCTTGGTTAAATGGATGGACAGGAACAGTTTTCACAGCACCAGCGTTGACCAGCAGCTCAGGCCACAGGATGAGAGAAAGGGCGACTATAGCTGCTGTCTCCTCAGCACTGAAAGAGCGAGGCCTCTGGGCAGGCAGGCGGGCGTCAGCGTCTTCTATGCTCCTAGAGCAGAAGGAGCTTGGCTTAGTAACCTCTGCCATCACTCCCGATGCGTTTTCATACTCTCATTACTTGAACTCTCCCTAAATGAAAACAAAACAGACCGAAACTTTAAATCACGAGTTAAAAGGGATTACACATCCTGTATTCCTCCAGCATCAGATCCCCATGAGCACCGATTCCATCATCTGGAGGGGCTGGAAGGCAATGGATAAATCAACTCACCACATTGAGAAGTGCGAGGATCCATCTGGTGTCCCTCCATTCTGCCCTCCCGGACCTGGGAAGGAGAAGAGAATATTGTTAGTCAGGCAGACTTCTCATCTGGCAGTCCTTTGACTCCAAGTAGATCAGCTTGTGATCAGTGGCAGCTGCAAATCCCGCTTCCTTTGCCAACACAATTCAAAATCAAAAGAAATGCTGCTGATGTAAACAATACTAAGTCAGGTGAAGCAATGGGGTGGCCTGCTATAAGACCCCTTCCTATATTCCTAGACACATGAGAGGATATATAGTTTAATCCTGACAATTAACTGATCATTAGTTTGAAAAGTTTTGACCAAAAAGATTACCAAGAAAAGTATGTAACAGATGAAAATAAAAATTAATGCCAGTCAGTTATTCCAAAACCCTTCCCAAATTAACATGATCTCTGTTTTTGACAAGAGAAAGGTTGGATACTAAAGGTCATTTTTAATATGATTTTTTTTAGTCCAGTTCACACAAACCCTATTAAATTAAAGCAAATAGATTTAAGGTGAATGTCCCATTGAAGGTGGTAGAACTAAATTGGCTTAAATCCAGGCACTGGTTAAACCAGTTAGTGGATTGCAGTCATAAGCTTCAGTGACATTTGTCTTCGACACATGACTCTTAACTTGGGTGCGAGGAGAAAAACAGATGTTGAAAGAGGTGGAAAACATACTACACAATATTTGCAACATATTGCAAACATACGTTGCAAATATGGTGTAGTAAGTTTTCTACCTCTTGCTCAAGACATATGCCTAAAAATTAGGGTGCAATATAGCTACTGTTACTTGTTTGGTAGCCACTTTATACTGCAGGTTCCAAAGACAAATCACAGCAGAATACAAATCACACACCATTATTTCACACAAGAAAAATGGTTAAGCAGCTCTTTGTGTCATGATTATGCATCCCAGCAGTTGAGGAGGACAGAAGAAATACTCTTATTCAAGCACCCAGCAGTCTCAGTCAAGTATTACAAAAGGAAGGAGAATCTTTCTGGAGGTGTATTTAGGGGATCTGATTGTTGGGCTTTTTATGGGGCAGGCTTCTCCTTTTGTGCATGGGGGGGGGAGCTCCCCCCTGGCTATGCCCATGGGGTCCCTGATGTCAGCAGAGAGAAACCCAGGTAAACAACTGCATCTGGGTGCCATGCATATAGCAAAGTACCTTTCAAAACCTGCCCTCTATCTACTATCTCACCAGGGTCAGTTTAGGACCTGGATGGTATCCAATTACTGTACAATTCTGGAGTCAGTCAGCAGCAGGATAGGTAGAATTGGTATTCATTGTGGCATTAGGAACAGTGCCCAGCACGGCTGCTGTTGTGGCCCAACATGACAGGACAAAAAGGGCCATCTAACAGACTTGGACGGTAACAACTAGTTTTAGAAAGGACCACTTCGAAGAGAGGATGGGCCCTTAAACCAGATGGAGTCTCCACCGTGTAGAATAGTTGGCTGTTGCAACAGAGCTTGGCAGCCATCTCCAAAGCCCATCCTTTCTTTCTTTTCTTTTTTTAGTCTTAAATGTGGTCTGCCTCCAAGTCCAGTTGCCACGGCTCAGCAAATATGCGCCTGCATCACAACTGGGGCAGCCACTGTTCATCCATAAGGGGTTGCATTTGGTTTGGGGACTCGGGCACTGACCCTTAGCAACCTGCAAGGTCGAGGCTTCGAGGGACACAAGAGAGCCAGGAGAAGAAGCGCGAGGCGTAGCCACGGGGTAGGAAGCGAAAGCGGAGCAGCAACCCAGAGGCAGCTACCCCGGGGTGGGGATTACGCCGAAGCCAGAGGAAGCGCTGGGTGGGTCACGCGAGGTAAACAAAGAAGGCGGCGGCGGTGGCGGCAGCTGCTGCTGCAGCGCCCGCCTCGGAAGGGAGCCCTACCTTGCCGGTAGTAGAGGCCCGTGACGGTGTTGCCGTAGACCCGCCAGGCCACCTGGATGCCGAGCAAGCTCACCAGCAGCCAGAGCAGGAGCAGCTGGAAGAGGGCGGCGCGCAAGTCCTGGGCCTCCCAGTCCGACATGAACTCCTGCCAAAGCCAAGTGAAAGCCCGCAGCGCCTTCGTCGGCACCTCCCACTCCGCGGGTCCAGAAGCAGCAGCAGCCGCCGCCGCAGCAGCCACCGCCTCCTCCGCCGTGGCCGCCGCCATCCCACTCGCAAAGGCGGCGGGAGAGGGAGAGGCGCTGCGCCACAAGCCCCGGGGAAACTGTCAGCGGCGCCGCGCGTGCGCCCCAGGGAAAGATCCAGGCCCCGCCCCGCGCAGCTCTCGCCCCGCCTCCAGTTCTCCCTCCCTCTGCACCGCTTTTTCCACGGGGCGCGTTTACTCGGGTGCGAGTCCCCGTTATGCTCAATGGGACTTTCTTCCTGGTGCGGATCTGGTTAGGATCTCACCCTTATAACCCGATCCTGTCCTATTTTGCCCGCGAGTAACTTCATCTCTCCCCCCCCCCCGGGTTCAGGTGAAATGGGCGCAGGGCTGAGTTGCACAACTTTCCCGATATATTGTTATTGACTTTTGCTTGCTTGCGGCATTTGCAAGGCATCACCTTCCAGGCCCGGCGTGAGCCAGCTCGCGAAGGAGAAGGCGGCGGGCCGCGACGAGGGAAGGCAGGTGCTGTACAATCTTAGGAAACTGCTCAAAAGAAAGCACCCCACTACCGTGAAGCAGCGCCCCCGCCCTTCTGTGAGAACCTTTTGAAACTTTCCTGAAATGGCTTCGCTATTTTTCGTAGCCAGGGGTGACAACTTGAATAAAATATTTTGGGGTGGCCCAAGATAAACCCCGCCCCGCTCCGCATAATCGATCACATGACGCAGCGCGCACACGCTATTTGAATGGGAATGCCCATCAATTTTGGTGGGGCGCGGCCCCCTCAAATATTTTATTGTAGGGGCCGAAGCACCCACGGCCCCTAGGAGTTGGCTCTTATGTTCGCTGTTTTTGGAGATCTGCTGCCAGTCAGTGAAGGGAGCAGCACTGAACTATGTGGACCTACATATGGTGGGAGCACACCCGGTTCATGAACCAGGAGGTCAGCCTCCCGCTGCCCCAGTAACTGGAAATCAAGCAGATCTGGACAACCAGTTTAATGAAAGTACAAAGCCGCTACCGGGAGACCCTCCAGCAGCCAGACTATTTCGGCTGCGTCTGGTTTTGACTCTCTTTTCTCCCCGCCCGCCGCTTGATTCAAGGGCTGCAGAAATCTACTCATACTGCTTCGGTTTCAGAGTAGGACTAGGAAGGAAATAAAACAATAATGAACGTGGGCAACGGCCATTCTAAATACAGTACTGCCCGCCTTCAATTCCTGCTCCGGGTTGCTGCAAAGAAACCGAGCCACCGCTGCGCCATCCCCTGGCTGCTGGGAAAAGACCTTGTTTCTAACTTTCACTTTCGTTTGTCTCTGCTGGGAGGGAGAAGCCAGACTTTGATGGGTTGGAGAGGATCCTCAGTAAGGTTGTCGTAAGCCTTGAGGCGCTTGAGTCTTTGCGTTAGAGCCCCAAGTTCAGGTGAGGCTTTAATTTCCCCTTGGAAAAGAACATTAATTTTCTTTGGGGGTGGTGCTGCAAGTGAACAATATCGCATTTTATCCTTACAAGCAATAACAACACATGGAATAAAAGGTAAGCTCTTGAGATTCTTGTGTCACAGGGGGTTCACTAGATGACCCTTGGGATCCCTTCCAACTCTACAGTTCTATGATTCAGTGAAAAGAAAACAATGACACATGTCAATGTGGAAAGGCAGTACTGAGATGTCTGTGTTATGCAGGTAAGTATAATTGCATTTCTGTATTTAATCAGGAAGATCATATTTCTCCCCATGGTATGGGAAAGGAGTAGGTTGTTATCTGAAACATAAGAAATGACGATCCACCAGGTAGCATAGAAATGTTCCACAGGTTCTTCACCTTTCATAAGGCAAAGTTTATGAGTTATCTTCTTGGTGATTACAGTACTCCATATGTTTTCATACCATGGTTGAAGGTATAAACCATGAAGATTCTCCCACTTTTGAGCTATAGACCATCTAGTGGCTACCATGGGCTTAGCCAGGATTTTGGCTATGCCCATGGCTGCTACTAAGAACCAAGTTAATGAGCATTTATTTTAAGGTAAAAAAGAAACAGGAATTCTGTGGTGTTCTGCTGCAGTGCCTCTTGTGGGCACTGGGGGATTGCAGATCTGGAAGAACCCAGAAAAAGCAGCCTTTCTCATGCTTTGCATTGCTTGGTGCTGCATTTACACACTAGGATGCCTCCCTTCTCTGTTTGGTTTCTTGGGGCCAACTTTGTGTTACCTGGTCAGGTTTGGGCTAAGCTAAGATGCGGCAGCAGCAGACAGAAAGGTGGATTTTCACACATCAATTTTACGGCTATGTTCAGGCTGCTGTGGTTATTTATTTATTTATTTATTTATTTTATTTATTAAATTTGTATACCTCCCTTCATCTGAAGATGTCAAGGCAGTTCACAGCATAAAAGATCAGTCCCATTTACCTTGATATTATTCCTTCTGAGTAGACATGCATAACATTGCACTGTCCATTGCACACGCATACTGTACACCCACTCACACACATGAGGGCAACGTTTTATCTCCCTGTATGCCTCTGGGTGCCATTGGTTGGGAATTGCAGGTGGGAGAGTGTTGTTGTGTTTGGGTCCTGCTTGCAGGCTACCCACAGAAATCTGTTTTGCTAGTGTGAGAACAGGATGCTGGAATACATGGGTCAATGGCTTGTCTTGCAATTCCCAACAACTGGCATTCAGAGGCACGATGCTTCTGGCTGTGGAAGCAGAAAGAAATTTACTCAATAGACACCTCAGCTTTTTGTTTCTGATGGGCAGGAGCAGAATGAGTGCCTCAAAGAGCCTTCCTGAGATCGACGAGGACCTGTACTCTCGCCAATTGTAAGTCTTGCGACACATTACATAAAAGCATTCTAGCTGAGCCGAAAAGGGATATCGACCAGGATCTCCTCCACACCTCTACTGTTTTTTTGAGAAGGGATTCAGTAGCATACTGGGAACTTAGGTTTGTCCAATTAAAGTGGATTAAAACACCTCTGCCCAAGAAATCCACTGTAACAACAATCAGACTTTTTGCAGTTAGGAACGTGATGGGGAAATACACTAAAAAGTGTGGAATAATGATTGCCTGATGGGAGGGAGCAAAATACACCACAGTCGCCACCACAACCAAATCAGGATGAATTCTCATTCACATATAACCTCCACAGAAAAAATCAGAACTAATTATAAGCAAAGAGCAGCTGTTGTATAACCTGCATGCCATCCTTGTGCATGGAGATCGGGATTCATTCTCAATAAACAGATTGCCGGGAGGAGGCCTGGGTGGCTGAAAATGATCACAGTGCTATGACTGGGGCAAGATGTTACAGAGTGAGCAGTGATATGAATGTATTTTGTTGGGGAAATATGGCAGACTAAGCTGAACTAAGGTATGTGTGATGGGGGCCACATATCCTACTTGGCAGAGAACAGTCCTCTAGTTGATTGTGTTGCTGTTTGAAGAGCTGTCCAGGCTAATGGTAAAGACCTGAAGTTGCCTATCATCAGTTAGTACTGGCTAGCAGACCAAGCAAGCACACAAGTCACCTTGGTCTAGTTAAATTAACTTGTTTATAGATAAATTACAACAATTATCTCTAATTCTGCTACTAGTGCCCCAGGTTTTTTTAATCAGAATAGATGATAACAAACAAAAGTCTGAAATAAAATCAATAAAATATCAGCATGCAAGTGTGCAAGTTAGAACAATCCCTTCCAGTAGTGGATACAGTCAATGTCATCCCAGTCCATCACCAGACTAACATGGAAGATTCTCAGTCTTCAAGATCAGGGTCCCCCGGCTCCAGGCATGAAGTCCCAGAGCAATAGTTTTACAAGAACAGTCAGCCCATGAGCCAAACAAATCTTTGCATTTCTGAGGGAGGATAGCTTTGTTTCAGACTGTGAAAGGATTCAATCAAGCAGTGTCAAATGGCAAAAAATAATAATTGTATGCTTCCTTACTTCTTAATACCCACTGGTGGTGATGTGTTAGTCATTCAGCCACTGCTGTATTCCATACATTCCAATACCATAAGTCCAGGTCCAAACTCTCCACTGTCTTCCAGCTTTGTACAATGGCTAACTGCACTGCAATACCCGGGAACAGTAGCAAATCTTTGGATGCATGTGTAAATTGTAGTTTTCAAACATGTTCAAAAGGAACAATGAGAAATCTACCTGCTCATTCAAAATGATTGACATTTTTTGCATTGCTGCAGACCAAAAATGTACCACTGTTGAACATTGCCACCACATATGCATGTATGTGCCCTTACTCCCATAATGCCTATAGCAGTTCTCAGATGTTCCCACAATCATATGGGAAGGCTGTACTGGGGCTCTGAACCATAGGTGTGTTTATGGTTTTAAGAGTGTTTTCCAGAACATGTCCCCTTCTAGTATGCCACTGTTTATTGGTGATTAGGGCAGCTGGAAGATGCCTTTTAAAGAATCTGGGACTGGAGCAGCAAGATTCTGCTGCTACTCCCATCGTGCACCGCCCAATTATTTCTAAAATTGAATCTGCACATATAAATTAGCATGTGTACATTTTATGCAAATCTGTGCCCTCTTGTTTGGTAACGCATTTCCTCTTTGGGGGCCATGTGTTAGTGACTACTACAGTGGTGCCTCGCAAGACGAAATTAATCCGTTCTGCGAGTCTCTTCGTCTTGCGAAGCACGGCTATTAACGGCTTAGCGGCTATTAACGGCCTAGCGGCTATTAACAGCTTAGTGGCTTTAAGAAAAAGGAAACAAACTCGCAAGAACTCGCAAGATGTTTCATCTTGCGAAGCAAGCCCATAGGGAAATTTGTCTTGTGGAACGACTCAAAAAACGCAAAACCCTTTTGTCTAGCGAGTTTTTCGTCTTGCGAGGCATTCGTCTTGCGGGGCACCACTGTATACCTAAGATGGGGGCAGGTACAAGTGGCTGGCAAGGGGAAAGTATAGGTGGAGTTTAAGGGAAGCTGGTGAGGGAATGCTACTGTCCAGGGCTTCATAACTCACCATATTTCAAACACAGAGCTGTGCTTTCCCCCCTAGATATGTTCTGGGCTACGAGGCCATGCAGAAGATGGTGGGAGCATCTGTGCTGGTCTCTGGAATGAAGGGCCTGGGGGTGGAGATTGCCAAGAACGTCATCCTTGCAGGAGTGAAATCTGTCACTGTCCATGACCAGAGTGAGACTCAGTTGCGTGACCTTTCTTCACAGGTATGCTGCCTAGGGTGAAATTCTATATCTGCTCAATGGTGTTCTGAGTTTACATGTGTAGGATTGCACATGTTAGAGGCTTTGCCTAGCAAACAAGGAAATGTGGCACAAAGTCCTCTTCCCTCGTTGGCACTGTTAACATACCCTATGGCTTTTTTTTTAATCATTTTTTCTATCATTGTTGCATTCCTCTGGGCCATTCCCCCCCCCACACACTTCCTTAATATATATTTGTAGCAGTGCCTCTCTGAGGCAACATCCTATACATGCCAAGTCAGAAGCAAGCTCCCCATCTTCCTATTTAAGTGTATAGGATTGCAACTGTAATTTCCAAATTAGGACCTAGTAAAAGGAGCCCAGGATTCTATACCAAGGTTATATATATAGAGAGAGAGAGAGAGAGAGTAATAGTCAAGGTATGAAAATATAGACTGCATACGTTTTCCATTATTTGATAAGTTCTTGTGTATGACGTGTTTGCTAACAAGTCTTTCCAGAACTCACACTGGGTATCTGTGGTGACCTGGTTGATGACTCTAGTGATTTTGTGCCAAGCTATTCGCATGTATTCTTCAATCCTATATTGTTTTCATATAATTTTATTCTGAAACCCAGAACCCCGTGAGAACTCTAGGCAGAGCATACTATTAGTCCAAATAAATTAATCAATATCCTGTCGTGACAAAGGCTAAAATCTATCACATACAGCAAATTTTGCTTCATTTGCCCTTTATGTCCCAACACTCTATACTAAATCATAAGTCACCTGAACTCTTGACTGATCCCAGTCTATAGCCCACTGTAATAATAACTACAATTAGAACCCCCCCCCACAAAAAAAATATTGGTAGTTTCATGGCTTCCAGCATAATCTAGTCATGAGATTCAAACAAGGTTGCATAATTTGGGAAGTCTGGTGAGTCAGTTGCTGCTATTATTAAAAGTAGTCAGAACTGGAAATGCTGCTACATTAGGCTATAAATTTCACAACAGCTTGTTTTGAAATTAATTTTAAAACTCCACCTTCTGGTACCCTGGTTCTCACAAGCAACACAAGAAGCTGCCTTATACTGACTCAGACCATTGGCCCATCTGGTTTGTTGTTGGCTGCACCGACTGGCAGCTGCTCTTCAGGGTTTCTGTACTGAAGTCTTTCCCAGTACTACCTGGAAACGCCGGGGTTTGAACCTGGGACCTTCTGCATGCAAGGCAGATCCCCTACCACTGAGCTACAGCCCTTTGCCAGTGTTCTCAATGTCTCCTTCAGTATATTTGGCTTTAAAGACTGGAGCAGTATGTTTGCAATGTTGGTTTAATAACAAACCTATCCTAAGCTAAAAGTATTGAAATATTGAGCCCGAACATACTGGAATTAATGATCTGAATAAATAGGGACATTTTTGCATAATTCATTGAAGATATGGGAAAAGCTAGCGGCAATGCAGGTCCTGCCCCTTGGCCACTGGAATCCCTGACAAGTTTCTCTCGGGACTCCTGAGATTTCACTAAGCATTGCTCTCACAGTTTTAACCCAATAAAAGCTGATATTCTCACAATGCTCTTTTCTGCACCCTGTTTTCTGGTGCAATCACATAATGAATTGCAACCCGCCCTATGCTGATGAAGAAATAGGCACACTCCCTTTTTAAAGCATATATCTGATGATGGATGGAGTCTGTGAATGGAGCTGGAAGCCAAATTCAGAGTCTGCTCTAAGCCAACATGGTACTAAGGGCCTAACTGCGTGTGACATTGGTAATGCGGTTTGTGGTGGCGTTTTTTAACAGCAACACACAATGTGTGGGGAGGGGCATTTTTTTCATAGATCACAGAATATGGAGAGGGGAGATTTAAGCCTTCTCTCCAGCCATAATCTCTCTGAACCCCACCCACCCCCGCTTGTGTCAATTACCATTAGGGAAAAAAGCTCCCATTGATACTAAAGAGTGACTCCCCCACCCCCACGTGTACTTAAACCTGCCTTCCCTGCATGCTGCCATTTTCGAAACCATCTCCCACCTGTGCTCAGGATTGAATATTTTTAAAATGTGCAACATGATTGCTAATGGCATTGCTAATATCCTATGTAGCTGGGTCCTGAATTTGGTGGTAGAGTAGTGGGTAAAAGAGTAAAATCCAGTGCTTTTTTTTTTCTAAAAAAAATATATTTAGGGGCACTCTCATTTTGACTCAAGAAAATCACCATTTTATAGTTCAAATCGGGGGAAAATAAATACAGTAAATCGACAAAAGTACAAAGATTCACAAAATGTTTAGGGGTATGCGTACCCCTGCGTCCCTCCAGAAAAAAAGCACTGGTGAAATACATTGTCATCCACTCAGCTCCACAATGCAACCCTCCCCCACCATCCTCACTTTTGGCATTGCTGTGTCTCTGCAGTTCTATCTGTCGGAGAATGACGTGGGGCAAAACCGAGCTCTGGTCTCCCAGTGCCGCCTTGCAGAACTGAACGCACATGTCCCTGTGCATGCCTATACCAATGGGCTGTCTGAGAGCTTCTTGTCTACTTTCCAGGTAAGGACAGAGCTGTGTGTCTCATGTCATGGGAGTGACTCTAAGTGATGATAAAAAATCAAACTGGTCACATCCACACCATCCATTTAAAGTGCATTTTTCCCACCTCTAAAGCACATGACTTCCCCCAAAGACTCTTGGGAACGGTAGTTGGTGAAGGGTGCTTGAGGGGAAGCCACAGTTCCCAGAATTCTTGGGGGGGGGAACCATGGGGCGCTGTGGATGTGACCACTGTTTCCAGTGCTTCAGCAGGCTCTGACCTACATCAGTGAGAGACCTTTTGCTCTTAACCCAATGAAAGCAACAAGCCTGTTGCCCATGCCCAGCTGTTTCTCATAGTGGTAATTTATGGCCTAGTTCTCCTCAAGTGCCACTAACTGTTTTGTTCTGAGGCTGCACCTGAAGCTCAAAGTGGGGATCAGCTCTCATGTCTGTGGTTGGTTGGGATAGCTGCAGTGCCTGTCATTCGATGGTGCAGGTGATGATCCAGCGAGTGAGAGGTCAGGAACAAGCAGGGACAGAAAGACCACTGCTTGTTTCACAGCAGGGTTATCTCATGGGGCCAATTATCTACGTAAGCTGTGCTCAGAAATAACCAACCAAAATGTCATAAACTGAGCAAGCTTTTGAGTCCACCAGAGATCTTCATCAGATTGGTTGTTGAAGCAAAACAGATGGGAGAGATGGGGTGGGGGGAAAGCTGGCTCAGTACTGATGTTGAGAAATTCTGCTTGGAGACAGGGAAGCCTAGCCACAGGTGGTGATTGGCTAAGTTCTCCCTTATAAGCAGTATGACAAAGCAGTTTGTTGTTGGAGTGTTGAGTTTGGAATAGGAGTTGAATCTTGTCTGTGTATATATAGTAACTTGTACAAAGCTGTGCTTTATTCTGCTGTATATAATAAAACTAAACAAAAATCAAGTTACTAGTCAGCAAGCTCTGTTCCTGTTCATCGTTCTGGAATTCACTAATTTGGCAGCTGGTAGCAAGAGTTATGGTTAAGATCCATCAACAATTGAAGCCATAATATCTGCACTGATGAAAAATCACTTTTATTGTATAGTCTCGGAAGAGGCATAACTATGGAAGTTGTTGCAAAGGGCCCACACTCCAGGATTTACCACTACGTGACCCGCTGTCATTGATGGGGAACAGAGAATCTGTTTGGAAAGTGCTCTCTTTTGTGCTGTTTCTTAGCCCCTTAGGTTATGCAGATTACTATTCTGATACTATTCTGCACCAAACTTTACAGGTTGTGGTCCTGAGTAACTCACCCTTGGAGGAGCAGCTGCGAATCAGTGACTTCTGCCACACCAAGAACATTTGCTTTGTCCTAGTTGACACCAAGGGCCTGGCTGGGTAGGTGTTGGGGGCTTCTGTCCTTGTCCCGAGGCTGGGCTGTTGGAGTGGTGCAGTGATTCTGGGTGGAATAAGAGGTGGACTAAGAATTCGTATAAGCTGCCAGCATTCTGGCTGGACACCTCAGGGTAGGGATGGGGGAGAGATTTGATTCAATTTGCATTTAAGGGTGAACTCAATTGAGTTTGTTCCCAAGCACAGCCGTCCTTCAAATTGGCACGTCTTTGAATTTTGCCGTGAAGTTTTCCAGCCAAGCACTGAGTACAAAAATGCATATACCGGTGGTGACCATTTTAGGCATGTCCAATTAACGTGTGATCACCTACACATGGGTCCTTTTGGACCCAGAAGAAGGCAGAACGGGGGGCAGGGGGGAGCTTATATGTACTCCCCCCAACACGGATAGGGGCCTGGAATTGAACCTGCGCACAAAATGGTCATCAACTGTCCTAGGGTAAATTGTGCATATGTTAGCTGAAATGACAAAAAAGGCATTGTATTATAAGAAATTGTTTCGTAAAAAAGTGTGCATTGTTGCACACTGCCCCAATCCCCAAGCGCTGTGTGATTCCAGGGGTTCCCGTGCTTACCCAGGGTTCAGTTTCCTTGGAATGAGGGACAGCAGAGACAGTGGTGTCTTTATGAGATATGGTTTATTTACACATACTGTATTAGCCGGACTGTAAACCACACACACAAATAAGCCTCATCTTTAAAATTCAAGGCTTCTTTGCGGGTGCAGTCTGCCTCCCGGTACTACTGCGCTAAGCTGGGGACAGGGGCGGCTGGCGCTCGGCGCCCCATTCTCCAAGCCAGTGTCAGTGCTTGCCCACTCCCCAAGCCACTGTTGACGCTTGGCTCTGAGCGCGCTGCACGCCCACGTCAATACGGTTTATACATCCTGAGCCTATGATGGAGGGACTCACAGCATTAGCACCCCAATATGGTCTTGCTTCTCCCATTACTATAGCCTTACATTCCATCAGAAATCAAGCCTGGCTCTCACTCCGTTTCTAGTCCAGCTCATTTTCCCCTGGCTAGTTCAACGATGGAATCCTCCACTAGATTTTAACCCTTTGCTGGATCTAGGACCCCAGGAATTAGAAGGGACTCAGGTACCATGCAGACTAACCCCCCTCCAAACTCTCAACTGTATATTAGAATTTGCACTGATATTCCAATTAATTTTCGTGTGGGCTTTCAAAAAAATATTTGCAAACGGAGGTGGAAACATGGAGAACTGAACTTAAAACTGGGAAATGGAGCGAAAGTGAAATTGACGCCTTCATCCTTCCGTAATGCAGGATGAAGGTTCTCTGAACAGGTAGGCCCCATGGGTGGAAGTGAAGGGGCTTTCTCAGGGTGGAGCAGTGACTGAGTGTAGGGAGGAAAATGAAGTAGAAGTCTGACTTCTTGAGCTTTGGTCTTTTGGCTCCAGGCAACTTTTCTGTGATTTTGGAGAACACTTCATTGTGCGCAGTCCTTCAGAGGCTGAACCTGCCTCTGCTGCCATTCACCACATCACCCAGGTAATGTCTCTTCTCCCAGATAACATCTGTCTCCTGCACTTTATTGCCCTGCTTGTGTTACCCTTTCTGAGCTCATGTCCTTCACACCCTGGATTGAACATGGCTCCTTCCAAAGGAGCCCCCAAGATGTCTTTCCAAGCTTGGATAATAATAATAACAATTATTATTTATTATTTATATCCCACCCATCTGGCTGGGTTTCCCCAGCCACTCTGGGTGGCTCCCAACAGAATATTAAAAACTATAAAACATCAAACATTAAAAACTTCCCTAAACAGATGGCGTAACCATCTAATCAGATGCAGGCAATCCTTTGCTCTCTCAGCCAGAGTCTCCTGTTTTTATTGCTGTGTTGTTTTATTGTGATTGTTTTATTGCATATTTTAATTATGGACAATTATATTTTAATGTGTTAATGTGATTGATTTATTTCATATTTTAATTATGAGTATTTATATTTTAATGTAACTGGTTTTTTTCTACTTTGTAAACTGCCTAGCAGCTTGCTTTGGTATTAAGTGATGTATTTAACCATAGTAGAAGCAATAATAATAATAATAATAATAATATACTCTTCCCCCAGAGTAACCCTGGCATAGTGACTGTGGCGTGTGACAATGAGGAGAGACAAGGCCACCACTTTGAGGATGGTGACTGGGTGAAATTCTCCGGGGTTGAGGGGATGACAGAACTCAACACCTCCGAGCCCTGCCTCATTCGTCTGAAAGGTAACAGGCCCTCTGTTTCTTCCTTCTCCTCATGTCTCTGGGTACAGTGCCTACCTGCACACAGAAAGTGTCCAGAGGAGAATAGGGGGACAGATGTGGATCAGGAAGATGGACAGGCAAAGATTATGAGAGTGGAGTTTGACAGAAGGCTGGGGTGGCACTGTGTTGTGGGGAAAGAGGCATCATGTCTCTCCTATTAGGAACCTTGTGGGACTTAGGACAAGAGACCTCCAGAAGAAATGCAGGTGTCTACCTTGCAGAGAATGGGTTTATATCGTTTTATTTGACTTCAGTCCCATTGAACAACTAAGAGAACAGACCTAATGTTTGTGATCTGTGTCTGTTTAGGAACCTGCAGCTTGGAAGTTGGAGATACGTCTTCTTTTTCTCCATACAAATGCGGTGGGGTCATCACCCAAGTCAAGATACCTCAAAAACACTCCTATGTATGTTCTCGTCTCTGGTGGTGGTGAAAAAATGTGGTTATTCTTTTCCAGCTAGTTCATAGGGGGCCAAGATGGGCAGAGCCTTTGGTGACCTTATTGGCAGGGCTGAGCATTTTAGCCGGAGGACTCAAACAGGACTACTTCACCAGGGAAGAGACCTCAAAACTGCTGTTCTAGAGCCTGGGTGCAGAACGCCAGTCCAAGCAGCTAGGGAGAGGATGGAGCTCTGTGCTCTGCATGTCAAAGATCCCAGGTCTAGTACATAACATCTGCAGATACAGCTGGGAAAGGCTCCTGTTTGAAACCCTGGAGAGCCACTGCCAGTCAGTACAGACAGTATTGAGCTAGATGGGCCAGTGGTCTGACATGGTCGGTATAGCTCCTATGTTCAGCTATGGTGAGGAGAGGCATTTCTTGAAGTGTGTTGCCTTAAGGCAGGCATGGGGAAATGCAACCCAAGGGTCACATTACCTCCTGGGCAACTTTCTGAGGCCCCCATGTCAGTGGTGGGTGGGTTGAGACTCAAAAAGTGGGTAGGGAAATGGATTGTGTGGCGTTTTCTTTGTACAGTAGGGTACACCCAGGCCACACAAAGGTCTCCACACCCAAGGAGGACGCAGAGCAGGGCACATGAAGAGCATAGCCTGAGGAGAGTACGGGGAGGTGACTTGGAGAGGAGGCCTAGCCTGAGAGAGTCCTGAGGGATGGACAGTGATGTCTAAGGAGCTATACTCAGCTCCTGGGCCTGAGGTTCTCTACCTCCTACCTCAAAGAGAAGGATGTGCATTAGGTAGTTCTACTCCTGTCCACTAACCTCTCTGTATTCCCAGGAATCCCTGCGTACCTCCAGGGCTAATCCTAAAATCAGGATCCCGGATAAGGGGAAACTACCTCGCTGTCACTCCCTCCATGCGGCCTTCTGGGCACTGCATGTCTTCCAGAGGGAGATGAAGCGGCTGCCTAGGCCCAGGAATCAGGCAAGTCTCCCCAGTTGCCTTCATTCTTCTTAGCAATCCCAACCGGCCTCCCAGGCTTCCTCATGTTTCCAACCCTGAGCAGGATATTGTCTCCTTCTGCAGAGAACGTCGTTACTTTTCCTGCAAGTAGCTCATTGTAAGCTTCCTCAGATAGACTCTTTCCCCAGCCCCAGCCTCATCCGTCTTTACTCCTCAACAGGCAGATGCAGACATGATGGTGAAACTGGCACAGACCGTCTCTGTGAGCAAGGAGGAGGAACTGCAAGAGGACTTGGTGCGGACATTTTCCTACGGATGTTCTGGTGACCTGAGCCCTATCAATGCCTTCATTGGAGGCCTGGCTGCCCAAGAGGTGCTGAAGGTGAGGGGCAGACTCCTGTGAGGAAGGCAGGCAGCTTTTTGAGCTGTTTGGAAGACACTTTCCATGAGGCATCTGCGTCTCAAGTGTGGAACAAGGGTTTGAATCCCTACTCAGCCATGAAGCGCACTGAGTGACCTTTGGACAGCCACTGCCTCTCAGTGTAATCTATCTCACAAGTTGTGACATAGTTGTGGGGATAAAATGGGGGAAAGTGTGTATGCCACCTTGAGCTCCTTGGAGGAAAGGCGGGATATAAATGTTAATAATAATAATAATAATAATAATAATAATAATAATGTGGTAGCTAAGAGAATGAGGGAGGCCCCAGTCTGAGGCTGTGTTCACACTTCCATATAGTATACACTCACTGTGTTTCCGGTGCCTGGTTTTTAATCTGCTTCCACACCAACTTCACACTTGCTGGTGCTCTTTAGTCATTCCTAATCCATGTCTAGCCAGGGTGTGAACACCTTTGCATAGGGTAAAGACATCCCTGCCCGTCCACGCCCCCTGGTGTGTACAAACAGAAATGAATTTTCACACAATGAAGCTGTGATGGCGTGAGCAGCCAAGGGGGGGGGGGGGAGGTATGAAATGCTCCTGAGGGGAGAAACCAAGAACTTCATTGCCGTCTAAGGCGTTTTTGTGAACACACTTTCGAGTCTCACCTGTGCCATGAACTCATTTGGTGGCCACAGGCAAATCACTACCACCCAGCCTGTTTTCCAATATGCGCAAACTTCTGCAGTAATAATACTGATTTACCTCACAGGGTTGTTGTAGGAATTTCCATTAGATAACACATGTGAAATTCTTTGAATGCATCACAGCACAAATGCTAATGATTATTATTTTTCTGTTATTTATTTAATATATGCACACACACACCCCACTTCATAAAAGAATCCTTTTCAGAAGTTTACATAAAGTGTTCATAAGGAAATACCAATAAAAGGAAGATTAAAAAATATATATATTATATGTGTGTGTGTAAAGGTAAAGGGACCCCTGACCACTAGGTCCAGTCGTGGCCGACTCTGGGGTTGCAGCGCTCATCTCGCTTTATTGGCCGAGGGAGCCAGCCTACAGCTTCCGGGTCATGTGGCCAGCATGACTAAGCCGCTTCTGGCGAACCAGAGCAGCTCACGGAAACACCGTTTACCTTCCCACTGGAGCAGTACCTATTTATCTACTTGCACTTTGACGTGCTTTTGAACTGCTAGGTTGGCAGGAGCAGGGACTGAGCAATGGGAGCTCACCCCGTCACCGGGATTCGAGCCGCCGGCCTTCTGATCGGCAAGCCCTAGGCTCTGTGGTTTAACCCACAGCGCCCCCCACGTCCCATATATATATAGAGAGTGAGAGAGGTATTACGTTTAAGTAAGAAGCAAGGAGCATCCTGAAGCTACCCAAAGGACAGGCTTCCCATCAGGTATGAGTGAAGCACCTGAACATTTCCTGATTGAGCCCAGAAGTGGCAGGTGCTTGAGTTTCATGCTCAGAAAGGCACTTGCCCTGTCCCCTGTGACCCATTTGCTTCTGTGTCACTGCTGAGTTCAGGTTGCTGCCTGCCCTCTTTTGTAAACCAATCTAGCTGGTTTTCTTCTGGATTTGCCAGTTTAGGATTATCAACTCACAGGCCCAGCTAGGCAGTTTTAAATGAGTGCAGGTATGAGGCAGCTGACATGCAGTTTTGCAACAGCTACTACTTTGGATCATCTTAAACAAAGGAAAGAAAACTGTTTCGTTTCAGTGTTAACTTGGGAATCGTCAGACGGGGCACACCTGTCCCTTTATAGGTTATTAGAAGTGCCAGGTGGTGACTGTCCAAATGCCTTATGCTCAGGGCTGATTCCATGTTTCAGGGGATTCTCTGCAAAGTGTCTCCTGATGGGCCCACTCCTCTCTCAGAGGGCCCTGGGGGGCTCATTGGATTGCAGTGACAGTTCTCTAAGCCAGCAGTGGGCAGCTTTGCTTCCCCACAATGCTCCAGAGCAATGCCAGGTCAGAGGAAATTATGGGGAATTAGGGGAAAAGGAAAGGTTGGCGAGATCCAATCTGCATGGGAACCTACCTATACCATTACCTACTTGTCTTTCATCTCTCATGCATAGGTAGTTTTTGCTATAACTTCAGTTTAGGGGGTAAATCAGAGAAAGGATATGCAGTGGATTATAATTCAGAGACCTTATTTTTGTTCACTTGTGAATGTAGTGTTTTGCTGCTGCTGCTGCTGCTGCTGCTGTTGTTGTGTGTGTGTGTGTGTTTTACAGTGTCCACCAAATGCCATCTTAAGCTTTGAGGATTTTTGAAGGTTAGGTTTCTATCAGCTAGTTCCCTTATCTCTGTTCAGTCAGCTGTCGGTGACTGACCTGGAAAGAGATCTTGAGGTCTTGGTGAAATTGATGAAGATGTTGACCTAGTGAGCAGCAACTGCTGTGAAGAAAGTGAATTCCATCTTGGGAACAGTTAGGAAAGAGAATTTGAAAATAAAACTGCCCATATCCTGATGTCATCACTTGGAATGCCATGTATAGTTTCTGGCCACCTCATCTCTAAAATTATATTGGAGAGCTGGCAGAGGTGTAGCAAAAAAGGCAATCAAAATGTTCATTGGGCTATGAAGAATGGCTATGAATACTTGGGGCTTTTTAGTTTAGGAATAAGTAGGGGCATGATAGAAGTATACAGTGGTACCTTGGGTTACATACGCTTCAGGTTACATACGCTTCTGTTTACAGGCTCCACTAACCCAGAAATATTACCTCAGCTTAAGAACTTTGCTTCAGGATGAGAAGAGAAATCGTGCTCCAGCGGCACGGCAGCAGCAAGAGGCCCCATTAGCTAAAGTGGTGCTTCAGGTTAAGAACAGTTTCAGGTTAAGAATGGACCTCCAGAATGAATTAAGTACTTAACCTGAGGTACCACTGTATAATATTATGTTTGGTGTGAGGAAAGCGGATAGAAACCTCGAGATTTAGGCTGCAATCCTTACACAATCACCAGGGAGTCAGTCCCATTGACCATGATGGGACTTACTCCTGAGTAGATGTGCACGGTCAGTAGAGTAGATGGGTTGTACGGTCAGTGATTTTTGGCAGCCACAACCTTAATAACTACTTCATTACTGGCTCATTTCCATATCTGTGGCACCGAGCTTCCTCATCTTGGCACCTTCTCCCCATCCCTTCTGCTTTCTCAGGAGCAGATCCAATTAAATGTGATTAAAGGGCACGTTGACAGCTGGGAAATCCCTGGGTCGAATATTACACCTGCTTTCTCAGCTCACTGGTGGCTTTAGGCAAACCACGAGATTGCAAGCTCCATCTGCAGCTGTGAGGAGATGGTAGTACTTTGGACCAGGGATTTGGGACCTGTAAAAGTCTGGATGTTGCTAAACCCCAGCTCCCATCGTTCCTGACCATTGACCATGCTGGCTGGGGACTGGAGCCCAACATCTGGAAGGCCACACAGGCCTTCCATGTGTGCCTTACATGGTTTTTGTAGACATTAGCGAGTGAGGCCAAACTCAGTGTGGTGTTTATCATATAGTTTTCCCTTGAGTTTGCCTTTTCTTTCACAAATTACCAGTGCAGAGCACCTAATCAGGATTGGGACACTGGCATGTGGTGGGAGTGGTTGGGAGGGAGTGGGTTTTAATAATTTCCCGCTCCTCACACTGTAGTCGCATTCTGGATTGTGCGCCTGCAACTTGCATTGGGAGAGAAATTCTTTCATTTGAGTGCTTTGAACGTTCTTACCACACTTATAGAAAAGCAAAGTTTATTGGTTGCCAAATATCTTGGGGTCTGGGCCAAATTTGTGACTGACTTCTGAAGATCTTGAAGCACAGGTTGGGCAAGATATTAGCATGCTGTTTTCCAGAGTGGAATATCTGATTCTCTTGAGGTGTTAAATGACAAGACAAGCTGAAGGGTATATGGGTTGCCAGGAAGGGTGGCCATGTGACCTACTTTGCAGGGAACAGGCCTCTGTCTGAAGGTGTCCTCTGTTTGAAAAACTGTCCAGCCCATGTCTGGTTTCAAGATACAGAGAACTGTAAGAAGGGAGAGCAGGAGAGGCCTTGTTTGCCATCAGCAGTGAGCAGCAGGCTGAGCGGGCACAAAGGATTACCTGGTCATATTCTTCCCTACCATGGTGAGATGTAATGCTTGCTATTCACAGCAACATACTGCCCCTGACACATAGCAGTTGTGGCTAGTAGCCACTGATAGCCTTTCCCTCCATGAATTTATCTAATCCTCCTTTAAAGTCATCTAAACTGGTGGCCACAATTGCTTCTAGTGGGAGCGAGTTCCATACTTTCAACTATGTTCTGCACATGTGTGTTTTGTATTGAATGGATCCAAAATAGAATGGGGGTGGGGAGAAGAAATGCCTCGGATATAAATTGGAGCAATACCTGTTTTTAGAATTTCCGTTGTAGTTTTCATACATGCTTTTCAGCTGCAGGCAAATTTGTTGTCTTTGCTGCAGAGATAGGTCATTCTGTCAGCTCCCAGCACGACTGGGAGCCCAACAGGGCTGCTGCCAACATGACTAGAGTGGTGTAGAATGACGAGAGTTACCATCTCTTCACCACAGCAGTGCTCTTGTGCCTTAAACAGTGGTGCAAAACATAGAAAACAGAAATGTGCAGCTTTTCCTGACACGTAGATGAGATCATGAGAAGCATTACCTGTTGAATTTTGGCCTGACGTGCAGCCCCCTCCCGAGGAGGAAAGCAGGAAAATTTGAACAGTATGTTCCATGAGTTTTCTGTGTTCATTAAGAGAGGCTGTTCCCTCTTCTCAGACCCAAACCTGCAGTTATAGGAAGGGCTGAGCAGTTTCCTCCTTTTTTTCTCTGTCTGCAGGCTGCCTCAGGGAAGTTCACTCCTTTGGACCAGTGGCTGTACTTCGATGCTTATGAATGTCTGCCTGAAGAGGAAAATATTGTGCAGCTGACTGAGGAAGACTGTGCTCCAGTATGTGACAAATTCTGCAGTTTGTACTTTTCCGTTAGAGATAGGATGGAATCACAGCTCTTTTTCTGCCTCTTCCAAGGCATTCCAGACTTTTCCACAAAGGAGTTTACTGTGTGTTTAGAGCTGTTTTTGTTCCTATTTAATTTGTGTAGTCCGCATGATGTTACCCTCAAACAGCACCAATCTCAATGCTTTCCCCTACAAATTCAAGTTTTTTTGATTTGGAGATAATCTGATTAAACTGAGGAAAATTGTGTTCCAGACCTCTCCAATCAGGGTTGCAGATTGTTCACTTTGGTGTTTGTGGACGAATGGATCAGTTCTCTTTGCTGCTCCTCTTTCAAAACCCACTAACTCCTCCATGCTTTCATTTCTTTTCTGGCTGTGCTATTTCCAGGGTGCTTCTGAACAGTGGTATTTCCTGCCCTTTTGAGCCCTCAGATTTACACAAAAGCAGAAAACGGCAGAAGTGTGTACTGAGAATTTATGTTTGCCTGACAGGGTGCTTTTGCACATTTCTTGGGTGGGGAAGGTGTGTGTGCAGCTACCTGTGTGTATGCCTTGTATTGCTTGATTGGCATAATTGAATCAACAAATTAGAAGGCAGCAATAAATAGAAAAGGGAATGACTGGAAAAGGCAGAAGTTTCTCCTCATATCCAAATTCAAATAAATATGTGGACATGTGGGGGTACTCTGATCCAGTTCAAGTGTGTAAAAAGTAGATTAATAGCTCAGTAATGCTCAAACGTGGACAAACCTTCTGGCAGTGCATCTACATGCCCTTTCTCATGCTGATCTCTCTTTACTGGAGCTGGCTAGGGCTGATGGGAAGCTGCAGGCTCTACATTCCTGACATATAGGCCGCCCTCTCTCCTACTTGATTCAACACCCACGCAGTGCCCAAATTCTAAATCTGTTAGAATGGGTATAGGGCCATCCTACAGGGATTGTGTTGCTCTCCATCTGTCACCTGCTGGGTCTCTAATGTCTGTCATCTCTCCCTTTTGACAGCGTGGCAGCCGCTATGATGGGCAGATTGCTGTCTTTGGGAATACCTTCCAGGAATGGCTTGGGAAGCTGAAATACTTTGTGGTGAGTTGGGGCAGGCTGGGTGAAGCCAGGTTCTTCCCACACAAAGCATCATGAATGTATGTAACTCTCCGCCACAAGGTCTCTCAGCCTAACCTACGTCCCAGGGATGTTGCAAGGGTTAAATTGGTGAGGAAAGACATGTGCCACCTTGATAAAATTGGAGGAAAGGTGAGGTGTAAACATAATAAAGTTTTGACATATGTAGTTCTTCCTAATGACCCTGACATTTAAGATTGCATTTGGATTACGTATTTTGGACTAGGGTTTAATACTGAAAACACATTGTTGAATATTGCAAATGGGTTGTTGGCAACAGAGGGTTTTTTTAGTGTATCAGATTTTCTATAGAAAGGGTAAATCTGAATTAAATGGAGGAGGAGGTGGTAGGGAAATATAGGCTGGCCTTTTGATGTCAACAACATTGTGTGGATACTGCCAAATACTTGCCCACATGAGGGGCACTGGTCTCACCTGAAAGCCACCCACCTTAATCCAGCCACTGATGAGAGTTGGTTGACTTTTTCACTTAACTGTAGTGCTTATTTTTCCAGTGTTTTCCAGTAGAGGGAGTGTTGACTCCTTTAGTTTGAGCGATGACACTAGCTAGAAGAACAATTTTTGTATGATGAGTAGCTGACCTAGATTTGTTCTGCAGCTGTTACTGAAGTTTCTTTGTAAACATAACATTTGCTAGCATAACAGCCAATGCAGGGATTTTGTCCCAGTTAGCAGAGTCAATTGTTAAAGGTGGACTCCCAGTTGTTGGTTGTTGTTTATTATACCATTGGATTATAGTGCAAACAATTATAGCAACGGTCACTAAGAGCTGTATTCCGAGAGGCCACTTTCTGTAGACCTGAATGTCTAGGAAAAAGTGGGCAACTCTGCCATGCATCCCTGAGAATCTTGACCCAGGAAAGGAAAGGAAAGCAAGATGGTGGACATGGGTTCAAACTTGTGTGGCTCGAAGGGAATATTTAAAAAGAGGCAGGTAGGATCTGAAGAAAGCTCCTGTGTTTTTAGGAGGTGGAACGTCTCCAGCCCACATGCCTCTTTCTAGCTCAACTCAAACATCAGAATAAGAATGAAGAATGCACATTCTCTCTGTATATATAAAATACTCCACTTTGCGTAACCATTCTTGATTTGCTTATTACGCTTTCACCATAGAATTGGAGTCTTCTGGGTGCAGAATCCAGAAATTATGGTGCAGATAAAAACACCCTTCAATATATGTAATTACAGTGGTACCTCGGGTTAAGAACTTAATTCGTTCTGGAGATCTGTTCTTAATCTGAAACTGTTCTTAACCTGAGGTACCACTTTAGCTAATGGAGCCTCCCACTGCTGCTGGAGCACAATTTCTGTTCTCATCCTGAAGCAAAGTTCTTAACCCGAGGTACTATTTCTGGGTTAGCGGGGTCTGTAACCTGAAGCATCTGTAGCCTGAAGCGTCTGTAACCCGAGGTACCACTGTAGTGCATAAACTCTGACTAGATAAAAATTCTCAGTATTCTTTCTTACCCAAAATTCTTAGAAAACCATCCCTAAAGTTTCATAATATGTTTGCTGTTAGGCCATGTATGATTTACACTCATAGAATGCATTTCTGTATTCTGATTGATTTATTGCTACCTCTGGTGAAAGGTGGAATTTGGTCCTCCTGCCCTGCCAAAGTCATCTGTGCATCCCATGTATATCTTTTTGTAAACTGCTTTGAGGTTTTTTACAATCAAGTGGGGTATAAATTTTGTGAGATAGATAGATAGAGATAGATAAATAGAACCATTGTAGCATGCAGTTAACTTTTATAAAGGTAAGAGCATGGTGAGGTCACCAGTAAATATCAGGCAGTGTGCCGCTGAGTCATGTTCTGGTAATCCTGCACTTCACAACAGTTTCAAAAAGAGCTGGTAGATAGTTGATTTATAAGATAAAAGAGGGTTGGGTTGATGTTACATCCTTGTTTTACTCCTTTTTCTTGTTTGAAGGCCTTGTATTGTTCTCTCTGTGTTACAAACATTGGAAGAATTGGCACATGGATCTAATGAGATTGTGGGTTTTCTTTCTAGTTCTTGTTTTGTAGCAAAATTAAGACTTGGTACAGAATGCCAGATGGAGTCAAAATGTATTTTGAAGTCAAATATTTTCCCTTGCCTTGACATGTTTTGGCTAACGAACATCTGTTGTAGAAATTGTGGCCAGAGGTTCACTTAGACTCATAGAATCACAGACCTGTAGAGTTGGAAAGGACCCTGAGGGAGATTGTTCAGTTTGTCATTTCTTATAAAGTGAGCATCCATGCTTTGGAACTGCGTTAGTAAACTGTTTCAGATTCTACAACAGTTCTCGGGTGCTGTTGCAAATGCCTATTCCAGCCTCTGTAATTATAATGCATTCTCTGAGAGAAGTGCAAATGTTCCATCTGTTTTCAGGCCTCATTGAACATAAGGTTTCCTTCGATGTGACAAATACACAGTCATATAGAAAACTTTTTGTCAGAACTGAAAACCAACAAGGAATTCCTTTGGGGAAAGGCTATTGGAATTTCATGTCTAGCCTTTCCCTAAAAATAATAATAATAATAAAAATAATAATGTGTGTATTTTGAAGTTGTGCATAACTTAGGGGGCTTCCAGACTAATTTGGGGTGGGATTGAATCACATATCAGCAAATTCAGGTTGATGCAATGAGAGTTGATTGGGAGGGCTTGCATAACAAACCCACTTCCCCAAAAGATCTGAATTTGGAAACCAATGGGGGAATGCCCTGGGAATAATGCTTAACACCTAACCTCCCTATAAACAAATCAGAGTGAATGTTTGTTAAATTGCCAATGTCAGCCAATCCCCTGGCCAACAAACCAAGATGAATGCTCAATAAACAGGTAAATAAATGGGTCATCAGGGAGTGCCCTGATTCCTATGTGTTTTTGCTGCATGGCAACCAGCCCAACAGCACCCATCTGGAGCAAAACGTTATACAGTGGTACCTCGGGTTACATACGCTTCAGGTTACATACGCTTCAGGTTACAGACTCCGCTAACCCAGAAGTAGTGCTTCAGGTTAAGAACTTTGCTTCAGAATGAGAACAGAAATCGTGCTCCGGCGGCACAGCAGCAGTAGGAGGCCCCATTAGCTAAAGTGGTGCTTCAGGTTAAGAACAGTTTCAGGTTAAGAATGGACCTCCGGAACGAATTAAGTACTTAACCCGAGGTACCACTGTATCTGAACCAGCCACATGTAACTTGGAGAGGTATCTCCTTGTGTCCCCTTGCCCCAGTCACTTGAGTCACTGAGGTCATCTTGGCTCAGAGTGCCATGGGCCTTCAACCAATCTTATTACAATTTCCTCAGGTGGGAGCTGGTGCCATTGGCTGTGAGCTCCTGAAGAATTTTGCCATGATTGGCTTGTCTGCTAGCGAGGGTGGGAGCATCACTGTGACGGACATGGATACCATTGAATATTCCAACCTCAACAGGCAGTTCCTCTTTCGACCAGGGGATGTGTCAGTAAGTCTTGCAGTGAATATGGTGGAAAAGAGGTTTGAGTGAGGCGGTGCTGGGGACAGTTTGCCCAAGGAATAAATCTCAACAGACACGAGAATATTCACAAACCTATTTGTAATGTTACAGGGGAGAGGGTGGGTTCTGACTTGACTCTCTAACAAGTGCCCTGGCCAATGAACCCAGGCAATAACCAACTTCTTTCTACCCTGGATCTCTCTAGTAATATTCCCTTTGTTCCTGTAGAAGCAGAAGTCAGAAGTGGCAGCAGCTGCCGTAAAACTCATGAACCGCCACATCAATGTATCAGCACAGCAGAACCAGGTTGGACCAGACACAGAGCACTTCTATGGGGATGACTTCTTCCTTGGCTTGGATGGCGTTGCCAGTGCCCTGGACAGTCTGCAAGCCAGTGAGTGTTTCATACAGAATGCCTGTGTTGTAGCCACCAGCTCCCTGTAATAAGCATTCCATGCTCAGAATGAATTACGTTACGCAGGCTTCTTTGAAAGTGCTTATTTTATATGATTAATCACCTACTTAGCATTTTCCTAACTACTTTCAAGTACTGAAAGCACCACACAGACATTATGTTTGCTTACAACAGCCCTGCAAAGTAGGCCAGTTTTTGTAAATAATAATAATAATAATAATAATAATAATAATAATAATAATGTGTTAGTAATTTTTTATTATCCCCATATTGGAAATGGAAGGCTGAGGCAGACTAGCTTAAGGTCATGCAGTGAGCTCAGATGACATTTAAATCAGAAACCTTGATTCACAGTGCAATCATTTGTGCATTTACTCGGAGGTAAGCCCCTTGAATTGCCTAGTAAGTGGGTATAGGGTTGTAGCCATAGCCTCTGTTCCACACTGTGATTTCCTTGTGGGTGGGGGAACGGGGAAATAATGTATACAAATTCTAGTACTGTTGTTTCTCACAGGATGTTGACAGTTTTTGCAGGCTGGCCTAGAGTGTAGCGCAGAAGGGATGGCGGGAAGCTGCAGGCAAAGGCAGTATGTGTGCAGGGCAGGCATACATAAGCTGGAGGTCATCATGATAAAGGCAAGGACAGGGAGTTGTATAGGTGGACACAGAAGACTCTCAACTTTTTGTCTCCTGGTCACTTTGCTCATGGACACGTCAGCTAATGAATCATTAACATAACCTGCTGCACACATTTTTCAAGCTTTATCCTATGAACTGGCAGACAGAAAACAAGCATTTTTTAAAAAAAAGAGGAACAGATGTTGAGAGATTGACACCCGTGAGCGTTGGGGGCTGCCCTCTAACTGGATCCAGACTAGATGGACCTGCTGCTGCTGTGGGCCAGCCACCTGGTGCTTCTTACACAGAAAGTTGATCCATTGCTGGGGGAAGAGATCCCATGTTCCTTTGTGGTTGACTGCATTGTGTATCTTGCTGATAGATATTAAAGGGGAGGTGAACCTAGGGAGCTAGAGTCAGGCTGTTGGCCCACCCAGATCAGCATTGCCTCTCTACTGACTACGTAGCAGCAACTCTCCATGGTTTCAGGAAGCAGCTCTTGTCCAGCAAGACTTGGGAGAGTGCAGGAATTGAACCTGGGTCCTTCTGCATGCGAAGTAGCTGTGGCCGTTCCCCTATGGGTATGTGAGGCAGGGCTGGCTAAGTCAAGGAGCTAGAAGGCCTGCATAATAAACAGAGCTGCTCTCACTTCTTGCCGAAACTGCCAGAGGCATCCCAGACCAAATCCAAAGTCCAGAGTCTTTGAAGTGTCTTGCAAATGCAGGCCCACAAAATATACACAGTGCTGATAAACAGGAAAGCTCTCTTGCTGTGTAGAGCAGGGAAGTCCCCAAGTCAGATCTTGAATCAGCTGTGAACATCCCTGGCTGGCCTTAGGCAAACCACAGTCTCTCTGCTTCATCACCTTCATCTGTGCTGTGATAATCCTGGCCTACCACACAGGATCGTTGTAAGGATGATTGAAATAGCTGTGTGTGCTTTTAATAGCATGCGAACACTGATAACAGACCCTCCAAGTGTCCCTATTTTCCAAGGACAGTGCTGGGTTAACAGAAGCCATCCCATTTTCTGATTTGATCCTGGAATGTCCCGCTTTTCCTTAGGATGTGTCCCGATTTTCATCGGAGAAATGTTGGAGAGTATGTGCTAAAGAACTTGCAAGTGTCACCGTCATTAATTAACGGTCATAATACCCTGTTGGGGTTCAAGCCACAGACCACCAAACACACACTGAGCCATTATCGCCTGCTTTGCACATCTATAAAAAATGGAGGCTTTGTATGTGCTGAGGAGACTGGAATGGCTTGGCATCTACAAAAAAGGAGCCAGCAGACCATACAGACAGAAGAGTGTATTTGAGTGACAGAGGCTCTTTGTAGAGCTGGACCAAAATGTCTTGGGATACATTTTTTGAAGAAAATAATATATTGAGATTTCTCTTTTATTTTCCCTCCCGCCCTCTCTCCACCCAATCAGAAAAAGAAGTCCACTTTGCAGAAATTTGTCCAGCTCTTTTCCACCATTTGTGTGTGTGTGTCAGCTGCCATTTCTCCCTGAGTAGGGATGTCAGAGAATTCTGACAGGAAATTGCTGGTGTTTGCTTATTTGTGTGTGTGTCAGATGAAGAAGGTAGGGCACTGCAAAGGATACTGTGTCCCGTCTACCTCCTCTCTTTCTTCCCCTTTCCTCCTGCAGGAAAATACTTGTGCCAAAGGTGTGTGCAGTACCTCAAGCCTCTGCTTGATTCCGGAACGGAAGGCACCCGGGGGCACGTCCAGGTCTTTGTGCCCTTTCTGACGGAGTCCTTGGGCCAAGCTCAGGAGGAGGAAGAGACGCAGTACCCTCTCTGCACCCTGCGCCACTTCCCCAGCACCATCCAGCACACACTACAGGTGGGGGGGGGCAGGAGGCTGGCTTTTCCCTGGCCTCCTCAAATACTGTTACTTATTCCTTCAGCCGCAGATCCACTCTGCAGTGCCTGCTGCTGCCAAAGAGACCCCTCTCCTGCCTTTCTCTCCAGTTGGTCCATGCCTAAAGAGGGAAAACTCTCAGCTGCCAAGCTCCTCTTCACTCCTTGCCTGGCCCCTTGGCTTCATTTACTCTTTCCAGGCAGCTGCACGAGGGCCAGGGCTGTCAACAGCGTTGACGGCAGGATATGGGGTCCAGCTGTTTTGCCCAGAAGCCAGGCCAAAATCCTTCGCCCTTTGCAGAGCTTCAGCTGCTTCTCCTTTTTCTGTGGCAGGGCCAGACAGACCTCTCTCTCTTTTTATCTCACACTGCCCTGGTGCCTTTGCATGCCCCTGCTTCCTTCACTCCATGGAGCAGGAGATCCTGATGGGGAGGCTGTCTGGCTGGGCCTGTTATGTAGCATCAGGACCCTGAGGAGCAACAGGGGCAGGAGTTCAGTTTTAGGGAATGGCACCAGAGTTCCTAGACTGCACTGCAGCCCTGCAGCACAAGCCCTGCTCAAGGGCTTCCACTTGCACCACAGGGCCTTCCTTTCCTCTTGGTGCCCACCATGATTGGCTCTGGGGTGGGGGGGTCAGGAGAACCTCCAGAACTTCGCATAATGGGAAGAGAACTGCAGTACCTGCACTGACAGGACATTCATCACAGTGTGGTATTGAATTCCAACCTATATCTTTAAAGCACATTTGAAGCATATTTCCTCCCCTCAGAGAATTATGGGCACTGTGGTTTTTTAAGGATTGCTGAGAATTGTAACTCTGTGAGGGGTAAACTACAGTGCCCAGAATTCTTTGAGGGAAAGAATGCGCTTTCAATGTGCTTTAATGTTACGTGTGTAAGGTAAAAAAGGTAAAAGGGAAAGGACCCCTGGACAGTTAAGTCCAGTCAAAGGTGACTATGGGGTTGTGGCACTCATTTCGCTTTCAGGCCGAAGGAGAGTGTGTATACTGCCTTAGAACCAAGGAACAACTGGAAGGAAGAGGTGCTCTGAGGCTGCAGTCCAGTGCCCATTTGCCTGAGAGTAAGCCCTGCCTTTTGCCTGACAAAATGTCCCTAACCCCTGTTCTAAGGGACCCCAAGTAACTGCTGACAAAAACTCCCCTGCCCCCATCTTTTTCTCTTGCAGTGGGCCCGAGATCAGTTTGAGGGACTTTTCAAGACAAAAGCAGAAAACGTCAACACATTCCTGAAGTGAGTATGGGGAGCAATCTTGACTGAGGTGATGTGGTAGATAAATGGCAGGAGGGAAAGCTTAGAGTGGGCTGTGTAGGGAATAGAGTGGATTTTGTTAAGGAGTCTTCTGGGTGAGGTAGAGGGAAGTTTACCACACATTCATATCCCACCTCTGAGCTGTAGTAGGAGCTGCTGCATCTGGAGTGGAAGGTGGAACTGCCTAGTGGCAGGACCCACTCAGAGCTCCACGTGCATAAAATTACTAGTTATACATTCAGTGCAAAAAAGGGGGCTCTGCAGCCGCCTAGAAGACATACTGATCATTATCCGAGTCCCATGATGACCACAGGTGGAATTTGCCTTGTTCCTAGTGGTGCCATTTTGGTGTGCTATACCAGTATGGTGTAATGGTTAAAGTATCGTATTTGAATGGGGGGGAAATCCTAGCTGCCCTATGAAATTCACTGGGTGACCATAGTGGGCCAGTCCCTGCCTCTCAGCCTAATCTGTTGGTGTTAATGGAATAACCCCCAGTCATGCTGCTCCTTGGGGGATGGTTGGGATAATACATGAGACGAACATGCTCAGAAACGTTTCCCTCCCTCTGCCCCCTGCTCTTGCCTTTTAACTTACTTGATGTCAAAAGGCACTTGGCCACTTCATTCCCATCCTGATGGCTTGTGTTGTGAATCCACAAGGGTGAGGTTCCTGGGCTGGAATTCTGATACCTCTCAAAGAAGGACCTTCATTGCCCTAAGACTCCAGAGCCAACCTTCAGTTGGCAAGCATGAGAAGAAGATGCTAGACTAGATGGGGCTTTGGTCTGATCCAGCAGGGCTCTTCTTATGTCATAAACTATTCTAGACATAAGACAGACAGATTGGTGTCTGTTAGCTGCCCTGGGCATTTGGAGAGGCATCATAGATATTTCTAAGCATGGAATTGATAACAAACCACCTACTAGGAAGAATTAAGAGCAGTGTTATCTCAAAATTCTGCCACAAACGAGGTCTGTTGTTGTCCACAGGGATCCCAGCTTCCTAGAGTCCCAAGAAATGGAGGCTGTCAAGATGCTGGAGTCAGTGCGCATCAGCTTTCAGGAGAAGCCATGCAACTGGAGAGACTGCGTGGTCTGGGCTCGGAGACTTTGGGAGCGCCTTTTCTCCCATGACATCCAACAGCTGCTGCATAACTTCCCACCTGAGCATGTAAGGGCCCTGCCTCTTTCCCCGGCCATTTCCTGGCTCCTAGTGTGGCGCTTTTCTAAGCACTCTTTTGCCTTTCTCTGTTACAATCACTCAGCACTGGCTCTGAGAGTTGCAATCCAGGTGTCTGGAACCAAATGCAGCAGACTTCTGTTGGCAGCTGCTTAATGTGAGATATATTAAGACCAAGTGGTAGTCTTTGCAAAGCCCATCTTTCAGTTGGTTGGTGTTGCCTTCCAGCCACTTGTAACATTAAGCCTCCTGTGAGAGATTCCTACTCACCCTTAGCCTCAACACCTGTAGTTCTCACTCTGGGCTCTTTCTAGGTGGACCCACACCACCATTTATATGACCTGGTTCACATACAGCATCTCCAATGGCTTTAATTGCACAAAGAACCAGCGGCTTATAGCTTTTGGCTCCACAGCAAGGCACAGGATGGTCACAGCAGGGCTGGCCCAAGACGTTTTGCTGCTCGAGGATCACATAAACACTCCATGACCGGAAGATGACTAGACTGCACTTGAATCTTAGTTCAACACAGCCAATGGGGTAGTGTCGCCACTGCACCTGAGGAGAGCAGGATTGTTTCCTGGGTATGTGACAGGCCTGTGGTACTCATAGCTTTGATCTCCAGTCACGGCTCAGGAGGAACGTCTGGGGCCCAGACACAGTTACTCACTCTGCCTAATGGTAGGGCTGGCTGTGGGTCGGAGGCAAACTGCACGGTCAGTTCCTGAAACAGCAACCGAGAGGCCAAAGGCAGGCAATCTGGTCCAGGAAAGCCTGACGGTCAGGCTGGACTAAGCAGTCTGTGTAACACCTCAAGCAACAAGTTGTTAAACCTAGGACAGCTCTTATATAAGGTCAGCAGGGCCCTTCTTAATGATGGTGCCATGGGTTCTAGAGTACATCCTCTGGGCACTGAGTCAGTTGCTCCCCTCCCTCCATTATGAATCAGGCTCCTTCCTTTGGACCTGGCGCACAGCACAGGCTGGTATTTGACCTCCTTGCAGTCCCAGTGACTGGACAGCACTAGTCACAAATGATTGGCTGAAATAATTTTGTGGTTGGTGGTTATGTTTTGTCCCAGGTATCTTGGTGGAGCGAAATTATATGGTTTTGGCATATGAGTGAGCCAATGTTAGCTTTCACAAGGAACCTAGTACTGCTGTCTGAACTCTGGAAAATCAACAACATGCACGTCTACATATTTTTTCCTTGGCCCTTGACTTGTTCTCTCTTCCTTGGCTGTGCACAGTCTCTCTCTGTGTGTGTCTCTCTCTCTCTCCAGGTCGCATCATTTTAGGCTGCAGAAACCTTTGGTCCTCTTCCAGCCCTTGCATGGCCTGTAGAGTTTCTTTCCTTGAACTTCTCCTCCCGCCCCCTCTGATGCTGCTTCCTGACTGATCCCATCTGTGTTTGTCCCCAGGAGACAAGCTCTGGACTTCCTTTCTGGTCAGGGCCCAAGCGATGTCCACAACCGCTGATATTTGACAGCAGTCATGTGAGTGGGGAGCTCGGCTTGAGAAGTGGGGGGAACTTGGGATGCAATGGAGGTTGCACCCTCAGCGAGGAACATCTAGGAGAGATCAGGACATTTACACAGCTAGGTTCACCACTTCCTAGTCTCATGGTCAAAGAAAGGGACGAATGTAACTTTTCAGAAAAAAGAAAAGAAAAAGCAATAAGTGGAAATTAGTGCCTTTTTTTATTCTTGCTGTCTAGAACGGGTGGAAACCCCTTATCTGTTTTTCACCTTATTTATTGTGTAAAATAGCACCAACATGTTCCATGGCACCCTAATTGATGAGCAAGAGGTTGGCTCTGTTTTTCTCATTTGATTGATCTGCCTAGTTTAAAACGGTGAACTGACCAGGAACTGAGCCCATGTTATACCTCTGTAGAAGTGTTGGTTGCAAATGACCCAGGATTCAGCACATTTGGCATGTAAGATTCCCGAAACCATTGTTCCCATCAATTTGGGCTTGTATCCAGTGTTGCATGGGTACACTTCTACTGTGAGATTTCTGCTTCCTTTCTTCTGCACACTCCCAAAATCTGCTCTGGAGGCTCCCTCAACCCTTTGGAACAGATTTTGGTGGCTGTAGCACGGAGGAGAGGAAGGGGAAGTTGTGCAAGCGGAAGTCTGTTTAAGTAGAGTGGAAGAGCAGGGTTGGATATAGCCCCTGGGTCTGAATCTGGCAGCAGGCTTCCATGAGTTGGGATGCTGTTTTGACTGTGTAGGAGGGAAGAGGATGCTTAGCTGAGGTTGGAAGGGGTCTACATTTCTGGAAGAGCAGTCAGTAGAGCAAGTTACTGGTTGTCAGGAGAAGGAAACAGTCCATAGTGTGGAAGGGTGCTGCTGTCTCTGATGCACCTTCTTTGCTTTTCTAGACCACCCACAAGACCTTCATTTTGGCTGCCAGTCACCTCTTTGCCAGTACCCACAAGCTGTGTGTGAGTGAGGAAGATTCTGTCACTTCCCAAGTCCTCTTTGGCTTGCATCTGCCACCTTTCCAGCCACTTCAGGGAGTGCGTATCCCCCTCACTGACCAAGAAATGCAGAATCCACAAGACTCTGTTGGTAAGAAGTTTGCTGAAGGGCAGGTATCCCAACCGTTCCAACCAGGCCCTAGCAGGGAACCTGTGGCCTTCCAGATGTTGTTGGACTCCAACTCCCATCAGCCCCAGCCAGCCTGGCCAGTGTGGTCAAGGATGATTGGAACTGTAGTACAGCAACATCTGGAGGGCTGCAGGTTTCCCATCCTTCCTTAGAGCAGTCTGCCAACCATGTCACATCTGTGAATGGAGTGTCAGGAAATGCAATGGGATCTCTAAGGGTAAGATGAGACTTGGGCTTCCCACAGAGTCGACCCAAGCCAGAAGTGGATAACATGCTTCTCCCTGCATTGCTCACATCTCAGGCCACTGCTGGGCTGTGTCCCCGCCTACTACCCCTAACTGTGTCTTTCAGATCAGACGGAGGTGGGAGAGCTGAGGAAGGAACTGGCAGCACTGAGGCAAGAGCTGGAAGAGCAAAATTCCCTCATGTCTAATGCTATGGAGCCCATTCACTTTGAGAAGGTAAAAAACGTTCCTGCGTGTTTCCACCTCTCTTTGCATTTCCCTCTGAGCTCCAGGTTTCCAAAGGCGGAAGAGCATGACCCTTCTTGGAGGAGAGAGGGTGTGGTGTGTGACTCTGCTGTTCCAGCCATGACTTCCCCTCCTGCAGCTCTGCTTATGCCTCTTAATCCTCAACAGGTTAATTTCGGTTAAGATCAACAGTGCTTTCTTGAGATGACTCACAGACAAATTTTCCCAGTGCCCCAGTATCTGTAAAGGGCAGGCACAGGCAAGATATTTTATGTTCAGGGTTCAGATGCCCAAATAAAAAATTACTATCTGATTTCATCATGTGCTAAAAGTTTGAGTATAGAGGCTTAGAGGCTGAGCTACAAATCAGGATGCCTCATTCTGAATCTCATCTCTGGCATGAACTCGCTGATACTCAACAAGCCACGGTCTCTGGGTCAGCCTTCTAACTGTAAAATAAGAGTCAGAATACTGGCCTACCTTGCAGAATACGTATATGGATTACTACAAGAAGCAATGATGAATAGACAGTAGGGTTGCCATACATCCGGAATTTCCATGACACAGCCAGAATACCACAGTGGGGAGCAGTGTCTGGGCGGAAATTGCTGAAAAGTCTGGGGAAAACCAGACGAATGGAAACCGTTGTTGGAAGTTCAGATTTTGTTTAATTAATTTTTTTTTAATTTAAATTTTTTTTAAAATACGACAACCCTGATAGATACTTTTAAGAAGTATTCTGAAGGAATAAACTACAGTGGTACCTCGGGTTACATACGCTTCAGGTTACATACGCTTCAGGTTACAGACTCTGCTAACCCAGAAATAGTACCTTAGGTTAAGAACTTTGTTTCAGGATAAGAACAGAAATCGTGCTCCGGCAGCACAGCGGCAGGAGGCCCCATTAGCTAAAATGGTGCTTCAGGTTAAGAACAGTTTCAGGTTAAGAACGGACCTCCGGAACGAATTAAGCACTTAACCCGATGTAATGGTTCTAGGGGTTGCTTGTGCGTAAGCCGGTGCTTATCTCCCCGGCTGGGTGCAAACACCTGGCTGGGTTGCCTAAGAGAACCTTTTCTGTCCGGACAGCCACTTACCCGTGGCTGACTCAATCGCTGGCAGAATCCATCAGTGGCCGTTTCTTAAACTTCTTCCGGCAAAGAAGCTCTTTGACGCCTAGTCTCCTCCTACTATCTCTGCGCGAAAGCCTTCTGCGCAAGGAGGGCGTGGGCAGCGGAGGACCCCTACTCTCCCCGCTGGTCCCAGGCAGAGAGTCATGGGACCGCTTCGCCGCTTCCCCCATCTGCCCCCCTTCTCTACTTGTGCTACGCTGATTCTGTTCCCCAGAAGATGGGCTGCTTCTCCCGATCCCTGGACGCTCTCTGGAATCCCTCTGGCTTTTGCTCTCTCCCTCCGGCACTGATGGCAGTTCCCTGACACCCGAGGTACCACTGTATGTTTAAAATGTGAATGCCCTGTATAACCAATGTTATTGCAATTTTGCCAAAAAGAGCTCAACAACCTTTGTATGCGGATTTGCACTTTTTGAAATAAGGCAACCCTAAGTAATAATGACACAGGAAATCATGGTTTGTCATTACGTCTGAACCAGGCTAATTTGTTACAATCCAGACCACTTGTTCTGTAGCCCCTATTGGACACTGAATGAGGAGCTGCTTTCTGTAGGCAAAGCATGTGTTCTGCCATCCCCTATCTTTTAGTTCTGTATTGTAGCTGAGAGACTGTTTTATTCAGCTAAAATGACACTAGTAGCTGAATTGGGGGGGGGGTTTGTTAATGTGTTTGGTAGAGTTGGGAGCGGGCCCATTTCTCCTCCACAGCTGCTGTTACAGAAGTTTCTTCATACAGTGAGCATTTGTCTGCACAACTGCAGATGTAATGTGGGGAGTTTGTGGGGATTATATCCCAATATATCATCAGCTGCCAGGATTGGGGCCCAGATTTCAGTTAAGGTAGAATATTTTCCATATATTGGAGGTTAAGTTGAAAGCTGCTGTCAAACAGCCCTAATAAAAAAAAATCTGGTTTGTTTTGTTGCTTTGACCTTTTAAGGGTTTTTGAGGGGTGGGGGAGGTTTGTGCCTGAAGTTTAAAGTTGTATTTTGTGTAGATTGAGATTCAGGATTTACATATGCACTGCTTGCCACAGGTTTCTTGAATGTATGAATTTCATTTCTGCCTTTACTGGTCCAGTAGAACTAAGTACCCAAGTCCCACTGATTCCGGTGGGAAGAGTTTGAGTGGATATTTAAAACTCCTAAGGTTGTGTACACTTTACCAGTTTAAAAAGCAGCTAGGTTGTACTTTTTTCTCTGGATAGAAACTGGTCTGGACAAAAATGCATCAAAATGCAGTATTTCATAAGAAACGACAGGATAGATACAGATTGTGGCGAACGTTGTATGTACAGCACTTCCCAAACCAGTGGTGAGAGCACACTGGATGTAAACGGAGGTGGAGGGTGGGTGTTGGCACAGCCAAAGATGTCCCTGAATTTGACAGTTGCTGTAAGCTGCAGTTCTTGTGTCCAGCTTTTGGAGGTGCCAGAGTGCCAGGAATGGGTTGGGATGAGCCTGGGGTCAGTATCCCTCCCACAATCTGTGTAGTACCTAGCCTACTACTCTCTTAGGCTGTGTACGCACTTCTGTGCACTCCACATCCAGCACACTCCCACCACTCTTTTGGGAAGCGGTGTACACACAACATAAGCAACTATCCTGCATCTTGTAATTTCTTATGAAATGCTGTGTTTTGATGTGTTTCCTCCACAACCAACATCAATCCAAAGTGAGAAAAAGGACAACCTAGACATATTTTAAAGTGCTAATGCGTACACAGCCTTATACCCAACCCTGTTTGTGGTTTGCAGCGCATGACCCACCCTCCTACAGGCTGTGTTCTTTTCTGAGTGCAGAACAAACGAACCAAGAAGGATCAGAAGAGTCTGTTCCTTGAGTACAAAATGGCAGTTGGTTATCAAGCCAGGCAATGGAGTCCTTCAGCCAGGAACTGTGTGTTTTTGTCACTTTCATATTATTTCTATAAACAAGGCTTTTTCCAATCATAGTACGTAAGGACTAGGAAGCTGCCTCTTCAGATTATTTGTTTTGCTGACCCAGTGCTGCTTGCCAAAACTGGTAGAAGCTCTCTAGCATCTCACCTGCAATCTGATTTTAGCAGCAGATGCCAAGGGCCTTCTGTCTGCTAAGGATGGCCTCTGCCCTGTAGTGTGGTCTCCCTCACACACTGGGGGAAGCTTATGTTGTACCATGGCTACTCAGATGATTACTTAGTCAGACTCTGTGCCTGTGCACATGGTCCAAATTTGTGTATAATTGCTTGTGATTAGCACATTTTATTCTGCTCCTGCTATTCATGGGAAAATGCAAGGAGCTTTGCAGGGAACTGAAGCTCTGCCTCCTAGACTCTAGGCCTTTGGCTCTTCAGACTTTGTTGGACTCCAATTCCAGGTCACAATGAGAGCTGTGGTCTAGCAACATTGGAGAACTAGATTCCCCACCCCATCTCTTCTATCGTTAAAAAAAAATCACACCATGCAGACAAACCCTGGCTGTAACCTCTGTTAAGTTTCCTTGCCACCCTATGTAGACCTTGCACTCCCTTTGTTCTCATCCTCATTCCACTAAGATCCCTTCTCTTTTCCCCTCTGTCTTTGCCACCCTTCTCTGGCCTCAGGGGAACGACATTCACTTGAACTTCATCATGACAGCAGCCAATCTGCGAGCTGAGAACTATGGCATCCCTCCGGCTGATAAGCTGCAGGTGAGGAAAGGAGGCGGGACTTTGGGAGTCATTTTCCCCAGTTGCCTGCCAGCTTCAGGAAATAAAGTGGGGCGGGACACATTCATGTGTCTGTCTCTGGCCTAGCAGCATCCCTCCCTCCAGTAACCTCTGGTGCCCTTTCCCATTCACTGTCTTCATGCTGAAGGCCCAGTTTGATTTCCACAGGCGATGAAGATCGTGGGGAGGATTGTGCCTGCCATTGCCACAACCACAACAGCTGTAGCCGGTCTGGTGTGCTTGGAGCTTTACAAGCTGGTGTGGCGACACAGACGCCTGAGCTCCTATCGCAACAGCTTCCTGCAGCTCTCGGAGCCCCTGCTCAATCGCTTCCAGCCTCTGTCGTCTCAACCAATATACGAGGTGAGGCCTGGGCTCTGGGCTCATCATGCTTTGAAGGTAGAAAGAAGCTCAGTAGGGCCTGCTTTTCCTAGCAGACTGGCAGGGAGGGCAGGAAGGAAAGAGACACTATGCGCATTTAGATGGGCTGCTGTTCTTTACACTCAGAGCTAACTCTGTTGAGGTTGTAGATCAGAGGCAGGGGACCTTTTTCAACTCAAGGGCCGTGTTCTGTTCTGGACAATCACCTGGGGGCCACATGCCAGAGGTGGGTGGAACCAGAGGCAAAAGGAGGAGGACCAACAGATGTACATTTTCACTTTGTACAGTCTACACACACCTCTCTATCCTCCATCCAGGCAAGTAAAAAGCATTATTGGAGTTCAAGGACACATCCTAGCTAAGCAAGATTGCTTGAGGAGAGAGTGAGGCAGGGTTGGTGAAGGACGTGCCGTGGGAAGAGGGCCGTGGCTGGCAAGGGACAGACTTGGAGGTTCCCAAGTCTCTAGAAGAGAGAACATGGAGTGCTGCAGTGTGGAGAGTAAGTCATTCAGGAACAAGAATCTGCCTTCCCCAAGGCTAGTGCAGTATCCCATATAGCTGGATTAGAGGCTCTGTACCTAGGAGCATTTCTGTGTGGGCACAGGCATTGATTCCGACAGGTACCTCCTTAATTCCCTCCCGCTCCAGCTCTTAAAAATCTAAATGAAACAGCAATGGCTTGCTCTTGTCCTGTGCTGCAGAGTGCACCTAAAAGCAGCTTTGGACGTTTCAAGACAGATGTACAGCACCTCATGCCTTTAGTTCTTACGCTGCTGCTGTGATGCCCAAAGCCAAACAGGTATGGAAAGATTTGCATGTCCAGCCTGCGAACCTCTCCTGACCAAGTTCCCCTTAAGACATTACAGCAGCTGTGGGACAACCACTGTAGCCCTTGAGCACCAAGGTGATGGTGGTGCTGTGATGCTTTCAGGCCTGACTGCCTTCCGTTCCCAGAGTGCCCAGCCATACCTTATCCCTGGAAGTGGGCCACGCAGTCAGAACTTGCGCAAGCCTCGTCAGCTGGAGCTGGTGCTAGAATGGCTGCCCCGTAGGGATGTCAGCAACTCCCAGACTGTGTTGAGGGGGAGACTTCCTACTCCATCTCTCCTGTCTGGGTGCTGGGTACTGAGCAGCTTGCCAGGAGCCGATGTGTGGGGGAGGACGGCTGTTCCCACTCAGCTGCTGACCCTGCCTTTCCTGAGCCCCTTCTGGCAGGCAGAAGGCGAAGGAGATCTAGTTTCAGAAGCCGGTGCCTGGCGTGTGTATCAGGCTAGCAGCAGTGTGGAAGGAGAGGCACAGACGGGGCTGCCTGTGAGCTGTCAGACACAGGAAATGGTCTTTAACCTGCAGCTGACACACACAGCTGGTGCCAAGCTGGATCTCTGGCTCTTCTTGCCCTGGCCTAACTCAACACCCCTTTCCTTTAGCCTCAGCCCCAGATGCTGGTTCTTGACCTTTCCGCACAGGCATCTGTGCATCCACTGGGTGTTCTGAACCACTTTGACTCAGAGGTGTTTCTTGGAGGTATAGCCAGCAGGCCCAGTGAATCCAGAATGGGCCCTCATGTAAGGCAGTGAACATTTGTTCCCCTTGTGCCTTGCAGGCATGCAGTAGATACTTGGTGGACATCTTGAGAGCAGCATAAGGCGATAGAATTTACCCAGCCGTACTACCTTCAGCAGATAGACAAGTTGTTGTGTGTGAATAATAATGGTAGGTTTGGCATTACTGTCAAAGATGTAGTGGTGATCTGGACAAGGGAAAACAAACAAATCTTGAATCCTGGCAAGACCCTGGTTCACATTCCAAGAAATTGGTGAGTTTCCCGGGATGGGATTGCGCTTCCTCTGAAGGAGTAAGCATGCAGTCTGGAGTGGCAGCTGCAGATGCTCCTAGACCTGGATAACGGAGCCACAGTAGTCTAGGCACTGGTAACTTCAAGACTGGCTTGCTTCAATGCACTCTTTGTGGGGCTTCCCCTGTACTTGGCCCATAAAGTGCAGTTGTCAATGCTGCAACACAATTGCTGACAGGAGTGCCAACGTATTATACCTCTTCCTAAAGATCTTCACTTGCCGCCAATTTGCTACTGAGCCAAGGTCATGGTTTTACTGGTAGTATATAAAGCTCTTAACAGCTTCAGACCAATTTAATTGAGACATCCTTGCCCCATATGTACCTACTTGGCAGCTTCTATCAACGGAACATGCACTTTTACAAGTGCCATTTAATATGTGTTCGGCTTCTGTGAAGTTTTGGAACTCCTTAGCATTTAACTTCAGTCAGGCGCCTTCATTGTACTTTTAGACTCTTGCTAAAAAAAAATTATTTCAGCGAGCCTATTTTGACATATAATTAAGTTATGCCTAATGTTTTTTTTTTTTTAAAATTCTGATCTTAACTCCATATTATTGATAATTATTTTACTGTTTAAATATGCATCACTAAGATTTTTTTATTAAGTGGTTTATAAAATTTCATATATATATATATATATATAGGGGATGGGGTGGGGGGTGCATCTTCTGACAACAGGGTGACTAGCCAAGGAAACAGAGAGCAGACATACATGCTGACAATTAGGAATTGCAATTCATGTTCATCTGTTCACGTTTGTAACATCTTACATATGTTTGGATGCAATTCACTGGCTTCAGTTTCCATGTAGTGTTAAGCCAAACCATGGCTTAGTGTAAATGGGGTAGGCTCCTAGATATTGCAGCTGCTTTGTTACTCTTCTGGTCCTGCTGCTGCTATGCTGATGTGAGCAGCTTAGGGTTTAATCTAAACCTGGATTCATGGTTTATCTCCTCCAGACAAACCATGGCTTGTTAAGCCAAGGACAAACCTTGGTTATAGGTTGTGCTTTATCTGGGGCTCGACGAAACATGTGCCTGGGTTTGGACAGTACGCTAAGTCGTGGTTTAGCAGTAGCAGGATCAAATGAGAAGCAGAGGTCACAATCTCATCTATAGACCATACATTTGTGCTGAGCTATTTTGTGCTGACTGGATCACTGTATCTTGTTTTACTACTGTCAGTGGTGAGCCTTTTCCAGGAAAGGACATAGCAAGACATAAGCAGATGTTTGTTTATTACTTGTGTATCCTGCCCTTCCTCCAATGAGCTCAGGGTTACATTTGTAAGATTCCTGGGCAGCCTCCCATCCACTCCCCAGACCTACTTAGCTAAGAGTTGGAATTATGGTACATTGGGCGATGCCCTAAGCCAGCCCTCACTTATTCTATAGGGTTGCCTTACCAGCAGTGCCATTAACTGTCCTACACGATGGCTTCTAGCTAGCTGCCTCTTCACAAGGCATTCTGCCATTCATTGTATAGACGTGGATGCATATGTGTGTACATGTGTATGCATGAGCCTGCACACATGTATGCAAACACACACACGTACACAGACGTAGACTTTCTGGGGGCTTTCCCCCCTATTTTGTGGCAGCCCCAAGACTTCACATTCCTCCCAATTTGTTGGGGCTAGGGCCAGCCTTGGCTTCCTTGCAAAACCTCCCCCCCCTCCCTTTTCTGGAGAGAGAAACCAGAGCTTGGATGGAGGGGGGGTTGTGGAATCGGTGAGGAGGGCGGGAGAGCAAGAAGCTAAATTAAGAGCGTCTGTTTGAATAGAAGCCTTTTTGTCTTGAGTTTATGGAGTGCGAGGCTGGGGCTTCCTGCTACACAGGAAGCGCAGATTGGAACCAGATTGGTGGGACCGGAGCGGGGTGGAGGGGCGGGCAGGAAAGACGGGGGGGGGAGGCCGACTCTTCTATCGCCACTGATTTCCACGGCTTCGGCTCTCGGCGCCTCTGTTCCTCCACCCCCCCCCGCCCCCTCCATCGCTCCCAGTTCAGATCACGCTGCACGGCCCGAGGGCTTGCTGAGCACGCGCGCAGGCCCCAAACGTCCTGTGATTATTTTTTTTAAAGGACATCTCAGATTTCTTAACAGCCCAGCTCCGCAGAAGGGTCCCTATATAAGCAGGAACTTCAAAGCTTCCCTTGTGACGCGGGGGTGGGAAATGATTTTTGTGTGTGAGAGAGAGTTTTTGAATCTTGGAGCAGCTGTGCAGTGTGTGAGCTCTCTCTCTCTCTCCTCTAAAGTCTTTAAGAGGAAAAAGCCTGGCTGCAGCGAAGTGGCACCGTGCCCAGTTTGCCCATGTCAGCCCTCTGGGAATGGAGGGCATTCTGGTGGTGCTATAGATAGAACCGCCGTCGGAAAAAGGGGGAAGGAAAAAGAAACCAGAGCAGTGGTGGTTGGGTTTGCAGTCGTAGGACCACTTGGGGCAAAGGACGGTTTGCTTCCACTTTCAGGAGTGAGTTTAGCCCCCCTTGCGGTCCCCCCCCCCTTGAAGTGAAATTATGGATCCATTCCTGAAAGCAGTGAATCTGAAATTGCTTCCCCTTGGAGCTGGGTGGGAACCAGGAGAGGAGGGGAGCCGATGGAGTGAATAGAGCGCAGCATCAGGAGGAAGGGAGCAGCTCCAGATGAGGAACGGGGCTGATTTGCAAAAGGGAATCGAGAGCGGTGCCGGGTCCAGGAACGTGTGGAACTGATTAAGCAGCATATGGGAGTCATTACTTAGCAAGGGCTGGCGACTGGGGGAAGGGAGCTCTTACCCTGGCGCCAAAGGATTCACGCCTAACCCCCCCAGAATAAGATTCATTGGACCTTTGCTCCTTAGTGCCTGAGCCGATTTTTAAAATTATTTTTTGGGGCGGGTGGGTGTGAGAATAATACGTTTGCAGGGCACTGTAAGGCAGGCATGAGCAAAGGAAAAAAGTCAGGCAAAGGGAGGTTTCCTTTGCATTGGGACATCCAGCCAGCTGGGGGACACATTGCTTAGAACAGAACCCGACTCCTGTTGCCCCAGTCTCTGCAGGCTGGTCCTTTCCGGCATGTCTTCGGTTCTGTTTTGCTGTGGAAGCAGCATTAAGGTGCTGGAAGGTGAAGAGCTGAGCAAGAGGTGCTAATGAGTCCCCTGTCAGTGTGAAAGGCCAAGCCCAGCCATATGGTTCTTTTGGAAGGATGGGAATCTGCCCTCTGGGTTGGCAACAACATAGAAGAGCAAATGGGATGGACCATATGGTCCCAAATGGCCAAGATTATTTTGCGGGGAGCAACTTTCATTTCCAACTCTAGCCTTCCACCTCCCAAGCATGTTCTTCCCAAAAAAAGAGGTATGGTCAGGAGCGAGACTTTGCATGTTTCAAACAAAAGCATATCCTCTCTTGTTTACAGGGGTTTGGGTTTTGCATGCACGCTCTTATTAATTCTTTCAGAAAAAATGGCCACTCATTTGGAATAATCTCTCCAAGCAGGTGTACATAATAAGATAATTATCAATAAAACACAGATTGCAACCAGCAAAACATTTTTAAAAGAAGTATTCATAACTGAATGATGTGTATGGATAGTCTTGCTGAAATAAAAAGTTTTCAACTTGTGTCTAAAACAATAGGAAGGGCAACTTGCAGGGCACCAATGCATAGCTGCTACCACACTACAGCTGAGCTTTTGTCCATCTTGCTGCACCAGCCAGCTGAAAACATGAGTTCCTCCTTCCTGCTTCTGTTCTGTTCCTTTTTGTAATTTGCTTTCCGTTCTTCAGAATACCAGCAGCACTTCCCAGGGCTTGCAGGAAGCATGAGTGAGTACTGTATGGTGCTCCTGTTTTCCATTGTTCTGCATCCACCCCTCCTTTTTACATGAAATCTACAAAACCTCAGTGTAAATTTGAAATAAGCTGGGAGAGAATGTTTGGCCCTCCAGCTGAGTTGACTAGAAACAGCATCTCAACAGATCAAAGGACAAGACCCCAGATCCCAAGCAAAGGGTGGCTGTGATCAGACCTTCCCTCTGAAAGCATGGACTGGGTTTGGGATCGACCATGCTGGCCTTGCTAGCCCGCCCAGACCTATCGATCTGCTTGTATTCAGCAGAAGAACTGAAAGGGCTTCTTGCAAACAGCTGTTTGTCTTCCCTATCTGATCAGGGTTCTTGCTCCCATGCGAGAACATGTGTACATGCAGCTGTACACATACAGAAACCCCCTTCAGATATGAAATCATAGAATTGTAGAGATGGGAGGGACACCAAGGGTCTTCTAGTCCAACCCCTTGCAATGCAGGAAAGCCTGCTGGGCCTGGGGGGGGCGGCCCAGAAAGTACAATCCCTTCCCCCATTCATTACACAGTCTACATGTGGACAGAACATCTGAAAAGGGATTCCTTCCAGTAGCTCCTTAGAGACCAACCAATAACAAACTTAGTTGGTCTCTAAGTTGCTACTGGAAGGAATATACCAATAACAAACTTATTTGGTCTCTAAGGTGCTACTGGAAGGATTTTTTAATTTTGTTTTGACTACGGCAGACCAACACGGCTACCTACCTGCAATCTGAAAAGGGGTTAGTAGTATGCTGTGGGGTGGAGACTAGTGCAAGAGGACATGGCTATACAGCCTCCCCAAGTACAGAGTCCCAGGTGCGTATCTCTGTGGGGGGGAAAAAGTTCCCTCCTGCAATCTATGGCTTTGCTGCTGCGACTGGAGTTGATGAGACCTAGTGGTGTGGAGGCCTGTGCCCTGAAGCTAGCATGAAAGAACAGTAGCCCTGTCCTTCTCTGGCTGGCAGAGGAGCTCTGTCTCCATCCTGTTGAGAAGCAGGCGGAACAGAAGGCAGTGGTCTGGGGCACGGGCCCCATTTGCACTATTCATTTAAAGCAGTATAATACCACTTTTAACCGTCATGCCCCTCCCCGAAGAATCCTGGGAGCTGAAGTTTGTTAAGTGTTCTGAGAGTTGTTAAGAGAGCCCTGTCCCCCTCATACAGCTACAATTCCCAGAGCGGATTAACAAACAATCCCTCTTTCTGGGGAACTTGGGGAAATGTAGCTCTGCGAGGAAGAACACGGGTCTCCTAACAACTCTCAGCGCCTGTAACAAAACACAGTTCCCAGGATTCCCTGGGGGAAGCCGTGGCTATTTAAAGTTCTATGACACTGCTTTAAATGTATAGGGCAATTGGGAGCACAGTGTCGTGCGCAGGAACAGAGGGAAGTGTTGTTTCACTTTTATAGGCTTGTGAGAGTGTTGGGCAAGGGTCTGATGGTACCTCTGGCAGCTGCTTCTGTCCCCAGATTTAGGGTGGTATATATGTCCATGTGTCTCTATATATTTTTCTGTCATTTTTGACAAGACAGATTTGCTTTGGAGACCCAGGCGAATGCTAGCGTCCAGGCCAGCCTTTCTCCTCCCCTGCTGGCCAGTGACTTAGTCCAGGACAGTATCCCTTTGTGCGACAGTCTGACCCCACTAAGTTCTCTCTGGTCAGGGCACTTCCTGCTATGAACCGCTAACTAGCCCCAAAGGGCTCCTTGTGAAGAGGACTGGCTGCTTCTTGTCCTCCTCCTCTCTCTCTCCTTCTCCTTGCCCAGGGCCAAAACAGGCAGGCAGGGTCAACAGTGCAGGGGGCTAAGAGGTTCCACAACATCCTGGGCCTTGTTCTGAAGAAAAGGACAATTGTGCATAGGCAAGGCACCATCTCAATGTGTCTTTGTGCAACAGAGAGCCACAGATCATGAATGGACAGAATGCAGCCTTAAAAGAGTCCCCTCCGTTAGGCCTGTTGACAGTTAGCGCATTCAGAGCCGTCACGACAGGAAAGAACCATTTCATCCAGATCTGACTTCCTATACGCAGTGCAGGAGGAATGGCTTCCTTTGGTTCATAGGGAAGCTGGCCGCTGGCAGCCTACACTGACAGGCAGCAGCTCTCTGAGATCTTGAACATGGGAACTTCTGTGCACAAAACAGATGTGCTACTGAACCACATCCCTTCCCTTTCATATTATATGCCACATCTGTTGCGATGGACTCCACTTAAAACATATTTTGAGGAGAGGGCTGGTCTTTGTTTGGAGCCTGTGAGGGTTGTGCTGCTTTGCTTCTTAGAATTCTGCTCTGTCCTTCCTCCAAGATGTTTAAGCCTCACAATAGCCATATGAGGTGGGTTAAGTTGAAAGAAGAGTGAACTCTATGGCTGATTTGAATCTGGGTTTCCAGTATCCAGATCCAGTGCTCTCCATGCTTTGGAGACCCCACCCACCCACCCACCCACCCACCCACTTCCTTGGCATTGGGCGTTGCAATTGTTAGTTGCCTTTGCTGTTTGAAATGCCGCGTCAGATCAGAATTTGTCTGGTTTTATCTTTTATTTTTATTGGAGGTTCTTACGTTCCTCTTGGCTAGATTAAAGCGCCGCCCTTTTGGCACTTAAAAACTTCTCATCTGTGAAGGTGCGCTACAATCAGTTCACCTCTTAACCTTCTTTCTGATAAGGTGAACAGAATGAGCTGCTACAATCCTTTGCTGCAAAGGTTTCCTTTGCTACAAACAGCTCTGTTTTTTAATATTTGAATCGTAAATGAACTGTGGAGCCTGAATTAGACATGCTTGTGATCTAGCAGTTGTGTCTTCAACGTTAAGGGTATTAAGGTTTTCGTTTAATAAAAAGATCCTAGCAAGTCTAGTCATTCAAATCACTTTGTACTAACAGTCTGTGGCCATTGGTAGTTACCAATATGGGCCTTTAGGCTATAATCCTATGCAAACCTGCTTGGATGTAAGCCCAGCACACAAAGGTTTTAGCTGCATGACATTTTAAAATATGTGATCTAAAAGGGTCGCCATATGTCCAGAATTTTCCGGACATACCCGGAATGCTGCAGTTGGAAGCTCAACAACTTTTGTGGCCAGGTTTTTACTTTTTGAAATATGGCAACCCTAGATCTAAGGCCTTGACCCACTTGGCTCTGCAGGAAATGGCTCCTTCATAGGTTACCTGGTTCATGCTGCAAGCGTGTTGGGACATGGTACCTGCTGGGTTGGGTGATCCATTTAATTTTAGAACTGACCTTCTTTGGGTATCTGCTCTATTCTCATGCACCTGGTGAAGTGGACTCCAGTCCACCAAAGTTTATGCACTAATAAGCATGTTCGTCTTATTATTAGTCTTGCCGCAACACTCTTCACTTATTTTGCTTTAATCTCAGTATCGCCAGAAAACATGGAGCTGCTGGGACAGAATTGAGGTGCCAGGTGTCGATGCCCAGGGAAAGGAGATCACCTTGAGAGACCTCTGCAAACACCTCCAGGTGAAGAGGATGACCAAGTAAAATGTTTCATAGGCAGGTTCCATCAGGAACCCAGGCAGCATATGCTGGGATGGCCCGTGCCACTGACCCTCCTCATTACCATGCATGCCGGGGTTGCAGCAGTGGGTCTTCTCCTCTGCGGCATCCTGAGGTCCATGAGAGGCCAGTGGGCACAGCACTTTGAATGGGCATGTTGCTCCTTCCAGTATTAACAAACACAAAGGTATCCCTTACCAGGTACCCTCATTCACTCCAATATCAATGAGATGCCCCTGTTCTGTCCCAAATACCCCATTGCCATAATCCAATTCAGTTTGCTCCCTGCTCCTACTTTGCTCTTTTTTCTGGTTGCCCTGATTGTCCCACCCCATCCTCTGCTGGTTCCCAAGACTGCGCTCCCATGTCATCCTTTTGAAATTAATGGACCTAACTTAACCATGTTTGTTAATTTCAGTGGATCTATTTTGAGAATAACTAGTTGAACGCCACCCTCTCACAACTTGTACTTAACCTGGTGCTCCTGGAGCTCTTTCAGTTGAGAGTTCTGATTGTCTCTGTGTGGTGCTGACTCCTGCTCACTTTCACAGATGGAGCATTCCTTGGTGCTGGAGATGCTACTATATGGAAAAGCTCTTCTGTACGCTGGCTTCTGCGAAGAAAAGGCAAAAGAGCAGAAGCTATCCAGCAGGTAGGAGAATCCAAAGGAACAGAGCTTGGGAGTCACAAAGGAACAAAAGAAGAGCCTGACTGCTGGATTAAGCCCATGACCCACCTCATCCAACATCCTGTTCTCACAGTGGCCAACCGCATGCCTGGGGGAAACCTCCTGTTTCCACCTTCTGCTCCTGATTCTCATGAAGCCTGAGGGGGGCCAGTGCCCCGGGTATTCTCAAGGCATGGCTTAGGCAGAGAGAACCTTCCAATAGCTGTTTCTGATGCATGCAGGGTTTGTTTTTTACAGAGTCCACACAACACCTTCAACATCAAAATGCCAGCCTGTATTCCTTCCCTCTGCCCCTAAATCCAGGTGTACCCTTTTCTCAGGAATATCCAATACATGGGTTTATTTAAAAAAACAAAACACAACTCTTATCAGTGACCCATTTGCAATACCTGAATATCATTTTTGCAACGTTAACACCACCCCGGAAGCAGTCAGACTCTCAGTGAGCCCTTCCACATTTCCTCCTGCCTGCCGTGGGGTTGGAAGTGGCATTTGCCCTGTTTTCCTCCCTGCTTGCCCGTTTTCTAGGGTCTGGGAAGCCACTGACCTGGAAGAGGGCAGAGGGACCCTCAGGAGTGTGGGATAGCTAGGCCACAGCTGCCCCCACTACAGGCCCCCTGCCAGAACAGCCTGGCTTACTGTATCTGCAGCAGCTGCAAAGCCTCTGCGTCCTGTCCCTTCCACGCTGGGTAAACATCCTGCTGTCAGTGCCTCCTCCGCTGCTTCCTGGGGCAGACCAAGCTCTTCCCACCCCCCAAATGCAGGCTCTCCTGGGCCTCTGCCATCCACATATATCCAGAGGCAGCATGAGTCCCTTACTCTATGATCTTTCCAGACACCTTGGCAGGCTGTCCTGCTCTCTGCCCACTCACTCTCCCGCCTTCTCCAACCCCCCATTCCCACCCCAAAACAAACTGGGCTGCAGACTCGCTCAGGACGGATAGTTTCACTTTGGCTGCCTCTGCCATTTCTTAAGCAGAGAGCAAAAGTGTGCTTGGTTTTCTGGTACGGGTGGGTGCAGTGCTGGGGAGATGGCAAAGAAGTGCTAGCATCCCTCCTTCGAGAAGCTGCGTTGATTTTAGCTCCCGCTTCTGAAACACCATTCCGGCTGTATTCAGAGAGGGGAAAGAACAAGGCCAATGTGGCAGGGAGGCAGCATTGAGCACTGGCAAGCTGGGTGTGCCAGTTTCTGGGTGCTACACAGCAGGCTCTTGCCTTCATGTCCTGCTTATTATGGGGTCCCCAGAGGTCTCAGCTCAACTACCAAGGGAAACAGGATGCTGGAACAGATCAGGCTTCAGTCTGATCTGGTAGGGATCTCTTCTAACGTCCTTAAGGCATTTTCTTCTTTGGTGTGTATATATATATATATATATATATATATATATATATGTCCCCTCCCCACCCGCAAAAGGTCTTGTGAGTAGCAGTCCCTGGGAAATGTTAGCTAGGCCGTTCCTGCTTATGGTTGCAGCTGCTGGATTTGAGACGATAGTTTGGGTGTGGTTCTGCAGTTGTTTCAGGACCTGAGCATACCTGGTGAAGGATGTGTGGCAAACATCAGTACTGTAAGTGACAGGAGATTGCCTGTTACCTGCCCTCTTGCATCTGCCCTCCTATTCACCCTTCGCTTTCACTTTCTCAGACTGACGGAACTGGTTCGCTGTGCCACCAAAGAGGCTCTATCCAAGGAGTGCCGGCTCTTGGTGTTGGACGTAGTCTGTGAAGATGAAAAGGATGATAGCGTCTTACCGCCTGTTCATGTCTGGCTCCGACCGAGGGATCCAACCAATGAGGAGTAAAGGGAACTGTGTATATGTGTAATACAATGGAAACCTTTGGACTTGATAACTGCAATCTGCTGGATGTGGGGCTGCCCTTGAGGATGGTCTGGAAGCTGCTGCTGATGCAAAATGCAGCTGTTTGGCTGCTCACTGGAGCAGGATACCACCAACACATTACCCTGCTGTTCAGAGAATTGCTCTGCCTGCCAGCTAGTTTCCAGACTAAGTTCAAGGTTCTGGCCTTGGTGTGTATAGCCCTATGCAACTTGGGACCAGGATACCTGCAAGATTGTAGGCAAACTAAGGCCTGGGGGCCGGATCCAGCCCAATCGCCTTCTAAATCTGGCCCGCGGATGGTCCAGATATCAGCATGTTTTTACATGAGTAGAATGTGTCCTTTTATTTAAAATGCATCTCTGGGTTATTTGTGGGGCATAGGAATTGGTTCTTTTCCCCCCTTCAAAATATAGTCCAGCCCCACACCAGGTCTGAGGAACAGTGGGCCGGCCCCCTGCTGAAAAAGTTTGCTGACCCCTGGCTAGTCTCATCCCTTATATACTCAGCTGATCACTGCGCTGTGCAGGCGAAGACTTCCTGTAACTGCCTTCTTATCTGGAGGTTCACAATGTATGAATTGGGCATAGGAGCCAACTCCTAGAGGCCAAGGTCTCTCTGCCCTCCCCCCAATAAAATATTTGAGGGAGCCGAGCCCCTCCCCAAAGATAATGGGCTTTGCCATTCAAATGATGTTCGTGTACCACATCATTTAATTGATTATGCAGGATGGGGCCTACCTGACCCCCCCAAAATATTTTATTCAAGTTGGCACCCCTGGAATTGGGTCTTTAGAGTGGTGGCACCTGCTCTTTGGAATTCACTCCCCTTGGATGTTAGGCAGAGGCAGCCTCTGTTGTTGTTTTGCTGCCTACTGAAGACCTTCCAGCAAGGGTTTTAAACTGCAAGCTTTCCCAGTCTGTTTCTATGTTGCAATTGTTTTTTCAAATGTTCTTGTTGTCTTGCCATTTGTTGTCTGGCACCCTGGGCTCCTTTGCGAGGAAGGGTAGGATGCAGATTAATTTAATAAATGTGGGTAATATATGGAATGAGTAATGTGTATACACTGACTGTGATTAACCCAAATTCTGTTTAAAGCCGAGACACGCTCCTTGCCTGATGAAGAAGGTGAAGAAGCATCTTCTCCAGGGACTAACCTGTGTCTGCCTGCGGGCCTTTTCTTGCTCTTGGGGTCTGAGCATAGCAGAGGACTAAATAGGAATGAGCTCACTCTCAATAAGTGCAACCCATAGGTTTCTCCTTTTGAAAGACTCCTGGAGTCTAAGCATTTTCTTCCCAGTACAACTATTAAAGGTGTAGCAGCAATGAAGTTGTAACACAGGTAGTGGGGGTGAGCCAAATGTGGTTCCTTGTGTAGCCATCAAATAACTCTGTAGACCTGGGATACATCTCTCATAATCTCTGCTCTGCACCCTCCTTCAGTGCCTTCTGGCTCGAAAGACAGGGAGAAGTGTGTTTGCGTGTTGGTAGAAAGAACCCTCTGGTTTTTGTGTGGCTGGAATATAGCCACAAAAGTATGAGTTACATCTGTTGCTCCACCCACTTTTTCCATCTGGCCCCACCCGTTACTGGCATGTGGCCCTTGGAACGTTGCCTGTGATGGAAGATGGCCCCCAGGCGGGAAAAGGTTCCCCACTCCTGTTATGGGCATTAGCCTGCTTTGTTCTGACAGAGCAGCTGCAGAGTCCATAGAACTGCAGGGGAACGGGATAATTTCGTTTTCTCTGCATGGAGCTAGGAACTATGTAGGGAGAGGGGCACAGCTCAGCAACAGAGCATATGCTGCTTCCTAGAGTTCCCTGGAAAGAGAGTCAACTATTAAACTGCTCCACAAGTCTTAGTTTTGTAAGGGAAAGAAGGGTTTCCTACTGATTCTCATGATCTTTAACAAACTGCATTCCCCAGAATTTTTTGGGGGGGCAGCCACATCTGTTTAAAGTGGTAGGATTCTGCTTTAAACATATAACACAGATGGGAGTCTAAGTGCTACACAGAATTTGCATTTAGGTTTGCCACTGCTGGTGCTGAGAATCACTCTTTATAAATTATTATAAGACTGTGCAGCTGTTCTTAACGTGTTTGACTATTCCACGCTTTTGGTTTGATTTTAAGGAGCAGAAGGGGGAGGGTCTCACACATATATTTCCTCCAGCAGCACTACTGATAGCATCAGATAAGGGTAACTGAGCAACTGGACTGGCCTTGTTCTTTTCACATCAAATTTCGGTGAAATAGCTCCCTGGTGTTTATGTTAAGTTGGGATCATTATGGCAGCGTGCCCTCAGATGGATTGCATCTCCTGTTTACAGTAAACCTTGAGCAACACATTAGTGTAATGAGTCAGGCTTGCTGGGGAAATGAAGCTCCTTTGATTTTAACAGTGACCCTACACCTACAGAAGCTGTTTTTGTAGCCAGGACAGGACAGCGTATCCTCCTGCTCTTCCATCTTCTTTTCCGAGCTCTCCTGCAGATTGGACATTGCAAGAAGAGACATTACAAAATGCTCTCCAGGAACTTCCCTTGAAAATCAGGATCTGCTCCCTTGCCCACTCCGTCTGCAAAATTTCCCTGTTCTCTTGATCACAGTGAGTGACTCAGATCCAGAAGGTGTCTACAGCTACCATGATGCATAGGAAGCTGCCTTATACTGAGTCAGTCCATTGATTTCTATGTAGCTAAGCACTGCCTATGCTGACTGGAAGTGGCTCTCCAGGATTTCAGACATGGAATGAGTTTGGAGATGATGGGGATTGAAGCTGAGACCTTCTGATGCAAAGGAGACACTGCCACTGAGCTACAACATTTCTGGGGGAGGAAGCACCCCAGATTTGAACTAGGGACATCTTCATTTGAATCCAGGCCTATCAGCACCATTGTGTTGCTACTGTTCTCAGGCATGTACATCAATGGTTCAAGGTGATCAAATCAGCATTTTGAATGATGCAGAAGTAAGTGGCCCCCTGTTCTGCCACTGATAAATCACTATTTCCAATACTGGATGTAGTATAACATAACTGTTATGACTAGTAGCCAATGATAATAGTCTTGGCTTCCATTAATTAAATATATATATATTTATGACTTTATAAGAGTACAAAATACAGAACTGAAGAAGAAAAAAGTGAAAGAAGGAAGAAGAGAAATAGATACATTACATCGTTCTGTTCCATCGACTTCTCATCCATCCTTCCATGACTCCCTAAAGTTTCCCATTCCTGCTGCATAATCTATTTTTTCTAACTATTTAAACATTCAGATTCTTCTCATTATAAACTATAACTGCTGAGCTTACTCCAAACTGACTCAAGTTCTAACATTTTTACAATGTTTTTAGGTAGTCTACAAAACTTTTCTCTTTGTGCCCTCAAATTTTGCTGGTTAAGCTTGCTAATTCTGCCTATTCCATTAATTTCATCTGCCACTCCTCCTTTGTAGGGACTTTCTCCTCTCTCCATCTTTGTGCATATAGGATTCTTGCTGCTGTAGTGGCATACATAAATAAATTTATTTGTTTACTTGGTACCTCAGACCTCATTATTCCACCAGGAAGGCCTCTGGCCTCTTTGGGAAGGGCTTCCAAAATATTTTTTTCGATTCATTATACTGTATTTACTCGAGTCTGATGTGTCATCAAATCTAATGTGCACTTCAGTTTTCAGAACCTTGAAACCAAAAAAGTACTTGGTGGTGAATGTAAATGTGCCATCAAATCTAATGCACACTTTAATTTTTGCAACATAATTTGGCCAAAAAAAGGTGAGCATTAGATTCGAATAAATACGGTATATTATTTCCCAATATTCTAACTACTCTACAGGACCACCACATATGATATAAGGTTCTATCCATAGCTTTACAGTTCCAACATTTACCTGATTCTGACTTATACATTTTCTCTAATTTATTTGGTGTCAGGTACCATCTGTAAATCATTTTCCAATAATTTTCCTTAAGAGCATAGCAGGCTGTGAATTTTAATCCTGTTTTCCACAGCTTTTCCCACAAATCTAAATTTAAATTGTGGCCCACATCTTTAGCCCAATTGATCATTGCCGTTTTCACCATTTTGTGCTTTCTCTCCCATTCTAATAGTACCTTATACATTTTAGAAATTTACTTCTCATTATTATTTAGAAGCTTTCTCTTTCTCTTTCTCAAATTCTGACATCTCTTCTATAAAAACCACTTTGTTTATCAACTTTAAATATTTCATTCAATTGATGGTACTGCAACTAGTCTGTCACCCAGTTACCAACTTCTTCCATCTTCTTCAGGCTTACACTTGTGTCTGTAAAGTCCACTAGTTCTCTGTATGTTGCCCATCCTTTTTCCATATTCAATTTTTCAGTGCAATTGCTTCAATGGATGAAAGCCATAAAAGTGTTTTCATTTCTAGCAGATTCTTATTTTTTCCCCAGACTTGATAAATATTTTTCCTAATCACATGATTCATAAAATTCTTATGTATTCTAGTTTTACCCTACCAAACATGCATGTCAACCAAATTTAACACTACCCCTCCAAGTCTAGCAGTTGAGTATTCTCCAACTTTATCCAATCTTTTAACCAGCATAAACAAGCCGCTTCATAATATAAACGCAAATCTGGCAGTGAGAAGCTTCCTCTTTCCCTAGTGTCAATCAATATCTTATATTTAATTCTTGGTTTCTTCCCCTGCCATAAAAATCTAGAAATATCCTTCTGCCATTCTTTAAAGCAGCTTAAATTATTTATTAATGGGAAAGTTTGAAATAAAAATCACATATTTGGCAACAGGCTTCCATAAATTTTGGGGCATCACTGCATCTCATAGTAATGAATTCCCTAGTTTAACTACATGCCCCGAGATCTACAGAAGAAGCGAGGTATACAGATTTAAAAATAAAAATAAAATAAAATGTGCTGCTGTGTGAATAAGTGTTCGCCGCTGAGTAGCTCTTGCAATCTAAGCCTCACACACTGGAAAAGACTCCCCTCTGAGAAAATCACTGCCGACCAGCATGAGAAACATCAGGTCAGATGAAACAACATCCTGACCTAGCTTAATGTATACATACATACTGTATGTATAAACATGCTTGAAGATCACATTTCCCTTTTACTTTCCATTCTGAGTTCAGACCTCAGAAACCACTCTTCTGTAACATTGTCTGCTGTGTGTGTGTGTGTGTAAGCATGCAGAAGTACAAAAATATGCCACAGTAAATAGCTTTTGAATGCTAAGCTCATATTCACATGAAAAGGGAAAATGCAGTCGTCAGTAGTATTAACTGGACACCACACTGGAGAAACACACTGTATTTTCTCACCCTTGGGTATTGTTCAGCTGGCTGTATGGTTCCACTGTTCACAATGTAAGGAAGACACCTGAGGAACTGCAGTAAGGCAGATTTCCCTAGGCTGGTACTCTTCAGATGTTCTGGAATGTAGTTCCCCTCCACCCTAGCCAGCACTATCATAGTCCCATCATAGTGGGCACCAGGTTGGGGGAGGCAGTAGTAAGGGATGGCTCCTGGAAGTCCCCCCCAAAAGTGAGAGACGTGAAGCATCTGCAATCTGTGCAAATATGCAAAAGATAAAGGCAGAAGAGAAGAGCTGGGAAATAAATCTGATCAAGTATGCTATTTTGAAAAGGTGCTATTTTTAACAGGGTAGGTGATTAACAATTGAGGGAAAAGCCTAACAAAGGTGTGAGGTTGATTTTTCCATGGGTGCAGGGGTCAGATCCTGGCTATAAAGCCCAATAGCTTCTATGAAGGGGGAGGAAATAGTGATATATTGCACCCAATAGCCTGCATTTGGCTATTGTAAATAACAGAAGAAAAATCCCCTTGGCTTGAGTTGCGCTGAAGGTCAGACTAGATGGTGTTTTCTTGTAATCCTTTAGATCTACTGATTCAAGGGAGAGGCGTGTAATGACTAGAAAAAGGTTTGTTTTTGGAGCTCTCGCTGGCTTGTGATGCAACTTCCCGAGCAAAATGAGCAGGGTGATGGCTCATAAACGGATTGTTTTAGGGCTCATTCACATAAGTGTGCTAAGAGGGACAATGCTACTGACAAAGAAGGGGGCTTACCACTTATCCCTCAGTCGCATGTTGGTGAAAAATAGGTGCTGTTCAAAGAGAAGAGGCTGCAGTCAGCAACCAGATACTGGGGGTCTACAGACAAGTGGAGTCTCAAAAGCATGAGCTTTTCTTATCACCAGGGATGTATCATACTAGGAGAACAATGCAGTTCTATTTCTGTACCCTGAGCGTACATGCTAAGGCTTGTTGGGTTTCTTTTGTGATGTGTCCTCCCACAGTTTCCGGCCCTGTTCCTGTGGCCTACACATTCACATTCGTTCTTATTTCATGACGCCCATCCAAATGGCCAAAGAGAGCAAAGAAGCAATTAAAAAAAGAACACCTCTCTGGATAGGCTGTTGTTGTTGTTTAGTCGTTTAGTCATGTCCGACTCTTCGTGACCCCATGGACCAGAGCACGCCAGGCACTCCTGTCTTCCACTGCCTCCCGCAGTTTGGTCAGACTCATGTTGGTAGCTTCGAGAACACTGTCCAACCATCTCGTCCTCTGTCGTCCCCTTCTCCTTGTGCCCTCCATCTTTCCCAACATCAGGGTACTTTCCAGGGAGTCTTCTCTTCTCATGAGGTAGCCAAAATATTGGAGTCTCAGCTTCAGGATCTGTCCTTCCAGTGAGCACTCAGGCTGATCTCCTTAAGAATGGACATGTTTGATCTTCTTGCAGTCCATGGGACTCTCAAGAGTCTCCTCCAGCACCATAATTCAAAGGTACATGGATAGGTACATGTGCACAAATATATTTGGATTTAGTCAATTAAGAGTCTGAAACACAAAATTGCTACCATCATAAGGCTCTGTGGGGCAACCACACTTGGAACACTGGGTTCTGGCTGCCTCAACTCAAAAAGGATATTGTGAAGAAAGAAGGTTCAGGAAGAGGCAACCCAAATGATCGAGGCGGTGCAGAAACTTCCCTACAAGGAAAAGTTGCCCACAACATTTAGGTGGGTGGTTTCTTTATGTGAGCAAGGGGTGTGTGTGTGAAAAAGATGCATGGTGTGGAGAAAGGGAATAGTCCCCCTCTCAAATCATAATACTAGAAATCAGGGCCATCCAATGGTGAACTTCAGAAAACACAAAATAAAGTGTTTCTTCGCCCAATGCCCAGATGACATTTGCTCCCAACCAGCATGGCCAGGGATGATGGGAGCTGGGAGTCCGGCAGCATCCTGGAGCACACCACGTTGGCTTCCCTCGCTAAATACACTTACTTCTGAGTAGGCATGCACAGGCTTGCATTGTTATCTGTTTTAAATGTTATCTTTCTAGACCTCATGATTTCAGAGATGAGACTTAAAAGCCTTTGGGCAGCTATCAACAATATTTCATTGCTGGGTGTTCCTTTGTCAGGGGACAGGACCACTTAACTTCAGTAGCTTTAGTCTGACTACTCAAATCTCTGTTAAACAATTCCTAACTCCATCAAACCAATTGCACGCAGAGTCATGCAAATTAAGGACACTGATGAAATATGCATAACATCCAAATTCCCTTGATATATTTGTATATTAAGCAATGAAAATCACTCTGGCGATGTCCTGTGGCTTACAGTGGGGGTTTTTTGTTTAGTTTTTAAGGATTGGAGTGGATGGGGAAGCTGGTACCCTCCAGATGTTGCTGGTATCAGATCAGGGAAAGCTGTTGAAATGGACCCGCAGCATCACAGCCAGCCTTCAAGGACCAAGCAGTGAAGATAATGGGCAGAATAGCCATCATAGTCATACTTGTTTGTAGGTTTCATGGGGCATCTGGTAATTTACTGTCAGTAACAAAATGCTTAATGAAGGAAGCATCTTGTCTGATCCAGCAAAGCAATTCTTATATGCGGGAGGGGGGGGTGTGTTAAGGCAGATTCTCCTGTATGTTTATGCTATCACAACTTCTCCATGCTTCTTAATTTTGACATATTTCATCCTTGTCCTTGATATTTTGTGCCAGGAATATTTACCCAGATAGACATCCTGTAATTTGTGTTATTGTGTGCTTTCTGACTCATTCCCACTATTATTTTAAGGGATGGTTAGGAACAACTGGATCTTGCAGCTTTCATGTAACCTGGAAACATAAGAAAGGCTCTGACATGCAATTAGTCTTCAGTAGTCCTTGTTATCCATTCTTCACAGGTATTTGATGTTGCTGATGGGATTAATCAACACTGTTAGGTGTTACTGTGGTTTGACAGTATTTTTGCACACTGTTATCTGTTCTTAGCTCCATCAATTATGTTTAATGATAAAGCGAACACATTTGTCCATCAGTTCTAGGTATTTTTGAATATCATTTGAGTATGGACACATGGTAAATTTGAAAGCTTCGGCAAACATTGGTTTGGAATAACTGGTTGGATTTGTTGTAGTTTGTTATTCTGCTCTTTCATAACTGCAACTAATGAACATCCCTTACAGATGAAGTCCCTATTTTTATGTGAGCACTAATTGCCATGCTATGATTATTCCTTTCACCATTTTTATTTGGGCACCAGAACTAGCTAGCGGCCTGCTCTGCAAATGGTACCCACTATAACTGCAGGTGTATGCCGGAAAGCAAGTGATTCTTGACATCATTTACAGCTCCTGTCTTGGCCCTTTTGAAATCTCCCTTGATGGAAGCATAGACTGGTTCTCCTCCTGGCTGCTTTTCAACAATTGTACTGAAATCTAGCACAAAATGTTCTGCACCATTTTATCAACCTAAATTAACTATCTTAGGAGTGTAGCTTTTACTCCTTCCAGTTTGAAGTTGGCACATTGAGAAATTAAAAGAAGAAACTCTGTTTTAGCCGAGCCTGCAAAGGAAATAATCTTTACATTTGAGGACCACACACAGCAATAATTCTCTACATCAAATCCCCCAAGAGTTGCAATTGCACTGACAGACTATCCTGTATTTCAAACTTCATGTTCTCCAACAATCGAAAGGTACTATACTGATATTTGCCAGACTGATTTGAGGTCTGTAGTTTAAGATAGGCCAACCCATGTCAAGGAATCAAAACATGACATACCGGTATTCTCAATTTCTGGGGAAATACTTTGGGCTGAAAGTTCATTGTTCCTTGCCTTCTTATATTTACTCATGTTATTACATTGGCATTTTAAACGATGCTTCCGCTACAGACAAGACTGGATGTGTTGACTTACTTGGGGTTGACTCCGAGAACAGCTAAAATGTAGTTTGGATCAAGCAATGCCATTTACATGCACACACACCAGACAGATTTAATGTAGAAAAAAGACATTTATTTACAGACAACTGTAAAAAATATAAATCTGTTCCATTAAGAAAACGAGCATTTAAAAAAGAGAGGCAAGGCTAGATGTAGCCAATCACATCATTGCAAATGATTGGCTGCCGGCTCCGGCAGTTCATGAGGGCAGCAAAGCTGCTACAGTCTGTGGAAAGCTCACTGATGTTGGCGTAGGACTGGTGAAAGTAGGGTAATGGAGGTGGCCCTCCCAGACCTGCAGGGCAAGAGAAACGCTTGGTGCCGTCGGGGTCCTGTTTGGCCCGCTCCGTGCGCGAGATGCCAGCCAGCCTGCGGCGTACATTGCCAGAGAGGTTGAGCAGGAAGCCATGGGGCTTAGCCAGCCAGCGCTGCAGCCGCCCCCGTTCCCCACTCTCCTCAGGCAAGTCCATCCAGTTCTCAACCAGGTCAGCAAAGCAATTGTCCCCCAGCACTAATGGCTGCCGGTTGCGGCTCTGTGACAAAAGGGACACGGTCCAGTCCCCGGCATCTGTGGGCTCGACATCCCGCCACCGCTCCAAGCAGGCATCTGAAGCAGATTTGGGCCTAGGCCTCCTGGTGGGTGCCCGGCGGCGCAGAAAGCCCCCCGAGGAAAGCTTGCTGGCTCGGAGGGGTGGGGGCCCCTCCTCATCCCGCCAGCTGCTCCCAGACACTTCAGAATAGCCCGAGTCAAACTCCAAGCTCCGCTCGCTGCTTGGAGGAGAGAAGGCAACCTCTTCCTCTACGGCCGTCTCCAGGCAACAGGCAGAGTCTGCTTCCGAAATGGCGGATACCCGTGGGCTGGTACACTGCTTTGGGGAAGGCATGGCAGAGAGCGGCCTCATCTCCTGGGGGTCCAGTCGGATGTCTCGGTCGTGCACCCTCTTCAGGTCGTGGAGGGTCCGCATCATGCACTGCATCTGGCCCCGCAGCACCTCGCTCGACTCCTTCATGCACAGCTGTGAGGGGAGAAGACACACACATGGTCATCTTCCTACCACTGCCACCAGCACAACATAATAGACGATCTACTGCCCATAACATTGTGGGAAAATGGCACAACACAAAATTGCATTCAGATTGGAGCCTTCAAACATACTTCAAACAGACTGCTACATGCCCACTGTGGCCTACTTCAGAGTATACTTGTATAGGGTTGTACTATTAGCCCAAGTAGATTTAATCCTACAGGCTACATTCCCAGAGAGAAAGCCCTGTGTGGATCATGAGTCCAAATAATGCAAAAGGCAGAAAACTGGAGGATCACTGACTGCCGAGAAATGAGCTCCTGACCCCGCATGACCCAGGCCTCCTCAGGCAAAAATCAGATCATTTGCTTGAATTAATGCCAATGACTGTCCTCTGCCTCCACACATCTATTCTCTGGCTCCCCAGTAACATTATTAGCACTGCGTACTTGTGTCCCACAAGCAGCCCTCTGTTGCACTCGGCTTACCCAGCCCAGGAGCCCAAGCCTCTCTCTCTCTCGAGCCCAGCATGTGCCAGCGTTTCCAAGGCCTGCCGAATGCCACGAGCCTCCTTGCAGTTTTTACCTTGATGTGTGAGGGGCACAGATCTGACTTAGCCTAGGTGTGGAATTGGGAGCTGGAGCCGCACGCGCAAGCCCTTGCCCCGTCTCGTCTCGGCAGGCCCCCAGCCCCGAGGCAGAGCTTTTCGGCAGCTCCTGCATGTTCCAAGCCCATCCCCGGCTGAGCAAGCAGCAGCTTGTTGCAGCGAGTGAGCCGCCCTACCCGGCAGAAGATGACACACAGAGGGTGTGTTGAAGTCTCCAGGTATTGCACAAGCAGTCCCCGTCCCCCCCAGCCAGGCAAGAGGAGGGAAAAGCCGGGAGAGGAGGCCACAGAAATGTGAGGAGTAATCAGCTGGGCCTGGAATGGGGGCAGGTATTAATTTGCAGCAGTTTAAACAAGGGTGTGAAGTTCAGTTGGGAGCTATAACAAGCGTTACAATCCTGCACCCCTTTCACCCAGAACCACCTGGGGGTCTCTCTTTTTTTTCCCCCTGTTGCACAGGAGAAGGGCAGGACATCCAAGCAAGCCAGAATGATGCAAACCATCTTTTCAGGAAGGACCATAGCTCAGGAGTGGAGCATCTACTTTGCTAGCAGAAGATCCCAGGTTCAGTCCCTGGCATCTCCAGATAGGACTGGGGAAATCCCTGGAGAGTCACTGCCAGTTAGTGTAGACAATACTGAGCTAGATGGACCAGTGATCTCATTCAGTATAAGGCAGTTTCCTGTGTTCACTTGTAAAAAAAATCCATAGGAAAGCAAGGGGTGCATATGCTCAGTCTCCAACAGGCAAGCATATTGAATAGTGACAGACCCCTCCCAGGGGCTAAGGAAAATGTGGGTCAGCATGAAAGAGATGGTCAGAAGTTACTACAGGGTCCTTGTGTGTGTTGGAGAGAAATCACTGCAGAAAGAGATGCATATAAAGGCAGATTTCTCACAAGCCCACAAATGAACCCTGGTTATCCCTAACAGTTGAAATGTGCAGAGGTAAATGTTCAAATGCTAAGGCCACCAGAGTCCTGGTATCTTATTTCTTCTTCCGCTCTGTTCTTCCAGGCCCACTTCCTGTAGTTTTCTAAAGTCTCCACGGTTCAGCAAACAGCAGTGCCGTAAGGAGTCCCCATGGCCCCTCCAGGCAAAGTAGTGGACCACTGATTTAGTCGGTCCAATGGTGACACAGCTTGCAATAGTCCCCCAGCGGCTGGGCTGAAAACCTGGAACCCATCAAGACGTCTGTTTTGGGTTAGGCTCCAGTCGCAATTGCAAGGCTAACCATGTGAGCCATAAAAAAAGAAGGGGGGGAAATGCCCATAGATCATCTCTTTCCTCCCCCAACTCCTATGCATAACACTTCCTGTCAAGGAAAAACACAAACTCCTTTCTTAGGCACCGCATCAGATAAACTCTATTTACACAGCGACGGTTAGTCAGCCGTTGATGGGATTTTATGAGAGGACAACCCCCTATCTGAACACCACACAGGTTAGGAAACAACGGTTGTTTCAGCACTCAGGAGCAGCTGCAAAGAGATGGAATTCTTCTGAGTCAGTATCACACATGCGCATAGGCTATGACTCAGTATGCTCCCCCAAGATTTGAAACCCTGTCCTGGGATCTGGCTAAAAGATCCCGCTGCCAACAAGCCAGATTTATACTAAGTCAGATTTATATCAAGTCATTTATACCAAGTCAGGTCCTTGGTCTACATAGCTCAGTATTGTCTTCACTGACTGGCAACATCAAGGTTTCGGATAAGAGACATTTCCAGTCCTACCTTCTGCATGCAAAGCGGATGCTCTACCAACAAGCTATGTCCCTTCCCAAGCAGTATGTTTTCCCTCTAACCTGTGGATCAGGCCCATAAGTTGCAATTCTTGAGAGGACCAACTCTTTGACCCACCCTGTGCTTTGTGTCTCCTCTCTCTTCCTGCCATGCCTCCTCCTTTTACCTGAACCACCGCCATTACATCTCTGGCCAGGAAGCAATTGTGGAAGCATGCATTCCAGTTGCCTAGCAACCACTTAACTTCTATCTCTTCTGGACCAGTCAGAATAATTAATTGGGGGTGAAGGAAAAAACAGGACAGCACATGGGTGCTTGATGCCTTCCCAAGACCAATATCCATGGCCAGCTATGGGGAAGGGCCATAATTCAGTGGCAGAGCATCTGATTTTTCAGTTTCAATCCCTGGCATTTCCTGGTAGGGCTGGGAAATATACTGCTGAAGCTGCTGGATGGACCAGTTACGTAATTTGGTATAAGGCAGCTTCCTATGTTAATGTCACATTGCCTGGCTGGACAAGTTTAGGAAGGAGTAAGGGGAAGAAAGAGCCAGGTGGCCTCTTGAGCATTCATGACTGCGAAGCCCTGGAGCCTCTTATGTACTGCCAGTCAGCACAGACAATTTCCCAGGCAAGGCCTCCAGATGCCAGAGGAGAACTCAAGAAATTGATCCACAAGCTTAGCACATCCAAATGGGAGACTAATGGCTCCATACAGGTCGGCTCCACTAGGTCTGTTGCCGCTAGACCATCTCTGAGCAATCAGCTGTTTGCAAATGCCTTGAAGTCAAGTTTAAAAAACAAGATTCCTGCAAAACGTTGCTTCCCTCTGGCAGCCGAAAGGTGTCGGATTTCCAAGTTCAGCATTAGCCATTTCAGTCCTCACATTTATTTATCTATTTTCAATACGTTTAAGGCACTCTTGTTCTGTTTTTCAGCAGAAGCTTGAATGATTTAAGACCTGATGCTTGGTTTTGTTGATGTGATTTTATTATTATACAGTGGTACCTTGGTTCTCGAATGGCTTAGTTGCTGAACAAATCGTTCAGTTTTCGAACGGTTTCAGGAGTCAAACGGACTCCCGGAATGGATTAAGTTTGAAAACCTAGGTACCACTGTAGTTCTGTCAGTTTGCTATCAGCTGCATTCATCTTAAAAGGCAGGCTTGACACCTTCCCCTGAATTTCCACAAAATACGTAGACTACATAACATCTTTTGGCAGTGGGTTCCAAAGATTATGAGCAATCATCATGAAGGTCCTGCTCTTAGCTGTTGCAGTTTTTATCTACAAGCCCAGAGCTTGTTGTCCCACTCTTAAAGGGCATACAGCAGTCCTGAATGAAGGAAAGGGGTACAGTATAGGGAATCTGTGGCATTCCAGATGTTGTTAAGACTGCAAACTCCATCAGCCCCAGCCAGCAATTCTCAGGGTTGATGCGAGTTGTAGTCCAGCAACATCAACCCTATGGGTCTCTGGATGTGTACATCTCGAAAGGTTAAACTTTAACCATAAAACTTCAAACCGTTATAGGCAGCGCCTTTAACCGTCAAAACCAGGGTTGGGCCCAGAAGCAAAACAACCAATGCTACACTACAGGGAAAAAAGCTTTTATTTATTTAGGAAATTCCTAAACCATACCTTCATCCAAACGTGGATTCCAGGGCAGTGCACATAAGAATTCCAACTGCCAATACAATACAGCAAAACAAATTTCCATTACACATACAACCTCCCTTCATCACAAAATACAGAGAATGCCTTTCAGTGATGCATGCTGGGATAATGTCCATGGCCTACAAGCTTCAACCAAAAAGAAACACGGGGGGGGGCGGGCACTGCAGCAGCTATCACACATATCTATAGTGGCCTGATTTTCAGAACAAAATAATGCTGCTGCAAGCCTCACAGTATGGTTTTGCAAGGGAGCTGCCATGCCCCTTATAAGGACGGCATTCATAGTGTCTGTCAAAGTGCTCCTCCCTGATATAAATATGAAACAGAGACTGCATTAAGCTTTCTAGAGACTTTCATCTTTCACAACAGCCTCATTCAGAGTTCAGTAAATACGCTGGGGAGGGGACACACACCAGCTTCACCCTCGCACATACTATGGGTTCCCCACCCTGATCTTCCAGGGTTCTAAAATGTATGGGGATGGCGACAGGAAGTTCCCCTTGTCAGATGATCACCCTCCAACTTGTGGAGACCAATCGATTGACAGGACAATGGGGAGGGGGAAAGCCTGCCATGTCCCCCCCTCATGTGTTTACTGATCTCTATCAGAGAAAGTCTGAAGAGAGCTGACATCTGCTGGCCTTCTGGTTCTGACTCAGAGGAGAATTCAATAGCTGAGCAGCTCAAAACTCCTTCCATCATTACATCACTTCCTGTATGAGAACTTCCCCTCTCTCATATTGTTATGCAGAACAATTTGGATGGTCCACATGGATCCTCTGTGTTTGGCATACTCGGGTGTGTGCCACCTTGGAAAACCGTGATTCCTATTCAAATATGATACAGAACTCTATCTGTCTCGACTGTGTTTCTTTCAGGATTTCTTCCCCTGATTTTGGGGAAGAAAACCCATCTAACATTGCCCTTCAATGGTCAAGCTCAGCATTTCCTACCGGGATGAGAACAAAGAAGGTGTGGAACAATAGAGGTAGCCAGGGCAGAATCCTGGCCCAGTTGGGACATGGTACTATTAGCCACCTGCCAGGACTCCAGCAAGGCCCACCAGTGCTGATTCCTGAGCTAGGCCCCCTGAGGGTCTTAGGCCATCGTTTTAACTTCCCACAATGCCCTGAAACCTCTGCATTGGGACCATTGCGAGCAATTTAAAATGGCAGCCGGCAGATGCTCACTGCTTCCAGGATAAACTCACCAATGCATGAAGAGATCTATGAGAGGAGATTTACTCAAAGGCCCCTTCAGTTCTGGAGCTGACTTGCATCATCAGAATATCAGGGGAATCTCAGAAACTATTCTAATCTGGCATAAGCACGAGACTTCACATGTAGACTACATGCAGCCATTTCTTACACAGAAATAAGGGTGCATACAGAAAGCCTAAGCCCTCTCCTTCCAGACACACAAGACACATCCATAAACCATCCAAGTTCTCTAGTGTGGCAGAATCTTCTCTAGGGACTGTTTACAGTCTGCAGTACCCAGACCAAGCACTAGAGGGTAAGCCCCATGGATGGACTTGTTTCTAGAAGACCTCAGGATGCGCAACAGGGAGAGTCCTATTCCCTCTGTCCACCACAAGTAACAGTGTGAAAGTGAGCTGGGCTGTTCAAATGAGAAACTTCGAAAGCAAGCCTTTCCTTTGTCCATAAGCAGGCTCCTCCATACATGGCGGATTTGCAAAATTCTATTTTCAGAGCTGATTCCATATCTTCCTCCTGTTTCATGTTTCCCCCCATAAAGAAAGGCCTCCTTGTCTCCCGCCTCCCTCTTCAGCACGCAAGGCTCATCTTCACTCTGCGAGATCTGTTCCAAGCTGAACCAGGGATCACCCGGGTTCCTCAACCCCAGAATCTATTCTGATTGGCAGGAACGTACGAAGCACCGCACAAACGCGCGCAGAACCCATTTCATTCACTATTAAAATTACCAGACCCTCCCCTTCTGGGATTAGCGGGCACGGATTTCTAGGCGTCCGTTGTGCAGCGTGATCGTCACTCTGAAACATACCCCACCGATTTCCCCGGGGTTGGCACCCAAGTCACCCTGCACGGGATGGACTTCCAACATGCCGCGTCCCCTAGTAATAAGAGCGCACGACGAGTTCCACGGGACTTACTCCTATGTAGACGCGCCCGGGATGGTAGTCTTAGCGGCAGCGCCGCCGGGATGCTGACTCCTCCGCAGCGAGATCAGGTCTCTGAGGCCAAGGAGGTCACCTCCAGGGACAGCCTTGCAGTGGCATCGGCGCCAGGATAGGGTGACCCGCCACCTCATTAGCCAGAGCGGAGGACGGAACAGCAACGTCTGGCCGAAGAAAGAGGCAACGCGGCGCTGACAGCTCCCTCAGCCAGCCAGGGCGGGACGCAAGCCGCACACTGCACACAGGCGCCGAAGCCGCAAGCCCCGTCTTGCTGCGCCGGCGCTTTCCGTGCAGAAGGCTTTCTCCCGGGGGGAACGGCAGGCGCAAGATAGGCGCGATCAAAGGCACCGCTCCTCGTCCAGGCTGCTTTCTCTCGGCACCCGGAGCCCCCAGACGGCGCGTCCCCTGGCTTCTCTCCCACCCCCCCACCCCGCCCACCTCGATCTCCCCTTGCTTCAGGCACCTCCCTGCACTTACCACTTCTGCGCGGAGGTGGCTCACGAAGGCGTCGAGGCGGGCGCTGTGCATGCCAGAGCCGGGGCGCTCAGATGCCTGCCAGCGGAAGGGGGCGGCTGCTGTCCGAGGGACTCCAGCGAGAGACCCGCGCGCGAGCGAGGAAAGTTTCTCGCTGTCTGGGCGAGACTCCGACTTTCTCCCCGGCTCAGTCCGGAGCGGGCAGAGCGGCCCGTTTGGTTCGGGCCGAGCCCCGCCCCCGTCTCGCGAGCGGACCAATGAGCGCCCCAGGCACCGTCTCTGCTCCGCCGACAGCCAATGAGCGGGCGAGGTGGGTGCCTGTAACCCGAACTTCCCCGGGTCTTCTGTAATTTAATTAGAGCCCCATATTAGGAGCCAAAAGGTGCTGCGGGTGGAGAGACGGGGGGCCGGCACAGCGAACGGGCCCTTCTGGGGTTGGGACCCTTTTGGGCACGGAGCAATTGCCGCTTTTATTTTGCTTGCTGCGCTGCTGCAGCCCACCTCCGGCAGGGAGATTGCATGCAGCTTCCGTAGCGCTATGATGGCCAAGCCAAGTCACAAAAAGAAACGCTTCCACTTCTGCACAGCCCTAAGTTCTTTGTTGTCATCGAGCGCGTACTCTGCATATAGGGTTGTCGTCTTTTTTTTTCCTGGGCAGGGTCCCTGTGCTATTTAACAGTGGAGCAGCAGGCAGAGATCCAACAGGTGGTGCTTTCCCACTCATTGCATGGCCCTACTGCCAAAAGATTTTCTTCTTGTACTTCTCATAGGCGTCTGGTTGGCACTGGGAGAAGAGAGTGCTAGATTGGATAGACATTTGGGCTGATCCAGCAGACCTCTTAGTGTCTCAACTTCTGCCGGCCTTGCTGCTTTTAAAGGCGTAGGAGCCTGCCAGAAAAAGAGATGCCCACCTTCACCCTCTATTGGAAATTACTCATAATATGTACTACTTGCTCTTAGATATTTAACAGTGGAGCATCTTAAGGTCTCAAATTTCAGCGGTGCCCTGTGCAACACCCAAATGTTGTGCCTCCCCCACCTCTCACCTTCCATCAGAGTTACAGCGCCCCCTGCAGCACCCCCTAAACTCAGTGCTTAGTGTGACTGAACCACTCGCGCTTCCCTAAACCAGCCTCTGTATTTAGTGTGGCTAATTCTGGGGCATGCTTTTGTGGCAGAGAATATCAGTTTTCTTCCTGTTGTACCACCCATAACAGTCTAGTTTGGCTGTTAATTTCTAAGGGGGGCAGGTAATGCTCTAATTGCTCAAGAAGACAACCAGATAAGGGGAAGGTCTGGATGCAGTTATGTGACGGAATTGCATTCTGTGCATGCTTGGAACACTAAAATTCCACTATGCCTCCACTTATTGCAAAGCTAAACTGGCATGAAACTCTAGACTAAAGTTTTGAAATCCTCATCTTAGAAGTTTGGCAAGCCAGATTTATATGAAATGCAAAAAAAGGGAGAGAGGTCTAAATAATCATTTTCACAGTGACAAAAATTGCTGATTTTGGGGTTCTAAATGCTTTTAGTTAAGCATTCCTGTCCCAAATAGATATGCACACTATTAGGCCTGTGCCTTGCTGTCGGCAGCTCCTTCTCTGTCTTCACTGTGAAAGATGCATGGAAGGAATCTATGCCTGAACTGAAGGAAAGGAGTCTTTGGGTACTTCCGGCCTGTTGCTATTCTTGAGTGAGATTCAATCACATGCTGAAAAACTCAGGTTGCACAATTAAGACTGAGCTGAGGCTCTTGCGCAACAAACCAATTCTTCAAAAGATCAGACTTTTTTGTGATAAGTGATGGGAAAATGCCCTGGAAACTATGAGATAATGCTTGCATTGACTCAAGGTTTTCGACTTTCTTTGCAAACAAATAGCTGCGGAATACTGTGAGCAGTTCCGGTTGTCACATCTCAGAAAGAATACTTTGGTGCTGGGAAGCAGGCGGAAGACAAACAGAATGATTTTGAGGCTGGGATTATTCCACTATGAGGAAAGGTTACAAAATTTGGGGCTATTTAGGGGGGAAGTGAGTAAGAACGGATATGATAGAGGTGTGTAATGATGCATAGTCTGGAGAAAGCAGATAGATAAAAGTTTTTCTCCTCCCCTCAAAAGACTTACCGGTAATTCATTCAAAGAGACTGAATGCTAGAGTATTCAGGACAGACACAAGTAAATACAGTGGTACCTCGGGTTAAGTACTTAATTCGTTCTGGAGGTCCGTTCTTAACTTGAAACTGTTCTTAACCTGAAGCACCACTTTAGCTAATGGGGCCTCCTGCTGCCGCCGCGCCACCGGAGCATTATTTCTGTTCTTATCCTGAAGCAAAGTTCTTAACCCGAGGTACTATTTCTGGGTTAGCGGAGTCCGTAACCTGAAGTGTATGTAACCTGAAGCGTATGTAACCCGAGGTACCACTGTACTTCTTCATCCAGCACATAGTTAAACAGTGCGATTTGCTACCACAAGAGGTATGGTAACTCCCAACTTAGGAGTTTAGACAAGTTCATGGAGGAATAAGGCTGTCAGTTGCTACAGGCTATGATGGTTATATATTACCTCCAGTATCAGAGACAGAAGGTCACTGAATACCAGTTGCTGGGGATCACAAGCTGAAAAGGGCAAATGCACTCACACGTCCTGCTTGTGGGCTTCTCAAAGGCACCTGGATGGCCACTGTGGGTAAGAGGATGTTGGGTTAGGTGGGCCTTGGGTCAGATCCAGCAGGACTCTTCTTGCCTTCTCTTTGTTGTCTTCTTCAACAACATAAAACTATATGTATTTTTAGTGGATGGATTATGGGTGAAATGTGGCCCTTAGTGCTGGGAGCTGGATCAAGTGCTGGAGCAAATTGCTGTTCCAAAGCAGGGAGACTGATAGGAATGTGTTGGCAGCAGAGGTCCAGATGCCATTGCTCAGCTCTCTTTGCATGGTACCCACAAGGGTGATAGGATAGAGAACATATATACACAGCTCCTTTGCCAAGATAAGCTGAGGCCAGGCTAACTTGACCATGCCAAGCAAAGCATATTCAAAATCCCACTGAGAAAGGAGCTCACTTCTCCTGTCATTCAGTTTGTGCAATGCTCCTAAAATCCTTCCACTTGGCTTTCTGTCCCCTTCCGTTTCCAGAACAAAAGCCCTCCTTGCCTCCTTGGTTTTGTCCTACACTTGATATTAGTCTTGTTTTCTATCGACTCCTGACCTTTGCTTTTCCAACTCCACCATCTTCATCTGCCCAAATGTCTCATGCTCTTTAACATGACGCCGCCCGTTTCCCCCTATGCATGATGGAACCATTATGACCTGTATGTCCATAGAACTGCCTTTGCTCACATTCACCTTTTGTGACTCTTGTCTCCTTCTGCCATCCTCTTATCTTCCCCTTTGTCTGTTTCTGATTGTAAACTCCTTGGAGCAGAGAGCTATGTTATTTATCAACTCTGTAAAGCATCATGAATACTGAGGGTACTCTATGTTTGCATGTATTAAATAACTAACCAGATTCCAGGAGCTGCTGTAGTCAGCTGCTGTATTGTTATCATCATATGCCAGAGTCATTAGATTCCTCTAGTTTTGATTTGGAGCTGAGCTCATCGGGAAAATCATTTCCTTTTTCTGCATCAGAATTCCTGTGATTAATTCCCTTGGATTCCAGTGTCTTCCCTTCCTCTGCACCTAGATTATCCTACCTATCGAGTTGGAGCCATCTATGATGCATACAAACTATACCATTAAAGAACATTTTCCACCTCAAACAAGTCCAGGCACTGTAGTTTGTTAAGGGTGCTGGGCATTGTAGGTCTAAAAGAGAAAAACTACATTTTCTAGATTCTTTTTTTTGGGGGGGGTGCACGCTTTGAATGTGCATTAAAGGGATAATGTGTGCAGTCTTACTCATTCATCCGTATGTCATTTCCTCTATCTTGACCATTCAGGCTAGGAACTTCCCAGACCCTACCTACCCAAGTATTTATTTTGAGCAGTGTTAAAGCTTGACCTCAATTCAATTATCAGATGCTACCTCAAACAATGGATAAAGCACCAGAGTTCTGCATTGCCGGTATTATGCAAATATTTATAACAGCATTAAAACTATCTTTATGTACACATCATAAGCTAGCTTTAAAATAATTAGGTAATCCTCATAACAGAAGAAGGCATTCACCTGAGAATTCTGGAAAACTATGTATTTGTTATCTGCAAATGTACGTACTTTTTCTCACACCATGTCTTTGGGGAAGAGGGGATTATTTCTAATGGAAATCATACTAATTTGCTCAGTTACTGAGAAATCGTGAACATATGCTCTTCCATCAACAGAAGCTGGTCCAACAGAAAGCATTTCACTGTCATGAAAAAGTGAATTATTACACTAATAATTTGCCACAGTGTAGGACCCCAGTAAAAAATGGAGCCCTATTTTCCAGGGGCAGTCTCGGATTTACAGAAGCCGTTCCTGGAATGTCCCGCTTTTCCTTAGGATTTCCATATTTTCATCGGGAAAATGTTGGAGGGTGTGGTAGGACACCCCTATTTTCTTTGGAGGGTTTGGAGCTATGCGACCCCCTGAGCCAAGGAGATAAGTAACTATACAACTGTTAGAAGATATCTTAAGGCAGCTCTGTATAAGGAAGTTTTTACATGTTTAATATTTTATTATGCTTTTATATATGTTAGAAGCTGCCTAGAGTGGCTGGGGCAACCCAGTCAGATGGGTGGGGTATAAATAATAAAATTGTTGTTGTTGTTGAATAGGGTGTCCCTGTTTTCATTGGATAAATGTTGGAGGGTATGTGAGCCTTGAGTAACATTTACTGGAGAGGTGAGATACAAATTCAGCAAACAAATTTTAGTGTACTTAGTGTTTTGCTAAATTGGAGACACATTGGCCACTGGCTCTGTGAAGCAAATCCTGAGGATTAAGACGGAGGCCATGGGTGAGGGTTGTTCACATGCAGTCCCTCTCTTGACTGACCTCATCTTCAGCAGTTTAACCAAGGGAATTTTCACCACACATGTTTCTACTTAAAGACTATCTGATGTCAGTGAGCTTCATCATACCTGGGGTCCCAGAGGTACTTGTCTGCTGGGGCTGTAGCAACAGCAGCATCTGATCTGAGCAAAGAAGATGACATAGGTACTACTTCAACCCCCTGCTCATGGGTGTAGCCAGGATTTTTGTGAGGGGGCAGGCCTTTTCTTAGGGGGGGTGAAGAACCTCAGTTACAAAGGGACCCCTGACCATTAGGTCCAGTCGTGGCTGACTCTGGGGTTGCTGCGCTCATCTCGCTTTATTGGCCGAGGGAGCCGGCGTACAGCTTCCGGGTCATGTGGCCAGCATGACTAAGCCGCTTCTGGTG